ATTCGCATTTAAAGGCTACATGCTTTATGTTTAAGAAAGTTTATAAAAATCTACAACGAACATGTCATTTTATGAAGTTGATCCTCTTCAATATACAAAAAAAAATTGAAATGAGTTTCCCTACAATCAAATTTAGATTCCTTTTTTTTGACTATGCTAATTATTAGATTTTGATGATTAAAGAAAACCTTTGATGGAATCAATTTTTTGATTCTGAATTTTTTTAAATTTAATTTATTTTGATCAAAACAAAATTTGAATGCTCTTAAAGAAACTTGGCAGCACTTGAACATTGAGATATGTTTCTCGGGATCTAAATACTTACGAATTCAATCAATTTTATTTTTCTGCTGTCAATTTTTTCATGAATTTTTTCTTATTGTTCAAACAAATGCTATTTAGAATCCCCTAAACTTTGTACAAATACTTTCAAGTCACATGTGTTAAAAAATTCGAGGAATATACAAGATACAACTAAAATAAATAAAATGATTTTACTTTTTTCAGTTCGAGAATACTAAAGTCACAAATCTTTATCAAAATTTCTTAAGCTTAAATGTCAAAAAAAAAAAAAATCTGCAGTTCTAGGTGTACAATGGAAGGGACGTTAAGGGATTCTTGTTCATTAAAGCTTCAACGGTTTTGTTACGTTTGTTTCCTCCTTCTTTAAGTCATCTCTTTTTAGGGTTTTAAGCTGATGACCAAGATTACAAATGCATTTATTAAGGTTACGAAATTTCAATCTAGCAACACTGGTAAGATATTAGGAAGACAATATACAATTTTTTTTCTCCAAAAATAAGAAAATTTCATGATAAAGAAAATATTTGAAAATGAAAAGCGACAAATTTGGATATACCTCTCTACTCATGCATTCATATATCGTGTTACATTAAACATTTTTTTCTTATACATTTAAAACGAAATAATTCCAAATGTACTTAAAGGGTTGTGAATTTGTGAAGACTAGCATAATTTAAATCAATTTAATTAATCAGGCTATGTGCTGAATTATTTATGAAATGAGTAGGTTTTCTAAAGTTCAAGAAGCCTTGAACTTAATTTTCATCAAATGTTCATTTGTGAGAATTACTTATACACTAATCACATGCTTGGACAAGAAAAATCAAAATTATGCTTATTAGTTGATTTCATTTCCATTTGACAATGATTTGGTAATGATTGAATTATTTTACCAAAAGCATGTTCTTTCTCTTATTCCTTAAGACGAAACTTTAAACTTTATTAGCTTTTCCTCTTGTTGAATCTTTTTCTTACTACATTTTTACCACGTTTTTTTTATGATAGCAACGTTGAACATACAAAGAGCATACTCAGAGCACATTATTTGTGAGCTTGCAAACTTTTGTGAGAATATGCTCATTTCATACATTAAAGTGATGCGATCACGGTACCTTTTTGAGTATGCTCAGTGAGCACATTCCTATATGACATGCATTAAGCTCACTTAGTAAACTCTAAGCATACTCAAATGAGAAGGCAACATGCCACACGCAACATTTTTTTAATGCAACATTTTTTATTGAATATGCTTATGAACATTCTCAAAGAGCATATACTCATAAACATACTCAAAGAGCTTATACTCATGAAGATACTCAAAAGATATATGCTCAGTGAGTTTATTTATGAGTATATGCTCATCTGAGCACATGCATGAGTGCAATCAGTTAAAGTCACAAAATTCAAAAAATTAATTAACCTAAATTTGAGTTTTATAAGGATAATTCTGTGAATAATTTTGGAAGGATTAGAAATTATTATTAACATTTTATCTCAAATACTTAAGAAGGAAGTTTTAAAAACCGGTCACCCTCCTTGTAGAAAAACCGATTGCGTTGCTTATCTTCTGTCACCTCACACTTTTCCTTGTAGCAATTTTCTGTAAATATATAATAATTTAAATATGGCAAAACACATACTTAAATTATTATATTATTACAGGCAAACTAAGTTCTAAAATATTCAACATTTGCTTTTAAGTTGGTTGACAATTTTTTAAAAATAACATTTTAAAAAATGTCGACTATCATTAAAATATATTCTAAGTTGGATTTTAAGTTGGTTGACCATTTTTTAAAATGTCATATAGATATAATTATGTTAATTATATGCTCATGAGTATGTTAAAGAAGTGTATTCAGAAGAGTAAATACCCATGAGTATGTTCTTAATATTCTCATGAGTACACTCGTTGAATGTACTCACGTGAGCTTATATTTTTTTTTTGCATAAAAATAAAGTGAGTACATTCGTAATGAACTCCTGAGCATGCTCAGTTGAATGAGCTTGCATGAGTATAATTTTTGAGTAGACTCACTTATATGCTCACTTTTTTGAGCATGCTTTTTGTATGTTCGGTAACTATTTGTAACATTTTTTTGTGTGGATATTATTTGAAATGATATGGATGATATGCGAATCACAACGCATTTTTATATATTCAGTAAATTATTGAGCATTCAAAGCATTTTTATTGAACTTTAAAAGCTTAAACATTTTTCATGGAAAGTTGTTTTAACTGTGTCAGTATATAACAGTATATGACTATAACATCATGGCTTCAAACAAGTTTACATATTTCAAACTTTAAAGAATTGTTGATTGTAAATGTCTTTAACCCAAAATAAAGTTACTCTTGAAAACATACTGCCTTAATTCCGATCAAATGGCATTGAATTTAAACAAATCAAAGTATCGAAGTTTCACAACACTTATTTCAAGAACTACTACCTGCTGAAAAATAATTTTCTTTTATATTTATTTAAAATTTTATGCAAAATGATGTTCATTGAGTTTCTCTTTTTTCATTGATTCCATAAATTTCAAACATCATGATACAGCATCTTTAATACTCTAAACAGACACTCACGTACATAAAACTTTAATTTTATTGACATCACTAAAATGAAGCGTTGCACAAGAGTCACAAAAGGGGTTAATATCAAATAACAGAGTTTCGAGAAATATGAAGTGAAGAAATGAGGAATCAGAAAATGCAATCGAAGTGGGAGTATTGATCATAAATCATAAAAGGAAGCAATAAACTCTCGTGTGCATGAATAAATTCTTAATTTTACAGCATACTTGACATGTTTTATTGCTACAGTTGGCCTATTTCTCAAAACTTTCATTGTTTTAATTGTGAATGATAAGTCTTTCCTGAAATTGAAAGCTATATTATTAGATTAAAATTTAAATTATTAATTTGATATTTTATTTCCTGGAATATTGTCTTGTTTTATTGGATACACATTAAGTAATTTTAATATTCTTTTCTTCACTTTTTGTGATATAAAATCTCTTTTTATAAACGAATTTTCATTTTATTTTCTTATTTGGTTCCATTGCTCAACCGATATATGAATAAGTTTTATTTTAATATCATTAATAAAATGATCAATTTTTTAAGTAGATTTTCAGGTTTAAGTCATCAGATAGATATTAATAAAATTATTCCTTTTAAACAGCCAGATTTATCTTTACAGACGATTCTCATGAAATATTTAAGGAACTAATAGGAATTGAAAGCATGTTTAATTATTAAGGTTTTGCCTGACTCGAGGGTAATTAAGTTTCATATTTGTTTCTATTTATGATTCTTGAAAAATTCCATTTAGAATTTCCATAGAAATTGCATTTCTTTAGCAAAGGAAGCTTCAGAGCATAAAAATACACAAATAAGTGATCTTGATTTGATTATAATACATTCATACATACACATTAAAGTATGAGACGAATATTATTCTTGATCAAATAAGTTAGTAAATTGGTAGATAGATATGAATATATAAATGTACAGCATTCTATCAAGTCGATTCGAATCACATAATAAAATCTTTTTAGCAAGAAAAACTCTTATTTTTATTTCTTTATACAAAAAAATGTAAGTAAATTGATAGGTTTGATTGTAATATTAAGGTAGGAAGGTTCATTGGTGAATAAAGAACATACACGCATACACGCAAAAAAAGGTTCGTGAGCGATAAAAACAGTTCTCAAGTTTAAGTATTCAGTAGGGGAAAAGTTTTAACCAATTCTTGGGAAATATCAACATTTTTCCATTTCAATCCTTAAAAATATAGTATTATCATTGGGACGGTTCTCTTATGATGTCCAACAGTTTGATACGAATTCACAATTGAAATTGTCAAAGTTTTAATATTCAGTGTACGTCATTTGAGAATAGTCCCTCAAAATTATTGAGAAAAAATATTATCACCAATTTTGACATAAAAACGGATCAAAAAAACCTTTCAGAAAAATATTACGTTTTACACCTCATAAAAATTTCAGATATAAACGTTCTCTTCCAATGCAAAGTCCATCACAATGAGCTCATGATAATTTTCATAATGACATTTGATATATTTTAAGTTACAATATTTAAAGGGTGGGGTTTGTTTTTTTTTTCAGACATTCAATTAATTAAGCAATAGAAAATTTCATTTCCTTCATTTGGTACAAGATAATTCTAGAACTATCATCTTCTGTACATTTTCTCAATATTTTCAACATAGCATCATTATTTACATCTCATTAGCATCGTGCATGTATAAGAGATTCAATAAAATTTTTATCTAAATTAAAACATATAAGTGGTACAGGTAACAAAGACATTTTGTAACATTTTCGTTCTTCTAAGTACATTATTGAATTTTTTGGAGAAATTAAGGCATAGGATAAGCTAATATCTCCTCAGAATCTGTTCCAACATATTTATTATATTGAATAAAAACTCCACACATTTAATTCTCATTAGGCTTTTGCCTTTCATTCTTGGGTTTTCCGATGGAATTGAATTTAAATTCATAAATAATTTCTTATAAATGGATATTGTTGAAATAGGTGGAAGATCATAAATAACTAAAGAATCTTCTTCTTTTCAAAAGCATTTTAATCACGCGTGGAAACTCAGGATTAATCCTGAAAAATCCTAAAAAATCCTTGAGCCAACAAACATGGAAATATGAAATCCCTTTTAAATCCCTGATGCATTTGATGAATAACTTCGGGATATAAAAAGGATTTCACATTTCCATGTTTATTGGCTCAGGGATTTTTCAGGATTAATCCTGAGTTTCCACGCCTTAATTTTATTAAATGCAAAGATGTTCCATTTTTAACAAAATATGAAAAATTGTGCAAGTTTATGAGAGCCGTTTGGATTATTCGCTTATCTAAGGTTCTTTGAAATAAATATGCAAAAAATTCTCAATACAAATTAAATTAAATTAGTGTAGAAAACTGATTATGTATAAAATTGATATCTAGTGGATTTGATCCAGAATGACGTCATTACAACTAAATCTATGCATTAAAGAACAAATTTTTGAAAATGTTCTTTAAGATCCATGTGATTGTTTGAAACTCGTTCAGCAAAAGTTTATAATCTTAAGGATATTTTATGTTGAGATTTTAAAGGTAAAAAAAGATCAAAGTATAAATTATTAGCATCAGTACACAATTTTAATCCCTTCACTAACAACTATGATAAAACTTTTCGTCGTATTCATATAAAAAAATGATTTATAAAAAAATTTCATTTAGGTAATTATTATGGCAGTTTGTGAGAGTTGGACGAATGAAATAAAAAGTTTCAAAACTTTTGCAGAAATAAATCAGCACATAGTTTCTAAGTTTTCATCACTTCCATCATCTTCTTCCGTGCTACTTTTAATATTTAATGATAATTTCGCTATTTCATCTTGTATTAAATGTGTACTTATTGTTGGAATCACCTTTCTTGAGTCATCTCTTGTATCCTCTGTACTTGTACTTGAACTTTCTTTTAAAACGTGCATATGCATTCTTGGTGATGGCATTTTCGGTAAATTGTGCTGCTGATGTTGCACCACTGTCGTTGACCTACATTCCAAATTTTCTGACAATGGTCGTTTATTACCCTGATCCATACTGAATTGTTTTCGTAAAAAACTTGGACGACCGTCGCTAGTGCACAATGTTGATGCTCTTTTGGGAGGCATTCGTTGTTCTGCATCATTTATGTTGTTTGAGTTTTCAATAACAGTTGCATTAAGACTAGTTTCTGCATCTATTGACAGGTCATTTGTGAATGATGAATTATCAATGTTAAATGAGCTATTTGTGTCGTTTGAGTTCTGCTTAATGACATGATATGGCTGGGCACTGTATTCTGTTTCAGTACTAGAATTTTTGTAAAGACTCTCATCTGATATTTTGCAGTATCGTTGCTCTAAAGAATCAGGATTTAAATAGCTCATCTTTCGTTGATTCGGAGGAGAATTTTCATCTGCTCTATTTTCGGACATTGATGATGCCCGTACAAAATTCTTTTCATTCTTCAATTGAAATTCAGTATTTTGTTGTGTATATGTCTCATCAATTTTCTGCATTTTTGCAGGCGTAATTGGAAGTTCTATTGCCGTTTCACGTCTCAACATCCGCCTGTGTGAGTAGTCACTATCAAAACCGCCTTCCAGATTATCATCACTTCCGTCGAATGACGTTTTTGTTTGCAACAATCCTTCCATTATCGCATAATCATCATCTTCACACTCTTTCAAATGCTGCTTCTCCATTAACGCTACAAATTCGGGATTTGTAAGCTCGTTAAGATTTTTTGGCTTCTCATCTAATAGTGAAGTAGTTGGAGATGCAATCATGCTTTCTAATTCGTCTGTAATGGATGTATATTCTGCATGAATGTGTAATAACATATGACGACCCGCTTTCATAGCACCCTTTGATACAGCAGTTGCACCATTAATTTCCGTATCGGGTTCTGATTGTGTTAAGCTAAACTGTCGCTTTGACAATGGATTGTTACCCAGATAATTGAGACTTGTTTGCGATCTATTTATATCATAATGTTGTGATTCAGAATTTCTTCTTCCGAGTTGAGAATTTCTTCGTCTTAAACCAAATCGTTGCTTTTCTATTTCATCTAACGTCCCATCTCCTCCAGCTATTGCTTTCTCCTCACACCCACCACCATCGAGTGGCGTCAATGTGTCTTTGCTCTCTGTACTCGCTGTTGTTTCTTGTCTCATACATATAGAACGTCTATTAATTGAATCTGAACGAGGAATCAATAGAGTTAATGGAGGGGGTATTGCTGGAAGTGGTTCTGATTCAATGCTGATTTGTGGATTCTGATGAGCTGTCGGTGTGCTTGCACAATACTCTGGCTCTTCTGACTGAACTGATAATTTTCTATTACGGATTGAACTTGCTAAATCATTTATCTCATCAGTTGAATTCATTACTTCATTTTCTTCGAGAACTGTACGCACTTCAAAATGTGCACCTTCGTCAAATATATAAGCATCCGGACGAACTTCCGTTAACGAGCGATTGAATTTTCGAGGTCTTCTATCAAATGCTGCTGCTACTGTTGTTGGCATAATACTAGTTAACATATTTCCTGAATCATTTTCTGACACTGTTCGATTTCTATGGACATCAAGTGGATGCGGGAAACTCAAATTGGCAATTGAACCCTGAGCAATATCATTATCATCATTTATATGTGTTGACATAAACCGATGAATTACAGCCAAGTGATTCAATATTTGTTCTGTTGATTCTTCCATTTTTCTCAAACGAAATTCCATGTTTTGAATTGACAGCACTTGAAGATTTTCTTTTGTATTGATATCCTCAATTTTTTGATACATATTCTCAACCCTTTCGTCTGTATTCTTTATTCTTTCCTCTGTCGATTGTAATAAAATCATATTTTGCTCTTGAAAAAATCCTTCGACACATTCTTCCTCAAAATCATAAAGTCTTTCCATATCATCCTTTTCCAAAAATAACTTCAATCCATTGTCCCGAACTTCCTGAAGTCCTTTTGCTTTTCGAAAACAATATTTTAGAAGACAATAAAAATGGCAAATGCAAATTAGTGGTGGCGGCAAGACAGGCTTTTGTTGATATTCCATAACGACTGTAAATCTTTGAAACATCCATACTTGATGTGAAATGGAATTTGTCTCATTAAATATATTATTGAAAACAGCAATGAGAAGATTTATGAGCAAAATGTTGGCTATCAATAAATACATAGACATTGCAATAGGCGTTATCCAATGACCAGTGATACATGGTTCTTGAGACGGGTCCTCACCGCAGGGAGGGTCAATATCGTCAGCAAATACCTGTCAAGAAATAAAAATCATTTGCATTAAAAAACATTTCATTTCATTCAGGATATATGCATACATACCTCACCGTACAACATAAAGTACGGCTGGAAGAAGACATCTCGAACAAGTCTCCAGTCAGCATCCTTGTTTGGATTTAAAATAGATTGTCGACTTACACCAAACGACATGAGAACGACGAGTAAAAGCACCACAAAATAAATCATGTTCTTTACCATCTTTCCCATCATTGTTACCAGCGGTCCTATGATAATTTTGTTTTATGGAAGAAATAAACCCAGAATAAGAATATAATGTGATAGAAGATGAATGAACATTTTATGAATTATGATGATAATTTAATGGTCTGCAAAATTCTTCATTTTCATTTTGAATTTCATTTTTTATGCCAAAATTAAACGCCCAGCCACACGCTTGTACTTAATTTTTTTATTATTTAATGATACTAACCTAAATATTTATTGACGCCTAGAATATTTAAGATCCGCAGATACCAATATATGCTATTCACACAATATATTACCCTCCCAATATCCATCATATTCGGACGGAAGCGTAGACCAACGCCAATGATGAAGGTCACTAAACATAAAAAGAGAAAGAGTAAAATAACCATTTAATTCATCATTAATTAATTTACATTTCGATGACTTTCTTGTATAGTTTTATTGAAATGTCAAAAAGGATCATCATGGTGCTTATTGATATCAATATTTTCACAGCAATAAAATTTCATCATATACTTATTTAAATATGTCAATAATTTTTTTTCCAGCATGATAATATCAAATGATTGGGATCATTCATAAATAATGTTTGTTTAAAAACACAAGTAAGAGAGGATTAGACCACATTTGTGAACAATCCCTAACTCGATTTAATGAAATTTTAACACAATATTTTAATGAGTATTTATTTTGAAAGTACTGCTGAACATTAAAGCAATTTAATTTTGATTGATGTCCTAATTAAATAAATTAACTGTTAAAAAGTGATATGCATACCTATAGCAACACCATCACAGGGATTCCACATATTCCAAGACCAGACAGCAAATTTATGGCTATATAAAAGATAGAGGAACCAAAACATAAAATTTAATGATGGAATCTTTATAATTATCACGTCTCATCAACTTACCAAATAGCAACAGGTTCCGAGGAAAGAATTTCGCGTACTTTTTCAAAACCGAGGGTCGTGATGTAGGCAATGGAGTAAATTTCTTGCCAGCACGGTGTTGCTTCCATTCTTACGAGTATGGTGTAAGTAAATAAGAACAGAAATATAATGTATGCGATCTGTAATCAGGAAAGAAAGAATAATGATGTTTATGGTTCGTTAATTAAAATTAATTAATTATATAATTCAATTAGGATGTTTATCGTCAATTCAACTTACAGAATCTGCCCAAAATTTCGTTATGGGCGCTGTATAAAATTCATAAAACTTTTTCTTCAACTTTAATGGCCGGTGAACTCGTGTGTCATCATCATAAGGATTAAATTGCGTATTGTCGGAATCTGTCAGAGATACCTAAAGGCAAAATTAAGGGAAGTACAAAGAAGTTAATATTATATGCCAAAAGGACTCATGGCGCTATCAATCGTCTATCTTTCTACTACATTTTTTGTCACATAATTATGTAGTTTATAGATTACTCAGAAATAAAACTTCTGTTAAGGATTTTTTATTGCCTCTTTTTTTTTAAATTAAAAAGTTTTTTCAAAATCACTCTAGATTAGTCGGCCTGTTTCACTAAAGTGGATTATCTTCGATTTCGGATTATCCTCTTCAGTTTTTTACAAATATCTTAAACTTTATGGGAGGTGTGGTATTTCTAATTTTGGATTATAATAGAGTGAAGTATGTTTGAAATTTCTGTATATACTTTAAACTTTTGCTTTTCGTTAAGATTTATCAATTGTTCAATTTTCTAGCCAAATCTAGTAGATTAACTTCGATTTTTGCTATAATTCTCAAACTAATGAAGATATAAAAATTCTAGGTATATGTTAATTTAAGTAGCTAAGGACTCTAACTTGATTACACAGTAGATCTCTTAAAAGTCTTAAGTGTCTGAAGTTATTTCCAAAAAACTGAAGTGGATAATCCGAAATCGAGGATAATCCACTTTAGTGAAACAGGCCGAGTGAGTTAAAATTTCAATTATAATTTTAAAATCGAACTTAAAACTTCATTTTAACTTCCAATTCTATTTCGATTCTAGAATCATAATTGAATTGTTCACTTACTCATCTAGATCAGTGTTGTCCAAACTTTATGCCGTAAAAAATGCAGATAATGCCACGAACCGCACGCAAAAAAAAGTTTGATAACACTGCTAGAACAATTCTTGAGGAACCTTTTGGGTTCGTCCATCAAAACAGAAAGTTTATCGCTGGGTTTCTTCTCATCCACAAAATTAAAAATACTCGTGTTAATTAAAATCCTTTACATAATTAAATAAAACTCACACAAATAAATCTCAAGCATAAATCTTGTATTATCAGAACTAAAAGGGGTAGTTTGGAAATTATGTAACGCTCTTTGGAACGGATCATTGTGGTTTCTGTTATCAAATATTTTTAATCTGTTTCTTTCATAGATACAGTAGCGCTCAAAATGATAAGGACAGCAACATTTTTTTCACATTTTTATTAATTTTGACGCACAGGATTATCTAAATTTGCTGAAATTTGGACCAGTTATACAGTTTTAAATGTCCTTTCATACAATATATACTAATTGTACTTTAATTAAATATTTTTGAAAAAAACGGTAAAAAATCAAAATGGCTGCCGCTCAAAATGATAAGGACAGTAGATTATGTTAAGATTTTATTATATTAAGTAATATTATGGAACTTTTAAGACTTAAAACATTATGTTTGGTGAATATTCTTTATATAAATTTATAATTCACGCTTCTAGATGTAAGACTTCTTACTTAATTTTAGTGTTTAAAAATATGTGAAAATTTTGTCAATTTATGATAAATTGTCGTACAGAAACTTGTTTATTCTTTAGGTTAACTACCAAAAATTATAGATAATTTGATTATTTATCAATTTATGATCAAACATTTAGATAACTGTTAATTAATGTAATTTTTTTTCAAAAATTTTATTTTTCCTTCGCAAAATTTTTGTGAACTGAAGTGGACAATTTGGAAAAAATTGTTAAATATTCGCAAAACAATGCTTAAATTAGTATATTTCTCTTCCATTTTAATTGTTTAATAACATATATCAAGCACTAGAACCGCTTCGAAAGGATAAGTGACTAAGCAATCGTTCTCTTTCAACAACAAGACTTTTTGATATGGCAAACATGAAAAATGTGTTGAAACCTAAAAAAATATGATTTACATAAGTGAAGTTTTAACATAAAATAATTAAATTTGGCTTTTTTAATCGAATAACACTCTACTTTGTATTCTATGAGTGCTAAATTTAACATTTTTACAAAAAATATTTCTTCATATTTTTTCGTCTTGAGAAGCTCATAGAGAACGATTGCTTAGTCACTTTTCCTTTCGAAGCGGTTCAAGTGCTTGATATATGTTATTAAACAATTAAAATGGAAGAGAAATATACTAATTTAAGCATTGTTTTGCGAATATTTAACAATTTTTTTTCAAATTGTCGACTTAAGTTCACAAAAATTTCGCAAAGGAAAAATAAAATTTTTGAAAAAAAATTACATTAATCAACAGTTATCTAAATGTTTGATCATAAATTGATAAATAATCAAATTATCTATAATTTTTGGTAGTTAACCTAAAGAATAAACAAGTTTCTGTACGACAACTTATCATAAATTGACAAAATTTTCACATATTTTTAAACACTAAAATTAAGTAAGAAGTCTTACATCTAGAAGCGTGAATTATAAATTTATATAAAGAATATTCACCAAACATAATGTTTTAAGTCTTAAAAGTTCCATAATATTACTTAATATAATAAAATCTTAACATAATCTACTGTCCTTATCATTTTGAGCGGCAGCCATTTTGATTTTTTACCGTTTTTTTCAAAAATATTGAATTAAAGTACAATTAGTATATATTGTATGAAAGGACATTTAAAACTGTATAACTGGTCCAAATTTCAGCAAATTTAGATAATCCTGTGCGTCAAAATTAATAAAAATGTGAAAAAAATGTTGCTGTCCTTATCATTTTGAGCGCTACTGTATATGTAAATAGCTTTCCTATTCCTGGTGTTACATTATTTCTAAACGACCCCCAATGATAAATGTGCACAAGTAATTAGAAAAAGATTCGAGAAAGAGATCAGAAAGTTTCTCAGATAGAAAAAAAAGAACTTTTTAAATGAACAGTAAAAAATAATTAAAAACTTTTTATTTACAGAAATATACGGAAGGTGTAAAATTGTATAATAGTAGTCACCATAGTGTTGGAATGTAGCATATATAGCATAATGATAATAACATTAATTGAAATAAACTAGTGATGTGGTTTTGTGAACAATGTGTGAAAAAATAAAAAACATTTCATTAAAATTAATAGAAACAAATCAAGTTGGAAAATTTAGAACTAACTTTAGTTGGGTCGGTTGTTGTTCCTGTGGTAGTAAGGCCTACCTATCGATCATAAAAAATAGATGCATAAAAAATATTTATACTGTGAAAATTTAAGCAAAAGTGAAAATTTAATGTGACATTGATTGGGTTAAGTATAATAAAAAATAGGAATTCCTCAAAGTCTGTTGAGTAAATCAATTCCAAATTCAAATGATATTTTATTCTAACCATAATGATCAAAGAACTTTTCCCATCCCAAATCTTTTTCGAGTAGACCAAAAAAGAAGTTGATTTGAATCTTAAGAGACCTTTCTCTATAAATCGCTCCATATTTTATTTCATATTGTAATGTTCAAATAAATATCTCTAATGCGACATTTTAAGCAACAAGTGCTGTTTATACTATCTTGTCTGATAGTCTACTATATTGGTCGTAGACAGTACTCGACATTTTTAAGAGACTTTGAGCAATATTTTACTTCTTAAAAAATATAATTAATCATAATCGAAAACGTAATCGCTGCAGACTACATTAATTTTTCATGTCAAATCTGCTTTTTTGGACTTTCCTACTAAAAAAGGTTTTTGCTTTGCATATAGAGATCATTCTCCCTAATGAATTTTGCGTTTTTCCCATATTAATAATTTTCTTTTCAAGTTTGTTTTTTCTTATGTTTCCCTTCCTTCCCTGAAGAAGCCACATCATTACATTTTTTTTCTACATTTTCCCTTTGGCTACGGATTTGAAATTTACATTCTTTTTACCTTCTGAATATTTTCTTCCTCTTTTAATTTTTCTTTTTTCAAAATTTCCTCTTATATTGTCGGTTTAGAGCAAACGAAGCGAATATAAATTTTCTAGATTATTATGAACTTTACTACGAATGACTATCAAATGGTTTTGCTGAAATAGTTCAAAAATGAAGTTTATAAATTATTATTAATTTTACAAAATTTTAAAAATACTCCAGATTGTTTAATATTTTGAAGTAGCTTAGGCAAGCAATTACAAAATAGAATCTTCAAGAAACTGGTTCAAGATAGTCATCCTAAATGTTTTAAATTTCTTTCATATTTAAATTCATAATTCCGCAATTTTTATTTAAATTTTTCTGTTTTAAAGTAGGTACACCATAATAAGTGAGTAATTAATTAGAATAAACTTTGCTCAAGAAAAATCGGAAGGAAAATGTGAGAAATTTTTTTCATTTCTAAAAGAGAAAGCTTCTTACGTCGTGTAAATAATTTTCTTAAAATTAGTATAAGATATTCAAAAAGCTCTTTCTGAAATCATTAAAAGTTTTCTTTAAAAGGGTAAACACAACAGTGTAGAATATTAGGAAAGCAAAGTGTGTTTTGTGATGGGTGTGGAAATTTTCGGTTCATTGATTTGTGTATTTTTATGAGATTAAAATTTCTTAATATTCAAATAAGTTTATTAAATACGTTAATTAATCTTACTTTTCCGTTTTCCTGCACTTTCGTGTCTTTCAATGAATACGTATCGGATAATAAAGCCTAGAAAAATAAAGCACAAAGATACAGCATAAGAATTACAAACAACAGCAATACGATATATAAAAAGGAATAATAGCATTAATAATATCAATAATAATAATAATGATTCAATACAATATGAAGTGCCTAATAGAAATAATATCATAAAAAAATATTTTCCCATTCATGTAGTAGCAAAACATAGTGTATATTGGTAAATTGGACTGTATTAGGATATAAATAAAAGTAGGTAAATATAAAACAGCAAGAAGAGGATAAAAAGGTAATATTGTCGGGATCAAAATACTTTTGGATAAAGTATGATGGAATTTTTGTTCTACTATTTCTCAAAAATTCTCTTGTTCCAATTTCTCCTCAGAATGTTCAACACGTTGAAACAAAAAACAGAGCTCATAGCATTTTTCTTGAAATTAAATTTCAATTTTCCCTCTTTTCAAACTGAACTGCATGTTATCAGTAAAAGCTTTGTGAGAAACTTAAAAACTTAATTTTATGAATATGAAACTGATAAGGAAGTTTGAATTATAATAAAGAAAAAGAAGCGAGCATTGATGCAAAAGCGAGAAAAATGTAAGAAAAGATATGACTGGTCGTTCATAAATGACGTTTTGTTTATAAAAGTTAAGGATAGGTTTTGTGATGTATTACGTTCTTTTAATTTTGCACAAGACAGACGCGTAACCAGGAGGGGGGGTGGGGGGGGGGGGGGGGGGGGGGGAATGGGGGACAAATCCCCCAACGTTAACAGAAATTTCTATATTTTGCTAAGAGTTTTATGACAAAATCATGAATCTGAATTTTCCATATAAAATTTTTTTTGTCCCCCCCCCCCCTTTTCAAATTTTTGGATACGCCCCTGGCACAAGAATTCTTGAGCTAAAGTCTATGAAATAAAGGTAAGTTAAAGTATTGTTGTCTTTAAAAAAATAGCAACCTACTCAATTTCTCAACTGGAATTTATGATATAAAAAATTACAGAAGTCCTCGTGTTATTGATCGAGGGACTCAAGCGCATTTTTGTGTTAGCGATCAGCATTTGATTGTCTATTTATTTTGCGTTCATTTACAGATCGTTAGAAGATTAGAAGATCAATGATTTTAGTGCAATTAGCAAATAATTACAATGAATGCTTATATAGAAAGGCTTTATTATTTAACGGTCAAAAAATAATTTGAAATTTTCCCGCTAAAAGTTGCACTTCAAAAACAATAACTATAGTATAATTAATAATTTGTAGAAATGAATTTCCATATAGAAAAAGTTTATCATTTAGCGGTTTTCTGAAGTTCAAATTTTGTAACGGTCGTATGCATTTGAAAGTATCTTGCCAAAAATTACAGTAAAAGTATTAATTATAGTATAAATAACAGTCTGTTGCAAAAAAATTTTTCATATAAAAAGGCTTGGTAATTTAACGGTTTTTTGAGATACAAAATTTTTCAACGATAGAAATAAATTCGAATTTCTAAACGGTCTCATCACGTGTTTTTTCATATGAAATATAAAAATCATTAATTATAGTACAAAAACACTGTTTCAAGACTTTTAAATGCGTTTCCCGAAAATAAAACAATGGACCTGAGCTAATAAAATAAACTAGAACTCTCTACGATGTCTAGTTAAAAAGTTTTTCTCCGCCCGAACGAACAGACATAGTGAGATATTAAGCTACCTTTTATAAAAAAGTTTCAAAAATTCGCTAAAGATTGTTTAAATCAGGGGCGTAGCCAGGACACAAATATTGAAGAGGGTGAGGGGGGGGGGGGGGTTAGGACTTTCATAAAGACCTTAACAAATGAAGAAAAAAAAATTTTGTTCAAAAACTTTTAACATCCATAAAAAATTCCATGTTTATCTCTGCCGTATGAATTGTGATGTGATGAAAAGTTAATCTTCTAAAAAGGAAAGGGTTGAGCAACACTTAAGACTAGAGAAGAGGAAGTCATAGAAATAACATAAGTTGGAGGGATTTGTTGTAATACCGATTAATAAACTTAAAATTTATGTGAATATTTTTGTTTTGAAAGCTGAAACATTTTTGTTATGTTCATCTGTGGAATACATACGGGTATGCTACAAGAATAAGCATTTTGTTCAAAAAACAAGCCTTTCTTTTACTGAGGATTTGCAAAATATTCACTTTTGAGCAATTCAGCAGTAATTTTAACAAAATCTTGTTTGAATACAAATTTTAAAGAATGTCAAAAGGGTTTGAATAGCTTTGAGCCACTTAATTTTGAGATCATCAAGTCATCCTTATTCACAGAAATTTTAATCCCACTCAACTATTTCTACATAGACATCATATGTGAATACCGCCAATTTAAATAAGTGGAATTCTTCTATAAATTACAAGATAGGAACATAAATTCTCCTGTTCTGTGAGTTTCAACAATATGATGGTTTTATGTGAGTTAAAGTTCACTTTAAATCGATTTAATTTAATTTTCACGCCATTTTAAGCATGAGATAGGATTTAGTTTCATATAAAATGATTTTTGAAGGACGATTAAAATGTTAGATGTAGGAATGTAAAAGCTTTAAAAATGAATTACTATTTTGAATCATGAAAGCTTTAAGCAATTAGTGTCGGAAATGCAAAATGGATTTTCATAAGATATATAAAGATAATAATCATGGTTCGATTTAATATTTTGCTCATATATTCAAGTAAAATAAAAATAAAATATCGAAAAAAATTAGCTTTGCAAATTGCCTTACTCAAAAAAGTTTTCTATTCACCACTATTGACTAGCATATGTATATTCACTTTGTTAATTGATTTTAGTTTGTAACAAAAAACAAATTCGAAGTTTCTTTCACCACCAATTACTTTTTTTCCCTGATCAACTTTGACTATTGAGCATTTAAAATTTAATGAAATTTACTAGTTCCAAAAAACTCTTCGTCTGGTGAAGCGTTCCGAATGAAATTTTTTTATAGTTAAAAGTTTATCGATTCGTTAAAAAGTTAAACTTCTTTTCCAAAACTTTTTTATGCATATCGAGATATTTTTAATGTACAGAACAAATCTTCATATGATATGAACTCGAGAAAGAAGTTATTAAAAACTCTTATGATTTTAAGCTGAAAACTTTAGGGAGTTTTTAACAATAGTAAGTTCTTTCAGAATGAAGTTTAAGACTTCAAAGACTTTTGCTCATAAATTATGAAACATATTATTCACTTGACTTTATGACTGCGTTTCTTAAATTATTTCCTCTAGTAATCATTCATCCTGCTTTTATTTTTGAATGCAATTTTGCACCATAATATTTCGCGACATACAGCTTAAGAACCAGAAACAATTAATGTACAGTCTTTAAGCAAAAATAAAACAATTTGTTAATGACTTAGCAGTTTCTTTTTTCTTAGAAACAATTATTGCAAAGCATTTTAGGTTAATTGAAAGAAGGATATTCCCACTATAAACATCTAGACACAATGACACGACGAATTGAAATGTTTCTATGAACTTATGAAAAAAACATTAAGGTCTAAAAATAAAATAAAAGCCACAGAAAAACATTCAGAGAAGGAGAATTAGCTTCGAACATGATGAAATAAATGGAATAAAGTATTCAAAGTGTATTTTGATTACAATTTAAAAATATATATATGACAAAAAGAAGAGAAATAAAGCTTGATAGAAAGATCCACAACATTGAATTCTTTCTGACCTGTACAGGAGTTGGTTTTTTCCCGACAATATGCTTAAATGAACGACGCTGAATTGTGCTCTGATGAGATGTAAAAAAGAGTCGTTTTTGATGAGATTTGGTTTAATTTTTGGGAATAAAAAAATGCAAATGTTGAAAAAAGGGAAAGAGAAAAAAATGTTCATCTACATTACTTTTTGTATGGCTGGTGGGTTTTTAATGTAAAAATGCTATTAAGGGATGTAAAATGATATTTAAGGTTTCGATCAAAATATATTCCTCACCTCAGCATCAGTTATTGACTTTTCTTTATCCTCATAATCTAAATATTGATTTTCAAGATGCTCTTCCTCCGTTTGTGGCATAGATTGTAACTCCTCTCGAGTTTTAAAATCAAGCTTCTTAATATAAATTGGTAAGAATAATCCAGCAATAACCTGTGTAAAAAATCAATTAATTCTTTTGAATTCTTTTTTTCTATTTTAAAGCTTCATCTGTTGCTTACATTCAAATTAGTATTTTTCCTCGTCCTTAATCCACCCATCCACAAATCGGAAAGTATAATTTGTGAACACGGATGGGCGAGAATCGATCGATGGTTTGCGGCCACAGCTAACGAAAGACAACTTTGATTTGACCAAGATGTCAATTCACATGTCAACATCTTTTGTGTTTTTACTGGCTCTTGTCGATAACAAAAATCCAATAACTTTAAACCGCGGCTCTCAAAATCTTTTGCATAATTACGTAGCTCGTCATAAATTTCCGTATCCAAGTCATCATCTGCTGCCTCGTGAGCCATACTTTTGTATAATTTACATGCAACAAGAGATTTTGCGAGTGCTTCCTCCCCATGCTGCCATAACATCGTAGCCATTTGATGCCTTTTCGTTAGAACAGCCCAGATAAAAAGCTCATTAAATGGAAAGGGAAAGAGTGCCATCTCAGATGTAAAAGGCAAAAGTCCCGTGACTAAACTCATTGAATTTGCACCAGCTGTACGTTGAAATGTTGATGCCTTTCGATGTGTATTCACATAAGAATTCATGACTTTTGCATAAATTGGTCGAAATTTCCGTCTTGTATAATATGATCTGAATATGCAAGTATCATGTTATCAATGTTAACACACACACATACACAATAATATCAAATGAAAAGAATGAAAATAAATTAAATCATTAATTAAATAATAAAAGAACAAACCAATTACCTATAAGCTCCCCCCATAAGTTTGTTAATTACTAATCCTATATCGTGAAGCGTATAAATGTAACCTATAAAAAGAAAATTATCATTATGATTAGACAATGTGTTCCAATATAATTTCTAAACAACAACAATGTTGGAAAATCTGTGCAATAAAAGAAGAAAATAATACAGTACCTTTAGGAATATGAGGCCTCACATCTCTTAGAATGTAACTGGAAAACCGTAGAAATGAAAGTATGTTAATAAGAATTAATATTAATATGAAACGCTCATTGGAGAATAAAATGTTATAGATAATTAATATAATGTGCTGATACTGTACAAAATCAACTTTTAAATAGTGTAAATCAAAAGAGTAAAAGAATCAAAGCAATTGCATTTTTTAGGTTGGCAAAATTAAGTTTTCTGATCGCAAAACCTACATCACTAGTTACACGCAAAATTATGATATCAAAACTGAAGTAACGGTAATAATTACCCAAGTGTATTTCCCGGTCCGTGTTTTGTATTGTACAGTTCCTCTAATCTTGGAATAGTAAGAAATTTCCTCATTGATACACCATTCTCCAGTAACAATTTAACAAAATCAATTCGATCATGCTCTAAAGCTTGCATCATTGCTTCATCTAAAGCACCATGTGCCCATTCTTGGCCATAAACAAAAATTTCAGAACGTGCAATATCGACACGATTCCACGTTAATGCTAAACTAAGTTGTTCCGATGGACTTAAATGTTGTGACTTGAATAATGCTGTTATGATTGTCTGGTCCAATTCTTGGACTTTCCCTTCAGGTCGGTCTTGTATTCGAAAAACAGTAATTAGATTTTTATATTTTGTGCATTGCAGCAATTCATTGTATAAACACTCTGCTTGCTCCACACCAACTTCAAAAGTTTTCATAATCATATTAAGTATATAGTCTTTCATGGAATCTAGAAGTCCCTGATCATTCTCATTTGCATATTTATGTACAAACGCTATTATATCTGCAGATCGTCCAGTGCCATCAACAACAACGACTGGAACTTTATCTGTAACATATTCGAGCACTGCTCTTATTGTATTCATGCCACCTTCAATGACTAAACAGACAACTGGTGTTGAAGATTGACCAACTACATAAAAAGAAATAGAAACAAAAAGGAGGTGTAAATTATCTAAAGGATGCATTTATCTAACGTAACAACAAGTGATAACTGTCGTTTAGACATGACAATACGTTTGTTTCTAATTTATTTTATGAAAATATTTTCTATTGCCTCCAAACACACACACAATATTCAACATGGTTTTGTGGGATTGATTTCTTTTTTTTATAACTTTATTAAGATTTAATGAAACTTAAATTTTTTCTTGAGGCTTGGAACTGAGGAAAAAAATGTCAACATACAATAGCTTCATTTTCAATATCATGAAAAAAGAACAGAATGAAAAATTTTATAGCTTCATTCATAAATTGTTCTTTTTTCACTTCGAAATTTCGTCATGTCAGTACATTTTCATTCAAGCTTGCTAGTTGTTTTTGGAATATCACATTTTCTATATTCAAGCCTGCTCAGTAGCACACATAAGTTTTAACGTTTCATGAACGCCGGTTATGAGATTTCATTAAAAAGCATGAGCAGTCTTGTCTTGTACGCGATTGCATTTTTATTGCTCTATAATTTTTTCCGCTACTACGCACGTGACGATTCTTCGTTCCTGAACACGATGAATAAGTCGATTTGTCGAATTTTATTACTTTACGACAAATAGCTGCATTTAACCGCAAATTTATTTACTGTGTGGGTAAAATATCATTAAACATTTTATTACAATTAACATGTAATTTCAGTGAGAAAATTGATTTTCACTTTGTGGTGAGAAGTTTTTAAATCGTTTCATATAATAGGATTTAAAATTGATTTTAAAGGTATTTACAGTGAATAATCGGAGCGAGAAAAGAAGTTAAATTTTCTGAACGAAATATAAGAAGATTAATCTCGAATTGAATAGGAAGAAAAGATTTTGGTAAATATTGGATCCAGACGAATTTTATGTGCTTTGTAGAAAAAAGGTTAGAAGAGTAAACAAATGAAACCTTTAACTCAAACTGGAGAAATGAAAAATCGGTTGGTGTTAGAAAATCAATTTTACATTATCATGTTGGATGTAGATAAGAATCATAATGTGTGAGAACTACAATATCGATACTTACATGGCTGTAGTTTCTGATTTGATATATATTTCTCTAGTTTTCTCCTTAATATTATTTCTGCTCCATATTTCGCTTGGGTTCCGTTATCGACCAATAAAAAATATGCATGACGATTATTCAGCACAGCCAATTTACTCCTGTGTGAAAAATGGGTATTAAAAGGGTTTATTCATAAATAACGTAACGACTGGAGGTTGAAAGAAAAAGTATGCAATTTCCAATACACATTTTTTACTGAATCTGCATGTTTTAGTAAGTCGTTCTAAGATTTAAATCTAACCTCATAAAATAAACAAGCTACTTACCGTGGTGAACTGATTGAATGACATGGCACGTCTCGATTATGACCAAGCAGTTCATGATTTCTCTCGACAATTCCCCACGGAGCTATACCGATACTAACTACACGTCCAGATCTTTGTTGACCCTCTGCCATTAAAGCATCGCCAACTTGCTTTGTCACTCCTGTTAAAAATAAAAAAAAATAAATTGAATGTTGAAAATTTCAAATTAAAGTCAATCACAACACAAACTGTTATTGTCATTGCATGTATTTTCATCTCACCTGTGTTTGTACCACCCGTAAAAATCCATGCACCTGTTGTTCTAGCAGCCTTTATCAATCCCTTTCGCAATATCTAAAACCATATAAAATCAGCAACAGGATTAACAATAGAAAGTTACAAAATGACTCTTATGAAAATTCAATATATAAAGTTCTTTGCTCCCCCAACAGCTCTCATGCCATTTCATTCAAGTATTCATTAACAGCTTTTATTTCTCAATATAAAAAATTTACTTTCACCAGATTTTCCCTTGTGATTGAACGCATTACGAGACAATTTTATCTGCTCAATTTATTTCTTGTGCCCAAGGTAAAATTGAATTTTTCGTTCTCAATTCTTTTTTTTTTGTTTGAGTTTGTAACTTTTTATTTGTTTCAGACATTTCTGTTTCAGTAAATAACAATTCATAAACCTTTCAACAGTTTTAATATATTTCAACATTAATCTTTTTAAGTATTTTTGGGATGATTCGTAAATGACGTTAAGATTGTTGCGGAGAATTTATATTTATATCCCGATACCCTCGATTCCACCTGCTCCAACACTTCAAGCTAAAAATCTAGTTACAAAATCCAAATTTGTAAAAGACGTCATTTGTGAAAGATTTTCTGCTTGAAATTCATTTAAAAACTTTCTTAAATCTGCCTTTGAAAAGTCAATTGACTTTTGTTTAAAAAGCTTTATTGTTCAAACTTATTTAAAGAAGATGAAGATTCAAATTTTCTAGAAAAGTCATTACTTAAAATTATCCATGATAAGTAATGAATAGGAGCCATACTTATAATAATCGCTCATGCGGTGTAAGATTTTTTGATTTATTGCGACATTCAATTTCTCCTACCCAGCTATCCAATATTTTATTTTTTTACTTTTTCCTTCGCCTTTTCGTTACGACTCAACGACTCGTGAAAGCGCCAACAAATTAGAAAAGTTTATAGATTTTTATGTTTTACAACAAAAGCAAACATAAAGTACAAAAGAAACAGCAGATTGGAAAATAATTCAAATAAAATTCACAACATTTTTTTCTCTACTTATTCTATTCTGTCTAAGCTTCCTGTCTATCACTCTTTTATTTCAGTTGTTATTTAAGGAACAAACACAAAAAACTTGAGGGGAGAAAAAAGAGAAGGGAAAGAAATGTATTGTATTGTTTAAATAACTCGATAAGTTTATCTCTCATGTTCATGATTTCGTGACATACAGCAACTGTTTCAATATAATAACTTACTTTCTACGTGGAAATTGAAATTCATTATTTGAGATGTTAAAAAGATTAATTTATTGTATATTGTTTGGCTGAAGATAATTAAATTAATCTTTTTATGTATGATTCGTGGTGTCAGGGAAAGAATCAAGTTAGTAGGATGAGAGCTGCATCCCTGGAGCTAAAGATTTTCACATTCATAAAAAATTTCATACACGTGATTCATAACATTCGTTCATTCGTTCGTTTTTGTCCCAAATGTATCTTTAAGTATGACTTTAATGTCACGATCCCTGAATGAAGAAAATAATAAAGTTTAATATCCTTACCTTTTTCAATTTTGGCTGTAATTCAAAATTCGCCTTGCCTCCCTGTATGGTCAGTAGTAACTTTGGCAACTCTAAATTCCATTCTTTTGTGAACAATTGAACTATTAATTCTGGTCGCGTATCATAAGAAAGTCGTACATACTGAGCACATTTTTTTATTGAAGTGAAAAAAATAAATAACAAAAAGATATGTCTATAATATTTCTCATCTGCGGTAGATTATTGTACTTACTTGAGCTTTTGTAGGATGAGCACTGCCTTGAAATTCTATTGTACCGTAGGCATCAGTCGGATGTGCACGTGTGTGTTTATGTGGGAGCCATACATCACCTAATATACCAATATCTATTCCAACAACAATCTGGTGTGTTGTTCTCTCTTGTCCACAGCAACATCTTGATTTATGATAAATTGGAAAAGAAAACTTTTATGTTCATAAAGCGTCACTTACAAATTTATTATATTGTCATAAAAAGTAATTTAATTTGTCAAATTAGTGTCGCGAAGGAAAAAATTTTTGCATTTGACATATTCTTATTTCCAGAGTGTGTGTGGATGTCTAAACGTAGCAGACTTTGCTTAAATAACTCAAATTTTTTTTCTTACTTCCTTCCTTTAAACATCAAAAAGAAAAATTCATGTCATATAAAATTTTATGGATGATCTGATGTCTTCTTATGTTGGAAATATTATAATGTAGTGTGCATTTTGATTATGACAAATCTAAAGCTTTCTAAAGACACATGTTAATCAAAAAAGGAAAATTGATATGAATGTTGCAAAAGTTCGCGTGTATGTAGTTAATAATTCATTAGAAACTGCATCAAAAGCAAATTGCAAGATTTTGTCAGTGCAATGTAATCAACAAGTAGTCCTCAAGTCGAAGGCCTTTTTACATAAAATCTTGTTTACTCAGGACTTTTTAGAAGCTTGATGCTTTATTGAATAGGATAGCTAACAATACAAAAAAGTCAGGATGAAGCAGGCAGTATAGTGCTTTTTGAGCATATCCATAGATAATTCGCAAAATATGCATAAAGTCTAAGAGGAACGAATAAATAAATAACATTGCTTTCAGTTGAAAAGCTCTTCTATAACTACGATAAGCTCTATCGTATGTACTTTTGTAGCTCATGGCTCTTCAAACTTACATACTTATGCATTAATCATTCAAATAAAAAAGCTCACAGCATTAATAAGAAAAGAATTGATTGAACTTGAAATAATGAAATTCCAATTAGTTTTTTACAACCTTCTGAGTTTGCTGATCATGGCATGTGCTGCAATGATTTATTATTCAATCAATTCAATTAAATTTTTAAAGTTCAAAAGGAAATTTAAAGCAAACAAATTTTGATTTCGATAAAAAATGTCAATAGAAATTGAACTTATTACGTAACGTGAAAAAACGACTTTTTAGACCCCCCCCCCCTCCCCCCTCGTAACAAAATTTGTATGAAAAAAATTTCTTTTTTTTGAACCTTAACAAAATCTTAGACCCCCCTCCTTCTAAAAGCGTTACGTAATAAGTGAACGGCCCCGAATCAGTTTTTTGAATTAAATTACGTAAATTTTTTACTGACATTTTAACTGTAAATTAGATTAACAAAAGAAAAATGCTCGAGGCAAGCTCGAGGTAAATTTGTTTGAAGTTTCCTTTAAGAAATAACTACTTTGTATATTACAAGATAACAAATTATTTCGTAGTATAACTTATTTTGTTAAATGTACACGAGTAGAAATTCTTTTCATTCTCTTACTAATTGTGTATCAAAAATGTTATGCTTCATGAATTTCTTTTATGATCGTTTGTAAGTATTCATTATGAAAATAATTTTAATTAGGTTTACTTGTACAAATTTTGGTTTAAACTCATTACTAAACATTGAATTGCAGCAGCAATAATAAACACTTTAATTGGATTAATTAAAGGTTTCATTAATGCAAGCAGAACGTTTAGGAAAACTCGTGATAAAGTAAAAATTTATGAAATTATGAACAATCCTTCCAAAAAGACGAAACTTTTAAGTTTAATTTTAAATACTCTAGATCCAAACCTATGATTAAAATTTCAAAAACTGGTTATTTAATTTTGATCACTTAGCTCATTGTAATGTTTTTTTGTTTTGAAATTAAATATTTGGGATCGGAAATTCTTGGAAATTTCCCATGAAGCAGTGTTTCCAAAATATGTATAAGTTTTGTTTAAAATTTAGAAATATATGTTTGTGGTGTCTCGAACTGTTTTTGCAGAATTCTTGATATCACACAAAAATCATACGAAAGCATTACTAAGACCCTTCAAATCAACTGACAGCATTTAGAGGATATTTAAGTTAATCTATTGGAAATTCTGAAAATCCTTCCTTCAATAAAACCTCTCTTAAAGAAACGAAGGAAAAGAGGATAAGTATTAAAGGGAATAAAATGCTTAACCTCATGATTGAACGATTTCTTTCCTTTCACTTGCCCCTTTCTGCGTCTCGTCTCTTTAAATAAGGATACAAAAAATCTCAACATTTACTTTTATTGCACAGGAATTTTCATATGAATTAGTGTAGAAGGATTTAAATATACACAGCTTGAACAGAAGGAAATGCTAAAAGGAAAAAAGCAATAAAAATTTTCCAACCTTTTACAAGTGATTTAAAACAATCAAAATCGTCATTATTATTGTATTTAGCAATAAAGTGCTAGTAATTTCCTGATTGCAGATATTGTTCCTTAGAGAGCAATAATTTCAATATTAAAGGAATGTATTGCGATGATGAAATTACTTTAAATTCTTTTCCATAACCCGAGTTGGTCGTTTATTGTCATTTAGGAGCTTGAATTTTAAAGTGATGCAGATCCTTTTATATAAGCATGAACCCAATTATTTTAAATTGACTAAAAATTCTAAGTACGCAATTTTTATTCCACAATGATGTGGTAAGCATGTCATTCTAGAAATACCCTCAGAATCAAATGTTTCTCGGTTTTATCAATCCTAATAAATGAAGAGACTCTCTTAGGGCCAAATTTCATTTTGTAATCTTCAGAATTATTGTTCTCATTTCCCCTTCAGTAATTTAATGCTGAATATTGCTGATGATTATCAAATATTCAACCATTCAATAAATATTGTTCTAACCCGGCTATACAAATATAAAAAGCTCATACTAAGCATTCATACTACATCAAATAGGAATGATTTGATTGCCTTAGGCGCTTTGAATTTCATTTTCGTTATGATAAACAAACATTTCATTTACTGAGGAATTTGATTTACAAAAAGCTCGTGTGTATCATTAAAATTTTCCATGCATGCATCAAAAAACGGAATCGTTTCTTAATTGTGGTAGACATTACCTCCTATGTTTACCACATACATCCAAAAATGAATTTATTCATTTCTTTTATTAAAGATTTGAAGTTTTTTTCTTCCTTTTTGCACGAAGCGTTTTTATTTCAGAATTTACTGAAATGCGAAATATGTTCAGCGTTCTTATTTTTTGCACAGGAGCGTATAAAGAAATTCCTATAGGAAATTTAGAAGACGTGGCCAATTCTAAGAAGCACTATTCAAATTTTCAATGAATTAAAAAAACATCTCTCGAGTCTAGAATAGTTGTCAGAGGTAACCTCCTGATTACAGCTCAGATATGTTTATGCTGTTCACACGCAATATTATAAAAGTAAGAAGAATCAAAAGGAACCGCAAAACACACTTCTAGTCTATATAATTTACATTGTTCTTTTGTTGTTAGAAAAAAGCCGAAAAATGTAATCATTTTACCGAATCAGGGATTTTTATTCGAAATTTACTTTCATACTTGTTGCATTGACGATTTACATCCATCGACAATAAATTGTTATTTTATTCCTTTCGCTAGCATGTGTTATTGAGAGAATAAAAAAAGTGTACTCAATTTCCAATTTTTCTCTTGGTACAAACTGTAATTGATATGCTCATAACAGTCATAACAGACATCTGAGTATGCAAATCCTGATAGCAAAAAATGAACTCTTTTTTGTATGCCTATACACAACTGATTATACAAAACATTCTGAAGTACTTGAATAACAAAATCCGATTACTTAATTTTTAGTAACCTCTGCTAGAAAGCTTTAAACAGGTCTCGATATCCTTTTGGCAAGAATTTATGTTCAATATTTTTTACGATGTTGTGGATGCTTTGTAATTTTTCAACATGTTGATAAACGTGCCTATTCAAACATTTTTATTATTTTGTTTACAACTCATTGCAATGTTTCCAGCTTTTACAGATTTTTTTATAAATTTGTAAAAACGTTCATAAAATTCAACAATTTGTTAAAAATTTGGTTTTGATTCTGAAAAAGCCTTGTTGCCATTTTTACTTTTTTAAAAGATTTTATTAAAACGGAAGCTTATCGAGGAGTGCTTATATTAGCTACTTATATTTTTCCTGATACATTACTTATCCTTTGCCTAAAAATAACTCTTATAGTGCAATTCAAGTTTCGAAATCAAGAGTTTTATGCTACAGTTAATGATTATTTCATGAACAAGACGTTAAGTATATGAAGCTGACATCTACAAGATTATCATGATAATTAAAAGGAAACATAAATGTTTATGGCAAGCCTTTTAAGCTGTTTGGAGTAATTCTTATATGCGAGGAGATATTCTAATATAAAATAAAATGGAATTGAATAGATTGTAATAATATGTGAGGAGAAAATTGTTGTAGGCAAAAGATAAGAAGCGATTTGTTTTGAAGATGAGTCTGATAATAGTACAATAAAAATATCTCAAACATTCGAGATAAATCGTCTTTTTTTTTTGCTGTCGGTACTTGTAATATCGAATTTCCAACAAACATTTAATGTATATTTGCCGCAAGCATAATTAAGGAGTACACACATTAACTCTCATCATTGATATATTTGCACTAATAATAAGCAAAGCAAAACAAGCAAATAGAAGTAAATAAATTGATATTTCGTTACTTACTTATCTTCATCTTTTTGACTCGGTATAAACTTTATGCATTCACGCTTAAAAAAATTGGCTTCTATCCAACTTCTGGGCGCATGCTGTAAAACAAAAAAATGTCAAACGAAGAAAAGAGAAAGAAGGAAAAATATAAATTTAGTTATAGGCTCATAGTGATGTCCTTAAAGAAAAGCCTTGAAAAATAAAACAAAAAAAAATATAAAATAAAAACACAACAAGAAGCACAGCACAGTTACAAGTCATAATAAAAAAATTTATATGCTTACAAAAACATTGCTAGTAGGAAAGCGACAAACATAATAAAATATAGAGACACAAAGCGAGACTTCCTCATACTATTTATTTTTTTTGGCATAAAATAAAGCTTTAAAGTTCTACGGATTTTTTTTTCTATGAATACTTAAACTACAAAGAGGAAAGAGAAGTTAAGTGCAGGCAAAGTTCTACAAGTTTTGACCTGTTTGCATAATGTATTAACTTTAAAATTCCTTCACCGTCTACACTATAGCTTATGCCTTTTCAAAAGAGGCAATATGCAAGGTTGGCGTTCTAGTTCCTTAATAAAAGTAGCACATACACACAAATAACTCAATAAAAAGTTGTCTTATAATTTACATTTAAGTTCACTACGTGTACACTCTGAACTTTATGATACAAATTAAGCATACCTCCATTGTTAATAATGTTCCTACATTAAGTTGAAGGAATTTTAGATAAACACTTATTTTTGCACCAAGAACTTTTTTTGTTACTTTCATATTTTATTATTTTAAATATTAAATCTATGAGTTCGTTCAGGTTGAGTTCATGAAAATTTTAAAATGAAGTGTTAAAGAATCGTTTTAGTTACTTTTATAAGAAGTCAATTCAAACCAATCTATACGAAAATGATTTTATTTATTGAAATAAAGTTTGTCTGTATGATTTATATGCATGTGAGTGTAAGTGACCATCGTCGATAATCGAATAATAATAAAAATCTGATAAAAAATAATTGAAGATATGTCGGTAAAATGAAATTTTATAAATATTTATTGATCTTTACTTACTAGATAATTGCGACGATGGTGAGTTTTGAACAAACAAGGGGTGCAAACTCTATAGTCTAAAAACTTTTATTTGTACACATTTAGAGTCATAATTTTTAATGCAAACATAAACCTATTTTATAAATTTTGAGAAAGGAATAAATTTTCACAAGCTAGACTCTGAATAGACATGTAGTCTACGATAGATTAGTCTTGATTAAATCTTAAAGAGCACTTGGCTTAAATCGATAGTTAAGTCTGTCTATCTGATTTATCTGTCAGCAACAGCTGGTTTGCTAAAATAAATTAAGAATGCAGTAGAAGAAGAAATCTTGGAAAGAAAAAGGTGCTTTAATTCTAAAATCTCTAAACTATTTAATACGCGCAAAATGTAATGATTAGTTTTTAAAATTTAGATTCCAATTTTAATAGTTTTGCACCCCTTTAATGATCGTGATATTGATGGCATTAAAATATGACGTAGAATGTGTACATAAATACAAGAAACGAAGATGAGAGGAATGAAGGTGTTGAGTGTGAAAAAGTAATGTACAGTATGTAAAGACTTAGACAGAGAATTGTTTGTGCTTATATTTTTATTTATCGCTTGAAGAAATGAAATATTTCGTACCTCATCGTTCAAAATCATGTTTATTTCTCGGTGATGGTGAAATGTACTCAAGAACTCTGAGAATCTTGACATTTTAAAGCGCTCTCTTTTGAGCTTACAGCTTTTTGCAAACTTTAAAGACATATCCATTTTTTAAAAATCAACTTAAAATCCTTCTTATTGTAAGTTTTCTAAGATTAAATGAAAGAGAACTGAAAAATTTTAAGGTTAAAATAATAAAAATAAAAATTATAAAATAACAAAAAATAAAACAAGTTCTATTCTAAATCATTTGTCACATAATAATCAAGTTCATTTTTTTTGTTAAAATTTCACGAGTGCTTTTTATGAAATCAAACCTCTACCACAGTATTTTTACTACAACTGCAGTAAAGACATACACGAAAATCATCTTTCTGTGAACTGTTTAAATTTATACACACACTTCATATCGTCATTAAAAGCACCAACAACAAATGCTGCGAATTCTATTTATTTATGTAGATTTAATTATCTTTACACACATTGTTGATTAATGATTACAATTGAGGAACGTATTCAGGAATATGGCTGAGTGTAATAGGACTCCATAGCACCATTACGGTACACTTATGCTTACAGCATATTTAATTTAATTATTTAATGGATTATTTTTAAAAAAAACTGCATATCATTTCATTAAATGCAGCGATGAATTTATTACAATAAAATTTCGTTTCATTAAAATTCAGGTATATTTGAGTATATCGTATTATCAAGCAGGTGATTATCCGCAACTTGCAACTATGTTATATAGTGCATTACAAAATTTAATTTTAATGCAACATTGTGCAAAATATTCAACAGTTCGTGATGCTATCATTGATCCTTAATTAAAGCTTTTTATTGTATAATATTATCGGAAATTTCATGTTCATAAATTTTTGATCCAGAAATTTGTTAATTGCGTAAACCAATTAAATTCCTGACTTTAATGACCTATGAAATAATTACATTAACAAATTAAATGTGGGAAATTAATTCAGAAGCGAATTAGTCACATGGCTTCTTTTAACTTTGAGCTTTAATTCATTCCTTGTTTTTCCTATAAACTTATTTAATGGACACAAATAGAAATCAGAGAAGAATATAATTCTAAAATATAATCTTGATACTGACTCTTGGCTATTGTTTATTCGATGTCTATTAAGATTAAAGGAGTCGTTCATTAATGATATCTAAAATTTTGATTCATACAGATTTTAATGGTCATAATTTGTTAACGTCCATAAATACAAGTAGAAATGTAAATGAATAACATAGAGACATAAAAAAGAGTGCCTTAAAACCTGGAAGCGATTTGGAATAAAGCAGAAGTGAAAAACATGAAATTTTTACGATTTCTTTTTGAAACGTTATATTTCTATATCAAGAGAGCTTTAAGGATCTTGAAAGATGTTGCTCTCTTCGTTTCAATAGTATCAGTATCGTACCATAAATATTTATGAAATCTATGAGAATTTAATCTCCAAAGTGCCATCAACGTATTGAAAATAACTTGAAATGGATGGCTGATGAGTTTCATTACTCATAATGTAAATAAATCAATGCTTGAAGGTTGCCATAATTCCAATACTTAATTTTATGTTTGCTAAACAGATATGCTTATAAGCATCGGTTGTAATCCCTAAATCGTTTTGGTAAATGTTCTCCAAACGCATTATGATGCCATTTGTTCAGGAAGAAATATTAAATACATTCAGTTCTGAGGCTTTAAATATTGTGAATTATGGATATTAATTTGGAAAGTTAGACCAATCGGATGTGGTTAAAAAAACTAAGCATGACAGTAACGAAGTAAACACAAACAAACAACAAATATGAACATATAAAATAAATTAATTAACTTTGTAAGAACAAAAAACAAAAAATATTTACAAATAAAGTTTTCATAATTTTAAAACATCTACAAACTACAATAAAGGTCCTCAGTTCAAAATTATTTTGCAAGATTTGAAATTTGTGCAAAGCATCCAACCAAAAAATTGAAATTCTTTGCAATTTCAAATGATCATTTTATAAATAATTCAAGAGCTTTAACTTTATTCAATCTTTTTTTGTGCATTTATTTTTGTCGCGACTTTTGTCAGAAAAAATCGCATAAATTAGCTACAACTAAGAACTATCATGTTTTTTTTATATAACTTTGCGAAAACATGAATAATATATTAAAAAAACTTGTGCGGATTGAATTTTATCTGTATTCAGATTTTTCAAATGATTGTGCTTATTTTTGCTCTATTCAGCAATGCAATGAAAGTTAAAGTAGATGCATAAAAAGAATGAAAATATTCTCTTTTTGAAATTCTTTTAAATAAAATTTATAAGCTTGAATCTCTAGAAGATTGACAAGATAAAAATAAGAACTGAATGCCCGAGCAACATCGAAAATTTGGCAGCAAAAAAGAATTTTGACGTATAAAGTTTAACCAATGTGGGTTATTGTTATTTTGGTTTTGCTGTCACAAAATTCGGACATCAAAAAGAAATTTCAAAGACCAAATAAAATTCAAGTATATTGCACTTGGCAAAAGTCATGCCTTATCTTAAGTATTGCTCTGTCAAAATTAAATATTTTTTACTGCCAAATTGCTTTAGTACAGCTCGGGATGTTTATAAAGATGATAAAAATAAACAGACTTTAATTTAGAAAATTTTAATCTAATTTGAATTTTTGCATCTTCATAAAAAAGAACCAAAATAAAATTATTAATTTTCCCAATTGGTTAGTAAAGGAAGAGGAAATTTTTCAAACAGATATTGTTAGTCCAAACCAAACTTAATGTTTAACAAAATCAAAAAATAAAATTAATAAAAAAATATGAATACGTATGTACATTAAAGATAGGAAAAAGAAAATAAAAAAAATTTGTAAATATCTCAAATATTTACCCTTGGTACTGTTATATTTATTAATCCCCAACATATTTTCTTCAAGCCCCATCGAATCTATAAATTATTATTTTTTATTTGTTTATGGATTATTTAGAAGGATTTGCATCGATGGGTTTATTAATTCATTATTTCATTATTTTTTTTTATTTCGTACAGAAATGTAGAAAGATTTGTTGCATAAAGATAGTTAATATTAAATGGCGCAAGTATTGGTGTCAGCCATCAATTTTTAACAATGAAAGGTGCCGAGAAAATTGAGAAGAAAAAGAATAAAAATTAGTGAAGGAAAGTGGAAAAATAATTTTAATAGGGTTGACAAGTGTTATCCAAACTTATATATTTTTTACTTTCAGTACATATGACTGAATTTACTTAAAAATGGATCAAGTTCTCATCATTACTGAAAATTAAAAAGTTTTCGTGGTCATTAAAATTTATTCTTGAGCGATTCCACGGATTGATTGAAATTTAAGTCAAAGAACTTTTGGCACGCTATTTTTAAGTAACGTGATCTGTAGATCACCCGAATAGCACAAGTAGGTTAATTGAATAGAAATCCGGCATCCAGTCGACATGACTCTGGCATGGTGCTAGCTTCGATTTAAATCCAACAGCATGACAGAATTACACCATCTTTGTGCTGGATTTCTTGATCGATTAACCGAATTGTGCCATTCGGGTCAGTCCATAATAAAGCTTTAAATTGATTATTTTGTTCCAATAATTTTCATCAATGGAATCACCACGATAAGTATAATTTGGATAACACTAAATAATTATAAAGTTATAAAAAAATTATCTTTTGCTTTAGTTTCATTATGATTGGAAAAGTTATCAGAACAGAAGAAAAAGTTTTGACAAAATTTATAGATTTCAACAAAGAAAATTTAATAGCTGAGTCATTAATCACAAAATATCATCAGCGAATTTTATTAATTTTTGAAGATGAAAATTTAAAATTGATCAATTTTCACTAAACTCAAAAGCTCTACAAAAAAAATAATTTTTCAATATCATATAATATCATAACAATTAAAGCCAATCAATATTTATTTTATGATTATTTTAGGCTCTAAACATAAAATTTATAACTTCTTAAAAATTACTGCAAATTAAATTAAATGATTATGAGTTTTTTTTTTCATGTGAAGTTTATCCCATTTTTTGGGAACCTTCTGACAGCACACGAAGCGGAAACTTTTTGTCACATAATACAATGTCAGCCTAATATTATAAAGAATTTAAAAATTTCAATTAAAAACATTTTCTGTTCATTTAAATTAAATTTTCAGATCTTTTTTTTTTCTTCTAATTTTATATGGATTTGAAAAAGTTTAAACTTCTAATTTTCCGCTTAGACTAGAGTGTTTTAATAATTAAGAAGTTCCCAAAGAACGAGACATAAATGAAGAAATACTAATTAAATTTTGTGTTTAAAAAATTATTAAAATAAAGATATTTTTTTAAAAAAAGAAGGGTGAATGAAAAAGCTTAAGAAAGACTTGAAAAGCTTACCGGTTTAGGATTTCGTTTTTGCTTCAACATTTGATATCAAATTTTTGCAAAAATCCTCCTTAATGTATCCTAATAAAATGTCTGGCATCAATGAAGGTTCACAAATATTCCAAGTATCGATTTATTTTTTTAACATTGTTGATATGATTATTCACTAGTCACTAATCACTTCTCTTATTTAAAATCAAATAATTCACTCAATAAATATAACCTTTGACAAACAATTCAGTTGTTTCAATTAATTTACACTCATTTTAAAGCACTTCACATGTAAAAGACATTTACTTTATGTCTCTGTTGACTTTCTAATTAAACATTATCCTACAAGTATAGAGGAAAAGAATGTTAATTAGTAAATACATTAGGCATTTAAATATTTATTTGGGTAAAATCATCCTTCCTCTCTCTCTCCCACACTCCATTATCCCAAATATGCTGTTCACTTTAATGTATTAGAATGTATCACAAACACTCGAGAGAGAATGTCAGAAAAGCGATGTTTTCATAAAATTAATTTAAAACAATACTATTGAGAGTCATTCGATTTGATTCCACAAAAGCAATGACTGATATCAATACAAAAACTTTTCAAGTGTGAATGTTTTGAGAACTGGCTCAAAGCAGAAAAAATCCAATCAACTAATTAATGCCACTTCAAGTCTTCATAAGAGGAGAGTAATGCTTAGTCGTTTAGAAAATTGGTCCTCTTACTGAATTTTTAAGTATTTCAGCATAAATCACATTCATTTTCGAGACGAGCGATGATTTTTATTTAATTTCATTCGCATAGGTGTATTTATTCAATGAGGCATTAATGTGCGACTCTAAAGATGGAAATTTCATGGAAAAATATTTAAATTGGTTCAGCTTTAACTTCGTGTTGGAATTTATGCTTTCATAATTAATTTTTTTGGAGCTGTTTTGACAGTTCTAGAATTAAATAATTAAATAAATCAACATTTGGCAAGAGATTGTTCATAATAGGCTAAAAAGGTCTCTATGTATTATAAAGTGACGATCAAAAATAAGAATGCTTCAATGTCCAAAAACTCTTAATTAATTACATTAATGCTTCAATAATTTTCACTTCGTTTCTTTTCTGTTGATTTTAAATCTTTTGAAATCCTACATATTTTATAAGATTTTATACATTCTCATATATGTCTACAACATTCCGCAATGGAGAAACATAAAATCAAGAGTAAACAATTTAAATGATTTTATCAGACATGTTCGAGAAGCTCCGACATGTGAAAAGAAAAGTTTGTGAGAAAAAAGTCATAAAAACTTTCCTTGATGCTAATTAATGTTATCGCCAGTCGTATAATTTGATATTGACCTTACCCTTTGTTTTAGGGAACAAATGGAGATAATTTGATAAACACACACAAATAAATGGAAAGGTTCAACTGTTGAATTGTGTACATTTTCATGCCTTTTTCTTCTCTCCCATTGTAGTTGACATTTTTTAAACCCGACAAAAAATTATTATTAAAATTCTTTTTTTGCTGCCAAAAAGCTTTTTGAATTTTTAACCTTTTCCAGTTTTTCATGTTTTCTTTTTATTGTTATTGTTGTATGACATGAAAGTGTTTTTCCATCACTTGATTTATTTATTTTCTTATCGTCTTTCACATGCTTCATCAACAGAAATGAGAGGGTTATCTCTGTCGTTACCACAAACACATTTATTTTTTAACTATCTGTCCTTTTGTGAATAAATCTGTTTTAAAGGATTGCAGCATTTGCATTTAAAACTCGTCTGTATGCTTACACAAGAATAGGAATTCTGCAGTCAGTTTGAACTTCCATAAATTAAATTAGCATTTTATCAACTTTAATTAAATGATCATCTTTATAATACTGGTAATTTTGATTAATAAGCTAGCTTTAAAAAGTCTGTGTTTTCATTATTATGCCTCACTAGGAAGTTTTTGAATCAATGGCACATCCTTCACATATTTTAAGCTTCATTCTTACTTGTGTCTTTATTTATTTTAGTATTTATATTTGCAAAACAGTTTTTCTGTTGAGAAGAAAATTTGATTTATAATGAGCATCGAGTCAAATGAATACACAGACTTTTGCATTAAAATTGTATGAACAACGGCAAAATATAATTTATCAAATTACACTGTTCAACTCCTTCAATTTGAAGCACCTTTCGGTGTCCTTAATAAATCAGTTTACTTTGATTCATATTCAATGCATATACTCAGCATACCTTGTTTTTAACAAAAAAATTAAAACTTTTTTTCTCCCACTCAATTTTAATTCATTTCCGTCAGCTGAGGAAAAGGTGGAAAAACTCCGTTCATGAATAAATTAAATGTTGAGCGAATAAAGAATGTACAAAGAATTTCGCGCTTCCAATTATTTCCACTTTCCTTCCTTCACTTCTTCATTCTGATGTCTGTCATTATTCATTAAATGCAAGGTAAACCGAATTTTTCGTAAATCAACAGTCATGCAAAAGTAAGTTTGCCCATGACACTAATCGATTATGATAAATCAACCTTCATCATAGATTCATAATCAACTTTTGCTCACGCATTAAGGGGTTATTTGATAATGGCATCCATTATTTAGGAGGGAGGAGTGGAATCAAGAATTTTTTTAATTGATAAGAAGATCTTAAGGAGATATTACAAGTCTCTCATGAACAAGGAACCTGTCAGTTAGTAAAGCATCTTACTCTTTGTAACACCTTCCTAGTTACATCCCAACTTAGTCTTTTCACCCATTCTGTTGGCATCTGAATCAAATCATGACACATTAATTGACCATAACTTATCCCATTTACTAGCTTATCGTATAAAAGATGTTGATAAAACTTTCCTGACAGAAAAGTCGGTATAAAGTGAGAGAGACACAAAAAAAGTTGAATCCAATAGAAATGACACCATAGTCTTTGAAAGGAAAAACAATTTTGACAATTTCGTTTCCGTTTCAGAAATATTTAATGATGATTTCACAAAAAGTGTAATTACGAAATATTTATGAATTTATGTTAATAAAAATTCATGATAATTTTAGACAGCGAGAAAGATGAAGAAGAAAATGAGTTAAGTGAGTGAAAATTTGTCATTAAATAATTTTCATTTGGAAATGTAGGATGAGAATTATTAATTGAATTGAATTAAGGGAGAACATATATCTCGTGTCGTTTCTGCTTCTTAGAGCTTTAATTATTATTTCCTCTTTTGCCTTCGTTTAATTGTCTTTTTTGCAAATTATTGTTATTATAGATAAACAAGACTTCAATAAATTATTGATCCAATAATCAGTATAATTGGGTGTTAAGGAGATGAATTATTTAATTATTACTAGTTCATGCTTTTGAGGACTTGGGCCATTCACAAATGAAGATAACTTTCAGCAAACCGTTGTTTTAATTCACAAAACTGTTGACGTCATGTATGAACTAATCTTTATTATTTTCTATCTCAAGTAACCAAAATGTTCCATATAATCTTCATATATAAGATCAAATGTATCATTATTTACTATATGTAAAATGTTTGTTTTACAAATATGTAACAAAGGTGTTCCATCGAAGTATAATCAGAGCCCGCTTAGGTTCAAATCCTACGACGATATTTTTTTTGAAAATAGCCTACTATGATCGAAACCAAAAATGCTTTAAATTGCATTTTAAAACATATCTAGGTATTATAAATGATAAAGAATGCTAACATAGATATAAAATCGATATTTTTTGAAAATAGCCTACTATGATCGAAATCAAAAATGCTTTAAATTGCATTTTAAAACATATCTAGGTATTATAAATGATAAAGAATGCTAATATAGATATTAAATCGATATTTTTTTGAAAATAGCCTACTATGATCGAAATCAAAAATGCTTTAAATTGCATTTTAAAACATATCTAGGTATTATAAATGATAAAGAATGCTAATATAGATCATCAAAAAAATATTTTTTTTCAGGGAAATAATATTTGTTCTAAATTTGGCATTTGCCATATACTTCAAAAGCGCTCGCAGAAATCACTATTATAAGTTCTCTCAAGGCCATAGAACTCCCAAAATAGTATACCCGTGAGTGAGCATTGTGCAGTAACGTATACAAACTATTGCGCAAAATTAAGTTAACATGAGCAAAGTATAGTTAAATATTGTAAAGTGAAGCAAAGTTAACCAAAGCATAGTAGAATGTAGCAAAGTGTAGCAAAAGTGTAGCAAGTGTAGTTTAAGTGTAGTAAAGTGTTGTAAAAGTATAGTCAGTATAGTGAGAGTATAGCAAGTGTAGTAAAAGTATAGAAAGTGCAGCAACATAAAACTGTTTAAAACTTTAAAAACCAAAATGTTTAAAGTTGATTTTGAATTAATTTTGAAGTAATGTTTATTTTACCATTCAATTTATTTATAAATAGTCAATATTATTGCAACTTAAGAACCGCTTATTATTTGAAATTTTATATATAAAATATATTTAAAATGTAAATATAAATGAAGCTTTTCTCATGTAAAAAATAAAACTATTGAACTAAATTCAAATATTTCAACATTAAGGATGCCTTCCTAATTACGAAGAATAGTAACGAAAGAATAGTGAGAATCAATGTTTTTGATATTGTTGGTTTTAGAAAAAATTAAATGTTATCAACACTTTTGATATATATTTTTAAAAAGTTTTTTTTGGAAAGTTAATCTTGTTGAAATAAAAAGCCAACATATTATTACAAAATAAATTTAAAATATTGTTTTTCTACAGTCCCTTCATTCAATTTCGAAATGCAAATAAATTGAAACTAATTTATATGAAGCTTGTATTTATAGCTTTTTTTAAAAATTTAAACTTAACACAAATCGTCCTCATTAGTTTTTTTAATATAAGCTTACGTGAAAAAATCAAATTCGAGTCAATTCAAATTAAAATTTTTCATAATTTTTTAAAAATTTTTTCAATTAAAATTACTCATTTTTAAAAACAAAAGCACAACATTTTAGATTTTTTTTTAAATTTTTCGATTTTTCTATACTATACTTTTATTTTATTTTTGACAAATTTCCTTACAAACTAAAGGTATCAATTAGAAATTTCTTTGACATGAATGAAACTATTTCTGCCTTAGTAGCATTAGTGCTTTATGTTTTTGTAAGCTCTTTCTTTTCCATCAGCTAAATATGGTTTAAAATGATAGAATAATAAAAAAATAAAAAAATAATATTTTAAATTCTATAACCTTTAGTTAAGTTTTTAAACATTTTCTTTTAAATTTTTATAATGATTGCAAAATCTTTTATTTTATTTTTTGTTTTTTGAAAGTATGATTACAACGTATTAATGGACCACATGTTTAAGAGGCCTATAACTATTTAGATTGAAATTATGCACTAATTAATTTGATTAAAAATAAAGTACAGAAAAGTACGAGTAAAGTGCACTAAAGTGTAGTAAAGGGTAGTAAAGTTAAGCAAAATGTACTTAAGTATACTAAAGTAAAGTAAAGTAAAGTAAAGTGTAGTAAAGTATAGGTTAATGTACTTAAGTAAAGTAAAGAGTAGTAAAAAAGAGTTAAGTGCAGTAAAGTTTAGTAATTGCAGTGATTGTGATACATTGTATAGTAAGTGTACTGAAACATAAGTAAAAATTTATAAAGTTGAGTAAAAAAGTAGTGATTGTAGACATAGTGCAAGGAGTTCTATGGCCTTGAGTTCTCTCTAAATTTGTATGGGGCTTTCAATTATTTATTTATCTTCCTCAGGTATGTGTGCGAGTTTTGGGCGTTCATCAGTATGCGACTTTGTTCTTTTTCGTAGTGTTAGTGTACTTTAATTAAGTACACACTAATACTTTTACAATAATTTACACAAATAAAAGAAAAATACAAAAGAACACGTGAAATTTAGCACGTGTTTTTATCCAAAAAAATTAATCCATTTGTTTTGCATTTGTATTCCTTCATGTACATTTATCTTCCAATTTCATACGACATCATCTTCCGATAGATAATGCATGGATAGTACATATGTATCATCCATGGAAGATTCTCATGGAATACATTGATCTACCTTTTGGTTCCTTGGGATTAATGATGAAAAGTCATAAGAAAATCAATAACTTAATACAGTTTGTCACAATTTATCTAAAAGACACTGAGGAATGCAGCAATAAGGAAAATTATTTATCTCAATTTTTCATTCCTCCGTCAAACCGTGAAAAGTTGAGGGTAAGAATTTAGAAGATATATGATCATGCATTATGATTTTCTATTGTGTGAGCTGAGTCATAGGAAAGAACCAAGGAAAATCCTTCACGAAGGTGTGAAATGAAATTACATTTTTTTTTTCTTATGTTGAACTTTACAAAAGCTTAACTCGCAAGCTATTAAAACCTCCCTTAAGCTCTCAATATTCACAATAGCAAATGTCCAGACAGCAATTTACTATTTTATTAAAGCACTGTTTTTTCTAGTAAAGTGAAATATAAAATCATTCATTTTTATTACATTTTCCACCCCGTTCACCCACAGTATGAAATAGAAAAGCTACAAGCAACATGTCACGCATAGAAAAAAATACAAGAAAAATTTGCTTCTCACACTTGGCACTGCTTTCAACAAACCGATTAATGCTTTATTTCATGAATTTTTAAATACTAAAAGTCGTGATCAGCAAAAATCGTACATTTTGTCGTGCAATGTGTTAAAATGCAGTACCGTATGTGTATACAGATAAAGTCACATGTGTGATTGTAAGAAATTCACTCCAGTCGTAAAAAATGCATCAGAAATAAATGAAAATGAATTTTTTTTAAAAAAATCAATATATGAACTTTTTCACTCGTCTTCCTTAGACTTTAGTCATTCATGCAAATATCTAGCAAGCATCAGAAACTTCTTTTCTGCTAAGTATAGCAGTTTTGGCAAAATATGTTTCTTGTGTTTTTAAAAGACCTTCCCGTTCAACGTCTATTCATTGAAGCAACAATGACATTAAAACCATATTTACGATGATAGTTGGTTAGTGGAATGAAATAATTCCCGCTCATAGCATTTTGTATATATATGTTCTTATTGCTAATATTTTCACTCATTCAAGGTACACATGTATGGCATATAGTAGTTAAATATTATGCCATATTAAATCACAATTTTACGCTTGCAACGCCAGGACTATGACATAAATTAGAGGACACAATAATACGATGTCTGACTATGTGTGTCGACTGGAATCGTGACAATAGATTTGAATTTTCTTCTGCATTTTTCTTTTTCATTATTATTGCACTTAATACTAGGTACTCATATATGAAATCACTTCTTTATAAGCGCTTCATCACATGTTGTTTATTTGTTAATTGGTTTTGCAAATAATTGACGTAGAGGCACACAAACATATAAATAGCAGCTGTAGCGGTGAGAACAGCTAATTAGGAACTGGGAGAGAGGGTTAAATGCACTAATTCCTTCAGAACTTATCCGACTGTATTATCTGTACATTTTACCTTGACAATATCTTACTTAATAATTATAATTAATTGCTTGTATGATACATAAAGATCCAAAAGACAGGTTTTACAGCAATATAATGTATAGGGATTGTCATAGGAAATTTAGGTAGTAAACACCACACAATTACTTAATAACACTAAATCCACTTGGGATATCAATCAAATATAATTGAATTAGAATTTTTTTTCAGTTTTTCATTTTATAATTACTTCTTTTACTTTATTATATATTGATTTTAACACATTTTTTAACGCGTAAAATTGTTTTACTTCCGTTAACGAGAAGAGTCTAGCGAAGACTGAAATCAAAAAGGATATTCTCTTTTTGTAGGACGAGAAAAACACAAAGAAAATGAGAGTGAAAATTCAGGGAAACTTTTTGGAATAAATCAAAACAAATTCCAATATCCAATTCGTTCCAAGAAAATTTTGAATTATTCAATGCCGTTAATTTTAATAGAAGTGTAATAATGTTTTTAATATAACTGACAATTTTTAAGAAGAATTTTAGACAATTTATCTATAGTTAAATTTTCATCAGAAATATGTTGAGTGATTCACTTAATTAAGCTAGTTTAAAGATTTAACAAAAATAATAGGAAAAATGGAAGTTTTCCAGGATGTTTGCTAAAATTCCAGTTTGTCTTTAAATTTTAAAACTGTTAAAAACCGTTGAGTCAGTTTTTAAAATAATTTTCACCAATGATTAGAAACTAGATTATTGGATAGTAACCAAATACGTACATATTCACACCATACCATACCATATCGAAATTCCAACGAATCCTTATTTGCAGGTTCAAGTTATTTTATATCACAAAGTTACACTTTAATAAATCAAAAAACCAAAATACAAAATAAAGAAATTCGAATCACGAGATAACACTAAAGAGATTCATTACAAATTCTGTCTGCAATATTTTTGTCCAAAAAGTCTTAAAAAGTTCAAAAACTAGATGAAAATATTTTACTTGCTTCATTTTGTTTCTCCTTCTAAGCAGCTGCATGTTGTCACTTATAAAACTTCACTACTTCACATTTAAATTAAAATTAAAAACTGAACAAAATTTCTTTTTCATTAAATTGTGACTACGATCAATTTTTCTCTTCATTTAATTAATGGTTTAAGTTTCCAGGATGGCAATTTAAGTCATGTTGATACTTCAAAGCAATGAATTTGTTTCAACACACTTTATTAAATTTTGAACACAAACAACGTGAATACATAAATACGGTGTGAATATAAAATTATTAAATGAATTAAAATGCAATTATTTTTTAAATAATCCTGTGATGCGTGCTGTAATAGTTTCTTTAATATTGACAAACTGTGTAATTGGGTCTGACAAATCATAAAGACGTTTAAAATATATAAGTATGAATCATTGTAAATAATGTTAAAAGGTCATTAATTCTGAATTATCTGATAAGACAACAAACATAATTAGTTATAGACATTATCTCCGAGTAATCAGTCCAAAACAATGCAGAATCAATCGAAAGTACTTTTAAGGAAAAGTATCAAAAAGCTCATTCAAGAAATAAGTGCCGAAAGCAAAATAAAACAATCATCTGATGTTATGCAAAAGGTATTCAACGTAATATTAGTCTCATTGATCTGTATGTACTTCTTTCTATCTCTCTCTCTCTCTCTTACTGTGTCTAGCTTCTTAATATGCCTGAGTATCAAAATTCAAATCGCATATCAATTTTTCTCAGCACTGAAAATGAAATCAACACAATTCCGTTACTGTCGGTGATGCTTGAACAAAATAAGCAGGTAGGTTTAAGTTCCTTCCAATTTGCTCTTCATATTTATTCATAAAGGCTTCTGTTTGCTCTGCTCTGCACAATAGATGTTTGTTCCAACATATTCTGGAAATGCAATGAAAATGGTGAAATTGCATGATATGAAGGATTACGAGAAACTGCCAGTTACGAAATGGAAAATAAAACAGCCAGACTCAGACGATGTCAGCCGAGAAAATCCTCTGATGACAGGTGATGTGATGTTGTGGATTTACGTGTAAAAATGACATGGTTTTTTTCCTTATTAAATTGAATCATCCATACAGCTCCGCTCGATTTAATCCTTATGCCTGGCGTTGCGTTTACTTTGAAGGGTGATAGACTCGGTCATGGAATGGGATATTATGACAAATTTCTTAGTGACTATTTCAAACGTTATCCAAACAATGAGAGTGAACATAAAACACATTTAATTGGTCTAGCATTTAAGGAGCAAATTGTTGAAGAACTGCCAACTGATGCTTTGGATTGGACTTTAGATAAAATTGTGACGACAAATTGACAAATCAATAAACGATGTGAACGAAAATTTTAATAAAAAATTGACAAAATTAATTTAAAACGAGTTTCAATAGGTCATGTGGATGAAACGTTAATCTTTAACGACCTTGAGCATAATTTACTTCTTTGTTGTGAAACCTAATTCCACACATATCTCATCACTCATTCTACTGTAAAAATGCATTAAAAATACCAGAAAACCAGAAAATACAGAAGCAAAAGCTGCACACGAAAGACAAAAAGAAGGAATGAAACCAAAATGTGTAATTTTAGCCATATCATATCATGAAAGAGTGGACCATAAAAACCCAAAAATGCATTTTATTACGCTCTAATGGGAAATGCAAATCAACAAAACGATGGATGCGAAATGAGCAACAACAGTCATGCAAACTTTCAAAAGACCGCGTCTCGTCTTGCAGACAGACAAATGAGAGTGCTAATTTTTGCGATAGTGTCTTTTATATTTTATTATACTATAATTTTTTTGTTGGGGTCGTTCGCAAATATTTGACAGTAAACTTATGGACCCTCCAATTTTAAAAAAATCTTCAATTTAAGTTTCGAGTATCACCTAGACATCATTAGAGAATGAACCCTATTAATTTCGTATTGAATATATTATCGCGAATATGTAAATAAGTGCCTTCAGAAATGTTGCACCTCTATTCCTCATACTGACATGACAAAAAATTAAGTCTTTGTCTTTATTATTTAACAATTAACAACAGCATTGCATTTTGCCTTGTCTGTTTCAGTTGACAATAATAATAAGAATACAATGGCGAACGTAAAGAATTCATTTCTGCAACAGTCAAAGTAGATTGAAAGACATCAATTGATAATTAACAAGATCAATGTAGTCATACAAGTTGAAAAAAACAGCCCCATTTAGTAGCACTCTTCCCCATTCATTCACTCTATTAAACCACTCGAGCGTAAATGAAAGAATAAAATGTGTGCCTTTAAACATTGTTGCATTTGTGGAACTGAGCAGTGAAAAGAATGAAAAAAAAAATTTGACAAGAAGAAGACCGAAAAAGATTGACGATGAGAATGAATTATGCAATCAAAATGAATAGAAGTAGTAACTGAGCGAAAAAGTTCAGAATCCGTAAATTTATGCTTGCTGACTGCAACAAAAGATTCTCGGAAGGTGGTTTTTGCGGAAATATACAAATATATTTTGATCATTCTGTCATTTATAGCAGAGAACCTTTAACAATTTAAACTAATTGTTGCTTGGCTCAAATTTGGTATGGTAACTGGAAGGTCGTCGGTTCGAATCCAGCCATTTCCAAATTTGTTCTTTTTCAGAAGTTTAAATACTTCGACTGCTTAATGTACGAGATCAAGCCATAATTGGGCATTTAGGCAACGTTGGATTAAGGAACGGATCAGGAACTTGAAGTGTAGCGGGAGAAATAGGAACGAGAGCTGCAAGATTACCTTATAATAGAATATTGTCAGATCGGACATGAAATGTATCACGTCACGCGCACAGAAGATTGAAACGAGAGCCTGAATTTAATCGAAACCTAGATTTGAAGGTTAGAAGCTTGATTCTACATCACCTATAGTGATATGAAATGTACCACTAATCAATATAACATAAACATGTGTAAATACTATTACTATAATGTTTATTACCGAACGGTAACATCGACAAATAAATAAAAATAATAATAATAATTTTATTGAAAATCGAAGATTGATCATCGTTTAGGCTAGGTTTTCTTGATATAGCTCTTTTACGGTAAAAATTTCGATATTTCAATGATTCGCAGCATTAAATTTCATGTAAAAGAGATCCAAGACTATATGTAGATAGATCTAAAATAAGTAGTTCTGCAACAGATTAAGTTCAAATTCTATACTTAAATTAGAGTGATTATTTATTTTTCCTAAAAATCCAGGAGATTTTCGAGCTTTTCCGAGTCACAGCAGCTGAGTAAAAAGTACAGCATATGGTCATCCTACCTGAAACAAGGTTTGTGTATCAATAGAGCATCAGGTATGTTCGGCTGTGGGAAAAACTGGATTGGAATGAATATTCGCTGACATTCTAAAACACGTCTATGAATCCACAAATTTAAATTTCCACGAAATTCTGAAAGAAGAAAAAATGATGAATATTTTTTTATTGAAACAAAAATTCCTAAAATGATACATTGTAGTAAGTGAGAGACGCGACTGAATCAATCTTAATCGTGCACTTTGCATTCTCATAATAAATTGTGTGATGAATCAGAAAAGAATCAATCTGTGTTGTCATGAGTGATTAATTTCTGTATTTCTATCTTATTTATTTTTAAAAAAAAAAATAAAAATGAACATGTACATGAATATATATTTTATTTCATTAAATATCCCACTTGATGGTGACTTTTCTCTGCTTTACAATCCATTCCTTTCTCCCTCACGATTTACTGCATTTTATTCTTATCCTTTCACATCAATCTTTCATCTTATTTCCTCTACAGGTGCATTCATAATACACGTTGTCTCTAAATCTGTGGGATTCATTGAGGTGCGCGAGAAGAAGGAAAAAAGATTAATGATTGGAAGCTGAATGTGTGTAAGAAGGAAAAAAAAATCACAGAGAAGATGTTTCCTTTAACACAAATCTTCTTAACATTTTTTTTTGCTCTTTGATTTCCGATAAAGACCTGTAGCTCGACTCCTGCTTCTCATTTATTTTTTTTTCTTGCTCCTCCATGTGTGCACCTTCTTTGCGATCCGCTAAAACTGTTTAACCATTGATCAATATAAGCTCAATTTATCGCCGTTTCTCATAAGAAGAAAAATAAAAGTAAATATGTGTAAGAAGAAAAATGAAAGAGAGAATCGCTTTAAATCGCTTGCTTGCGGGCTAAAAAAAAGTCTCGTCGCGTGCTGAAACAGAACGACTTCTCAATACAATAATAAATCTCATAGCAATAAATCACCGAAAACGTCTTTATTTAAAACAAATTGTGAATAATGTGCTATATGATGTTCTTATTTTATTTTTATTTATTTTCTCCTTACTTCATTCCATATTTTCTTTTTTCACACAACAGAAATGTGTTATTACTGAATGATTATGTATGCTTGCATTTTATAAGTGGATTGATTTATATTATAAATGATTAAATTTACATCAAGAAGATTACTACACTCTCATTATTAATCATGCGCTGTCTATGCACCAATTTTCAAATGCATTAGGGGAGGGAGGGGTGAGGGTAAGGGGGGGTGGTTGGGATCTAACAGCCTGTTTCACTTAGGTGGATTATCCACTTTTTCACTCTGAGGAATATCTATAATTTTTTTTTCTTCGTCAAACTGCACGGTGAATCAGAAAAAATGGATTCTAGATTGGAATTTCCGCGCATCGAAGAAATAGAAAAAAAAAACCTTTACTTATTCAGATCAATTGTGATTCAGAGGTGCGCTAGGGCGTTTCGCAGCTAATGAGAGTTTAACGAGTGAGGATGCGCCAAACCACTGCACTCAAACCTAGACCTACAATTTATAGTGGAATCCGAACCACTCCTTTGCTGACATTTCTGTCTGTAGCCTACAAAGGAAGGCAGTGAGCCTCATTTCCAGTACATATGATTCGAAAAAGAACAAGTGAAAAATTTCTCATACCCAGTCTCGAACCCATGATCGCTGTGTCGGTATTGAAATAATTAGGTACCGAAGTATTAAACCATTCCGCCACCGAGCCACTTTAGCTCACCATTCGAAGAAATAGATAATCTCTAAATTAGGATAATCCACCTTTGTGAAACAGGCCGTAGGATTTTATAACATTTTAAATAATTTTTTTTTCATATAAGTTTTGTGTAGTCAAAATATAGATATTAGGATACAATTCTCAAAAGACCTGAGCAACATGGCTCTATCGTCGTTCATACAATACTATTAAAACTCCACATTCAATAATTTCTGGTTACGCTTCTTTCCTCTATTTCAGTGATGATCAAATCTTTCGTTGTATCAAGTCTAGTTTGTAAAAAAATTCAATCAAAATCAAAACATTTTCGGCCTGTTTCACTAAAGTGGATTATCCTCGATTTTGGACTATCCACTTCAGTTTTTTGTAAATATCTTAAACTTTATGGGAGGTGTGGTATTTCTAATTTTGGATTATAATAGAGTGAATTATGCCTGAAATTTCTGTATACTTTAAACTTTTGATTTTCGGTAAGAAGTATTAATTATTCAATTTTCTAGCCAAATCTAGTAGATTAACTTCGATTTTTGTTATAATTCTCAAACTAATGAAGATATAAAAATTCTAAGTACATGTTGATTTAAGGAGAAAAGTACTCTAACAAGATCACACATTAGAACTCTTAATAACCTTGAGCGTCTGGAGAAATTTCCACAAAACTGAAGTAGATAATCCGAAATCGAGGATAATATACTTTAGTGAAACAGGCCGTTTAGGTTTCAATATACTTTCTTACAAAACTCTTTGTTGACATAACTTGCTTTTAACATCAACACCAGAGATGACAAATTAATTTGATCGAAGTTGATCTTATTTAAAAAGTTTGTTTTGATATTTTTGAAGTCTTTATTAATTTAAAATTAGGGACTTTCATTTACTTAGACATCAACATTTCTAATCTAAGGAATAAATTCATATTAATTATTTCTCACGAATATTGTCCATTGAATTAAGTATTGAAATGCTCAATTATTACAGTCGTGAGCTTTACATATTATTTTTTCAGTATAAAAACATTCAATTTTCCCACGTTTAATCATTAAAAAATATGTACACATATGTTAAGGAATTTTAAATAGGTTCATGATTTATTAGTCCATCGTATTCAATATGAATGTCAATTAATTATAGAAGTAATTTAAAATTACTCTTCAGAAGTAGCAGGAGGACGTGCAAAAAGAAGTTATTAGCATCATACATCATCAATTTGTGATGAATTGTATAATAAAAAATATGTAAACCATTAATGCAGCATATTTTTAATGATACTCCACAAATTAAGTTGATTAATGTCATTGCATTTCATGTATATATGTACAGTCTCATCATTATCAGCTCAATTTAGCATGCTGAGTGCTGATTAAAATGAGTCATCTATCAACTGAAAATGACTCTATTTAATTCAATTAATATCACCTATGAGAGTAGTTAAATAATTGCATTGAAGCAGCGTCAAGCAACACCAGTAGTGAGTTACATCAACAAACAAAGTCATTTATTGCTGTCCTTTGATACAATGCAATTATAATCTTTTTCTTCACTTCTACATTTTCATCTGCAAATTGCTTTCTTGCGCTTTTAAATTATGTTTTTTTTTTCATACATTTTCAATGCAATCATCATCAGTTAATGATTGAGTTTGAGTCTGGACGGGGAGTGAAAAATTGTTTTTAATTCAATTGCTGTCTCAATAAATGGATCACATCACATTGTGTATATACACATATATGCGATCAAATTAATTCTTTCTTTCTCTTTTTCTTTGCTCGCTCTGGTTCCAAACTAAGTAAGTCTTGTATCGATATACTCGAGTATGAATGAATGAATGCATGAATGAATGTGTAAGGGAAAACCTTAAATTATGAAAATGGATGAAAACATGATTCAGGGACTTTTTGAAATGATTTATTAAAGTGCATATACAGTCCAAAACCTCAAAAACTGAATGCTCTACCTCTATCTATACTTGTTCACCTAAATGCTTATATTGATGAATTAGAGACTTATTTGGAGGAATGAAACTTTTTATTCATTTAAAATCTTTTAATCAGGTTTAATTTCGTTTAATTTATTCTAGGACATGAGCCTGTCTGAGACAATTCAGATTAAAACCTTCAAATTCAAAAGAAAATGAATTTCAGGACGTAAACACGAAGTATATTATTTTATTGTAATAAGATGCTTGTCCTTTAATTGTTATTGTCTACAGTCAAGAATTCTGATGAGATCTTATTTCTCTGTTCTAATGATAGTCTTTATAAAATTGAGAATAGATCGTCACATCTATTACATTAAAAATATGCTAAGCATAGATTGGAATTAAATATCGAATGAAAGTTTTAATAAATTTAATGAATATTGTTGCACTTCTGATTATAATAACTGTTCATATAATTATAAACTAAGTATTTTATAGTTAATAATTTTTTTATGTAGCTTACATACTAGATGATATTAATGATACAAAAGAAATCTAATCACAGCCATTTTAATGATTAAAAGTAATTTGTAGTTTTTTTATACAAGCAGTAAAATTACATTCATTATCTGTTGGAAATAACTACATTTTTTTTCGTCCGATGATTATAATTATGATCCATACACATTACATTACATTACATAGAGATATCTGAACTTTTTCTTAATTTATTTTTTTAATGATTCTGCAGAACCTTTTTTTTTCAATAATATGAAATACTCTTTTATGTCGCATGAATGGAAATAAATAATATACAAAAAGAAGTTACACAATGTAATTTTTAATCATTTTGAACCTCGATGTAAGTGACTTTAAGCTTGAGAAGCTTCAACTGCAATTTTCAATTTTCCCGGATGTAGAACAAAAGTTATTTTTTGTAATCCAATCAATGCTTTTAAGGTATCTTCCAAGCTGTAAGTAAAAGTTCTTTTTGTTGAAGACAACAATAAATGGTAAAAACTATAAGGTACTGTGCTTACCATTCCCAATGTGAACTCGTTTTCTATCAAGAAGCATTATAAAAATATATCATGATCTGCAGGGACCTTCGTGCTTTACACTAATTAAAAATCCAGTATTACATGAGTCTCTCATCAGGTGACATTTTGAACGATACGTTATATTATTGTTGCCACAAACTTTCCGCATCTTCGTCTGCAAATAAAGAAATAAAATTTCTTTTTAAAAGCTGCAATTATTACTCAATCACTTCCTTCATTTGATCGTTTTCATTCATCAAAAAAGAAGCGTATAATGCATATGCGGCAGTGACCTTCAAGAACACTTTGTGTATGTACACATAAATTATTATTATGCTCTTTCCTTTTCTCCTTCCTTTTTATTTTGTTCTTTTTAACTCTTTACCCACATTTATTCGCAAATTCGACGCTCCAATTCGCCTTTTTTTTTCTTTATTTTTATTAATTTCTGTTTTCACATCATATTTCTCCAGGTTTTCGACTACGTATTCAAGTAAGTACGTGTTGCTTTCAAACACAAAACATGATATACATATTTTATGTGCCTATATCACAAGAAACTTCATTTCAAATGCATTTAATAGTCGTATGAATATGATACACCTGATGCACAGTTTCAATTTAGAAGAATGGAATAAAGGAGATGTAAATAAGCATAAGGAAAAAAAAAATGTATTGAAAAAGAGGGCATGAGAAAAAACAGAATCTGCCTTTTGGCAAGAAAAAAAACGAACATACATGTTTATATTTGAATATTATAAAAGTCACCATAATTATATGACTAGAGTGCACATTTATTGATTGTTTGCTTTTTATTGGAAGTAAGCCATCAATTTTTCCAGTACATTCGAGTCGAAACATTAAGTTCGAATTATAGTATCTGCAAATCTTTATTTAATTGATGTAAGATATATAATTAATTAAAACAAGAGGAAGTTGGTGGAAATCGAACACAGTTCGATCCTTGGCACACATACTTAAGCTGACAAGAGAGGTGCAATCTTCATAATAAAGTGCTTGGATAAGTTGGAAATAGAAATATAAGTTGAAATACAATCATAGCATTACTAAAATTTTCATAAATCATGTCACCAGAGTTGTGGTGTATTTGAGCGAAGGGTCCTGAGAACTATGTTCGGACCGAAGAGAGAAGGTGACTTTTACAAGCGCAGGAGCAACGCAGAATTATATAAGCTTTTCAATGAAGCTGATATCCTACGACGAATCAAAGTCAACAGGCTCCGTTGGGCTGGACATGTCGTTACCCATTAATAAAGTCTTTAAGAATTTTTTTGTAGATGGTCTCAAGAACTCTTGGAAATAAGCTGTTGACAGAGACAGTAAAGCATTTGGTATGGGTTCGTATGGGTAATTGGCAAACGGGAGCCAGCGATAGAACCAGCAATTGATCTGTACGGCCAGAAAAGTAAGTAAGTATGTCACTAGAGCAGTAATAGATTCTCCCAAATTCTTCAAGGAGGAACCCAACATCCAGACAAAGTGAACTCTAAAGTACAATCATTAATCCATAAATCTAAGAGCAGCTACGCATAGACATGTGTACATAAATTATGTTATATTGTGATGTAATTAAAATGCAGTTGGAAAAATCTCAGCTGAATTTGAAAGTGAATTGATGAATTGATTGCAGAAACACATAAAATAATACATTTGTGCATTTATATTTCAAGTACAGAAATAAATGAAGGCAAATAATCACAACTGCTTCCCTTCCAACCATCTCATTTTATTTATCGGATGCTAAATGTATAGAAAAAAGTTAAAAGCTGCTGCTGATGATGATTATTGGGCGTTTTGAGAGTAACATCTGTCTTTTTATGCACACACAAAATGCGTCATAAAATCTCAGAACTTTTTCTTGTGATTTCGCTTTCCGCTCTTGAGGGAAAATGTATGTAAACTTGTTATATCTCATTTTTTTGGTGATCAAGTGGCTACGAGGGAAGGAAAGAGTGAGAGGGAAAGAACAAGCAAAAGAATACGCTATTTCAGCATCGAACATACAAAAATATTACCTTTTGGGCAAGGTAAAGACTTTTAAAAAGGAGGAAGGAAAGATGTAAGTACACTTTCATCCTCATGAAAACAGGTTTTAATTGTAATTTGCGATTATTTTTCTTCTTATTGCAGTCGTTTTTTAAAGAACTTTATCTTCCAGAATATCTATGTACTTAAGAAATAACGAAGACAACGGCGACCGACGTTATTTCAATTTACGAAAACGAAAGAAAGAAAAAAATGAAAACAAGAAAAGAATTTCAAGATCATTTTCTTTTTGGTTAACCCTTTTTAGATTCTAGACAGGGCGCATACTTATGCATATCCTAAATTTCCCATGTCTCAACTTCATTTATGAAGAATTGAATGTTCTATTACATTTAGCGGAGTTGTCTTTATCTTGTTTCTGTGTACAACTTCTTCTACATCACTATTTGCAATCAGACGAAACTTTATGCGCACATGTGAATATCATATGAGAGTGCTTTTTTTTTCGTAATCAAGTTCAATGTCAGACGGAGAGTAAAAAAATATGTATATATTGCTAATGAATGAAATGTCAAGTGCCGTAATTTGTCGTAAAATTGTCTACGAGACATGAAAATGAGATGGGATATAAGAAAACAGAGAATAGACATTGAATGATGCAATTAATTTGCAGTTGATCGTTTTTCATAAGATTATCACATTTTCTCTCCCCTTTGACACTTGATGCGTCTGCTTGACGCAAGCAAAGTCATTTAAGAAATATAAGAAATCGTCGAGAGCTGCTAATTGTGTAATTTTAATCTCTTAAATGCTTCGTCTCTGTTTTCGATAATCCCCTTCATCTCTGCTTGTAAATTTATGTGTAAAAATTTTTTAAAATATTTTAGCTAATTTTTCAAGTTTACTGCTTGACATTGAATTTTTTTTAAAAAAAGGTGCATGGTGAGTCGACGTTAAGTTAAGTTCTACAATACCTAATTATTGCAATACCGACACAACATCATGGTTCAAGATTTGGCTATTCTTTTTTCGAATCATGAGAAAATCACTGGAAAAAAGAATTACAATCTTCTTTTAACAAAGTTTAAGGTCTAGGTTTCAGCGGGAGTCTTGCCAACCCTCACTCGTTACACTGTCATTATCCCAAATGGCATAAGTCGGTTAATCGAAAAGAAATCCGGTACCAAGCTGGCATGACTCTAGCATGGTGCTGACTTCGATATTAATCCAGCTCCATGTCAGATTCATGCCAGCTTGGGACCGGATTGATTTTCGATTAACCAACTTGTGCTTTTCGGGTATAACGCGCAGCTATGGATTATAAAGCCTCAACAGTTAAAGATTTTTTTTATTTACAAGTGGAAATGGACCCTCGATAAACAGGAATTGATTGAATTTTAGATATCAATAACATATGTGTGGCACTTTCTGAACATTTAAAAAATCAAAATTGACTTTCTCTAGAATTTGATTTCAATAAATAAGCAATAACTAAAATGGTACATTAAATCTTGGATCAATATTGCAGTAATCAGGTACCGGAAATACTAAACCACTATACCACTAATCCAATTCTGTTCATAAATGATATGACTGTCATAAATGATCCATGCTACGGACACGTCGAAAAATCCGTTATTTTTTGCTTTGAATTTCAAAAAACCGTTTAATTTCCATGAATATTTCTTGCAAACACTGGCAAAACCAAGGCTTGGGCCAACGATTCTTATTCTTAGCTTCATGTTTAGCTAAGTTTAGCTAAAATCATCCAAGAAAAATACTAGAAATTAAATATTAATGCTCAAAATCTTAAAATTGACAAACTTTTAACGGTTTTAAAATATTCAAACACTAGGTCGACTAAATTCAAACATGTCGAAAATATTCGACTCTGAAATGTCCGTAGCATGAAATGATCATTGTTGATATTCCATAACATCCAAACATCCTCTCACAGTTATTATATGCGACACCTCTGAGAAATATTCAACTTAATGTATTACAATATTATGAAATTGCGTTTAATGAAAGCTTATAAAATTTTGGTGTCACCTTACTAGTTATCTTATACATTTAATTATAAGAGAACGCAAAACACAGGCAATAAAAAGAAATAAAAAACCGTTGCTATATCGTGGTCTTTTTATCATTTGCTGTACAATTTTATATTTTTGTGTACATACATAAAAGAAGATGGAGAGCATAATAATAATAATAATCATGATAATAAAAAGAATTAATTCAACTTGAACAATTAAATAAATTAAAATTAACCTTTCCATCTCACTCATTTCGCGTGTGTGTTTTTAAGAATTCTTACCTCAACAGGACATCGTCCATTAGGTCGTTTGCAATAAACACATGATGGTTTATTTGTTATAAGATCTGGCAAGCATCGTTCCGTCTTCAGACAATGATTACAGCTTACTGATTCTAATTAAAATGAGAAGATAAAAAAATATTTATTAATAAATGGAATCATCGACATTTTGATAAGCATGAGTCAGATCAAGACATCGCCAAAATACAATAAAATATTAGATGCACCGAATCGTCTCGCGAGACGATATACACATATAAATATATATATTTGAACGAAGAAGAAGAAGAATTAATTTGATGTGCAAATAAAATATTCTGTTCTTTTCAGTTCTTCTTATTCCTCTCAAATGTTTGCAGATTCATTTAGCTTCGATGGATGATTTTGATATTTAAAGAACATAGCGGTAGCTCAATAACATAGTCAGATTACGACAAAAATTGTGTTTTGTCTGAACTTCTATTGCGATGATGGTTAGACGCCACTGAATGTTGTTAACACAAATGAATTGCACAATCGTCTGCAGACACCACGATTACAAAATGTTTATATTATTCTTATTATTCCTTGCAAAGTCACACAGAGGCTTTTGTCTCGATTGGATTCGATCATTTCAAAAGTCACTCACTCTTCTTAATAGCAAAGATTTTGGCTGTGATAATGCGCGTTCATTTTGTCTCAATTAATGAAGAACTTTGAAAAGTTTGGAACCTCCCAAATAGCTTCATTACATGCATTTCAATCAGATGACAAAATGATGAACAGAAGTGTGGATTATTCAAAATTTTATCGATTCCAACAAACATTCTGATTTTATGTGCTGTTCATTTCCATTTGATAGAAGAATTTGATACTTTAAAAGTCATGCAGGAGGCAAAATACAAGAGGAACAAAAAGTCATGGAATATTGTCAAAAATTTTCATTTTTGAGATGATACTAATGATTTCAATAAATTTCGAGTAAGCAACAAAAAAGCAGCGAGTAAGAATAAAAGAAAAATGTTAAGAGCGGAGCTCCATCAACAGGCATAAGAAACGTAAGGAGAAAAAAAAATATATAAAAAATAAAAACAAAACACGGAATGAGCAAGAAAAAAAAACCCAGCAACAAAGTGCACTTATTAATGTCTGGCGAATGTCTGGAATGAAATTGATGCAGGCATATTGAAAGTAATTTTTGGGAGCTCTTTCAATTGTTACATCCAAAAAAAAAATGTTTTTAATTTTTTTTCTTGTTCGTTTTGCAGCACAAATGAAATTACACAATGGCATGATGTCAGGTCGAAAACTTGAAAACAAATCTCACTTACGGAAGTAAATCAACAGAAACAACAGAAAAGAAAAGTTAGTATTATGAAATACACATAAAAAAGAGGGACATAAGAGTGAGAAAGAAGTTTTGTTGCAACTTTGTAGCTTTTTTTGATTCAAATTTATTTTATTACGGCCAGACATACGAAGAGGCAAAGCAGCACAAGAAAAAAAAATTCATATGGTGCTTTTTCACGAAATATATTCTCGACGAAAATGCAACAACAATAAAAACTCATCATTCAGGTCCAAAAAGGAAACGAGTAAAGGAGAGAGAGGAGAACAAATGAAATGAAATAAAATTGTAATATACAAAAATTCCTGGAGAGCATTTCATTTCAACAATGCCGGAAGTATAAAAAATGTTTTAAACAACTGTAAGTTTGAACGTTAACAAATGTAATTTTTAATTCTCAGATTTTTTTTCTTATATATTACGCCAGCCAAAAAGTCAGTCAGTCTATATTGAATGTAGATGGGCGAAGGAAGGCAAATGAATATAAATGACAGGATAATTTTTTGATTGTAACTTTCTGTACTGAAAACAGGCATATGTGCACCTTTCTTTTCACTTCATTCAAGAGCACATGAAGTCAAAGAACCTAGGGATCATACATAAATGACGTTTATTTGAAAATTGGATTTTAAAACTCTACTTAGCGAACCAAAATTGGTTAAGATCGAGAAATGGATATAAAAGGCTTAGTTAAAAGATTGGTTAAATGTCTCAGTGTAGGAGTAGCTAAGCTGTTAAGTGATCCTGAATTCTAAACTCTCAGAGTAACAAGTACTTTGAATAAGCAACTCCTAGAAATGAAGCTTACTCCTTCTCGTTAAAGTACAGTAAGATCTGTCGTAATAATAATGATAACGATCTCCGAATAAACTGTAGGTTTCCAATGCCTACATTCTATAAGTCAATAAACTGAGGAATATAATGAGACATCATAAGTGAAAATTCCCCAACTTAATTACAGTTATACTGAGAATAGTTCTTAACGAAAATGCGAAATCCCTGACATGATCACAACAGACAGTTCACGAATATGTCATCATGATTTATGTCGTTCAAATGTAAGGTAATTTTTCAAGTGTTATGCACAGCTCATGATAAAGTTAAAAGTATCGAGGAAAGAAAAATGGTTGTAAGATAAAAGCAACAGAAATGCCGAAGAAAAGTTATAAAGGAGAGAAAAATACAGCAAAAGTCAAAATAAGTCCATTTGTTACACTTCTTTATCAAACGCATTGCGAATAATGTTCAGTGCAGGAAAGCGAAGTTGAAAAATTGAAAAATTGAAATGGACAAATCTGAAAAAGGTAAGAACAGGAGAAATAAGTAACTATGAAGAATCTCATTGTACTCGAAATTGATGACTCAAAATTGATTTGAAAATGTTAAATGATCATCATTTGCCTTATGAAATAGTCGTTACAATAACCCAACCCACCACATTATTTGAAGTTCTTTCAACCAAAATTCATTTATTGTTATTACTGCTGTAAGCTTTTTGAATTGCTCAAAAATATTCAATGTGATGAAACTAATATGGACTTGATCGGTTTGTAGCATGCAAAAGCGCATTTTTTTGTGGAGAGCTGACAGAAAACAGACGGATAATGCTTATACCTTTCTCTTGTTTAATTGACTGATAAAACCATATTTCTACTCTAAATCCTCAAGGTATATTAGTAGTAATCATTTAAAGCAATTCTTTTAACTAGTTTTGTGTTTATAACTTAAGGCAACCAAGTTTGTCGTGTCTATAGAATCGAATTGACTCCTTTTTACTTAATCAATTTTTTTAGAATCATTAGAACAATAAGAAGATTCGCAGAGTTTATGAAAGCTCAATAAACTTTGGGTAGAAAAAAATATTAAATGATTTGGATAATAAGCAGTTTTCAATCAAAAGAGATTTCACAAACCCAAAATTAAATCCTGATAAATGATATGCATACCGAAAATCAGCTTTGATCAACAAATCGATTTTTTTATGCTTCCATTCAACCCCAATAATGTGCGGAAATTAAGTAAATGTATATAATTTTCATTCATCGATTGATTCTTTGTAAATATTGAGAAAAAGAGAAGCGACAGTAATCATTAAACAAATCTAAATGGTGCAATAACTTATGCCAAATTTGTCTCTTCTCTTCTTCTGCTTATATTATTAATATTACTCCTTATATTTGTAAAATATTCAAGTTGCAATTTACAGACACCACCATCGGTCTCTAAAGAATAACAAATATAAGGAAAGGAAAGAGAGGAAGATCATGTCCAAAATTTAATTCTGCATTTTTAAGCTAAATTATCTGTATATAACAATCCCTCCTACGTAAAGAAGTAAAGATGTCTCGAGAGACTTTTGCATATCAATCTTCAGACGCGACATCATTCAGTCGACATCATCATGGTGAGATGAGGAGAAGAAGAAACAGTAACGAACAAGTGATTATATGGAGGTGTATCACAGTTCATTTTTGTTAATGGAATCTTTCAATCGTAATGAATATTTTTTGGTTAACTGAATGACTTGCAATTGTATTAATTTCTAAACAGGATGTGTCTAATCTGATGGGGTCAAGATCCTCGTAAACGTGTCTCATGCTGAGCAAACATAGGCAGACTCTTCTTTATTGTCCCAGCCATCATAATTTCATTTTTATTTCCCTTCAATTAGCAAATTATTTTCATTTCTTTATTGCTAATTCATTCCCAATATTGCGTGTGCAGATTGCATTACATGTAATTTATTTTCATTTTTATTGTTTTTCTTTAGCTCGTTTTCCCTCTTTCTCTTCCTTTTTTATGAATGCTGTAAATTTTCGTCTACCCAAAAAAAAAACAACAACAACATTGAGAGCCTAAATGGTTTTAATACAGACGGAAAGAGACGAAAACAAAAAAAGTATCAAGTGAGTATTATTGAGACCATATCAAAATGCATTTTTCAGCATATAACGCGTATATATATATATATGCAAAGTATGAAGAGTATTGTGCAAGGAGAAGAAGGACAGAAGGAAATTAAGTGCATTTGCATTTGAGTATCATGATATTTTATAGCACTTTTATTGCGTCGTCTCACTGTCTTTATGTTTCAGATGAAACAGCACACAAAAATTGGGAATCAAAAGAAATATCAATGCAATAAATTTGTTTGTTTTATAATTTTCGAGTTGTTCGAATCGAAAAAAAAATTCTCTAAAGGCCATAGCATGAGCGCTGCTATTATCATATAAATATATGAACATTCTCAATAATTGTCTTAAACTGACACTGAAAAATGAAAATTAGCAGCTGTAATCACAAAAATTAAATTTTGCCATTCCTTTTATGCTTAATGCTCTTAATTCTTATGAGAAAGTTCTGTTAAGTAATTAATTTAAGATGTATCAACAGACACATTTTTCATTGATGTGATTCTGATATCACTCTTAATATTTCGCTGCTCCCGTTGATTTCTTTCTTTTGGCAATAAATTAATGGGTCTGTTCGTTAATGACTTACAATTTCTAAAGGGGGCCTATGGAAATTATAATATTATGAGAGATATTATTTGTGAACAAACACAAAAAGAGATGTAAGTTCAGCAACAACTCATTAAAAAGCATTCAAATGAGTTAAGTAAATATGAAAGAAAAGGGAATTGAAATTGAGAAGTAAATTAAAGAATGCAATTAATCACAGGAATGATAAAAGTTCTTGTTAAAAAGATAATGTTCCCTATTCATTGCAATATAAGATTTCATCTTCTCCAGAATAGGATGTATGGATTTTCGGTAAGATTTTGGTGACACTTTGTTTGACACAAGCTTTATAGTTATTTATGAATCAAATTCTGTGAAAAGCTAAGTTGGTCAAAAAATGAGATTCCTAAATCTACTGTGGACGGTTTCTAATGAAACGAATCTTACAAATTTCAACGAGAACTGAACATTGATCCCAAAAATAACAAAATTATCAGAAGTGAATAAGATGCTTCTCATCCAAGGAAAACAACAGAAGACATCCCTGCTCATTAAGACAGAATGACTATAACATCCTCTATCCAATTGCACTGGAAGCACATTAAGAATAATTCAATCATATGGAAGGAAAAGTTGTATTATTATTGTGAATACAAAAGAATGCAAGAAATGAAATTTTCATTGCTATTTGTAAGGTGCATTATTATGGGTCATTGAACATCATTTTGTGTATTTTTAACACGTCTCGACAATAAATACATATGAGAAGACATAACATACATCAGATTAAATATTGTCAATATGTGATTTCAACAGTTGATTTTAAATTACATTTTTTAGCAATTATGAATGCGAGGCATGTAAAGGCTTAATTAGCAATTAATGCAAATTAACTGGTAATATCTAGCTGACTGCATTCCAAGTTAGATTTAATCAATACATGAAATCAATATTTAAATAAATTAATGTACATTTAGAGACACTAAAAATGTAAAAATGCATTAAGCATGCCATAGGATAATAAATATTTCTCTCGTTATTCATTTCAACATTAAAACTAATAAAACTAAGCAGTAGTTCATAAATTACGTCTAATATATAAATATCGCGAGGTCCGACACTCCCAGTTCGATATTGTAATAGACATCACATGCAAAGGACCCCTAATAGCAAATTTCAAAGCCTCAAGCCTAAGATAAAATACCGCTAAATAACTCTGTCTTATTGTTGTTGTTAAACAAATTTGTTCCAACATATTTTTTAGAGGAATAAGAAGAACACTGCATGAAGAATGAATATTTTTCTCTCATTTTTCGCTCTTTCAAGGCCAATCACATTCATAATCATAAAATGAAATATACACGAAAGACAGAAGTTAAAGAAATTAACTTTATAAGAGAAACATGCAAAAGGATTAAGAGAAATAAATATTTTTTTCTTAATAATGATATTTATGTCATAAAAGTGACATTGTTGCGACAATGTTATCAATTAAAATTGAGATTAAACGATTCTTCTTCTTCTTGTCTACAGCTTGATTGCCGAAAATAATTTGAAAAGACATAAAAATGCAATAAAAAAATATCTTTGGTACCTGTACATGGGCCACGATATGCAGGTTGAATGGACTTTCCAATTTTGCATGACTTTTGTCTCAGTTCGCACATGCTGCGATATGTTATCCCATCGACACCACACACAAGCTTCTTAAGATCTAACGTCCTATTCTTTTGTGAACATTTTGGACAGTTGATGCATTGTGGTAGGAAGTTTTGATCCTCAATGCACTGTTTTCCGTTGAGACAGTTGATGAATTTACATGAACCTGCTGTGAAATTAAGAAGGAGAAAGAAATAAAGAGGATGATTAATTGTCATGACACTTGCTTATTTCACATTTATATAATTCCATACACACTACAACAAATTTAATTATGCATTGTGTAATTACTTTTTAGTGTTATTTAAATAAACATGAATAAATTGTAAGAGCTCGGATGTAATTAAGCCTAATTTACATTCAGTTAATGCAATTTTATGTATTCATTGATGTTTATTAATTTAAACATCCTTACTATCTCTTACTGCCACAATATTTATAAAATTAATTAACTGTTAACCTATAGTTAAAGCTACGATTAGCCAATTTATTCATTTTTCTTGCAAAATTGAGCTTTTCGAGACATGGGGAAATGACCACTCGATCAGAGATCCCTGCCACTCGGCCAGCAAGGTTCTTATCTCACTTCGGCTATCCGTCATACACATATAAACCCAAGGACGAGTTCAAGTTCGAGTTCGAATTTTCATCAACTATCCATAGTCCTTGGATATAAACCAGTTTCAACGCGAGCCCTATGCTCAGGCCTATCTACTACGGATATGCTCTTCAAGCCATATCCACAGCTTTGGTCGCCGTCATTATGATTCACAACTAAGACTAAGAGACAAAACTTTAAACAAACAAAAAAACGCAATCCTCCGAAGAAATTAAAAAAGGAATGCATCAAAAATTCAAAATTATTCAAAAATGTCAAAGCTTCAAGGGACTTAAAGTATCAAGGGGGAAATTTTCACATTTTTGGAATGCATCGAAATTATTTATAGCTTGAAACTTTGTTTTGCTTCATTGGAGAAGCATATAAATTAATTAATTATCGATGCCAATGTACAGTAGCGCTCAAAATGATAAGGACAGCAAAATTTTTTTCACATTTTTATTAATTTTGACGCACAGGATTATCTAAATTTGCTGAAATTTGGACCAGTTATACAGTTTTAAATGTCCTTTTATGCAATTTATACTAATTGTACTTTAATTAAATATTTTTGAAAAAAACGGTAAAAAATCAAAATGGCTGCCGCTCAAAATGATAAGGACAGTAGATTATGTTAAGATTTTATTATATTAAGTAATATTATGGAACTTTTAAGACTTAAAACATTATGTTTGATGAATATTCTTTAAATAAATTTATAATTCACGCTTCTAGATGTAAGACTTCTTACTTAATTTTAGTGTTTAAAAATATGTGAAAATTTTGTCAATTTATGATAAATTGTCGTACAGAAACTTGTTTATTCTTTAGGTTAGCTACCAAAAATTATAGATAATTTGATTATCTATCAATTTATGATCAAACATTTAGATAATTGTTAATTAATGTGAATTTTTTTCAAAAATTATATTTTTCCTTTGCGAAATTTTTGTGAACTTAAGTCGACAATTTGAAAAAAAATTGTTAAATATTCGCAAAACAATGCTTAAATTAGTATATTTCTCTTCCATTTTAATTGTTTAATAACATATATCAAGCAATTGAACCGCTTCGAAAAGATAAGTGACTATGCAATCGTTCTCTTTCAACAACAAGACTTTTTGATATGGCAAAAATGAAAAATGTGTTGAAACCTAAAAAAATATGATTTACATAAGTGAAGTTTTAACATAAAATAATTAAATTTGGCTTTTTTAATCGAATAACACTCTATTTTGTATTCTATGAGTGCTAAATTTAACAATTTTACAAAAAAATATTTCTTCATATTTTTTCGTCTTGAGAAGTTCATAGAGAACGATTGCTTAGTCACTTATCCTTTCGAAGTGGTTCAATTGCTTGATATATGTTATTAAACAATTAAAATGGAAGAGAAATATACTAATTTAAGCATTGTTTTGCGAATATTTAACAATTTTTTTTCAAATTGTCGACTTAAGTTCACAAAAATTTCGCAAAGGAAAAATATAATTTTTGAAAAAAATTCACATTAATTAACAATTATCTAAATGTTTGATCATAAATTGATAGATAATCAAATTATCTATAATTTTTGGTAGCTAACCTAAAGAATAAACAAGTTTCTGTACGACAATTTATCATAAATTGACAAAATTTTCACATATTTTTAAACACTAAAATTAAGTAAGAAGTCTTACATCTAGAAGCGTGAATTATAAATTTATTTAAAGAATATTCATCAAACATAATGTTTTAAGTCTTAAAAGTTCCATAATATTACTTAATATAATAAAATCTTAACATAATCTACTGTCCTTATCATTTTGAGCGGCAGCCATTTTGATTTTTTACCGTTTTTTTCAAAAATATTTAATTAAAGTACAATTAGTATAAATTGCATAAAAGGACATTTAAAACTGTATAACTGGTCCAAATTTCAGCAAATTTAGATAATCCTGTGCGTCAAAATTAATAAAAATGTGAAAAAAATTTTGCTGTCCTTATCATTTTGAGCGCTACTGTATGTAAAAGGAAGCAACAGCCCATCCGAATAAGGATTTTTGAAAGAAAATGATAACCAAATATAACAGTCTACGCCAAATATCATTCAATCTTTTAGTGCACGTGCTTGATGAATTCATGGAATAAACAGGAAAGTATGAATGATCGAGTCGAATAAATATATTTAAAAAAGACATTAAAAATATATAAATTATCTTCTTTTCTCGTCTCCCCGAAACATGTAAAAGAAATAAAATTCATAATTAAAACCTTAAACAGTCAGACGAGCTGACTGACTCATGTGAATTGAAATAAAATTTAAAGAAAATTATTCTCCATCCATAAAGAGAATTTTTTGCAGTTCTTCTTTTGCTGTTGTCATCTTTTTTTTTCATGAAATCATTACAAACAATCTGCATCCGAATAAAAAGTGTGCGCACACCTTTTTCGTCAATTGACTTCTTATTTCTTTCGGTTTCTTCCTCTTTCTCTTTCCACCTTTTACTCGATATAGTGATATGTGAATCGTATCGTCATCAAAAACAACGAGAACACAACAAAAAAAAATATTTTACGTTCCTTTCAAAATGTTTGCATTTTCGATTAGTGATGCTTTTGGCATTGGTTACCAAAGATGATGATGATGCTACACTTGTCAATCTCATAAATATATTAATGTGCATTCTTCTTTACTTTTGAGAATACTCTGTCATGCAATAGCATAAGGTATAACAGACTCTGAGGCTGAATCATTAATTCAGTTATTTTCATTGAGACCTTTTTCTGCTTCTGAATTGTCATTTTGACGAGAATTGTGTACGACTTGAATTTCGATACTTTCGAGCTATGTCAAATTCTAATTTTTTTTTCAGAAACTGGCTTTAAGACTTAAATGTCATTCACATGCAATTGTGGCGAGCGAAACTCATTCATGAATTTTACATGCAGATTTTTTTTATCTTTACGAGTACATGAATTCATTTACAGAAACTATTAAAGCACAAACATTGAATTGTAACTTACTTTTGCAAAATCCTTGATGCTGAAGTTCTAATTTTTTATTTTCTTGTCGACATGCTCGCTTCTGTAATTGACATTCATTTTTATAGGTTTTACCGTCTGTTCCACACACAGGATTGTAATGAGAAAATTTGGGCTGTGAATTAATCAGATTATCAATATTTTTCACATAGCTGTAACTAATTTGAGTAGACTTACAATATTCCCAAGATATATCTCCTTAAAATTTGCCGTATGGATGCTGTTCTCATTGAAGTAACCACTCCGAAATTTCCACTCAATTTTTCGAGCGGCATTACTCGTGTTATTATTGTTTTTCGAATCAACAGCAGCCTCCGCACTTTGGTTCAATTTTTGTTGAAATTTCTTCGCATTTCTATTTATATTGATGATTGTAGGATCATCATTTTGCATCGTTTCAGTTATTGGCGGCCTCACAATACTATAATGTCGATTAACGTTTTTCATTTCAGGTAATTGAAATGCTGTAAATCCTCCATTGACGCCCACTTTACGAGTTTTATTAATTGTCGCGGTTGCTTTACAATTTGGCGCGCAAACACATTTCGGTTGACCTCGTTTCATTATACACCGTTTGCCGTCTCCACATTTTGTATTGTCACAGGACTCTGTGTTGAATAAAAGAAGAATTTCCGTTAACATTTATTTTTAAACGACTCTCGGGTCGTTCACTTATTACATAATTTCAGAGAGCTTAAAGCAACCCTTAAACCTTAAGCACACAAATGTAACGAGTTATAAAGTCTCTGTGAGAAACTAACCTTTACATGGCTTACAATCTTCTTGTCTTATTCCAGCCATAATTCCAAAGATTCGTCCATCGTTCATTGACAATGAATCACTATAAGCAACTCCAAACCTAGCACAGCATTCCTCTTTACTCACAGAATTTGCCACCAAACCACTGCACTTTCCATTTGAATCGATTTTATCAAAACATGAACCGGCTGTTGAGGAAAAAAAGAAGAAGGCATTAATAGATTTCCGTTTGATTGGATAAATCAATAAATTAATTAATTGCATACATCCGATGTGTAAACGAATTTTTATTCAATTAATTACTTATTATAATCGCAACTTATAGTATTATTTTTGGGAAATTCATTTCATGTTATTTTCAACTGCATTTCAATTAGTAAAAAAGCTTAATTTTTTTTATCCCTTTACAGTAAAATGGTTATTTTTAATTGAATTTTAAAACTCATGTCGAAGAAAAAATCTTTTCAATTTAATTAAATTTAATTTTTGTATGCGGATCACTTAAGATCATATGTCGCATTAATTAATTAAACTTAAATGCGGTGAGTGAAAATTTAACTCGATGTCAACATGAGTATGAGAATATGCTTCTGCATGCTAACGCAAAATCGTTCTGATGAGGAGTAAAAAAATAAAAAAATAAATAAATATGTAGTATTTCGGCAATCAAGAGATTTAATCTTGAAAAGCTACAATTCAAACGATTATCTTATATTTGGGAGTTTATTTGCTGAATATTTGTTTCTTAAGCAGCTATTGAGAGGTTTAACGTTCCTTTCTGAGAACAAATTATCATAAAAAATTCGTTACTGTCTTGTAAAACAATCGTAAATAATTGAATATATTTTATGCATCTTGAGTTTTTTAAAAAAAAAATGACAAAATTCTTTTCGAGAAACTGAAATGAAGATTTCGTCTATCAAGCAATGCTTTAAATTTCACAACAAATGTAAGACAGTGAAGATCATGATAGCATTACGTATCGTGTTACAAAATAAGTGCTCGGTCATTTGTTCGCAATGAAATTTCATGAACGACTCGTAATGGTGCATTTATACATTATGTCTAAAATTTAAGATGGGATATTAATGCAACGTATGAGAAGTTTTGCTGGTGACACCATTAACTAGCATTTGTTAACCAGCTTTATATTAGAAATTATGATTGTCATGAATCACCAAAAAAAAGTAGGGAGACATGGGTGTGAATGAATATTCGTTGTACGTGATTTTTAAATAACCCCAAAGAGTTTCTTGATTTCTTTCTTTTATTTCAGTGATTTCAGTGGAAGAAAGGCTTAAATGATACAGAGTATCGCTATCATTATTTGTATGATTGCACGTTTTAGATGTTTTATTACAGCATTCCAAATCATTTAAAAATCAACATTCAATTGATGAAGTTTTCGATTTACATAAAGGAAATTGCAACCTTTAAGCATTCGATTGCTACAGACATTCGCATACTTAAATACATTCATTTGAGAATGTAAATTTGCTTCTTCGAATCACTTTATTCTCTTCTCTTATTAGAAGCTTTATACCTATATACGTATACAGCTCATTCCATTGAAGATAATGATAACGAGCAAAGAATTTGCTACCGTTAGAAAGCAAGAGAAACAATTTGTCAGTTCATTAGCATCCACTTATTTGATGTAAATTTTCATTTAATAGAATTTATGGACGCCCCTGAAGTAAACATATAATTGACTCGTAATTAATTGAATCATAAATTAATAGATTGACAAATTAGACATTTAATAAAAGGTAATTTAAAAAAAAAAAAGAATGCGATACAAAAATTCCAATGTTCCTGTTTTCCAATAGTCAATGATTTAATCGGTATGTAACTAAGCTGAGAAACGTGACTTTGCCATACTAATTGCTAATTGAAAAATGTTCGTAATAGGTTTTTTAATGTTTTTACTTCAAAATCGATTCTCATTTAGATATTGCAAAAAAAATATTACACGTTCCTTAATACTTTTAGTTGCACTTTGACAAATTTACATTAATTATTTTATTGCTAATCAAAAATATGCGCTCACTAAAGTTATTTCCTTACTTGTTTCATATATAAATGAATTTGTTTATAAATAACAGCAGTAAGTCTAGAGAAAAATAACTGCATAAATAAATAACTGACTGACATGTCAAAGTCAGACCTTTATTGAACTAAAGGCGTGTCCACTTCTCATCTATCGACTAGACTAGACTGTACTTGATTCAATCTAAAAACATATATCTTAGCTTTTCTTATGAAATAATTTAGACATGACCTTATCCAGTTCCATTATTACAAGACGTTTATCAAATTTCAACCGAAAGAAAACGAGAAATATTAAATTAGATCTTTAAGTAGCGAGCGACATAAAAGCATGTTGGAAATGATATGTGTAATAATGCGAATGCAATATTATCCTCGCAGAAAAGAATTTTATAACGAAAAAAAAGATGCAATTGCGCTTACATTAAAGTGAGAATTTTGATACAATTTTATTATGAGTACATAAGTCAGTGTATTTACTGGCTGAAGAAAAATATGAAATGAATTGAAAAACGTGGAATATTAAAGAAAATATATTAATGTGATCGTCGAATAATTACGAACGCAATTGCATTTTGATGGGAGTTGAAGCAATTATTCTTTTTTTTTTGGAATTTTTGTGAATTACGTTATTTTGGACAGGCAATTGTGCTATTGATCATAAACTCACGAGGACCTGCGAATTTCATAAAGCAAATTTTGTATAAGAGATTCTGATATATTCTCGGGTTTTTGGGGTTTTTCAAAACATTCCGTGAAGTCTCTGCCAAAAGCTATTGAACACAGAATTTAAAGATTAAAATTATCTCAAAAGGGAAATCAGAAGAATTAAATATAAAGTAAAACAAAATTTCTACATGACCCACTAAGTTTTATAAAATATACGACCAACTAGACCAAGTTATAAAATATTAATAAAGCAGCATAGTAATAATATAAGCTTCCAGTCCGCATTGTGTTTTTACGCGGTGCGATGAGCTAGAGATCCTGATTGATAATAGCAGCACCTTAGTTTTAATAGTTTTCTATCTAAAGTCCAAAAAGAACTGACAAAAAAAACTACGAGTTTAGTCCTCAATCCCCTAGACCTGACCAACCATCTGTAATAAGAGATGAATTTTCAAACCTGTTCTATTTAAATCCAAAAAAATACATAGACTACAAAGTCCATTCACTCAACATTGTGAGATACTGCACAAAGCATTTTTCAGTTCTTATTTTTATATACACTTTTTTGCGCGCGCGATGCATTCACATTTTACACATATATATAAATATGAATAGATGGAATGAAAGGAATTAAACGAGAGTGAGAAGAGAAGTAAGTCAATAAACTCGCAAAATAAATATAAAAATAAATAAAGACGAAAGGAACTTGGTGGAATGCACAAATGCACATCATATTTAACTGGACATACACGCATTGCACTTCTTCTCTACATAAATACGATGATGTCGAGTATATATTTATACATGTTCGTCTAGTGGAGTGCAAGCTTGATTTAAAATAAATCTGACATATGCCAGGATATATTATTGATTCACATACAACAACGAACATCATACCACCATTGATGACCATTAAAAATTTAATGATTTTAATAATAACTGTTAAATGTGTTCAATCGTGTTTCATAAAAGATCATTGAAGGGAAAATGAAATTAGTTCAGATTTGTTAACATGTGAAACAATAAACAATATTAAAAGATTTTCGATCTGTTCCATGTATTGATGAATTTAGTTGTCACATCCTATTGGTAGCTGCTTCATTAACTGCAAAAATTGCCATTTTTACGGTAAATTTCTACGAACATAAAACGAATTCATCGTTGTAAGAGTATAAAAGGCTTAGCATATTTTTCATTCAGCACTAAATGTTGTGTGAAAGACAGTTTGTTCATTCATATTTTTAGCAACTAATTCGGGCTATTTTGCCAGTCGTGTTCAAGATCTCACTTGATGAATGAAATTAATTTCACTTCAACGTTCATCAAACTTCAATTTATCATATTTAGTTTAGTCTCTGACTTTTGATGCTCATGTCTAACGTTTAAGCATTTATTTTAAGGTTGAACGAATTCTTAAGCATTCAAATTGAAATTGAATTTAATCAATTATAATATTTTCGACATCCAGCAGCAGAATTTAGTCACAAAATGCATAAATTCAAATTTTAAATGCTTAAATCTAATTCCAGCTCTGGTCATAAACCAATTAAAATCTCCAACCTAAGTATTATAAACGAGAATAGAACTTCAAAATCATTAAATATTACATTAAGCGCATTAAAGTCATAAAACGTGCTTCATAGACTAGTTTCTTCTTCATATTCTTTTGACTTCGTTTGCCGAAACGAATTAAAGCCATAAAAAATCAATGAATTGATCATAATCAATTATGAATGCGATAAGGACATTGAGTGAGGTATGTTTTGTGGTATTCGCATCAACAGCAAAAAAGAGGATGTATATTTCAATAATGTTCACCCATTTAACGAGAAAGAAAACAAGTTGAGCATATATACCCGAAAGAGAAGAATTACTCATGCGTCTGATTGTTGTTTCAAAATATTTTCACTGTTCCGCGAAATATTTCTCATTTTTTTGCGCTTGTTTCTTCTCATCATCACATTAATACGATCGTATATACACATATAATATCGTCAGTATGCATTAGAATGTGAAGCGGTTAGTGGGTCATCGTAAAAATATTTTTAGAAAAAAAAAATTATTGCATAACAAATGACCGAGAGTGTGTCTGGAGGCAGCCAATAAGTGGCAATAAGAGAACAAGCAGAAAAAGAAGTCTTTGATGGTTAAATTATGCAAATTCTGTTCGATGATACTTGAATATAATATTTTTATTTTATTTTTCACTTTTTTTTCTGTTTGGTTGATGTTTCTTTTTGTGTGCATTTTTTTTGGGAATGAAAATGAAAATCAACATGAGAGAAAATAAAAACGTCACTTTTTTCTTCGTCTGCAAAAATTTTAAATTGAAATTTTTTATGATCTTTAAAAAGCATTTTTAGTGAAATTTAATGAATACATGTGTATCGTAAATCCTCAATATGAACAAAAAGGAAGGAATAAATGTGTGTATAAAAATATTTTTTTTTCGGCAATTAAATTTCGAACATGATAAGATATTCATTTAATACAATTTTTATGACTGCTCCTATCATCTGTCAATTGGCATTGGCCTTCTTCTTCTATTAAGAAAATTCATATAGTGAATGCAGACATTTGGTAAATATTTGAGTAACAAAACACAAAAAAAAAATGCAGACTTGAATCGATTCGCTTATTCGTTCGTTTGTATACATGCAGTTCATAAGTTTTCTTTCGCGTAGTTTTGTGGAATTCTAATGCTGAATCCGTATGCATTTTGATTGACTGGTTGCTCTCATTTTTTTTTTTTTATTTCTATTAAATTTTTAATGTGATGAAAGCTATTTGTAAAATTGATCTGAGCATTATAATAGATTTTTCCGAAAGGATCCTCAAAGGGCCAATAAAACTTGAAATTTTAAACAATTTATTTAAAAATCATAAACTTAAAATTATAGACTTATATAAAGTTCATTTCAAGGGCTTAAAAAGGACAGTCCAACATCAACTTTTGCAGTGGAGTAACTGAATGACAACAGGGATTTCAAACTTAAGTATTTTACAGAAAAAGTCTGAAAACACAAAAAAGGACTTAAAATATTTGTATTCGTCAAATCTCATGCATGTGAGTTGACACTTTTGATGAAACCATAGCTTCAAAAACTCAACCTGCTCAATTGATTAAAGTCAGAATTTTTTTAAAAAAGTTATAATCACCGCAAAGGATACCCTTCTCTTGACACGTCATTTGATATACCCTTAAATTAATTTTTAATAACAAACTTAATAAACATTAAAAATGCGCCTACGTCACTTTTGATAACATCGCGCACTTTTTCTTTTCTCAAGTATATCGTAAATTTGACTTTGACCAAGAATTTTTTTTTTCTTTACAGAGGAAGGCTCTGATAATTCCTGCAAACAATATCTCGATAAATAATCAGTTAATTTGTCCGCGAACGAGCTGCGAGAAAACGAGACGAGTCACCAAATCATGATAAATGATTTTTGTCTGTCTGGACGAGGACTTTTTTTGTCTGTATGTCGTGGCACATTGCAATAGATGACCTTCTAAAAATGACACACAAAAATTATAATAATTTTAAACGACAGACAGTATTATGCAAAAAAAATATGTGTATTCTTTTGACTTTTCTTCTTTTCCACTTTTTTCTTTTCATTTCTCTTTCAATATTAATATAGTCGATGAATGGAAAAATTAGTCAACTGTATGTGAGGAATTTTTCATGAATAGTTACCTCACTGTTTCTACTTCTACGTACTTAATGAAGTCTTTCTAGGAAAACTTTTTGCAACTGACCTTCTAAGAACCTTTTAAAAACAAATTTGGAAGAATTTCTAAAACAAAAGAATATTTCATATATTACAGTAGAATTGAGTCATGATTCATTACACTTTTAAAGGTATATCTCACATTTGATATTAATTTTATAAAAGTTTTAGTTTGAATTGATTTTTGCGGTCAGATTTTTTTTTTCTTTTGCTCAGAATTTCGTCAATTTCACATTAGTCATTTTGAAATTAGAGATTCTTCGACTGCCTTCCTGTTTAAAAAACTAAATATCGAATTCATCATAACATCTTCTGCTTACTCTAAACAGAAATAATCTTAATATAAATTATCAAAGATTTCTAAGGAAGTGTTTGAGGTTTTGTATAAAAATTATACTCAAGGATCAGCCATGATATTTTATTTGTTACCAGGCTGATAGCTTACACACTTTTGGCCTGTACTGTTAATATATTAAGATGTACGAAGATTAATTGCAACTTAATTAATTGAATTTAGTCATTTTTTTTTGGTCAGAATCGACTGAACTTTAAAAGTATTATAAGTTTAGTTTTAGATTTGTCATGGACAAAAATTAAAAATCAAATTTATTACAGAAAGAGAAAACTCAGCTTATATGCGTACATAAATGTTAAAATCTAAGACTTAATTAATAAACTGATGAAATATTTTAATTTCCTCAATATTCTCTCTTGCCACGCGCCTGTTTACAAGATAATCATATAATATAGTTCGGAAGCATATATTGCATAGATAAGCCTGATTAAAAAGCCATTAGATTAACTGATTATACTTAAATGACGGATAAATGGATTTAGATAAGCGCCTTGATAATCAAATAACAAAAACTGAACAAATATCCAAGACTATGATTTCATAAGAGCCTAAAATTCACATTAACTAGAAGTAAGAGGTATCAAATGAAAATTGAGATTGTGCACTAAAACAGATTTAACGAAATTCATTGAGTTGTCTCAAACTTTTGTTTAGACTGGATTTAAGGTGTCCGGTGATTAATAAAAATTAAGATTATTAATACACAAACACACGATTATTATTCAAACCCTCAAAATTCTTAAGAAATCTTTATATGCAAATTGAATAATTAATGGTGCTTATGAATGCAATGAATTGTCACTTTTAACAGACTTCTTGAGAAGACAAATAATTAATTAGGTACTTAAACCCAACAAGTTATTAAAATTGACATTGAATTTGTTCTAGACTGTAATGAAAGTATTCAAAATATTGAACTTTTCTGGCAACCTTTGAGGACTTGAATTCTTAATTTAGGCTTATAAAAATAACAACAATGAAATTTTTTTTGGGAACATTTCTGCAGTTGTAGATTGTGAAGTGAGATGAAAAATTCAATAATTATTGGAGACGGGATTTTGGGAATAATGATTTTGGGTATCAGATTGGTAAAGCAATATAAAATCAATCCTGAATTTTATTGATAGTCATTTTACTAGATTTTAATATATTCAAGTGTAGTTTCCTATAAATTAAGATTAAACATCTTCAGATTGTTTTAAAAATCGCTTTCTTCATAAATAATTAAAGACATAAATTCATTCATTCTTTTTCCTTAAATTTCAATATTTTGTCTAAACAAAAAGTTTGTTTTTAAAAATCTGAAGTGAAAAGTCAACACGAGAGGCATACAGTTACAAATAAAAACAAAAGACTTCTTGTTCCAAGCATTTTAATTGTGTTAAAACATCTTACCATTCGATAAGACTTTTCAAACTTACATGCGCGAGCTGATTATTTTATTTTTGTTCATAGCAGTCAAAATAAGTTAATTTTAAGATCAATTGAGCCCCAATATTAAATTTCCATTGAGTCACAAAAGATACACAGAATCCGCACACACATTTAAAGACTCTTAAACCTATCATTACATTAAGCCAAAAATTAATGAAATCTCATTCGAGGATTTTACATCATCATATCAAATTAACACGTCGCGAGAGAATAAAAGTCATTGAAAATTTATAAACTTAACTGATGCAATAAATAAAATTCTTCTTTGCAATAAAATCAAGTCTGATTATTTATCAATCAAAAACGAACAGAAAAAAAGGGAGACTCACCATCACAAAAATGAAGAATTTGACTCAAAATTATTGTCACTAAGCACAGATAAATTTTTACGTAACACATTATGTTTAATTCTTTACTGGAACATTAATTTTCTTATTATTGACAAAAAATCACTGATTAATTTTACGGCCTACTTGAAGAAATTATTGTTATCATCACAATTTTTTTTCTCGTATTTCAGAAATCAACAAGTACACATGCTTCAGTATTATTATTTCGCACAGAATATTTTATTTGCCGTATGAATTTCACATTGAATAACTTATAGCTTCAAATTTACGATCTTTTTCGAGTATTTTTTGAAAATATTTTTTCTGATCCTTAAAGTTTTTTTTTTCTCGCAACTTAATTTAATTGACTTTTACTTAATATTTCACACAACAACGTTATCGGACTACGTCTTTTGCATTCAACAACTGGCAAGAAACTAAGCTCGAGAAATACAATTTTTTTTTATTTTTTCATGTGAGGAAAGAAAAAAAAATTGAAATGAAAAAAGTTCTGGCAGGCAGTCCAAGCAGCCTGTGTGTATATGTGGTTTGCTCATAACGTTATGTCTCTCGTCATTGGATGTATGTAATGAAAGCAAAAGAAAAAAAAAATATTGTGAGTAAGTACTCGTGGTATCATTCAGTCAGTTTATGAAAGAATATAAAATTCCCAAAAAAAAAGTTTTTCTTTCCTTTACGGCGATTTTTACATCACATATTGTTTTATTTCTCTCATTCTCTCGTCGTATTCACTTTTCTTCTGTGAGTTGAGTCTTGTAACTCTCTTACATCGATACAATATTATTAGTATTATATATATGTGCGATATACATCGGCTCTGTCGCTCTGTTCACTTATTTTTTTTTCGTTCATTCATTGCAATGCACAATTGCAACAAAAATGCGTTCATGAACTTGACTTTGAGAAATAAAAAAAAGAATGTGCATATATGTGCAACAAATTGGCAGGTGGTTTTATTTTATCTGTCTCCTTTCTTTACTCTTTATTTTACATTCATTTACACCGTCATTGCATCTAATCTGCATGAATTATTTTATTTTAATTATTTTAAAGAGTAAGTTTATTTATTCATAGCGGCTCACATGTGATGGCTTTAAAAATGAAACTCAAACATAATTTTTAAAATAAGTTGGTTAATTACGGTGCATTGTGGACTAGGGTGCATTTTTCACTGTTGTAAGTTAAAGCAGTCGAGTTCTTGGTTAAGAATCATTTAATTAATTTATGGGTCGTTAACCAAACGATGTTTATTAAAATAGCAATTGATTCCGTTCTGTACAAAATAAAACCAAACTCAAACCTTCTATTGCTTTGTTTAAAAACGAATCCTTAGAGATTTGAAACTTCATTTTTTACATCGTGAGTATTTTGAGGCAGTATTAATTTTGTTTCTAAAATCTATATCACATTGATGAATAAAATCTATTAAATCGGTTAACATCAATTAAGAACAGGTCCACGTTGATCAAAAAAGTGAAAAGTTTGTCAAAAATTCAGCTTATATGCTTATGTTGTAGACATTGGTCCTTAGTTTATAGGAAAAATAATTGTTTCTCCTGGAAGTGCTTGGTCCACGAGAAAAGAAGGTTTGAATTTTTGTCCTTCATGTAATTTTTAAAATGCTATTGTGCTTGACTTACTTATCCGTTTGTCTTCATACTTTTTTTATTTCATAGATACAAGTTAAAGTTTTTTTATAAATATCCACATGATATACTTTTTGTGCATATTGGTTCCTAAAAATTGAAAAAAGTTCGAAAAAACCAGGTTTTTTTGGCATTTTTTGGACCTCGTGACTATATAAGACTTTCTATTTTTTTAGAATGCAGTATATTGTAGATCTCATTTATATCTACAATTATTACATGCATGATTTACAGATTATATGTATTTTGAGTAGTGAAAATTAACTTTGAAGTCAAAAATTTGCAAATTTTTTGCTATATTCTCAATTGTGATCCACTGTCCATGTCCGGCTCCCAAATTTTATTTCATTAATTTGTAGATTTTAGTATGCTCTATCAATTAATGCAATAATAAAAAGAATCACTTGCCGGAAAGCTTTAAAATATGAGCCTGAAGTTGGTCTAGTGAGGTATCTCAAAATTCAAAATAAATTTTCACATACCAGTCTTAATGAAAGAACTGAAATTTTCAGGTTTTATTCAAAAAGCAATGTACTTAACATCCACAACAAAAGTTTTAATTAAAAACACAATTTTGTTGAAAATTTAGGCAAAAAGTGATATATGATGTTATGAAACCATTAAATGCTCAATAAAGCTACTATAACTGGTTTAAATCAAAATATTTCTGCAATTTTCATATAGGTCATTTAAAAAGCTTTCTAATAGTGTATAATAAGTCATATAAATATGTAATTTCTAGTAAATATCATCAAAAGTTTAAAAAATGTATCAAATTTTAACGAATCTGAAAACCTATGCTTGACATTTTTGCTTAGAACTATTGTAAATCGTAAGCATATGCAATAATTTTGGTATTGGTAGAAAGCTCAAAGTAGTGTTGATGTATTTAAAAAGAAATTGAAGCTCATTGGCAGCTAGGAAAACAGATATGCTAGGTCCAATATGTCATACTTTGACTGCCACTACTAGGCACAAAGGTCATTCCACTTTTAATTTTTGGACTTTTTTCTATAGATCTATGCTAGAACTATAATATAAATTCCATAAAAGTAGTTTTTCATGGTTGACTGAAACAAAATTGTCTAAATAAAAACCTTAAAATTTTCGATTTTTTGATTAAATGCATTTACTGGCATTTACTATTTTACTGAAATTAACATCGGAAATCTACTTTTATGGAATTTATATTATAGTTCTAGCATAGATCTATAGAAAAAAGTCCAAAAATTAAAAGTAGAATGACCTTTGTGCCTAGTAGTGGCAGTCAAAGTATGACATATTGGACCTAGCATATCTGTTTTCCTAGCTGCCAATGAGCTTCAATTTCTTTTTAAATACATCAACACTACTTTAAGCTTTCTACCAATACCAAAATTATTGCATATACTTAAGATTTACAATAGTTCTAAGCAAAACTGTCAAGCATAGGTTTTCAGATTCGTTAAAATTTGATACATTTTTTTAAATTTTGATGATATTTACTAGAAATCACATCTTAATATGACTTATTATATATTATTGGAAAGCTTTTTAAATGAACTATATGAAAATTGTAGATATGTTTTGATTTTAACTAGTTATAGTAGCTTTATTGAGCATTTAATGGTTTCATAACATCATATATCACTTTTTGCCTAAATTTTCAACAAAATTGTGTTTTTAATTAAAACTTTTGTTGTGGATGTTAAGTACATTGCTTTTTGAATAAAACCTGAAAATTTCAGTTCTTTCATTAAGACTGGTATGTGAAAATTTATTTTGAATTTTGAGATACCTCACTAGACCAACTTCAGGCTCATATTTTAAAGCTTTCCGGCAAGTGATTCTTTTTATTATTGCATTAATTGATAGAGCATACTAAAATCTACAAATTAATGAAATAAAATTTGGGAGCCGGACATGGACAGTGGATCATAATTGAGAATAAAGAAAAAAATATGCAAATTTTTGACTTCAAAGTTAATTTTCACTACTCAAAATACATAAAATCTGTAGATTATGCATGTAATAATTTTAGTTATAAATAAGATCTACAATATACTGCATTCTAAAAAAATAGAAAGTCTTATATAGTCACGAGGTCCAAAAAATGCCAAAAAAACCTGGTTTTTTCGAACTTTTTTCAATTTTTAGGAACCAATATGCACAAAAAGTATATCATGTGGATATTTATAAAAAAAACTCTAACTTGTATCTATGAAATAAAAAAAGTTTGAAGACAAACGGATAAGTAAGTCAAGCACAATAGCATTTTAAAAAAAATTACATGAAGGACAAAAACTCAAACCTTCTTTTCTCGTGGACCAGGCACTTCCAGGGATAAAAATTATTTTTCCTATAAACTAGGGACCAATGTCTACAACATAAGCATATGAGCTGAATTTTTGACAAACTTTTCACTTTTTTGATCAACGCCATTAAAATTATGACAAATGCAGTAAAAGGTAAGAGCAGAGTTGTAAGTTGTAAGGATACCTTTGCACAATTATATTTTTTTAAAAAAAACCTTTACCTATGGGGCCATTCAATTATGACGTCCTAAATTAACGGTCATTTTTATTGTTCTTTTTTTGCTGATCCCCCCCCCCCCCCCCCTGGACGTCATAAGTGAACGGTTCCTATTCAGATCAATTGTGAGGTGCGCTAGGGCGTTTTGCAGCTAATGAGAATTTAACGAGTTAGGATGTGCCAAACCACTGCACTCAAACCTAGACCTACAATTTATAGTGGGATCCGAACCACTCCTTTGCTGACATTTCTGCCTGTAGCCTACAATGCATGGTTATGAGCCTCGTTGTCAGTACATATGTATAATTCTAAAAGGGACAAGTGAAAAATTTCTCATATCCAGTCTCGAGCCTATGACAGCTGTGTCGGTATTGCCATTATTAAGTACCGAAGTACTAAACCATTCCACTATCGAGCCACTTCAACTCACTCAATAATATTTAAACTCTCTAAAATAAGATATCCTTAAAGATCCTAGCCATATTTTTTTAAATTTTCTAAGAACAAGATTCTTTGGATGATAAATCTTTCATGATAGGATGCTTTAAATATCAAAATGTTTCTTGATCAAGACAACGTGATTTTTTTCAAATTATAGATCAAGTGTAAAATATTGAAATTTCCAATTATCATAGACTTTGACTAGAAAATAACGATGAATGTTATCAAAGATCTAAATTTTCAACAGCAATTCGAAAATCTTCGTGATTATTGCTTTATAGTAACAGAAAACTTCACAAAATTATAAGATTCACAACAGTAATAAGCACTCAACAATTCAATGTATCAAAGTAATTTTTACAGATAATTTAAAGCTTCCTGCACAGGTAACCAAGTCACACATGGAGGGAGCGAATAAAAGAAGGCATATCTGATTTGATTAAGCCAGTCAAAGTGAATGCATGGCTGAAAATCTGAATAAAAACCGGCTGTTAAACTTAATTCCAGAGAAGCATAAAAATAAAAATTTATTAATTTCATAAATCAGGCATTAAATGAGTACCCTTACGTGACGTGACGACATTTAAAATTATTATTGTTATTATGAAAAAAAATTATTATCGTTGCTATCAAAAATGCAACAGAGTTCATTCATAAAGTTTATTTATATGCTGTGCATTTGTACGAATGAAATGAATGGTGTTTATGCTATTAGTGAAACGGGTCAATTCACATGAAATGCAAGGAAAATGTTTGTACATATTTTGTGGTCAGTAGCTTTCAAAATAAATCTTTGACTTTAATTCTCTATTGTCTGCTCTTTTTTTTCTAAGTAAATGCAAAAATGAAATGCATGAAGTAACAAAATTGCAACAAACTTACTTGAGATTTCCTTTTTAAATTTTGTTGCTGCTTTTTTTTTCTTTACTTCATTCCATTGTTGCATGAAAACTGTACAGCAATAGAAAATAATGATCTTTCCAATTATTTCTCTTTCTATCTAATAAACAATAAACAACTTTTTATGTCTAAGCTCACCTTTTGTTTCATTTTGTTAACGAAATTTATTAAGAAAATAGATACAGGAATAGAAGCATGCAATACTGAAATAAAGCAACCATTTTTAACTATTCTTGGATTACATTCTTCTATCTCATTCGTCACATTTGAAAATTTTGGCATGTTCTAACGGAACAAATCCATATGCACAGTTGAAATTCTTTAACAAGTCGGAATACATCAATTCAAACAGATCAACGCAAATGTTTGTGCCTAAATGTCAAATATCTACAAATTAAATGAATCAGGTCCAAAAATGTGTAGAAAAATGTGTGGAATATTTTCATCTCCATATGTCACAAATTAAAGAACTAGGGATCGCTGGCAATGATATGCATACATTAGCAAATCGGTACTTTCAGACCAACATCTGAAATCTTGATTGTAGAACCCAGATTCTAGACGTAGCAAGTGAATGAAACAAGCAGTCTCTATGTCTTTATGATCCGACTGTTTATTGTAGGATATGATGAACTTTATAAGGGGAAAGAGCATTAAATTCATCGCAATCAATACGAATGTATATTTTTCTGCTGTCCATACACAGACTCTGTATTTATTAATAAACATAAACTAAAATAAAATATAGAGGAAATCATAGATCAGAGAAGTTGATGTGTGAAAATGTACATCTTTCAGTGATGAAAATGAAATTTCCATGCATTCAGTTTCCTCATTGACATTGCATTTTTATTTATTCCAATGAACTCATCACAGTAGATACGTACAATAAAATATTATAATAATAATTGAAGATGCTACAGTCAGTCTACGTAATATGGTAATGCTAGCAATAAGAGTAATGGCAGGAATATATATGATGATATAGTTCGCTCTTTGCAATTGCAATGAAAATGGACAATCGACACTTGACACGCATTCGCGAATTAAGAAAATTATACCCGTAAAATGAAAAGAACTTTCACGTTGCACGATTGTATATTTTTTTATTATCGCTCTTTTTAAGGCATGGGGCGTGCAAAGAAATGTACACACATATAAATTTTAAGTTTTATATATTTTTGCTGAAGAGTGCGAAGAGGAAATTAAGAAAATAAATTTATTGCACACCAAATGTTCTTAATGATATCAAAACACCAAATTATCATAGAGAATTTTACATTTTTTTTATTGACGGCTTTCGGACAGCACATTTAATTAAATAAAGTAAATTTCCTAGTCAATGAATATAAATGCTATTAGTTTTCATCGTCTTTTCTTAACTTATTATATCTCTCTTGAGTTTTGGACCAAATTTCTTGCTTCTTCTTATTACTCGTTCCGTCCAGTGATGCATTTTTCGAAACATTTTCAAGACCCAATCCACTTGTACCTTGTTGTGCTTTTAATTGAACTGGTACCTTAATTCCGCTATCAGATTTTCCAAGTGATGAACCTTCATTCCATCCCATCTTTGATAGAAGCTTAAAACCTTTATTTTCACTGCTGATTGATTTATCGACCGAGGCTTGAACTGTTTTTTCGTGATCATGTGAACTGCCAACTTTTATTCGTCTTTTTGATGCACGATCTTCATAATTTTTATTATTTGTACCTGGCTGTTTCTCTTGATATTTATCCGATTCCAAGCCATAACGCTTTTGAAGAAGCTTAAGCTGTTCTTTATGTGATAAAGATGGTACGAATTCCTCTACTGGCTTAACAGGTTGTTCTTGTGGTTTTTGTGCATAATTAAATGGTTCACATTCATCGCATGTCTGAAGACCCTCATGAATGTGAGCTAATAGTTTTATGTGCGCAATTTCCAATGTGTCACCATGATGTAGACTTTGCGGTTCACATTCTTCTTTCCGCAGCAAAGAAATTTCTCTACCATTCAATAATGTTCCGTTTCTTGACTTGTCAGTAAATTCGTACAATTTCTTCTTGTTATTGTATATAAATCTCAAATGTTCTTTTGATACATTCTCAGCAGTTAGTAGAACTTCATGATCACCCTCTCGTCCTAGTGTACCTCCTTTGAATGTGACAAGAAAGAGTTTTCCCATTGAAATGCTGCTCACGTTAGATTCTAACACAATTAATCGTAAACTCGGTGGATACTTCTTAGCGATTTCTGAAAGTAGAGCAAGAAAATAAAGTTTTGTAGAAAAATATGTGCTGGCTAATGCTTTTCTAAGTATTCTTATTCATCAGATGCACGACTCGTGAAATATCCCTGAAAAATGTACCTTCATATTCATTTCCCTTCTTCTTCTTTCTACGTTTTCTCTGAAGATTCTCACGGAATTCAGCCTCTAATTTTTGATCGGAATCTGAAGAATCACTTGTATCTAACTCTCCATCCTCTCTGGTCTTACTATTCGATCTTGATCGTTTCTCTTTCTTTTTACGATGACGACTACGTGAGCGACTTTTTGATCGAGATCTGGATCTATGCCGATTTTTTCTATTACTCTGATCACTAGCAGAGGAGTCATCACTTGTTGAATAATGTCTTTTGCGACTTTCAACATTCTTGTTTTTTTTATCATCGTAAACCGACACTTTTTCTTGACATTTCAGAGGTTGTCGACTGTCCTCTAGTATTTTCCTTATTGCCTCTTCTTCTTCAATTTCATTCTGTAAAAGATATAAAAAGAGGCATCTTATTCACAATGTTCATTGTGCTACACACCTAATGCATGTTTTTGCAGGTTCTTGATCTTTAGAGTTTTAAAATCATTTATTAAGGAGTCTATGGAATTTTGTTGAACCTATAAGAGTGAGATGAGAAAATATGGAAATAAAATATTTACAAGCATAGAAGTATAAAGTGATTTATAGAGAATGAGTGTGAACTTATAAAATCGTATGTTTGTGTTACCTTTTTAACAGCTTTTGCAGCTTCAGTTTCTGAATGGAAGGTAAATTCGTTTGTTATGGGATTCAGTCTGTGCCAAGTGCCTTTATTTCCATCATAATAAAGGTCAGTTTGAGGATTATAATAGTATCCAGTCTTACTGTCCCAGTATAGGCCACTAGTGGGTTCATATATGAATCCAGCTTGTTCGTAAGCATTCACCATAGCTTGACTTTTGATTTCGTTAATAAAGTCAGCAACATTTTCGTCTCTTTTTGCACTCTTATCAACTGGTGGTTTTTGTTGTATTTTCTCATCTTTAAGCTCTTCTTGTTGTGTTTTATTAATATGAGCATCAAGTTTTGATAGAAACTCCTAAATTAACGGGGGAAACAGTCTTGTAAGCAACCGGTACTTTAAACGAAATTTGCATAATCATACCAATTTCTTTATCTTCAGCGATAATTTCTTAATTTTCTTCTTCTGACTCGTTATTTTAGCATATAGTTTTTGTATATGGATGAAAACATCCTTTACGTTTAGGCTTAAAAGGTCGGTTACTTTAAAATATTTTGTATTACGCTTAATTTTCCTCATTTTCTGAGGACTACTTTTGAACACTGAAAAGGTAGTCGTAAACAAATTGTGGATTATATTGGGGATTTTCGCTTAAATGCAAAAACATCGTTACAGTTTACCTGATGTTGAGAATCAACAAACTTCAATATTCATCATGTTTATGCTGAATACTGTTGTTTACTTTTACATCAATTACAAAATTATATTTATTTCTCAGCAAGCATGATACAACATTTTTAAAATCAAATTTGGAAAACGTAATTAAATGCAACTTGCATTAAACTTTAAAGAGTGACCATTAAGTTCATGTTGGAACAATACAATTGAACAAAATTAAAAGATTTCAAATTTTTAAGCATAATTAAATAAAAGGGTGAGTAAAAAGATTAAAAATGTCCTTCTGAAACACAAAATAAATGCAAGATGCATTGGCAATAGACATAACGCACAGTATAAAATTCAAAATGGAATCGGTTAATCAGAGATACATGCAGAAGTAAGCTAGTGTTAGTAAAAAAGTTTATGTGAACCGATATAAATTTAATGCAAAAGTAAAATTTTCATGAAATAAATAAGTTGGTAATAAAGTGTTTTATTTAATTAAAAAATGCATTAATCGATAAATTAGTGTTTTAAGATCAATAATCAATGAAAATAAAGCATCAGGATGAATGCATAGTTAACGAAAATAGTTTTAAAATTTGATGGTAAAAAATGTAACTTTTTGCGTGTGTGCGTGCGTCTCTCTTTAGAAAGAAGCGTTTCTTAAAAGCAGCAGCGAGAAAAATTTTGTGAGAAAATTATCATCATAAGGAACTACATGTATTTTAATTACAAGTGAAAATCATGGATTATCATCAATATACCAACTTTATCTTGTTTTATTACATCACTAACTTTATAAAGTGAACGGAAAAACTCGATTAAAAAATTTTGTGCACAAAAGCAATGAATAGAAAATTGAAAAAAGAAGAAAATTTCGCATAAATAATCAAAAAGGAAAGAAAAAAAAAGTGAAGAAAGAAAAGAGAAGAAACTTCCTTTTTTCATTGCCGTCGCAAAAAAGGAAGTAATAATGAGTGTATTAGGTAATTTTCTCAAAGAAGTAATTTCTAAGTGGCGATGCAAAAATACCCCCAAAAAAATGAAATAATCGCAACTACAAAATGTTCATAAAGTTCCATTTCTTAAAAGTGAAAAGATATTCGAGCATTAAATTAATGTGCATTGCAAATATCATAAAGCAAATAAATTGCTTGTTTATCGCGTTCATCAATGAAACAAACTAAATTGAATTAATAACGTACGAGCAAAAAAGAACTGAGTTTATTTTTATTAATTTATTAATGCAGCTTAATTTAACCTGTGATTAATCGAGTCAAATAACTACTTATCAGCACTGTAGCGTTTAATGGCTGTGAAATTTTATTCAATTTCATTTTAGCTCCTTTGTAGAGCTCCATAGACAGCGATAATACGAAAGCGACATTTATTAGAAAATAATTGTCTATTAAGCAGATTTCAGTGTATTATAATTGTGCAATTCATCTTAATCTGTTTAATATTTAGTAACTCATTCATCTCTTTCTCTCTCGAGTCTATAGACTTGTTTGATATTGTGGTTATCTTCTGCAAATTTAACAGATTATTTAGTTTCCGTTTACACACATTTTTATTGTGTTTTGGAGAATGGAGAAAGATTTGAATCTTACATAAAAGTATGCCTCAAAATTTTTATTTTCTTCTGTCTTTATATCTCTTTTTTGCACTTTTAAGCTCTCGTACACAAATTTTTTTTCTTTTCTTTTTTTCTGCCTTAAACATTTTTCTTCTTCATTTGAAACCACACGTTGATTCTTTTTTCGATTTTTTTTATTGTAAACATATATTTAATAGCTTCTTTTAACCTTATGAGAATATTCTCTCATTCACTCTTTATTTCTGTTTGGGTCCATGAAAAATTATCCATGCTTCGGCTGAAAGCCTTTGTACTCACTTCAACATACATACATGTATAAACATTCTTCTTCTGCCTACTCTTTTCGTCTATAATTTTATATATATGTGCCTAGTTGAAGGAATTAATTGAGAGTGAATGAACAAAAAAATTCTAGATCTATATAAATAATTCATAGTGTAATTAAGTAATTATTCAAATTAAACAAAAGCATAATAGAAGAAAATCATAATTATATCGTGTGGCGCAATAAGGAAAAGTTATGTCGTTGAAATGTTCCAGGAAATTTGAATGAATTCAGAAGTTCAGTTTTCTTTCCTTTTCACTCTCCTTTCACTATCTTAATGTTAATATGGGGTGTAAAAAAGCGTCAAATTAGGGTCAAGCACTTCGTTTTCTTCTTCCCAAGTCTCTTTTTCTTTTGTGCGCTCACGTTTGTATATAACAAAAAATATATATTCAAATTCACTTACAGTGCTTGATGGATATGGCGCATTAGATCTTTTTGGCATATTCATCTTAAGTAATGTAGTCAGCAGGGAGTCAACAATTTTTTATTATGATTCCTTGGTCTCAAATAATTAACTTGCAGCTTTTCTAATATTTAGTAGTCCTCTTGCTACTCCTCTGTAGATTTTATAAAAACAAATAAGAGTCAATTAAAGACATAATTATGACAGAATAGGAGATAAGCATTGAAATGCTCTTTTAATTAAGCGGGACAAAATGAACGTGGGAACTAAAATATACTTCAGAAAGACATGCAAAAAATTGATATGCGAGAGAGAAAAAAATATTGATCGATTGTTATTCTCACTAAATAATCATTTGTCTTTGTTAATTTTGTTTTAAGCATAAATGCATTTACAAAGTACTTAGTCGATGTCTCTTTAACTAATCGCTTTAGATTGGACATTTAAGTGAAGTTGAAAGAAATAAAAATTTGTCTACCATGATGGAATAGCATATCAACTGACGGCGGCAACATATTTTCCATCTCTATCGTTTCATGCTTTGTGTGTGCTCATACATAAAGTAAACTACTAATAATCCCTCATAAAAATAACAATAAAAGTGAAAATAAACCCCAATTCTCAGCATCACACAAAAATTGTACATATCAATCAACCCTCCTATACGTTTTTTTTTTTTGTTCCTTTTCCTCCTTTATACATATTTAAAAGTGTGTATTCATTCGTATCGTACACTCTTTTATAGAGCGTGCGGTTTTTCATTGAGAAGAAGCGGAAAAAACTAATATTTCTTCCCTTTTTCCCACTTTGTCTCACATTTGCTACAATAGTTGCATGGTAGACGCTTCAAATTAATTAATTGGATATTTTTTTAATTATATTTTCTCATAAGTTTGAATATAAAACCATCAATTAAGTTTACAATTTAAGGAGGTGTAAACAAATGAATTGTTAAACATCAACATTCATGAGCAATGAAAATTAATTTTTTTTCTCTTCTTCTTCTTTTTATTATTACTCTTTTTATATTCGCGCATTTTCAACTTCATAATGTGTTGTATGAAAATAATTTTAATTGTCGGCACTTTGTCCGATTAACAGTACTTCCCTAATGCTCTTATTTACTTAAAACATAATTAATTTAATCACCTTTATTATGACGATTATGCGACCGTGGAAAATTTTCAATGGGTCTGTTGCTAATGCTATTCGTCGTGTGTGTATTTTATAGTCTCATACAGTTTATTTTCTGTGCGACATTTATCACTTGCCTCTATGGTGTGTCTGGCATACTTCTCTGAAGAAAAGATTTGGTTTTACACATTTCTGTGCTACACTACTTATGTATTCATGATTCTTTTAGACATAAGTTATGATCACTAATGTGAAAATTATTATCCAAATGAGTTCGGATCACGACATGTTTACGAACGGAATGTTATTAATTTAAAATTGAATTGATTTGTCTTCAAAACCAATAAGGGCAATTCTACGAAAAGGTTTCATGAAAATAATCCGTGTCAATTGCATGAAATTTTTTAATTATTTTATTTTCACTTGTGCATAGTTTTTCAAAAATCTAATTCTCATTTTCTTTTCTATTGGTTAAACTGTGAATTATGATTACATCTGCACTCAAATTACTTAGCTATGGATTGAGAAATTCATGGTTTTAATTTTAATATTTGGTAGTTTTTTTTGGAATTGTCTCCAAATTACTCTGTTTCACTTATGAAATTTTTCGTACAATCCAAATTGCAGCTTAATTAAGGCTTCCACAAATATGATTTTGACATCGTTTTGAAGCTTTTACTTTAAGCTATAACTTTGTATACTTAGTATTACTGGAAATTTTACCACCTTAAAGATATTAATGAAAACATTTTGGAAATTTGGGCGAAAAAATTCATGTGAAACAGAGTAATTTTTCGTAGAATGTAAATAATTCTTTAATTAACCATTTTTAATATGTTTGGGTGAGAACATTGTGTAGATATCGGTAAAATCTACTATTAAATACATGAAACATGGGAAGTAATGCAATTGATAAAGAGAAATATAGATTTGGAGACAAATTTGTAGAAAAAATCATTCGTAGAATCGCCCATAAACGACTTTTTGTAAAATTTGTGTAATTAATTTTTTAAACATTTATTTGTTTACATTGCTACTCGCATATTTTGTTCTTAATTTTTGGCTTGAAAAGGAGTTGATTGTTAATTTTAATCCTTAAAGCGACTAATAAAGAGTGAGCAAAGCATTTACAATCATAATCTTCAAGCACATCAACATATTTATTGCAAAAACAGAGAAAATTAAACAAATTTTTTAAATCAAAAACTGTTTAACTTTTGATTTACAAATGTAGCACATTTGCGCTCCAAGCATTTAATCAAATTTTCGTACTTGCTATAAATTAACTTTACTCAAATATTATTAAAGTAAAATACTTAATCACTAATACAAACAGGTAGCAAGTATGCATAAACTTTGTTGCTACATAAATTGACAAAGTTTATAATCTCTTCAAAAAATCTCTCAGAGTTAATATAATTCTAATGATCATGTTTCATTGATGAACTTATTGCCATAATAAAAAAGAAGAGAAGTGAATTTTAAAGAAATAATATTTTTTTTTCTTTTCCATTATTGTTCATAGACAAACTATTATTAACTTTATAAAGGAAATAAAAACATTTTAAGACTGCAATAAAAAAGTAAAATATAGTGGCAAAAATAGTAGAAGAAAAAGCAGTGAAGAAAGGTTTTTTCATATTGTGTTAAAAAGCCTCCAAGTGAAGAAATAGTTGGTCAACAATTATATTTAATAGTATAAAAAATTGTCAACAAAAAAATTTTTATGACTACTATCCTGAAAGTGTTTTAAAAAAACCGCAACAACGGATCCGTCAACGAGCAACGGACGTCGATTAGCGTCTCTAACAGCACGGCTACAAGCCCTGTCTTGCAAAACATCGCACTTCTTTGTGAATAAGTTATGGAAACAACCCCAAGTCCAGCAGAGCCAAGAATAAGAGTGGGTCCTCAGCACCAGGTAGATACATTTATTGTTTTATGGCACATTGCAGTTAATACTCCTTTTTTACAATTCCTTAATATCTTTTTATGGCCATTTGTTTTTGTCATGTAGTCATCTTGTCAGGTATAAAATTTTTAATGTGTCTCCTTGCATTACATAGAAAATTCCTCAAGACTTTTTTATGTTCACGTACGTCCATGGAGACACTCTGTTGTAGTTTACATTATTGTTGTTATTATGGACATGTGATTTGTGTCTATAAATTGTAAAAAATGAACAACTGTAAAAATGATAGCAATTTCATTTACTAACTCCTCTCTACTTTTCATTCCTTTATCGCCATTTTCACCATTATATGATAGGCACAATTGCCAGATTATCAACCAATTCAAAATTACCGTTCCGAAGAAGACGAAGCTAGAGATCTCGAGGATCCACGATGGCGTCCAAATGTATTTCTTGATAATGACTTGTTGATGTATATCACGGCCGCTCGATCAATAGCTGCATTTCAAGGAATGTGTGAAGAAGATGGTTGTATTGCTGCAAGTCGTGATGATACCACAATAACTGCATTTGACGTATTACATGATTCTGATTATGATCCAGGTAAAGCATTAGAAGCATTATTAAAGTGTCCTGTAGCAAAAGGTATTGAGAAAAAATGGACGGAAGAGGAAACTAAACGATTCATAAAAGGCCTCCGTCACTTTGGAAAGAATTTTTTTCGTATTCATAAAGACTTTTTACCACATAAGCCAACTGCTGAATTAGTAGAATTCTACTATTTGTGGAAAAAGACTCCTGGCGCAAATAATAATCGTCCACATCGACGTCGCCGTCAAAGCTCGTTAAGACGTATCCGTAATACACGAACAAATAGTACAGCAAGTAATACAAGCACGAAGAAGGAACAAACTCCCGAACCTCAGGCCCTTACAGAAGTTGCGTCCACGAGAACTTCTTCTGTATCAAAGGCCGAAGAAAATTCCTCAATAAGTGAGGACGAAGCAAGTGAATGTGATAGTGATTCAAGTAATACAAATAAAGGTTCAACAATAGGTGAAGAATCACCGTCCAGGATGAGGACGCGAAACAAACAAACTACAAAAGAACAAAACGCCAGTAAAAGGCCAAAACGTGGTACTGAAACTCCAGAGGCTGCTCCTGTTGAAAGTCCACGAACGCCAAATAGAAATTCATCTGGTGGTGATAGTAAAAAGAAATCAACGAACAATAGTAAAGAGACACCGAGTAAGGGTAAAAAACGGGTTAACAATGACTTGGAAAATGAGACAGAGGATAAAGATGGAATTAAAAGAAAACGCTCTGATGTAAGATATCAACTTTTTTCCTTTCTCAAATTTAGCTTTTTTATTGATAATTGTTATTTCATGTTTATAGAGTCCAGCTGAAAGTCTCACAACCGACAGCAGGCCAGGATCTGTTATGGATGAAGGTGAATCAAACAGTGAGCCAGCTGAAAGTATGATAATGATGTCAAAAGATGGTGAAGAGAAAGATCCACTGTCAATAGTAATGCCAGAAACACCATCGAATGATACACAAGCCGGAAAAGAGGAGCAAAATGAACATCATCGCTCACCGTCGGATGTAGCAACACCAGAAGATGTCGCAGACATTCCAGCCCAGTCATCAAAAACTGCAACAAATAGCAGCAATAGTAATAGTAGTAATAGTAGTAGTAGTGATGAAAAAGAGAAGAAAGTTACAGTTCCGACTTCAGTGGGTGGTGATCAGCCGAAAAATTCAGCAGTTATTACGCCAACCACTCCAAATGCTGTCACAAGTGATACTAAAGATATAGTTCCAAAGGAGCAAGAAATGCTTTCACGGCTGGCTAATATGAAACAGGAAATTATTCCAACCACGCCAACGTCACTTCAGCCATCAGCTACTACAAAAGAGTCTCCAACAACATTTTCAATTAAGAAAGAACCAAATGAATATGAAGTTCCACCAAGTCCGAATGTTACTGATTTGAAAGTAAAAGTAGAGATAAAGAGTGAAGCAGCAAGTAATAATAGTAATAATAAAAATGGATCAAATAATGTAGCGAGTGATATAAGTAATCAAATGCCAAATGATCAAGATAACAATAATAATGCAGAAAATTTAGTATGTAAGCCAAATGAAAAGTTAATAACTGGTGCAGCAACACAACCAACACCAAAAATGGAGGAGAGGCAAACAGCTGGAACTGATTATTCGATGAAAACATTTATGGAACAACAACAACAGTCACAACAATCTCAACAGCAATCATCATCGATACATCCTCCACGTGATGGCTTTAAGATTGAACAAAATGTAAAGAGTGAATCTAAACCTCCACTCGAAGCACACAAACCAATTTTACCAACATTTGTACCAAACGAGAGAGAAGATGGCAAGTTTCCACATGAGCCACCTCCAGGAATGCTTCGTCATTCGTACGAGCCTCTAATGAAATTTGATCCAATGATGAAATATGAGCTACCACATCCTGGCATAGATCTTAAATATTTACCTCCGGAACATGCTAGACTATATGCAGATGGTGCACTTAAGAGTCAATTTTCAGCAGATAATCTTATAAAAGGTTCTTCTCATTATCCACCACCTCATGACTTAAAATACCCACCAAATATGTCATCACAATTACCACCATCATCACAGCCGACATCTCAAACGAATGATGCACCAGCTCATGACTCATCGTCAAGAATAACACCAAATCAAGATTCGCAGGGAAGTAATAGTAATTCTCAACCCTCTACACTTCCTTCACCATCGACGCAATCGCCTTTAACATCACAGTCATCATCATTAAATTCAGCTCCACCACCTCCTACGTCATTTGTGTCACATCCTGGCTTAAGTATAAGTAGTGGGCACTTACCAGCAAATCATCCGTCACTATTAGGAAGTATGCCACCATCTCTAGGACCATCATCTTTACCACCTACATCAAACTCATCGCCTTTCTTACCCATTCCAACAAGTTTGCATAGGCCAGATCCAATTCAATCGACGGGTGGAAGATCATTTTCATCAGCATCCACAACAACAACGTCATCTTCTAATTCTATATCATCGGCCAATAGTGCATTTGGTCCAGGAAATTCATTGTATTCAGCTTCAAGAATGTCTGAAAATAGTCGTGATGGACTGCATGCACCACATAGAACGTCGCCACTTGGGCCTCTTTTACACGGAAGTCCTCATCCGTTATTATCACATCCATTACCATTACATTTAGGACATCCAGGTTTGGCTGGATTACAGCCTCATCCAGGTGCACATTTACCGCCACACTTACACAATCATTTAATGCAACCTTTAGGAGGTGGTGGAAATACACCATTGCCACTTATAGGTGGACCCCAACCTTCAACAAATCCATTGACTAGTTTAATTGAGGCTGCAGGCAGAAGAACTCCAACATCTTCATCAGTTCCTTCATCAATTAATCACATTGCGCCCACGTCACTACACAATTCCGTAATTCAATCTCCCTCAGCTCCATCGAGTCTAAATTCATCATCGTCGTTAAGTCGAACGTCACCTCTTGTGCATCCGTCAGCAGGTGGTGGAGCTTTTACTCACACACATCGACCTCAATCACCAAGTTCTAATCACCCGGCTAATCTAAGTCGAAATAGTCCTTTACATTTGGGAGGTAATCAACAAGGTCTTGGCCCATCACCAGCACAAATGAATGCAGCAGCTGCAGAAAGAGAGCGACATCTTATGAGACAACAATCACCTCATATGACTCCACCACCACCAACTTCATCATCAGGATCTCTCGTACCAAGTCCATTAAGTAAAATGTAAGGCATATACGTTTATTTTATTCATACCAATCTGTTCATTAGATTTGTTGATTTTTATTATAGGCCTGGTGCGAGCCCACCAGTTGTACGTCATCCGACAATGCCATTACCAATTCCATTAGGCATCGGACCATCATCTGGTCTACAAAGCCAAGTAATGCATCCATCTCAAAATCCATACTCACATCATCTCCTGCATCCCTCAATGTTTTATCCTCATAATCCATTCAATTCGCCTTATCCCTATTCACCTTACGGACCATCACCTGGATATCCTTACATGAAAGGAGCAGGACCTCTCGATGCAGGCCCACAACTAATGCCACATCATCCAACCAGTATTCCACCACCAAGAAATGATGAGCCACCATCGCCGCATGCAAACGGTCCAAAGTCTGTGACATCATTACATGATAAAATCAAATCGCCAGCACCATCAAAACCACCTCATAATAATAATAATTCTAGTAATAATAATAGTAGTTCGTCAAACAATCCACAAACACCACAAGGTCCTCATCATCAAGGTCCTTCACCTTACTCCTCGCCGTATGCTCAATCGCATGCATTTATGGAGAATACTCTCCCACCTGGCAAAACGAGTCATATAGAAGCATTGAGAGCTCATGCTGTTAGTGCAGCAGGAATGGGAAGTCATCATCCAACGGAACCAGTTCACATAGATGCCGTTGATATTGAGCCTGATCCTGAGCCTCCAAGTCCCGTTCATCAAATTGATCGAGGTCCGAGTCCCGAAGCCAAACCAGATGATACAGAATGTCATCGATCACAATCAGCAATGTAAGTCACATGCATACCTAAAATTAATAATTTGATTAATAATTTTTTTTTTTTCAAATAGATTCGTTCGACGATGTGATCGTGGTGATTATAATTCATGTACAAGAACAGATTTGGAGTTTAAGCCGACACCCGATTCAAAACTGGCGAGAAAGCGTGAAGAGCGTGATAGGAAATTAGCTGAGAAGGAAAGAGAGAGAAAAGCTCAACAACAAGCAGCACAACAGCAACAGCAACAACAAGCGCAACAAGCAGCAGCGGCAGCTGCAGCACAAGCCAAACTTAAAAACGAAATTAAATCTCCATATCCAGATACGCCTGCATTACGTCAACTAAGTGATTTCGCAAGACCGCATGTTGGATTCAGGTAAGGATTTCATTTTATGGAAATTTGTTGTATGTAGGATTGTGAAGTTATTGACATAAACAATATGACAGGAAATGTTATTTTATAAAATGATTTAGTTGTGTAAAAATAATTATTATATATTTATTATTCTTATTTCTTGGTTCTTTACCAATAGTCCTGTGGAACATATGATTTCACCTTATCATCCACTTTATAATCGTGAGAGGTACGGTGAATTATGATGCTTGTAAAAATTATAAATCTAATACATTCATGCTTCCATACTCTCATAAATTAAAAATTAAATTAGACAAAAAAATCATTGGCTATATAAAATTTATATCAATTGGCATCATATACGAAAATGCACACACATCAATTCATATAAAATCATTCATTTAGATTTATTCTTCTTAGTATGTTTTAAATTAATGCCGATTCTTAATTGATACAAATTGTTTTTTTTTTTGTTCTTTACCAACAGGGAATTCGAAGAACTTAAAAATGCTCAGGGAATGGGACCGAGTCAAACGCATCCTAACTGGATGGAATTTTACAGAAGGTAATTTATCATTTTCCATTTCCACGAGTAGCTTGCTAATTTATTTATGTCATTTACAGAGGTATACATCCGCCTTATCCCATTTATCCGGGAATACAGCAACTTGAGCGTGAACGATTAGGTCTACCACCAGGACCACCTCATGGAATGGAATTGTCAAATGAACAAATGGTGAGTGTCGTGGATGTTAAAATGTTGTTGTTTTTTTCGCATAAGTTGAAGCCATTTCCATTATTCAAACAAACAAAAAAAAATCTCTTTATCTTCATGTTTCGGATTTACATCATTAAATTACTCCTTAATTATTTGTTTTTCATCATCATTGAATTCATCATGATTACAAGAAAAGTCCATCAATTGAAAGGATTTTTTTAAGACAAAAATATTACAAGGCAAAGTCTCAAGACATATGCATTGCTGGATTTTCTCTTTTATTCTCTCATTCATCATACTTTTCTTCATCTTTCCTTTCTATTTACCTACTTTTTTTTTGTTTTATATTTTATCTTATACTTTATGTTATTATTTTGAGGAAAATATGTCTTACGTCTTTTTTATTTTTTCCATATTTTTTTCGACTTTTTTTTCTGTTGTGAACCGAAACTGAAAACTCTCCTTTAAAAAAAATGTTCCTTAATGTCCCCCCAAATCAAATCAAAAAAAAAATATATCTTGTAAAAAACAAATTTGTAAAAAAAATTAGTTACGTTTGGCTGGTGAATATCATGCTCACTCACATACCCATTTACACCTACATTCTTCACAGCAGCCGGAAGCAGTCCAAGGATTTCAACTACCACGTGAGTTTGTATTTCCATCCTTTTGATTGTAAAAGAGGATGCTTTAGACTATCATTAAAAAAATTTCATTACTAATTGTGATTTTCTTTCATCTTTTAGCGAATGTCCCTCCCTATCGACCGAATTTACTGATGCCGAGAGATCCACATTCGGATGTTTTACTTCGTATGAGCTATGCTGATCAGCTTCAAGTAAGTTTAAGATTTTAAAATTGAACAACTTAAGCATTAAACAGCTTTTGTTGTTGATTCTATTATATGTTTGGCATGCTGTTTATGGCTGTTTATCCATAATGCAGTTATGGGGCCGTTCACTTATTCACTTATGACGTCCGACATTTAGTGTGGGGGGGTCTAGGAGTTTTTTTTTAAAAAAATTGTTTAACATGATTTCAAAGATACAGTGAATTTATGAAGCAACCTAATGCAAAAGTAGCTTCTTTTTAACATTTTCGACTGCAAATATGCCAGAACTTTACAGAAATTGCTCAAACTGACAAAGCAATTTGTGCAAATTTTTTTTTCTTTTTTTTTTATTTACATTTAAATTTAAGTATGTACAAAGTTTCTATACATTTTGTTGCTTTTTGTTTTTTAAGGTTTCAGGCATTCAATTTGCCTTTTGTCTCTTAATTTTTGATTTCATTTACGGATTTTACTTTCTTTTGTATTTCATTTGATTTATTCGGTGTTTTGAGATGCAAGACGACTGGGGGGTCTAGGATTTTGTGACAGTTCAAACAATGGAAATTTTTTTCTTTAGAATTTTTGTGACAGAGGGGGGAGGGGGGGTCTAAAATCAGGTTTTTTGATGGACGTCATAAGTGAACGACCCCTATGACATATGAGTCAAGTTCATGGATTAAGCTTTGAAACTAGACTCATTTGTCAATATAATATTGACTAGTATGATATTGGTCTCAATAATTTATAAATCCCTTTTTGATACCTAATATCAAAATTTAAACTTTAACATCATTAATTATACTCAAAATATTGATATATTAAAATTTATTTCTCAGATAAGTAATGCAAACAATTACTTTCAGGCTGCTGAATTCCAAAGACAATCCGCTGCATTTGATAGAGCTCACTCTATACATGAACAATATTTTAGGTAAGAATCCTTGAGTTTTAGAGCATTAAACATTCTGAGTTCAGACAGAAAAGCAGAAAATGAAATTGTTGGAAATTAAAATATATGAAAATTTTCATGCCAATTTTTTTATGTTCTTATCGAATTTATAAATTGATTTTGAACTAGATGAAACCTTAAATTGATCAGTTGCAATGCAAGTTAGTTTAACCTAATCTACATTCTCATCTTAAATCTTTACAGACAACAACAAGAGCGAGAAAAGTTGAGAGCAATGGAAGAAGCAGCAGCACGCGTTGGCAAGCATTAATTTAAATATTATGAAAATCGGAATTGATATGGACTTGAAAACTTGATGATATGGCAAAAAAAAAGAACATTTAACGTAGCTTTATTAACGTCGACGATGATGATGATGATGATGAACTTTTCCTTATCATTAGAGATGAACATACGAAGCAAAAATACGGAAAGAATTAAAAAATTAAATCATGACATGAACAAACAAAAAGATTTTTATTTAAAAAGCGATGATAACAATAATTATAATGAATATAACAAACTGATCAAGCTTAATCAAATGAATGAACAAGGATAAACAAAACAAAAAAGAAATGAGAAACAAAAGGAAGAAGTTTTCTAGTGTTGAGGCACTATTTAATTTAATATGACGTTTTTTTAGGTTGATAAGTGCTAAGTTTAAGAAGGTGAAATGAAAATGTGAAAAGAGAGACAAAATATGGAAAATATTTACCAACTCAATTTGCATTATGAGAATAAAATGAAGGAAGAAGAAGGGTGGACAATTTTCTGGGAATGCAATGAAGTGAAACAAAGAGAAAAATTCTAATTTATGGTATGCTTCCCTAAAAAGTTCTTGCTAGTTTTATTTATTAAAAAACATACTTGAAAGTGAAATTTATGAAAATTTTAAGGGGGTTGCTTTAAACTTATTAAGTATGGATAGATTTTATGTGATTATCTATTTCTCTAATTATGTAATCTCTCTAATTAAACAAGTTTTTAACCCGTTTGAAGGATCTTGATGCATTTTATTGGGAATTTTTCAGGGGTGAACCAATTTTGAATTTAAGGGAAATAGAGCTTCCTCTGTTCGAAAGTTGTTTACGAATAACATTTAAAATAATGATGATTTTGATCAAGGTAAATTAATTTTATAATTGAATCACCCCTCGTGATTCTTTGATTTATTAAGGAATTGCCATAGCTCGAAGTCGATTCGAATCTATTTAAAATATATAAACAAGTTCATTTGACTCGACTTCGAGCTGTGCGTAAATTCTAGCAATCCCCAAAAAAATGTACCAAGCTCCATCAAACATATTGAGCTTTTTATCAGCTTCTTAAAATTTTAATTTTTTGTTCGACATTTTACAGTTTTGCTTCATAATTTCCTCTACCCCCAGTAAAAACAAGCTCATAGCCCTACATAATGAACCTCAGAGATCAGAAACGATCAATCGTGGACTGTATAGTGACAATTCTTTTAGTTCAATTTTTAGTTATTACAATTATATTCTTTTCTCTGACTTTTTAAGGATATCTTTTTTTCTTATTCTGTAAAATGTAACGAATGCGCCAAACGCCAGTAATTTTTTTAAATATTATTTTTAATGTAGAATGAACTCAATTTACCTAAGTAGACAAAAATGTAATCATTCATTCAACAACAAAAAAAAGAAGGCTAAAGATTTTTAAAACTTTATTTTGAGCATAAGATTGATATATTCTTTATGTAATAATTTGCAAAGTTGAAACTACACGCATAAATCATTAAATTTGATTAGTTTCTCTTAGGTTTAATGAACAAAAAAAAAAAAATGAATGATGAATATAAAAAAAAAAATGTAAAAACTTATAATCGATCATTATTAATGGAAGTTACAAGATTTTTTTAGCTTTAAGTCGTAGAAAGAACAATGAAAACTAGTAAAGGAAAGAATTTTTCATGCATTGTATACACATTAATTATTAATTCAATTAATCCTCACATTGAAAATGAGTAAATAAAATGAACAATTATGGGACGAAAAAAAATCTGTAAAGATCAAAAACTTATAATTTCATGATTTATGATGAGGTGTATAAAGTAATTTAAATAAAAAAAAAGGAAATAACATACCTTCATACTTAGAATAAATCAATAAATTCAAGATGATGTTAATGAATATGAAAAAAATGAACATTTTTCTCTAAATACTAAGGAAAATTTATTTTTTGTAGATGACTCTTAAATAAAGATAATGAAATGAAAAAAAGCAAATTAACTTGCAAAAATATCAAAGGAAAATGATGAATGAAGAAATTATAGTGAATAAGTAACATTATAAAATTATAACAAAAGAAAAGTATAGTCGTCAGAAAGCGAATGACATATTTGCATTGACTCAATAGTAAATTAACGGACAGATTTTTTTAAAATTGAACAAATTTAACGGTTTTCAAAATTTAAATTCGGATAGACTCGATACAGCGGATTATATAAATTTTAAATTCGTTCAAATTAAGAGGTTTTTTGAATTTTATAAACTCAACTGAAACAAGATTAAATGAACAAGTTTTATCAGATAAACACATTTAAGTTAAATCCAGCCAGTCATAGATAATAAAATCGCACATGTCTTTGCAAAAAAGTACGTTAAAAATGAAAGAATTTAATCCTATGAAATGTTGAAGATATAGAATTTTCAAAAATGCGAATGGAACATTTTTAGGACAAACAATTCGCAGGATGAAAAGATTTTTCTTCATAAGTCATACGAATTTAATTCTTTTACATAAACTTCTTAACAAAAAAAACTTAAAAAATGTAGAATTTGATTTATCTTCTCGCGACACATACACAAAAAAAAATATCGATTAATTATTTATTTATGATAATAAATGAGAATTGTAAAATTGCGAGGATACGCAGCATAAAAGAAAACATAAATTCTTATATCATGAACATATAAATAATAAAAAGAATGAATTAGAAAATACTCAAATTTATATTTTTAATCATTTTTCCACCACTTTCAACTTGGGAACTTTTTATTCAGGATATTTTCCACTTAATTAAAATTTGTTTTTTGCATTTTTTCTGACAAATGATGCTTTCTTAAAAAAAAACTTTAGGTTGTGAGAATTTTTTTATGAATATGAAAAGTCTTTAATTTTAGTTGGACTTCTTCTTTTGTGCCAGAAGTTCATATTTCGTCTTTGATTTAAGGAACAAGCTGTATGGAATGACAACAGTTGGTAAGCACATAATAACGAATGCGATCCAATCAAGGAAATGTGATGAGAATTGCTTGTTGAATTGAGCCAAGTTGACAATGCCACCTTCACCTGGTTCTGAACTGATTGCGTATTGTAGCTATAAAGTAATAAAATCTTAGTAAAACCGTTAATTTCAATATTTATGAATAACTTACGTTTGGTGATGATTCAACTGGACGGTAGCTGATTTCAGCAGCAGTAAAGTTGAAATATCCATGAGCTCTTGGACGTACAATAACAACATGGGTAATATTAGTTCCAGAAGCAATTCTGTCGATTTGAACTTCCAATTTTCCACTGACCAAATCGAATGCTTCACTTGGGAAACCTTGATCTTCTAATGACACATGTGTAGCTGGTCCAGTTCCAACATTGTAAAGAGTATATTTGACCAAAATGTCACGTTGTTCAACCAAGTATTTATTGAGAATTTGTTTAGATACTAATAATTTAGCACGGGTTTCCTCGCCTGAATCGGTTGTTGTAGCCAAAGCCATTGACACGATTAGAAGAAGTGCAAAAGACTTAATCATTTTATTCATCTGTAAAAAGTTAAAAATTGAATTGATTTTTGTTCAAAAAGTACGAGATTATTTTAAGTCAAATTTTGACTGAAATTGACTGAATTAGCACTTGATTAGTGCTTAATATTGTTTATCTGGTCTTTATTAAGTGTTTATTACCTTTACAACTTGATTATTCTACGTATTTTTAACAATAATTAAATTAATTCTCGCGATGTTGTTCCCAAAACTTTCTATAATGAAAAATAAGCCACGAAAACGAAAACGTACATCCAACACGGCAAGAAAAAGTTAAATGTCATCGTTACATAGATCGAGGAACTTAAGCGCATTTTTATCATAGCTATCAGTATTTTGAAAATAAACTACAATACTTATTACGTTACGCAATAAAACGACTTTTTTCACCCCCCCCCCCCCCCTCCCCCCTTGTTACAATATGTTACAACTCACACCCCCCCCCCCCTGAATTAAAGTTAAATTTCTTTTGTATTTTTTAAACATCAAAATACTGTACAGCTAAATAGATCATGTTTTGATTGATACTATTAGTCTCTACTAGTATTCTCATGAATTATTGGATTGAGATATAAAGCAAAAATTTGTTTTTTTTTGAAGAAAATTCAAAAATATTATGCCCGATCGAATTTTGGAAAATTCAATAAACTTTGAATGTAAATATCACAATGATGGGATCATATTAATCATCATATGAATGACAGATTTAGAGAGATTTACTTTTAAACTTATGATTGATTTAATTTTGAAAATTTCCACAAATTATGATTGTATTTTAAAGTCTTGTAAACCAGTTTTCTATTGATTTGTTACTTTATATAACAAAAACTATGCATTGCTTAGCTATCAAAAGAGATCTGGCCATTTATAAATCATTAAAAAGGTGGAAAATTTAAAAAAATGTTTTTGGTGTGAATTTGTAAACAAATATTTTTTTCGTGAACTTTTTTTCAAAAGACAGAGTTTGAGCGTTACATAATTCTTGACAACCCCCCCCTATGTTACATTTGGTTACAATTTTTCAACCCCCCCCCCCCCCCCCCTAAAATAGGAAAGTAATAAGTGAACTAAGGTTTATTATTATTATTATTATTATTCAAATTTATTTTACGCACGTATATTTCTGGTTATAAAATTTTAAAATTTAAATTAACGTGTTACGCTTCTAAACCAATCTATATCCATAAACCTCGATGGTACAAATATAATGCCTCGAACTTGAAATCTCTATGAATAATAATAATAATAATAATGTGTGAAGGGCCCAGCCTCTCAGCTGGAGGCACTGCGATTCAAATTAGAACAGAATCTATTGTACCACATCCTTTAGACCTACAGTTTATAGTGGGATCCGAACCACTTGCAAGCTCTGCACATTGCAAAGACACGAGTACGTCATAAGACCTGATGTACCCTGCAATGTACCTAGTCACAATTCGTGTGCGCACGATGCCGTAAGGAAGTCATCCAGATGCTAGTATATCCTTGTATACCTAGCAAAGGAGGCAGATTCTGTGCCAAAGACCTCAAAACTACACCCAGCACACGAACCGAGCTTCGTAACTAGAACGGTGAAAAGGAAAAAGAGCTTCGAAAATTAGACATGGCCTGGGATTGAACCCAGAACCTTTGGCACAGAAGACTAAGAATACAGAACAGAAGGAGCTTATAAAACAAACCAGTCAGTCGAACAAAGTGAAGTTATTAACGTATTTTTTTTTAAATGAGCTTTAAAGTTTAAAAATAACGGTCGAAAAAAGTTTAAGTGTTGCTTCCAAAAGTGAAGCAACGCTGAACATTTGAAAAATTCGTTACAACATGAAAAGTTAAACTAAAGTTTATGTAAATTGAAACTTTTGATGCTATTTGAGTCATTTTATAATTAAATTTGAGAGATTAATTTTTAAAATTGCATATATAATGATATAGTATCAATCCCTGATTTTCAAATTTTAATTATAAACTTTAAGCAATATGTATAGAATTAGACCTGCTTAGTACCAAAGAAAATATCTCCCGGTAATGAAGGTCAAAAAATCTATTTGAATCATTTAAAATTTTTTTGTATCAATATCAGTAAAGAAGAAGAACAGCTGACAACTGACTCATCGTATTTAGTAATATTTCATTCATAGTAAATTTAACGTCACATAAACATTTTTGGTCGAGGGATTTCCATTAATTTTAATAAAAATATATATTTTTTTAAATTTTTTGCAGTTTTTCTAGTCTTGCATTTCTTTTTATTCACCGTATAATTTAAGAAAATGACAGATATTTGGACATTAATTGGTGATATTTTATCATTTGTGACTATAGCATCATGCTTAATGTAAGTATTAGCATTAATCTGCTAATACGTAATGAATGACTAATTGTAGCACTAAAAATACTTACTTCTATTTTTAGATCAAAAGTCCCACAAATTATGACGATCTACCAGCAAAAGAGTACAGCTGGCTTGTCAATGAAAGGTCTAGTCATTGAAACTGTTAGCTACACGATCTCCACACTTTATAATTTTACTAATGGCTACAGAATCCTTAACTATTTTGAGTATATCATCTTGCTTACTCAAAACTACATGCTTATTGTTATAGTTTTATTTTATCGAAAACAACTCAACCAAAAGTTTATCGGAGCTGCCGTATTGTATGCTCTTGTTGCATCACTTTTCTCTATGTACATCCTACCCAAAAGTATTTTGACCTTCTTAATTGTATGTCTTTAAGTTGTAATTAATAATGTATCATGTAGACTAATGAGTTATTTATTATAGCCTGGAACACTGCCAATGTCTGCTACATCGAAAATTTTGCAATTACTTGAAATTCTTAGAACTAAAGATTCAAGTTCAATTAGCGCAATCACATGGTTTATTTCTGCATTCACAAATGCCAGTAAGTATGATTGTAGATATTGTGATTGACCTGATAATGGACTGAAATCATTGCATGTACATACCAAAGTTTGTGAAGTATCTCTGAGTATCATGTGACTTGAGTTCAGAGATCAATCCAATAGAATCAAAATTATTACACAGAAGTAACACATACGTCAGATGCTGTCTTAATTTAAAGTGCTAAAACTATAAAAATTTCATTAATATCCATTTCCTCTTCTTATTCAAGCACGAATCTACACAATCTTTCTTGACAGTGCCGATATAATGCTACTCACCAATTTTATCGTATCCACTGGACTGTCATCAGCAGTTCTTGCAGCTGTAATGTATTACAAGAAACCAAAGGGCAAGGAAGAATAAGTCAAGTTGCTAACTACAGAAACACTAATGAAGCTTTATTTGTTTTACATAATTAACTTAATAGACACGTTTTATGTATTATCGTTGACACTTAATAATTGTAAAATAATTAATGACACAATAAAAAGTTGACAGAGATTAATTAAATTTAATTATTTAAAATGTAAATATGAATGCACAAGATTGTTGCATAGGTCAGATATGCAAAGTATGGTATGAATAGAATTCCACTAAGCTTATCAACCTTATAAAACAAAGCTCCAGTAACAACGACAAAAATTAGTAGAGCAATCATTTCTATTATTGCACCGAGCAGTAGATCAAGTCCAAATGCTAATAAGGGCCATAACCAGTTTAAGAGGAGCTTAATAAAATAAATTAATAGAGGAATTTTAATGTCGTGACTCTTTTTATTCATCCATAAACGCCAGCTTGAGATTCCCATTAAAGTATAAAGTGTAATCCACGCCACACCTACGAACTAGAAATAGATATCAATTAATTTATTGTTTTTAAAATGAGGAGTAGTTGATGGCATATTTTAAGGATGCAATGTAATGTGGGAAATTGTTCATATGCGTGCATCTATGTTTAAATAGCATTGCATGACTGGATATTTATGAGTCATTTATTCATTACATCCACTAATATTGACTTTGGATTCTCCCTACTTCCCAATAACAAGGAAATAAACAGCTTTTAATAACTCCATCACTTGTAAAGTTGGATCATTAAATACATTTAAAAAGATCACATACCCAATCAGGTGGTGCATAAAACGGCTCAATTCGATCTTTTCCATCATGTTCCTTAATCTTATCAGTTAACAACAAAAACATCATAAGGCCACCAACATTTGGAATCAGAATTGCAATAAAGATTTGCACTATCCGATAACTTAAAGGCTTTAATCTTCCCATGACTCTATATCACAATATCATACAAAACACGTCGATATGCTCACACTTTGAAAATATAAATGTTTATTCAAATTAAATAGAATCAAGATCATAAACAAAATAGAAAGATTACAATTTACACACATTATGCTATGAATGAAAACTTGAGAAATACTTAGAAAATTGCAGATCCTACACATCTTTATTTTAATATCTAAAAATAGAATAAATGGAGGTTCGACTATGCTAATCATACATCAGCATAATCATATTGTTTATCTTCCTTCAATTCATTCTGAAAATGGCAACGCATACAGCTGAAGCAAATGCCACCCATAGACCGTACGGAACGAACAGAATTCCTGCAATTTTATCAATGCGATAAAATAAAAGGCCTGTAAAGACTAGCAAGATGAATATAATGATGATGTGAATTGTAGCAAAACCGATGAAGTGGAAGTAGAAGAAACTTGTAGTCCAAGTAATGTTGAATAGCAAGTGCACAAAATAAAGAAGTAATGGACCTTGTGCTCTGCCTAATTCATATCCTTTTTCGTACACGCGATAACTTGCATATCCAATCATAACGTAAATTGATGTCCAGACAAGTGGAAAGACCTGAACAAAGTTAATAATTAATGTAAAAATAGACAATCATGAAAATATTATATGACTTACAATATCCGGAGGAGTATAAGCAGGACGCTGAAGTCTTGTATACCATGGTTCCTTATATCTCGTTGCACTTAATGATCCTATCCATCCTAATATCAATGGTAGCAGTATTGCAATGATAATTTGGAAGAACTTGTTCCTGTAAATTATTTTAGTTTCCATTTTTGTAGATGAAATTTTCTTATGCCTCTTGCTTTGATTCCTGTACACAAAATTATCCTTAATGATGGTTTCACACTTCTACTATTGCAATAATAGAGCATGGGTGTATTAGTAATGTTTTAATGCTTTATTTACAGAATGTTTTAATGCTGGAGATTTTTAGAGTTTCTGAAATCAACATTCATCTATTTATGCATGAATTAACTTCTAGAAACTTCAACTATTAGGTATAAAATTCTTTATTTAAAAACTCTTGAATTAGGCACAAAAAATACATCAAAAAAAAATGTTTATGAGTTTAATCTCCAAATTGTGAAGCACAGATATGAGGCAAAGGTTACCCAGGCAGCATAAGGAATAAATAAAATTCCAGCGACTTTATCAATTCTATAGAAGAGAAGTCCATTGATTATAATAATAACCCATAAAATGATAATATGTATTGTAGCTGCTCCAATTAAGTGATAGTAGAAAAATACGGGCGTCCAACTTAAATTAATGATAAGATGAATAATGTACAATATTATCGGATTTCTAGCTCTTCCTGAGAATCCATCTCCCTCATCATAAACTCTGAAGCTGGCATATCCCATACAGATATACAAAAATGACCACATTGGTGCAAAAATCTAAATAAACAACATCCAAGATTAGAAACTAGTAGATGAACATAAAAAAGGTTCTACGCATTTATTTACCCAGTCAGGCGGATTCCATGATGGTCTTTTTACAATCGTGGAATACCATGGTTCTTTTTCGCCCATCGTTGTCATAGAAACAATCCATCCTCCAATTAATGAAATTAAACATGCGATGAGAATTTGGACAATTTTATTTTGACACAATCCCATTTTGACTTCTTAAATGCTTGACGAACGGATGATCACTGTTTATCTGATTTACAAAAAAATTTACATTTAAAGTTTTCAATGATCATAGCTGATCGTAGTTAATAGTAATGATGATGATGATTTTCTATGATAGTATTTCGTGTATTTACAATAGAATTGAAGATGTATGAGATGATTTAAATACCAGAATGTTTATTTTATAAACAACAATCATTTACTATGTTATTAAGTGACAATGATATGCTGAATATTTTTCACATAATTGTTACTACTTATTTTGGAAAAATGTTTTATCTACTGATAAATTTATTGACTTTTGACTTTATCTTCCTAAGTACAAGAAAAAAATAGTTTAAATTCCTGGAAATGATTCATTTAATAATTTAAACGTGACATTTTGTGTCTCATTTGTTGGCTTTAAAGGCTCGTGATTTGAAAACCATTTCCCGTCGTGATTATTGACATATAATTGATAATGCAAAATTCCCATTAAGGTCAGCCAGAAAATGTATGGAACGAAGAAGTAATGACCGAACTTATCAATTTGTTTAAAAATCATCGAAGTAATGAGTGCGAATGAAATCAATCCTATATAATAATAGGCAGCAATGTCCAATTTTGTAGGGCTTAAAAAAATTGTTGACCAATCAAGAAGTAAAAGAATTCCATAAAAAATAAATGCTAGAACTCCTTTCTTAGAACACTTTGAAGTTGTTTCGATTATCCATAACCGATATGTAGAATATCCAATTAATGATAGCACCACACTTCTTATGATTGAAAACACCTGTAAGAAAGTCGTCTATAAATTATTCATGAAAATTGTACTTTTATCGATTCTTTTACCCATTTCGGTGGGAACCAGGCTTCCTTTAAAAACATGTCATATGAATTAATAATTCTATCTTCTGTAAACAGCTCAAGAATCATAATTCCTGTAAATGGAATCGAATTTGCTATACCAATCAGGAACTGATTTTTAAAAAATAGTTTCCAGTTCATTTTTAAAACTTGAAATGAAACATTTGTGCTAAAAATTTTGCTATGTCTTTTCCATCTGATCAACAGATTATAAGTTTGGAAATGATTTTTATTTTTTTTTTAATTACTGATATTTTACATTTTAACAAAAAATGATTTGTATGTTCAATTACTGAGCTATTTATGACAACTTTAAACTCTGTTTAATTTCTAATTGGAGTTTACATCTCTTACAAGGGCATTATCAAAAAGGAAGGACTCACTCATATTTTACTTTATCAAAAAATTATCATCAATTTAGTTGCCACAGACTGAAATTAAGAATTGATGCGAATGTGACCCATGCTAAATATGGAACTCCAAAAACGATTCCGGCAATTTTATCAACGCGATAAAACAAAATTGCTGTAATTATAATAACAACCCATAAAGCAACAATTTCTACAAATGCCCATCCAAGTTCCATTAAAATGAAAAATATTGGAGTCCAGCACCAATTTAAAATAAGCTGAATTATGTACGATATTAATGGTATTTTAGCTTTTCCATTGAACCCTCCTCCAATATACCAGACCCTATATGATGCATATCCCATAAGTATGTACAAAATTGTCCACGCCGGAAAAAACAGCTGCAAAAAAAATTATCAAAAATTTATTTTCATTTCATAACTATTGCGATGGTGAAATAAAGTCAATAAAATTTATGTATTACCCATGTAGGAGGATTAAATGCTGGCTTGTTGAGCTCTCCGTACCAAGAATATGAATCAGTTTTAGTAAATAAACTTCCCACAAATCCACCAATATTGGGAATTATGCATGCAATAAGAATTTGAATTATTTTCCAAATCATCTTGACAACCTATAAGACTCTTATAGAAACAATTAAAGACTGAAATTTCATGGAAAATAAAAACAATCTCGTAACTAGTTCTTATCTTAATATTTGATAGACCCATAAAACAGAAAGTGAAGTTCAATTTTAAGAAAAGTATCGAGAAAAGGGTTGTTTATTAATGATGTCAAATATTAAGTGCTGAGGTGGAAACGGCTCAAAAAAGAGATGCATTACGAAGTTAATAAGTCAATATTGACATCTCATGCAATTAAGCTTCAATGAAAATCGACTTTAACGGAATTGTCAACGTTTGCAAAAACCCATATCAATAACATGATCTCGTCTGTGTTTGAATTAATTGATGCGGAATTTCGAGAAATAAAAGTTGTGTTATCAATTCCACTTTTTATGAAAGTGATGAAATAACAAGCTAATTTATCAGCAGCAATTGAAAATATGATAAGGTTCGTGGAAAATGTATTAAACGTGAATGTCAGAATTTTGAAATTTATTGCGTAAAGAACTTAATACTTGGGAATCCCATTAGACTTAATACGACTGTAAATGACTTTCAAAATTCCAAAGAAAAAAAAATCTGTTGTTTAGCCTTGGAAATATTTTGCATGTGAATTCAAATATTTATTTAAACACGATGTACAGATAAGCCTTAATATCTAATTTTTCATGATAAAGATCCTTAACAGAACATACAACAATAATCAATAATAATATATTAATATTCTCACTTAAATGCTAAATTAAACAAATTATTATTAATGGATAATATTAACTTAAGCTAATGCGGGGAAAAGGTCATTGATTAGGTAGTTGAGGTCATCTTGTGGATCATTGAGAGAGTGAAAATCGTGTAATGATATAGGTGATCCTTGTGATTCATAACCGCAATCAGAAATTGCATGGTGTGGACTCTTGAGATCATCGTAATCAGGTATGGGCGATATAAGTCTATCCATATTTGTTTGCTTTAATTTTAAACAAATTTCATCACTCTCTTCCATGGTGTCATCAATTTCTAGACACTCATCCTCAACAACAGGTATTTCATCCTCGTAGAAAATTTTATCCATGCTATATGTCTCAGAACTTAAGTCAGACTGTACATCGTGCTCAATACTTGAATTCATTTGTACATCTATTGAGCTTCGATCGCAATCTTTGGCGGGTTCCATTCTCTGTTCTGCGGTCCTAGACATTTGCTCGTCCACCAATGATCCAGACAACTCGAGTTGGTTGCTTTCTTCTTTGGCATTTGTGCTATTGCCCACTGAAGAATCTGTTTCGATGTTGGAGTGGAGTTCAGAGACAAGACTTTCTGCAAGCTCTTCAAGGTCGAATTGCAGGTCGATGTCTTCGAGGAGTTCTTGTAAAGAAGGCAAAGTAGCACCACCTTCAACAATGCTTTCACTTCGTTCATTTTTGGTTGAGAATATTTCTTTGGGGACTTTTCTGTCGACTCTGTATTCATCATCATAACCTTCTGCAGAGGTTCGCTGGACGCGGCAGGTCCTTCAGTTTTGATGATTACAGAATCAACACAACGATCCTCACTTTTCGTATCCTCTACGAATGAACGTGTGTATTTGTGTTCTTCTGGAATGCTATGTGTTATTTTATCTTTCTTTACAATGTTGTTGTTGTTGCTGCTGCTGCTGCTGTTATTGTGACTTGACTGATTTACTTTAAGCTTACGATTTTCTTTCTCAAGTTTTTCATACTTTGTTTGCATTTGATTAAATTTTGTCTTCCAGTGTGAAATTTCTTTCTCGTATTTTTCAATCATAACTACCATTTCCTCCATCTGTTTCTTTTTCCTATCTCTGGATGTCTGAGCTGCAACACGATTCTTTAACTTCTTCCTCTGTATCTTTTCCTCAACACTTAAATGATCTAATTTTCGCTTTCTTCCAGGTGTTGATGCAGCACGAATAGTTATATCACTACTCGAACTATCCGATGAGCTTGAATCCTTTTGGATTCTTGGTATTAATACTTTCGTAATCATTTTTCCAGAAATTTCTCTTGACTTTTAACTTCCTCAAAAAAATTGATGATTTGGCAAAATTAAAATACAAAAGTAGTACTGTTTTGAAGTTTAAAACCGAAATTTTCTTTAATTAATCGACTTCATGAATATTTTATTTGCTATAAGAAATACTTCTTGATAGTTCTAAACCAGATTTGGTATTAAAATTGGATTTTCTTTGTGTCTTCTACATGTATATATGTTTTTCTGATGCAATCTCTACGAAAACTAAAAAGCAACTGTCGTGCCTTAAAATGATTGGCTGTTTTTTATTGGGTTGTAGAGGGGAATGATATGTTCACTTCAAGCCCTTGTAAAATTTAATTTATAAACGATTTAAAACAAAGAATCGACAGTTATTGTTTTAAAGTCATGTAGAAAATTAAAAATTTCTTTATTTTAAAAATAATGAATCTTTACGTTGCATTTACAAACAACATTTCAATATATCATTCATATTTCATACGAATTTCTATAACATATCTACAAGACAATACGGCAATATGAGTCCTGAATACCGAATAATCCGGCGACAGTTGTATTTTTATCCTTCATCAATTTTTCAGTGATCTCATCATAGATTTCTTGAAGGTAACTATGTTTATTTTTTGGGAATCTGCAAGGTTAAATTATATAATTAAGTCCACCTTAAGCTAAGATTATTATTACTATCAATTACCCTTTTAATAAGTTGTCGAACTCATTTTGAGATTGATCTTTAGGATTAGGTTCTATGCAAGTCAACATTTGTCTGATTTGCGATGCATCGATTTCAACAGCAAATACTATGAATGTCATCTTTTTACAAAACTTAAGCATAACGTTAGACACCTTCTGCTCTATTTGGTTTTCAAGTCTCTTCTTTTTGTTTGCATTAAGCTTTTCATTAGTTATAAAAACAATTTGGAAGGATCTCACAACGGTTACATTATTCTCGTTGATGATACTGGTTAATGAATTGTTTCTCATTACATTGTATGATTCTGCTTCTATTTCGCTTAATTCTGTTTTTAAATTTTTCTTTAAGTAATCTATAGCTTCTGCTCTGCTGACTGTTCTTTCATCATAGCGACAATTTTGCCAAGACTTAATTCTTAAACATCCATTTTCTCCAAGAATAATTATATGATTAGCTCCTAAATCCCTCGCAATATCATCATCTGCTTGTGATTCAATATAATAGCACTTAATTCCTGCATTCCAAAGAGTTTTCAATATATGGCAAACATCTTTTAGAGGTGGACGTGATCCAGTCACATACACAACTAAATCCACAACTGCACGATAACTGTTTGTATCGCTCAACATTTTCAATGATCCAACTAGTCGATCAATGTGGAAAGTCAGACCTGCACAATAACTTTCTCTATTTACAAAAGTTGAAGAGTTTTTCTGTGACCATTTTTTATAGTTTTCAATTTCATGATCATAACGACCTCCAGTTGCTAGTGGATAATCTTTGCCTTTCTTTTTCAGCTTCCCTACCATTTCCCATACAATGTTTCCAGAAAGTGAGCAGTCATAGTTTAATGACAAGCTTACACACAAATGTATTGGGATCTAAAATTATTAATTAATTATGTTAAAGGGCTTTTTGAATTATCTGTTTGTATTACCGTAACTCCTAATGCTTGACTCAAATTTGCAACCGCTTCTAATTCTCGGATAGCTCCTTTGCATAATGATGCAGCTTCACCTCGTCCTTTTATTAGAGTTCTTAGATTTGTGCTAGAAATATTTGACATCTCGATATCAATCAAAAGCGTTTCGATTAAAGAATTTATAGCTTGTGGTTTACAAGACACCAATAATGTTGTAGCTGCTGACTGTAACTGGAATTTCGATATTTTTTCTTCTTTGAATTCTTTAATCAGACCCAGGACGTTCTTATATTTTGGAGTAGGGACAGAATAATACAAAAATATGGCACGAATAAGGGAAGTATGATTAATTTTGAACATGATGTCCTTAGACTTTAATACATCAAATTCATTGATAATCTCATGTGCAATGACAAGAAGCTCAGCATCAACTAATAAGTTGCCACGTGTCGGTGTTACAATGTCAAATTCACATCCAAAAGTTTGTTTCGGATGTGAGTTATGCATCTTATATTCACGAAAAACTCTTCCAATTGCATAACGACGTAATAAGTTAATTCCATTGGCAGTTACATAACGAAGGAATAGGCTACGCAAATCATCTGGTAATGTAACAACACATCCTAGAAGCACAATATATGGAAAATTAGAAACAAGATTAATAAGTAGATACTGAAAATGTTTACCTGAATGAGTCATTAGCTTAACAACTGTTTCCTTATCTGTTTTTATGTATGGTGTTAAAAGTGGCGTTTGGATATCGATTCCACCATGTTTTCTAAAAATTTCTTCGACTTTGCTTTTGACATTTTCAAAAACTGATGAAATTTGAAGAGGAATTTCTGAATGGTAAGTATATTGTAAGAGGTGATCGCTTTCTTGTTGAATTAATCTATTAACGAGGTACTTGTAGTTTCTACTCTGTGGATTGGATAAGACTCCTCTAAGCATTTCCTGTAGTTCTGACACTTCTAATTTAGCTTGTGGTAGCAGTTCTGACTGAAGCAGCTCTTCAGATGTTGGACGTTTACTAATATTATGTTCCAATAACCATTTTAAAAGTTGAATTTCATTTTTGTAATCCTTATCTTCCAAATTAGTTGGCAAAACAACATCCGGTTTTCTTATATTCAAAATGGTTTGAATTCTTTCCATTCCTGTTCTTAATGGAGGCATAATCATTTCAAAAAAGATTATTCCTAAGCTATAGAGATCTACCTTTTGATTATAAACTGATTTTGAAGCCTTTCCTGTTAGTTCTGGTGCTACATAAAGAGCTGTACCAACAAGACCCGTATGACTATCACTATAAGTTATCTGAGGAGGTTTTAATGTTTGATTTAAATCTGTATGTTGATTTTGTAAAGCCAATACACTAGTTGTTGCCAAACCGAAATCTCCAATTTTGACATGATCTCGAGAGTCAAGGAAAATATTCTCGCATTTTAAATCTCGATGAATCATTCCTTGTTGATGAATATGTGATAAGCCTTCAACTATTTCTCTAAAGAGTTTCCAATAACGTTCCTTATTCTGATACAAATTTGAATCATCAATTGCCGATCTTAGTGTTGACTTTTCGCAAAATTCCATCTGAATATATAAAATGGTATATTTACGTGCATCTTTAACTCGACTGTCGCTTGCTGGTTTGTCTTGAACACTTTCATTGTCATCATCATAATTTACTACCCTTCCTTGAGAATCAACAAACTCTATTCCATCATCCTCTGAATCACTTGAACTATCACTATCTATGTCATTCCATCCAAGACCTAATGAATCGTCATCTTCGGAAGAGCTACTATCAATGACAGGAAGACGATTTTGGCTATGAGTTTTTACAATTTTCCTTCCATTATGACTATAATCTGCATCATCATCACTTCCTTCTAGCTCTGGTATAGGAGTTGTTTGAGTTTCAATCCAACTATTAAAATATCGTACAACATTTTCATGGTTCAATCGACTCAACAGTTCAACTTCTCTTGTCATTTTCCTAAATAGCTGTTTATTTTTTGACGACAACGGAATTCTTTTAATAGCATAATGACGATTATCCAAATTATTTCGAACTTTTAAAACATCACCGTAAGCACCACGTCCAATATGATTCATAAGCTCAAACTCAGTCTCTAAACGCGAATGATTTGATGAAATTAAAGGTGCGATAACAATTGGCTTATTTATATTTGTTGGAACACGTTCTGCAACAGGTGGCGGACAACTTAACATTAGCTTTTGGTTTTCGGGAGATTGTGAATCATCATGACCCATTTGAACTGGATATAAAAATGGATGCTCTAGTAAATCAGATGCTGACAATGTTCGTTCACTTTTACATTCATTAATAAAATTTTTCATTTCTAAATGCGGTGTAGGCATAAGCGATTCGATAAGAGATCCTAAGGATGGTAAATCTGGAGACGGTATAACACCTGTAGTTAGTTCTTGTAGATATGGAACAATACTATAGTCGGATACTTTAATATTTCCTGCAGAATCAGTAAAAACTGTTGAATCTATCAAATTTCCATGTGAGACTCCATTATTGTGTAAAAAAACTAGTGATTCGAGGACATTCTTAGAAATCGAACTAACACATTCTGCGCTCCAATTCCAACAAACTGACATATTTGACACACTAATACCAAATAAAAAGTCTTGGACTAGCGTAACAACTATTGAATCTTTCTTTCTGGTACATAAAACACCATCATAAGCAACAAGGTTTTTGTGACGTAACTTTGATAATACAGCGACTTTCTTCTCGATTGTATCAATCACTTCATCTACTTTAAGATTTTTAATTTCTAATTGAGAATATTTAACTGTCCATTCTGTTAAATAATATAGCCTGCCAGTTGTCAAGTCTATTCCAGAAAAATTAATGCATCCTTTTAGTGAATGTCCAATACAAGCACCTTGAAGAATCTTTCTACCTTCGATTGGAAAATAAATGTTTTCCGTGCGTTTATGTTCATCACATGCTTCGATATAAAATCTGGATTCCGAATTAGAGCTTTCTGATGACATATTTCGCATTGGACTTTCATTAATTGTAGTCCTTCTAATTCTTTGCTCCTTTCTTATTTGTTCTTTCCTTTTGAGGACCTCATCCTGAAGTTGTTGGCGTAACTTCTCTTCCTTTTCTTTTTGTTGCGTCAATTCATCTTGATCCCTCTTTTGCTTATTTGCAAGCATTTCATCATAGAAGCTTCCTTTAGGCGGCACATTTCGTTCATGTAAAAACGATTGAACAAGTTGACATAATTCAAAAATCATCACTTCCCCTTTTAGACCATAAGCCTCTTTTTTCAATTGATTCAGGAGCGTTTCTTTATCCGTATTTGATAATCCTTTTACTCCTTCGAATGTTACTATTGGAGTAACTTTTGGGTAATTCTTTGGACATTTTATACATAAAATAATTTTACAGAAAGTTTCAGATACACGAGAGTCTCTTTGAGGTTCTAATTTAATTTTCAGATTCAATCCTTCCCACTTCCCATCTTTTTCACGCAAATCAATCACATCATCGCCAAATATTGACTACAAAGGCATAAATTGATAAAAAATATGTTTTTAATGATGAAACTTCAAACTTTGTTTACTCACCCTAAGCACTTCTAATTCATTCTCTTGTCTATCTCTATAGCTTTCTTTTGACTCCATATTATAAAGCACGCATTTTAAACATTCGCCTTGTTTTTTATTAATAAAATTAAAACTAATAAATTTTTACGTTTTTTTCCTTCTTAAATCTTCTTAAACTTTTTTGTTGTCTTGTTGTCAAATCGTTTTATAATTTACAAAACCGTTAATCATTTTAAATGTTTTAATAATTTTTTTTGTAAAAGTCGTTATTATTTATTTTATTTTAAATTATTGAGAACTTTTGAGCTTTCATCATTTAAAATTCTTAAAAAGCTTGGGTTATAACGAAATAGTTCTTTAATTTCTTAAAGATTCGTCCGAAAACTGTTGCTTGCCAAATTTACATTCCTTGTTTTGCATACACTTTCCAATGCTGGATTTTCCTTAGCCTTTTTTTTTCCTTTCTCTCTCTCAGAAAATGTAAAATCCCTCTCGCGCACTGCTCACAAATACTACGTATATTGCTGTGCAGTCATTCAGACTCAGTGTGAGGAAAAATTGTTCAATTTCATTCGATTTTTCATTTTTTGTTCGCGCTCAAAGAAATATAGAATAACAAATTCATAGTGCTTTAGTTTGAATCATTTGAGTGTCGCGAACTGTTCGCTGATATTTTCGATAATATTTGAGGTATAAATTTGTGGTTATTGTTCATTTGTGCCCTGATTAATTTGATGACTGTTTATTCGCTGTCATGAAAAACATATGAAAAAATCGACATGGAAGTCTAGAATGAAAAGAAATCTTTGTTTCGTAAAAAAAATCTTTATGTCACAGACATTATTGTCTGATTCAGCAACTTTTTTCTCTCTAATAGTTGAATAAATGAAAAAGAAAACAGTTTCAACTTGGAATCTCAAGGTTTTACATTATACAAAAAAGTTTTTCGAGGTGAAATTTTCATTCTTCAATGTGCAAAATCAAATAGTGATTTGACGAAGAAATTTTAGAGAATTAAAAAGTTGACGTGAAAAAAATTTTCTTTCTTTCCTTTTCTTCTTCTTGATTCTCTGTGGCAATATAAAAAAAAAAATATAATAATATAGATATATACAAAGTGTGGGAGTGTATTTGTGGAAAATATCAAAAACAGCTGATTCAAAAATATTCTTCGCAACTTGACTCGCGCACAATGTGAATATGGTGAATGAAGGAGCTAAAGTACTTCATATTATGGCGTAGTGTAAATCACTTCTATGAGTGCAAATAAATGTGTTTTTTTTTTCTCTCTAATAACTTAACATTTCATGTACACGTGGTTGTCACTTTTTATTTCTTTATCATTCATAACTTTTTCCTCTGCCTGACTTCGTATCGTAACTACATTTTTTTTTGTTGTGCTGTGTATAATTTTGTTATTGTTATTTTTATTTATACACTCATATTATCGATGATATTGACTTGATCGAAGACGTATATGTCCGTTATTTAAATGTCTATGTGTATATAAGTGACCTTGTCATCGCATTTTATTCGTCAACAAAATTACATTTATGTAAATGAAGCTACTTTTTCCACTCGAAAAGTTATTTTAATGCAAAAAAAAAATATTAATTTTTGGAAGGCACAAAATGATGATGAATTTTGGACACACATGATTCTCTATCTTGATAATGACATATTATGTGACTCTGTTTGTGGTATGATAAGTATATGTTATTGTGATAATATTTTTGTATAAAGGAACGTCTTTGCATGTGCGAAGTTATATGAATATAAGCAACGAAAATAATACAAGGTTCATCGACTTTTTCCATTTAAAGAAGTTTTTCAAAAAACAAAAATCTCTTTTTAAGCTTATCAGCTTTTGTATTAATTTAAAAACTATGACATTTATACGCATATAGCCTAAGCGTCCTTGAATAAAAATACAATTTAATACATCATAACATTTTTTTTCGAATAATACAATGCACTTGAATAATTATTCCATATTATTCAGTATTACCATATTTTACAGCACAAGCCTTGATTCAGCAACAGTTGTGCACATTTTGTCTGTTTATTTATTCTGCTGTTGTTATGTCTGTTTTGGACGTCACATAAAACTTTTAAAATGTGATATTTTTATTGTGAGATATTTTCATGGAAATGTGCTAAATGCGTAGCTAGACATCAAATTATAATGTTACATATTTGGTCATTCTTGAGCGTACCTTAACATTTGACATTGTAAAAAAAATTAGTAACAGCAGTCAATTTGACATGCGCCTATAACAAATCTTACTTGCTCTACAAAATTAATATTGCACTTGAATACACTTAGAAACATTTAAAGAATGGAGAAATGAAGACAATGTACTCATTGGAGTGGAAGTAACTCTCATTTGCATAACTCCGTCATACATAATTTGCATGATTCGTCAGCAATGAAAAGGAAAATAAGAAGGAATGAGTAAAGAAAAAGGAATGATTTTTAAAATAGGTTAAATTGTTTTAAATGTTTTTGGAACAGCTGATAATGTTTAAAAATAACAATCTGATGAACCTTAAAAATCAAAATAATACATTTGGGCTATTTCAGTTCCGCAAAACCTTATCAAAAAAAAAAAAAAAAATCTATTTTTAAAAAGAATCTCAATTTTTTATTGTCACTGAATCATTTTCAAGCTTTTACCGCTTCACGCAAATGTGACAGAAAATTTTAAGGTCTTTGCCAAGGAGAGCAATCATCAATTTTTCTTGCTAATTTCCCGTGAAATAAAAATGAAGAGCATTTTTCTTTTCATTGTCTTTTGTATGCTGTATACATGACAATGTCTGCATAATGCATGAAACAAAGAAACAAAACAGAAACTGGATGGACAAAGAAAAGTGAAGATTACTTTCCTTTGTGAGTCAGTTGGATGTGCTACTGACGCCTTCGTCTTCATCTGTTTTGAGTCACAGGATTGTGAAATCTCGTAAATGCACTTTTTTGTGCATGGGGAGTACTCCAATGACGTCCTTCAACCTTTGAATTTTTTAATTTTCATACAAGAGTGAAATGCATATTTTTAAGATTGGATTGTCTTAGTGCTGTATGTCATATTGGAATAATTCCTTATCATTCCAGAAAACAAAATTTGGGCAAAACTTATTAGTCATGAAATTATTGATCAAAAAAAAAATGTAAAAGGAAATACCCAGCAGCAAGAATCCCAAAACGTCGAGGGTTAATCTTATTGATTTAAAAATATCAAGTCATTAAATTCATTATTACACTGTGTGGGTAAAAGATTCCATAAACAAATGCGTTTACATTATCTATATCCAATGACTTTACAGCTTTTTCGAATCACAGGATTTAATAAACTCCGTACTTATATTTACTCCATCGTTTATCGCCAAACAGTTTACGTCAATCGTAGTTTGATTGCTAAATAATTTATCAGGGCACAAGAAGAATTATCTGTATTGTTAATATTTAAAATAAATATTGTAGTTACTAAATATATATATCACTCATTATTTAACAATATAATCAATGATTACCATCAACAATTTACATTTGTATTTATAGCTATCAAGAAAAAATAAACATGTCTTAAAGCTGATTAATAGGAGTATCTCTGACTCTTATGTAAGGAAGAAAAGAAAAGGAGAAAAAATGCATCAACATTCAATCGATGATCGTTGAATAGACAATAGTAGTGAAATATTTTTTTTCTTTATCCGTTTTTTTTTCTTTCGTTTCTCAAAGAAAATATTTCTATCATTTTTCAACAAGTGATTTATTATTAAAAATACATATATTAAACAAAAGAAAGAAGGAGGAAAAGTGTGCAAAGATTTTTCAGTGTTTTAAACATGTCAGTGGAAAATTTCAGAGGTGGACGTCGTGGAATCAGGAATATTAATCGCGTAAGTGTCAATTTTTACACTATATTTTTATACATTCTATTATTGAAGTATTTATAAGTATTCATTCATGACTTGTTTGAGGATAAAATCGAACAACTTCATCTCTTTATATGTGTTGTTATACGTAACGTTTACGTGACTTTTCGGATATAATAAAATTTTCAGTTTATTAATTTTGTGGAATTTTTTGAATTTAAAAGCCTTACAATAGTTTGAGAGATTGATCCACGTGGAAGAGCTTCCATGTCTCTTCCTTATACTAGGGGTCCTTGATTTGAGCAGGTGTTTTGTTCCAGAAAAATCCTGTTCATATCGAATCTACTCAAATCGAATTATTTCCTTTTTGTATGAAAAATGTCCGTTACAAAATTTTTTTCGAATCTATTCAAATCGAACGTTTTCAAATCGAGGACCCATAGTATGGAAGATTGTCGCTAGGATAGTGTCAATTAAGAAGCATTTTTTAAAGTTACACAGAGGATCAATTAGCAAACAGGATAAACATATACTAGATAAGGAAGAAGACGTTTCAAATATTTTATGAATGTTGGCAATTTCTCGGCAACAAATCGATAGTTTTGTAGGTTTTTGAGATTAAGACCCTCCCCGTATTGTTCTAAGTATGTTGTCAAAACGAGCTCACTCTATGAGCACCTTCGAAAACACGATATTTTACAAAACAGTTGTCACATCTTTCTTCTTTTCATTGTATTATGGGAAACACTGTTACTCTCAATTAATTACTATGTACTCACCATTCTTATCAGTCATCGATGCACATATACAATAGCAATTTATTCGAATATAAATTTTGTTTGTAGTAATCGCTGGCGTTCCTTCAATCTTAAATACAATGTACTCTCTCTCAATTGCATAATAAATTTTTCTGCGATAATAAATTTTTTGTGGGTACGAAAATATTTTTTGCAAAATGCCAAAAATAGATTTTTGAAAAACTCATCAATTTTAATATTAGACATCGATGCTTAGTTTACACTTTTCCGCTCAATTAAACAAAAAAAAATAATAAACTAATTGCTGTTTATGAATGAAATCAAAAGTACATAGCACGACATACAATAATAAAAAAAATGAATCGTAAAACTTCGTGTCAAAATATTGCCGAGCTACTTGAGATTCTTAATTCTTATTTCGAATTTAAGCTTTTTCGCTTATCAGGAGAATTTTTTGCTTCAGTTTATGAGAAACTTTTCCAATGAATGGATCAGATTTCCTCGGCTGGAATATTAAGTGATTGTCACATGGTATTAAGTGAAGAATACAGTATAGCTGGTTCTATATGAAATGTTTAGTGTTTTGCATTTTAAAAATTACATTAAGTATGTTTTGAAACTTAAAAGTGCTCGCGTGTGTAAAATTATCAATAAACATCATATAATTTCACATATAAATAAAGCGTAAAATTCCTCTCATTTCTACTCTCACCCAACACATACAATTAATTAATTAATTATTTAAAAAATATTTTTTGTGCAAACAAATTGTATTCTAACATGTGTTATATATCACAGCATTGAACGGATCATTGAATAGTGAGAAAAACTAAACAAAAAACAGGCATAGAAAATATTGGCGCTAAAAAGTCAAAGAAAGAAAAAGAAAACAGAAGTAATAAGTGTAAAATTTGGCACATAAAATTATAATAGAAAAAAATGGATAATAATAAGGTAATTACTAAATGATGAAAGAAATTAACTTCTTTTCCGCTTTGCCTTAATTATTAAGCTTGCCAGTCAATTAATTGGAGTTCATACTAATTGGCTTTGCTGTGAAAACATTAAATTATTATTCATCTAAAAATGATTTTATGCATTTTGTTTTTGTTCTGAATCAGCTGCAGAGTTATCTTATACAATTTTTTAAAAATGTTTTTTTTTTCTATGTAAACTTTGCTCAGAACAACCATATTGAGGCCTGATTTCTAGCATGATTCATCCTATTAGAGTCAAAGTCTATTCAACCTTACTATTAGAATTCTCCCTTTAAATTTTTATGTAAAGCGGCTGTCAGGGGTGCATTCTAACATTTTATATATGATTAGGAAGCAATTGGATAAAGCATTTTAAGAAAAAATTTGAATCTTGTTGAATAAGTCTGGTGTCTTAAAAATCTTTTGTTACAATTGAGATCAGGTGGGTCAATCAGATATCACATAACTTTAAAATACCAGTAAAAAAATTATAAATTGTCAGACAACTCCCACCTAATGCTTAGCTATTATCTCATAATTAAAAGAACATATCAAATGTATTTTCAGTCCTTGTAAAAACCAATAAGCACAAACAGAGTTAAGCTCTTAGGGGCCGTTCATATTACGTTACGCAAAAAAACGACATTTTTCACCCCCCCCCCCTCCTCCCCCTTTGTTACAATATGTTACAACTCACACCCCCCCCCCCCCCCCCTCCTGAACGTTCATAATTTATTTTATTTTGATAATTTTTTATAGGTTGTTATTAAGAACATTTTAACTTTCATTAAAAAGGTGGAAAATTTAAAAAAATGTTTTTGGTGTAAACAAATTTTTTTCGTGAAATTTTTTTAAAAGACAGACGACAGTTAAAACGTTACATGCTTCTTAACACCCCCCCCCCCCCCCCCCCCTCCCTTTATGTTACAATTTGCTACTAAAATGCGAACGTAATAAGTGCACGGGCCCTTATCTTAACCAAGAAAGCATATCCAGTGTGGGTACTAAATTAAAAGTTCAATTAATGTCGGTTTATTTTAAAACTTTTTTACAACTTATTCTTGTGCTTAGTTTCCACTTTGCTTTTAATCTAATAAATACACCCCTGACTGTTGCATTCTTTTCAATTTTAGCTGTAAACAATTTAATTGCCTGTCAAAATTCTTCATACGTCGAAATTTGAGCGATTACTACCTATTTTGGTTATGCGGCATGGGTTCGTTCACTTATTACGTAACGCACTAGGGGGGGAGGGGGGGTCTAAGATTTTGTTACGGTTTGTTACAGGGGGAGGGGGGGGGGGGTCTAAATTTTGTTACGTAACTTTTCAAAAATTATATTTTTTTATAATTTTTTCTATATTAATTTTAAATTTTTTTAACGTTAAATTTTAACTTAAGAACATTTTCAACCAATTTGGGAAAACGACTAATGATTACAAAACTTATGAGTTTTTTTTGCGTTTAGTTAATAATATGGATGTAAACGATTAATATATTTTTTTATTGCTTTCCTTCTATTTACTGTTACATACTTAAAGGAAGTATAATAAACATTTGATAAACAATTTAAATGAAAAAAATTATTGTTACGTTATTGGGGGGGGGGGGGGGGGGGGGGGTCTAAGATTTTGTTACGCTTTGTTACAGGGGGGGAGGGGGGGTCTAAAAACTCGTTTTTTTGCGTTACGTAATAAGTGAACGAGCCCCATGCCATTCATCAAGAATTTTCAATAGACCTGTCTGTGATTTAATTTCAAAAATTGCATGCATTATGCTTCATTTTTAAAAAATTTAACGCCACAACTTGTTGCTTCCCTCCGATATTTTTTTATTGTATTTCAATTACATGGAAAAATATGAGTTTTCAATTGAAGTGGATTGAATTGAAAAAAAAGAATCTCATTTATCATAAATTGTTGATAATAACTGGCTTTCAGCAACAAATATATTATATTCCCATATACGTCAATATATTGCAGATTTCTGCTCCATAAAAGTACTTCATTTGATTACATTGCCAATGAATGAACTTTTGAAAATGTGATAACAATAAAATTTCTGGCTTAATTCTTTACATGTGTATACCTCCTACTTGTGATTATCTTATTTGCCATACAAAAATTCATTCTTATTTGTTGTCGATAACTGAACGATAAGTGTTAACACAATTTTCCATTTTTTTTTTTTTGATAATGTGTAGTAACTTCGTAATTGACCTAAAATTTATATAATAGGAAGAACTACAACACTATGTAGCTATTTATTGTGATAAACGCAATCAAAAAAAGAAATAAATGACTATTACAGCATTTAATAAAGCAATAAAATGATATTTATATCTTGAAAGATTGAAGATTATTGGGAATTATAAGGTAGCAACAATTATTGGCAATCGACTTTAAAGTACACAAGTAAAAAATTTCAACAACACGTCTGATAATCTAATCTAATAACAGAAGCAAACATCTACACAATCACATGCCAAAAAAAATTATATTGATGGCCATCAAAAAATCATTTACATAAAAATTTGTTAATAATGTTTATTAAAAGTGCTCCAAAAACGTCAATAACATGTTTTTCTTCTTTTAAAAATGTACACTAAAGACCTTATTAGTATGGACGATAAATAAATATTTGTATCATTAAAACGTAACATGAGGATTCTTATCAATTTAGAGTATTTTTGGGAGATTGCTTTTCGACAGACACAATAACGATGATTGACGAGGTCCTGTCTATTTTCTTGTTTCTTTTCTTTGTGTTTGCCCGACTTACGATTAATGAATTAATGAATTGATAGCTGCAATAAAAGACAAATTGATTATTAATTGCAACACTTCCTAGCAATACTACTACAAACATGCTTCTATGTTATTGAACTGATTACATGTGATATATCACTAATTGATGGTTTAATATTTTTTACTCTAACATGCTGTCTACATTTTAAAAAACTATTTATATTGCAACAATAAAAATGATATTTTTTAATTGCTTTCGATTAATAAAAAAAAGTTTGATCTATCAACATTACACATGCAATGTTGACTTTCATGTCACCAATCATAAACTGAATGATGAATTACAAGTTAAACGTTAGCAAGTCGAAAATCACAACGCATTTTTAGAGTAGTTTTCAATATAAATTTTGGGTAAAGTTTATGTGTCAATATAAATATACGAGTTATATTAAAGGAATCAAGGATTGAGCAAAACCTCAATAGGAACTCAGTAGGACCTTTCCTATTTTCAAGCATATGCTTTGAGACTTGAAATATATGCTTACATAGCTTTTTACTTTATTTGCATTTCATAGACACGCATTTTTGTATAGAATCAACATCAAATTTCTTCAATTAGAATTTTTTAAATCTGTTTTAGACTATTTGATTCCCCTCCCCTTCCTTAACTCGTTTCAAAAGAATTTGTATACGCCTGTGGTTAGGGAATATGTTATTTGGTTCCGAAACTTTTTCTTTCTCTTTTTTTTTGAAATCAAAATAAAAGCTCATAGTTTTCACGTGGAGTGCTTGTAAATTGATCAAAGTAAACATTTTTCAGGTTTTTTTCTCATATATTATTGCTCTTTAACCCCCCCCCCCCCCCCCCCCCCCTTCCTGATAATATCAAACTGTAAAGCATGAATTAATTTGTGCAAAAACGGGAATTTCTAAAATAATGGAAAAACCTTGAACGAACACCAAAAAATCGTCAAAAAGAGTGTAATCAAAATTACGCACAAATATATTAGAATTAAATTTCACACAGTATCAGATTTCAAAGGCATAAAGCCTTGCATTCTATAGCTTCATTTTAATTCAACATCTTGATTTCCTTCATGATTCTGAGAATTTGTTCTCGAAATTTTTCACATTTCTCAAGTTTATTAATTAAATGCAATGAAGTAAGAATTGCAGCTATAGAAAAAGTGATGAATTAAAAAGAATCAATTTTTATGAAACAAGTTATGGAAATATTTCGCAATGATATTTATCTTCCCGGCAACAACAATCATGATTTTGGTTTATTATATGCTTTACAATAAAACACGTGTTTTTAAATGCTTATGAAATACTTTCTTCTTTAATTTATTTCTATTGGATAAACAAATTGATTAAAACTAATTGGCAACTAAGTTGAGTGTTGAATTTATATTTTATTGGACTTCATTTACAAAATTCTTACAAAATGATCACGCGATATATGCGTTAAATGCAAAATAAAAAAATTAAAAAAAAATCTTACAAAAGTTATTTCTCATTTCGTCATCCATAGACTGATAGTGAACTGGCATGCGAAGAGGCAGCACGACTAACAGCTGAAATACACGAGACAGATGATGACGATGAAATTAATTATAATGAATTACCTCCACCTCCAGACGGGGTAAGTACACATCTCTGACAATATTACCATGACATTAACATCTATTTTCTCCATTTAGGGCTATGGATGGATTATTGTGATAGCGTCATTCTGTTGTAATATGATTGTTGATGGAATTGCGTACACATTTGGTGTCTTTTTGAATGAATTTGTAGCATATTATGGGGAGGGTCCTGGAAAAGTGGCGTGGGTCGGTAGTCTTTTAAGTGGAATGTATTTAACAGCAGGTATGATCAAGATAATAGGCACAATTTGCTTTAATTACTAAAACGATTAATCTACAGGTCCAGTAGTTTCTGGTCTTTGCAACAAATTTGGATGTCGAGCGGTGTGTATAGCTGGCAGTATATTGGCATGTACTGCATTCGTACTTAGTACATTCAGCACGAGTGTTAATATGTTAATGTTGACGTATGGTGTGATGGGAGGAATTGGATTTGGAATGATATATTTACCAGCAGTAGTACTTTGTGGTTTGTACTTTGAGAAAAAGCGATCGCTAGCAACTGGAATCGCTGTGTGTGGGTCAGGTTTTGGTACATTCGTATTTGCACCGCTTGCTACATTTTTGCTTGAGCAGTTTGGAGGATGGAAGGTAAATCTCTAAAAATAATAAATTTCTCATGATAATTTGCCAAACTTATTCATTCATGAAACTTTTTCTCTCAGGGTGCCAATTTAGTACTTGCTGGAATTATTTTAAATTGTGCAATCTTTGGAGGTAATTAAAATATTTTATTCAAGTATGCTAATGAGACTTAAAGATGCTTAAATAACATTTACCTTTAGCATTGATGCGCCCACTAACATATCCAAAGAAGAGTAAGGAGAAACCATTGATGCAGAGGATGTATGAGGAAAAAAGACTTCAAATGGAACGCGGATCAATTACAGGATCGTATTTCACAGTAACAATGCCCGACGGAACAATAAAGCAAAAACTAAAGTTGCCTCTCAATGTTGATCCTGGTGTTCATTCAAGCTTAGCACTTGATCAACTGGCACAAAATCAAATGCATCCTGTTGCAACATTACCGACAATTTCTGAATCCAAAGTAGTTAATTCTAATGGAAATGGCACAAGTGTTGAAGTACAAAGTCCTCCCGATGTCAAAAACATCACTAGACAGAGGAATAGAAATTCAGAATCTGATGCTGCTGGAGATAACTTAGCAGTTGACAATAATAATATACCAAGAAATGCTAGTCAACCCGTCTTTTCATCTCAAGGAACGGGTAAGAAATAAGCAACTAAACTTGTTTTTGAGGAAGTTATTTCATATAAATTCTCTTTTCATCCTTCTAGGAATTCCAAAGAATGGATCAGTTCCGACATTCCGAGCTAGAAAGTCATCTGAATCAGGGAGATATCAGCCGTCATTGAACCCAATAAAATCCTCATCTCGCGGTGACATGGACGGAACAAATGGTGATGTATGTACTCAAAAAAGACATTCAAGAGGATCAATAGGCAGCAAATATTCCGACGATTTCGTTAGTATTTCTCAAAATCAAAATTTATTTTCAAAATCTTCTGCATCTTTAGATTTATTGATATGTTCACATTTTCTGTTCTGATTGTTTATTAAATTGACACAAATCAATCAGATATTTCTTGCTCTGGGTACTAAATCACATGGTGATAATTTTATTTGCTGCTTGCTATTTTCTATCTTATTTATATTGATAAATTCTATATATTATATTTCATCGCATTTTATACATAAAAGAAAAAAACAATATTTTAACTTGAGCACACTCAAAAACTGCCTTACTAATGCATGCATTACTTTATTGTTTCGGACTTAAGAATCACTAAGAAAACAAAATTTTTGCTTTAAATATTGTCATATTCACAAAAAATGCATGATTAAAACTATATACTTCCAAATATCACATGTTTTATACATTCATGTACACATGACAATGCACAACTGGTTTCATTCTATTCATGACGATCCAGTTTGTTAAGTTTTAATAATAATATTTGTTCAATTGTTTAGGAATTCACATCAAAGACGTCATTAAGCCACAAACCGCAAATGGTACGTCCAATGTCAAGAAAAGATATCTTCTATTCTGGGTCAGTTACAAATTTGAAGGAATATCAGTCACAAAAATCATTAGCAGAGTATCGAAATTCGGTACTATCGCTTCCGCGTTTTGAAAAAGAACATCGACATGATACCTCGCAATATCATGACGTTGAAAGTGTCTCAGTCGATCCGTGCCCTTGTTTGAATCTTCCACCGGCATTTAAAGCCGCCTTATCATCTATGTTAGATGTTAGTCTATTACGTGACCCAGCATTCATGTTGATCGCAATTTCAAACTTGTTCGGTAATAAAAAATAATATTTTTACTTTATGCTGTAATCTATTATGATTAAAAATAACTTCTTAATTCTCAGGTATGGCTGCACTTTATATTCCATTCTTTTATCTCGTATCAGCTGCGGAAGCGAATGTAAGACATGAAATTTTAACATTACTCAATCAATTCTAATTATTTTTTATAACTTTTTCATCTTCTTCTGTTCAGGGCATTGAGAAATCCCAAGCTCCATTGCTTATATCAGTTATCGGAATAACAAATACATTCGCTCGTATCGTTTGCGGATATGTTGCAGATTTTCCATCAGTTGATTCTCTATTTCTCAATAATATTTGCCTCGTTATTTGTACCATATCAGTTGGATTAACTCCCTTATGCTCAAGCTTTACTAGTTATATAATTATGGCCTTTTTCTTTGGATTGGCCATTGGTAAGTGCTTACCTTAAATTATCATTAACTTAATATTTAAAGTTTTGTGATTTCTTATCCAGCTGGGTACATTTCATTGACTTCCATTATTCTTGTGGATCTTCTTGGACTCGAGAAGCTTACAAATGCCTTTGGATTATTAATTCTCTTCCGTGGTATTGCAGGTAAATTTTCAAATTAAACAAAATCATGCAAACAAGTCATTAATCACTTTCTTTTACAAACAGCAATAATTGGCACACCTCTTGCTGGAGCGATATATGAGGCTACACATAGCTATGATATTCCATTTTACACAGCAGGTGCTTTATTCGGTTTATCAGCGATTGCAAGTTTCCTTGCTCCTGTGGCAGCAAGATGGAGAGAACAGCCTGAAAGTCCAATACATGTTGAAGTTCTTACACCAATCGAAGAGAACGACGAATATGAATATGATGAAAATGATCAACCAATAACAATGAGTAAGTTTCCATAAAATTCCCTGTTCACAACTTCCTCCTCATAAAAAAAAATATCATTCTGTTCATAATTAGTTCCAAAAATTGTCAAAACAGCACCATCGCCCTCATCAGAACAACCGCCAAAAAGAATAGGTGGCGATACTAAAGGCAAAGAACTGAATCAAATGGAATCGGTTCTGTAAAAAATAATAAATGTAATTAAGTAGTCACTTCTAACTTCTATTGTACATTTTTATTTTTTCTGTTAATTAACATTTAAGAGAAAGAAATCGAGCCTCATTTGTTATTTAAAAAAAAATTCATTATAATTTTTTTTCTTTCCTTTGTTTTATGCTGTTCACCTTTTTTATTTTTTATTTGCTGATGAATCTTTTTGTTTTCAGTTAATAAGGCTTGAAAGTGCGCGTGAGTAAGATGGAGAGAATGGAAATGTTGTAATAATTTTTTAAATTATTAGTAATTCTATTTTACATGTTGATAATTAAATTATTATTGCTCTAACTTATTTCAATTATTATAAATATTATAATTTTAACAGAAAGCCAACAAAAAAGAAAAAAATATCTTTGCTTAAGTGAGTTAATTAAAGCCATAGTAATAATAACTAAATGAGAATCAATAGCTTTTAGAAAAAATTAAATCTGATTGAATGAACTTGAATGCTTACGAAAATATTGAAAGCTACAGTGAAGCATAAGAGACAGATAATGCAACCTGAAATAATTAATTTTAAGAACATAATAAAGATGAGGTATATTTTGCTAGGACATAAATATCTATTATAATTTTAAGAATTTGATAAGGAACTTAACAAATTCAAAAGAGGATGTTCACATATGATGTCCAACTTTTGAGGTAGTCTAAAGACATCAAAACTTCTAGATTTTTTTTACCAAAATTTAGTGGATGAGAGGATAGAGATCTAAAAATTAATTTGGATGTCATGTGTGAACGATCTATGTACATGTGAAGTAACTGAATTCGTCAAACTATCATATATTTATTGAATTGCTTTGTTCTCAACATATCTATTGGACGAAAGAAGATAGACATTTAGCATTGTTATCAAGATTATTTGTGGATGCTATTAGCAAACAGTTAACTTGAGGCTATCTTACTAGACAGCTATTTTGGAGTCCTAAATGTATTTTTTACAGTACAGATTATTTAACCATATTCAGCATACCCAGATAAGCTTGACAACAAGCTAATAAATGAAACTTATTTAAGATAAGAAAAAAACATGATTAAGTATGGCGAAAAATATACTTTATTTTATAATAATTTCTTTAGATCTTGATATGCAATTCCTATTATGTATTCCAAAAAGTCAAGCCCTTATTTTTGAGTTAATAGAACTGGTTTAAAAATATTCTCAAAATTATTTTTAAATTAATTTAAAGATTTATTGTGGTGTTATTATTATAATTTTAAGTTCAAAATTGACATATACGGAAAATTCTATAAATACAAGTCAATAAAAATTTTATAGATTGTTTATGTTGTTAGAATCCTGCAATTCTAATTCCTTAAAAATTGAATTGGATTCTATGGAAATTGAATAATTTATAAATTGTTGGTTTACCGAACTTCGAGAACTTCAACCCACACCAAATTCATCACATAAATTACCCATTGAATGTTTTTAGCATTAAAGAATTTGATGCTTTAATCATTTCATATCTTTATATCAAATCTCATCAAATCGCTTTTTGAGACATTTTTATTTTTTTCATATTATTTTCTTATTTCCAAAAATAATTAAAATATAAAAGGAATTGATGTTTTCGTATTATCATTTTTTAAAAAAATATTTGCATCTCATATTTCAAGAAACTGTTGAATAACTCTTTATAAAAACAAAGTATTTGAATCGCTTGATAGACCTTGAAAAAATAAACAATGCAAAAAGAAATAAATTAACTTACAGATTTCCACTAACAAAATGCTTCTCAGAATTTCCTCAATCAATATTTCTTAACATAGATATGGCAACAAAAAACGATGCACTACTAAACAGTTAATAAAACACGAATAACATAATGAAATAAAACTTGAAAATCCCGATATTGTGATATGCTTAATTGATTGACTCAAAATATAATTTATCATCTGCAAGACGTTACTTACAACTTAATAATAAGCTAACATTTTAAAGATTATGTTTGGTGCACATTCCAAGTCACGAGAACTTTTCTATCAAGGATTGTCCTTAGTGGTTTTCTCTAATGCATCCCTTGGATATGCACCTAGATGATGCGGAACAAGAAGTTTCGATTCTCAATCATGATGATTTTGCTTTAAACTGACTGGTGTGCAATACGATTTTCTTCCCAGATAAATCATCTAGGCTCAAGAGTGTAATAATGTATTGAAGTTTATTGGTCCAAATTTATTGGTCATTGATTACATTCTAAGTCATATGAATATGTAAATTTCCATTAGACTCATTAGACTTGCAATGAGCAATTTTCAAAATAATTGAACAAACTTGCAGAAGTCATAATATTGCATGATCAAGCTCAAAAAAAAAACAATCATGCTTGAAAACTTTGCGCTTCTTGAAACGCATATATAAAAGTTAATTAAGCTTTAAAGCTAGTGAGTATCATGAAATCTCCATTTCTGGCATTAACTAAGATTGAGAATAAAAAATAAAATTAAAAGAAGAAGAAGAAAAAACTCAAAGTTATAATTAAAGACAAAGCAAATAGTTGGTTCCAAAGAGTAATGATGAGTGTCTTAACTTATAAAAATAATAATTTTAATAAAAATTTAATTTTTCTTCTTGTTTTCTGTAAGTGACACACACAAAAAGAATGAAATAAAGGAAATGTTTGAAAAACGTGTGTAGGATATTTAATGGAAAAACAAAAAGAGAATTGATGATGAAGATATAAAGTAAAAGAGTTGTTTATTCTATGTCAATTTATAAATTTTATTTTATAATGAGAAAAAAATGGTAGGATTTTATGAAGATTCATATGTTGTTAGTTAAGAATGAAAAACAAAAATGAAAACACAAAAAAGAGAAGAAAAAAAAACGTCAATAAATAAAAATTGCCACTTTAGCTAAAACTGTGACTTAATTTCTTTTCATTTTAGGAATCTTTTTGTTCTCTTTTATAGGTTCTTTAAATTTGTAGAGATATTGTATTCCAATTATAGCTTAATTATTTCAGAATAAAACATTTATAACAAGAATTCAACACAATGAGATAAATATTGGTGTTAAAAATTAATAAAGTAAAAACATTTTAGCTTTTTCTGTCATAGATATGTTTCAGTATGTCTATATGTTTGCGGTTCTTTTCAAGTTTTCATCTTTTCTTGCTGTTCTTAGTTTATGTTATCGACTTTTTTTTCACAAATGAGTAAACATAATCCAAGGAGTGGAGCTTTTAAACTGAACGCTGATCAATTTTTAAGTTTTTAAATGAATTTGAACATTTTCTAAATTTAAAAAAAATTTAAAATTGCAGTTTCGGATCATCTAGGCTGATTTGAAATTAGAACTTAATGTTTATTCTTTTGCTCACCCTTTTTTATTAGTTTTCAATCTTTTAAAGTATCTTTACATGTTAAATTGAGATAAATTTTAAGGTCAAACTATTGAATTGAGAATATAAACAAATCATTATACCATTTATATCAAATGAATATGACTGGATTAAAAGGTAGGCTGATGCACTCGAACTCAAGAAATCTCTGATAAAAGTGTTTATATCCAATAGTTTATGTTGCTATTCTGAATTTTTCTCATTTTCGAACTTAAGGTTGGTTCTCTCATTCATAATAACATCAAACTGACTTTTTATAGAGTTGAAAGATTTTATTTCATGTCAACTTCATTTGCATTTCTACCGAATTTTTATCTCCATCGTAAGATCAACAGGTGGTTTTAAATTCTTTTGGTCAACTTCTAATTGCAATTTTCCTTTGAAATTCATTGACGAATGCAAAGTAATAACGCTCATTGTGTCTCATCTTCTTTACTTCTCTTCTTGAAGACATTAAAAGCCCCACTAATTCACTTAATGTTTTATTGTTTTAATACAAGCCATCTCGTCTCGATTCATGTAGAACTTTATTTCTGGTATCAGAAAAATAGAGATGTGTGGGGATGGGCAAATGTAGAAACAGACACTTCTTACACTCATGGAAATAAATGTTCGTTTCCACATCTACCTTACGTATTGATTAAAAAATCATTTTTATGTATACCTCAAAAGCACTCAGAAGAAGCTACAAAAGCAGCATCTTCGGAAATTTTTGTACGTATAAATCGCGAGAGAAATAATTATTGTTCTTTCATGGGTTGATCAGTCTCTAATGCTAGACATTTCAGATAGTCTTACTTTCATTCTCGTTCAAGTCACTTCGAATACGATGCCTGTGTAAATTTGTTGAGCAAATATTGTACAAAAAATTTTATTTTCATAAAATAGAACGAAAATTTTTTTGTCAAACAAAAAGTGAGAAAGAAATTTGCAGATTTTTTTGCAGATTCTTTAAATTCAGTTTGTTAAGAGGAATTGGACTTGTCGTTCATAAAAGTGAATTTTTGTAATAATGGGACTTTTGTGCAACACGAAACTTCTAAAATTTGTGAGTATTTAATTCTTTTTTGATTTATTTATTGAATCCAAACAACATTTGAGCCATAAGAACTGATCAAATTTCTTTTAATGTATATCGATTAATTTACCTGACATTTATGAATCATACTGTATTTACGAAATGTGTAATCAAGTCTTAAGGAAATTAACAAAAATGATATTCTGCAGTAAGCATGCTTCATTCTTTCCTATTTTTGAATTTTTAATGTTTTCATTTTTTCTCGAATATCTTAAAGTTGCGCATCGAGCGTTTGTGGTGCTGATATCAAATGTCATATTTTATTAAAAAATTGTAAAAGTAAAATTTTAACTGCTGGGGACCATCGTTGACAATTTGAAATACATTCAAAGTTATAAACGAAGACAATCCTTTGCTAAAAGGATCGTAAATTTCTTTCCTATGTTTATAAATCTATGCATCATTAAAACTGAGAATAAAATTTGATTACGGTGACTCAATGTCGTCAATAGGGACATCAAATAGATAATTCTAGTTCCTGATGAAGCTGCCAAGTGGGTTAAGTTTGGAAAAAATGATCCTCGTGTAAAGGATTAACTTCTCCCATTAAATCAATGTAAAAAGATCCAAAAGACTCAATTTGTAAAGTTTTAGTGAATTTTCAAATTCTTTAATCTGCGTGATTTGGAAAACACTGAACTTTTAGTATGTTTCAAGCTACAACTCTTTACAAACAAAAAAAAAACATATAGACTGAATAATTATGTATCCTCTATTAAATTTAAGCGCTACCAAATTTTGTATGGCGTATAATTTTCAAAATATTGAAGATTAAACGAATAATAGCTGATCATTAAATAGGACTGTCATAACAGCCAATTCTTTTAATTTTAGAACATTTGAAACAAAAGGATGTGAAAAAGATTAAGAAAAGCAATTAAATTTCATTAAATCTTCTTTAAAGTTCTTTGAATGTGACTCAATTCTCAAATATATCTTTTATAGCACAATACATAATAGACGCAAAATTATTAAGTCAACATATTTTTGTAAATTATGACTCATAAGGAGCTTTTCTTGAATAGCGCTCAAATTAATAAACCACTTGTGACTGACATTTCATTAATGACTATCACATATTTGCAAAAATCACGTCGAAAGAAGGACATAAATCAGCAAACATCTGGATAACTGCTGACTACCTCGTTTCCTTAAAAGTTCTGCTTCCACGGCTATCAAGTGAAGATTTATTGATAAATAATCTTAGCTTTTAAACAATATTCAGTTACGCATCTATGAAAATTAAAATTTTAAATTCTATTTCATAAAAATGTCATATTGAAGGAACGATACTTCACACCTAAAATCATTTAAATGTCCAAAATATTTTCAAACTTGTAAAATGAATAAAATGTGAGACACCATGTCTTGGCTTCTTCTTATAGATCTAAAAATAAATTTGATTCCGTAAAAGAAAAATGAAGAACAAGTAAGAATCTTTATCATAACGAAGTCGTAATAGCTGAAATGTTTTGATTAATGAGCTTGTGGAAATTACATGATTTTATTCTGTTTTAATGAAATATTATCATAACCTAAAGATGATTTTGGTGTGTAAAGAAACTTTAAATATGATTGACTAATTGACGATTCCCAGATATGACTTAGACTACTGGATAAACAGATCAATTATGATTCATGACCAGATTTTCGATTTCAAATTCCTTGTCAACCACGTGATATCTCTTCATGTACAAATCTTTACTTAAAGTCCTAATTTAAATGAGACTTTAAAACTATGTTGTTGCCTTAGATGTCTTTTGTGAACCAGCCCAGATGTCTCAAAATCAGTTTAGGTACGTCTCTAGCATGATCTGACAATAATTTAATTAAAGTCTTCTGAAATGTCATAAGAAATGTAACACAAAGTGAAGTTAAATGTCCAACTCACTTTGTAGGAACTTCAGCTAACCAGAGCAATCATAATACAAAATCATTGGTGACTCATAATGTTCTGTAGACTCAGATTTCTTTAAGCATCATAACGTATTCTTGTTCATCTCATTTGGTACAATAAAAAATTAAAAAAATATTGTCCCAGAAGATGAAGAAGTGGAAGATGTGGATATAAAACAAACAAAATATATTTTCTGTGCAGACCTGTCTCGTCGATGCTAATTTACATAGACTGTCAAGATAAATCTTAAAATATTATTAATAGATGTAAAAATATGAGGGAAAGGTTGAGATTGATAAATTATGACCGGGGTTTATAATAGTTCGGAACATATCAATAAAACAATATCCATTAATATTGAGTACGATAAAATCTCATTTCCTATAAATTCTTCATTTTTTCGCAAAGCTCTTTCCAAGGAGCTTTTTTATTAGCTCTTAGCACAGTGGGCATAAACAAATCAAACCTTTTAACACTGACATGTGTCATGTTCAGCTAAATCTATAATAGTATATTATCAGGCAAAAATAGAATTTATTACTTTTTTAATTCACAACGCAGAATGTCAAAACTTTATTTATGATTTTGAGTGCCCATAAGAAATGTTTAGACGCAGCTATATGCTATTTGTGTTGGTTTACTTCTCAAAAAACTATTTTTTGGCTATTTTGTTCTCCGATTACTCTTTTTGATCAATGAATATCGGAAGAATTCAAAAATTTATTTTTATAGGAAGAAGATTTGGCACTTCGACAATGTGAACTTTTGTATTATCACATAATAGCGTATCGATGATTCATTCACATATATTTCAATTAATAGGCAATGCATTCAAAGCAGATTAAGTCCATAAAAAATGCCATCATATATTTTGATCCAATAAATCTTCATCTATACACACACCTTTAAAAGCAAATTTGCGAGACGAAAAGAACTAAAATAATTCTTTTTAGCAATCTATTAATATTAACTTGAAGTGTGACAAAATTTGAATTTATTGAATAATTTTTTTACAAATATCCAATCTCTATAATTATTTTATAAGCGTGGTCGAACATAAATTGTTGTTAATTAACATACATAATAGCTGCATGGAGATAAAATGATGCATAAATCAACTTTAACTCCTTTTAATAATGTCAATAAGCATTTAACACTGCAATTATAGATAATATAAATTTTTCCACATGCTTAGCCACATAACTAGGGATCATAATGATTTTATGTAACGCTGGGCATTTTAATTGATTTTAATGGGTTTTAATATGTACCCATGTTTAAGTAGGTTCGATCCTTTTGAGCTGTTTGACATTTAGGTTCGATTTTCTGATATTTTGATGCTTACCAGTTTCAGCAAAAGCCTAGCTCATTTTTTTTAGAAACTAGTTCTCACCTATAGGTCTAGATTGAATAACTCTCTGCAAGGCATACATTTTAAGTGAAAAAAAGGTTGACAAATGATTGTAAGATCGATATCAATGATACAAGATATCCAAGATACTATTTAAATTTGATCCGTATTTGACGAATTTCCCCATAATATGATGTAGCTGTTTTAAAAACGTAAATAAAAATGTGTACTTGATATTTCCAACAGTTGCGAATATTCAACAATTTACAGTCTCTTTTTTTGACAGCAACATGTGATGAATTATCCGGGAAGGTGTACATTGTATGAGTATGAATGCATAAATGTGACGATTACAAAGTCTCGTATACATGAAAATTATAATCGATTGAATATGGGCGATACAACTTTTATTTTTTACTTTAATATAAAAGAAAAATTAATGAAAAAATCATTCAATTAGGCAGCCGTGAAATATTTGTTTGGAAGGTCTTTTGTACGATACGCAAAATTGATTCTTTAAAGTTTTTAATGTGACTTGATTTTCTATTGAAATCAATTTTCTGAAGAATATTATAATAAGGCACAAAAATATATCAGCAATTTACTATTCTTATGGCGTTTAATGATCTATCACCTATAATACCAGCTGTTTATAAAGCAGTGCTGAAATTAACACGATTCTAATTACAGTTTTAAATGTAATTAAGTCTTTAAATATTCGAATGATTTAGCAAGAATGATTATAGACATCTTGTTAATTGTTTCCATTCATATCTTCAATATTCATCTGTTTCTTTCAAAAAGAGTAGTTTGGCAGAGTTTTTTGGCTATTTTTTATTGTTATGACGATCATTTTAACATCTTTTTATGACCCGAACTCAAAAATCACATTATCTTCCGTCATCTTTAGTGATTTTCTGATATATAAGCTACTGTCACACCATACCAATAATCTATTATTGACACAAAAAGTAAGAATGGGTTTTAAGCAGGATGTCTGAGTTTAAATCAACGACACGGCTATGAAAATTTTCAATTTTATTATATTTATTATTCAGTATTTACTGATTATTTAAATCTTCTAATACAATAAAGCTAATAAACGAATAAATGCACAGATGAAGAAGAGAAAGGGTTTTTAAAGTCTGCTAATGATTTCATCATTTATTCAGCTACTCAAAAAATTATTTTTAAGCTATTTGAATGCATTTTTAGAAGACACATTCATAAAATATTTTTTTTTTAAAAAAAACTTGATTCCTCGTGATGAAGTACGTAAGAAAATAGTTGAGACTGAATGTCTACTACTTTATATCATCTATTAATAGTTCTTTTTTTGACTTTGCAAATCATTATTAGTTGTTTAAAAATACTTTGTTTTTAAACTTTAAAGTTTAAACTTGAAATTTATTTTTAATTTAACTTTGAGGCTATTTTTAAAACTTAATGAGCTGATCCATAAAAAAAAGATTAGGGAAACAAGAAACGGCGGTTAAAATATGCTTTTATTAATTCTTGAACTTGATCTTGAAAAAAGAAGGGCTAGTTTTAGACCTAGACCTAGACTCAATATCTTTTTTATGTCAAGCATCACAAATCTTAAAGTTGGATTCTGTTCGGTACTAGGATACTGGTGAAATGGCATCAGTAGACTAAATGGTAGAGCGTTGGCCTTCTGTGCCAAAGGTCCTGGGTTCAATCCCAGGCCATGTCTAATTTTCGAAGCTCTTTTACCATTTCACCGTACTAGTTACGAAGCTCGGTTCGTGTGCTGGGTGTAGTTTTGAGGTCTTTGGCACAGAATATGCCTCCTTTGCTAGGTATACAAGGATATATTAGCATTTGGATGACTTTCTTACAGCATCTTGCGCACACGAGTTGTGACTAGGTACATTGCAGGGTACATCAGGTCTTATGACGTACTCATGTCTTTGCAATGTGCAGAGCTTGCAAGTGGTTTGGATCCCACTATAAACTGTAGGTCTAAAGGGTGTGGTACAATAAATTCTGTTCTAATTTGAATCGCAGTGCCTCCAGCTGAGAGGCTGGGCCCTTCACACATTATTATTATTATTATTATATTCGGTACTAGAATCGATTTTTCTTGAATTTGAATTTCTATTACACTCGATGTCTGGTCTGTAGTGTTTCGAGTATCCCAAAATTTATTTCCCCCGAAATGTGCATGTCCTGCATGATTGAACTCAAAATGTTAAGCTCTTTTAACACTTTTTGAACTCTAGCACAGATCATCTTTTCTATTTTGTCATTCCATTAAAATTATTAAATAACTTAGAACACGTGTGAATTTTTTAATGATGTTTTGATGAGATTCCCAAAAATAAATTGTCTATGAATGAAATGTGAAAAAATATTTTTTTTGCAGTCAGCTTTAAAAATGGCATAACGTGTATTAAAAACCTTTAAAAGCCATCCAACGCACTTGCAAAGAGTTTTTAACACAAAAATTTTAAGACAATTACCAAAACTAGAATTAATCTTCTTAAGAATTAATCACCATATTAAGTAGCTATATACTGACTACTTTACAATATAAATTTACCAAAATCTTTCATCAATCAAATCGAATTGAATAATGAAGACAGAAAACACAAATAGACATGCAAAAATGTGTTAAAACAGTAATAAAAATCTGAATAATAATCCCATCAACAATAATGATTGTAATAAATATCGAGAGAACAATGCACTATGAAGGAAGATAAAGAAAATAATACTATGAGTAGAGAAACATTTAGTTTTGGCTTTAGGTCGTGTTCTATAAAAGATTGAGACGATACTCAAGTGTAAAAGATCATGTTCATATTTCCTTTATTATTGATTCTTTTCTACAAACAATTGTACTTAAAGCCATTGATATTTTTTATATTCACACTAAGTTCACGTGTGCATGTATGCAAAAAACAGAATTCAAATTGGTTGAGGCATTGCTTAAAAAAAACAGAGTTTGCAAACAAACAAGCAGGTTAATCAGTAAGAAATCTCGAAAGCACGACATCATAGGGAATTCTAGTTTTTTACATTCGATCCGTGCTATCTTGTACAGACAGCTGTATTGTTTTTGGGCAAGGTAGGAACAGCCGTTGCTTCAAAAATAGCAAAGAACCTTTCCTTCTTAAGATTTTCAAAACCCAAAGTTTGTTATGTTTTTTTAAGAATGATTAGCACATCCATTTAGCTTTAAATCTTCAAACATGTGCTGAGCGTAGTTCAACTTCACCGCCTTGGTTCAAATTTTGAAATAAATGATAAAACTTTCGATAGTACGGTGTGAATATATCGACATTGGCTTTCTACCCAATATTCATCTACACAAATAATTTCAATAAGATGAATGATTTTTTTTTCGCAGGTGATGCTCTTGCTCACATTGACACTAGAAATCGAAAGTGCATCAAGATGGTATACTGGCGAGAATAAGCCTTACGATTTCGGTTACACAATTGAGGGAAATCAACATCGTCACGAATCTAAAGGTAATCAATTTCATTAGCTATAGACATCAAGTGGGGCTAATATGTTGAAAACATTTTGTAAATATTACTTACTTCTTTAAAAATTATTTGATGCTTGTTGTTTAACTTGGTAACCCCCGTAAGGGGCTGTTCACTTATTACGTAACGCGAAAAAATGACTTCTTAGACCCCCCCCCCCCCTCGTAACAAAATTTGTATGAAAAAAAAATTTCCTTGTTTGAACCGTAACAAAATCTTAGACCCCCCCCCCCTCCCCCTAAAAGCGTTACGTAATAAGTGAATGGCCCCTAATATTTTTTTTGGTCATTAATTAAAACTTTTTTCACTGAATCATTATCTCATCATTTGACGTTGTATAATCCACAGATATTCATGGAGTCATAAATGGCGAATATGGATTCATTACAGCCGATAATGTTTATCACGTGACTGTTTATGCGACTGATGAAAATGGAAATTTTAAAATTATTTCAATGAAAAATATTAAATTATACAAACAGTCTGAACAGCCTCAACCTCCAGTAACCTCAACGACACCACAACCTTTCACAGTAAAAGCAACTGATCCTCCAACTACGGAGCCATCAAAGAAAACTGTCGGTGAAGCATGTGCATCATGTAAGTTTATTCCAAAACCTGAAACAGAAACTGTCAAACCTTCAGTTCTACCTGATGAAGAATCTTCAACGATACCACCTCCATTTAAAATAGTTAGTAAAGAAGACCCGTCGAGTGATGGACAACAACAAAAAGTTGGTAATGAAAATATTGACAATTCTATATCTGTGGATGTAAACAAGCAAGGTGGACAGTTGGAAAATAAAAGCCAAAACAACAATAATATTAATAATTTTAATGTCCCCTCAAAAGCTGATGGTAGGCAACCATCGTTTAATGAAAAGCTTAATTCTGTCGAGCTTTCAAATAATAAGTTACAATCAGGACAATTTAATCAACTTCAAGGAGGACAGCAACAACAGCAAAATTCAAATGGATTACTTTATCGCTTTGATTATGCTACAGATTTTAATGGACATAAAGAGGAAGGAGATCGATCAGGCAATAAAGATGGTGAATATATCTCCATAGGACGTGATAATGTAAAAAGAGTAGTCTCATACAAAGCAAACGAATTTGGTTATATGCCATACATTAGGCAAGAGCCGTTAGGTTATCAATTTGATGAGCGTAATAATCAGCTTCGTCGATATAATTTTGAGTGGTTTTATCCTCATTCTACTTTATATGGTTAAATGCTGTAAATATTACAACTGAACGTGATGATTTAAATCCTAATAATGCTGCCAGTTTTGGATGAAAATTTCTCTTTAAGTTAATTTTAAATGTTATAATTAAGGACGAAACTTTCCTCTGTCATGCCTGTAAAAAATAATTTAATAGTTCTCATGAGGGTTCGTTTACTTATGACGTCCGATATTTTAAGCGAGAAATAGGGATGTTAAGATCAAGGTTGTAAATTACATGGATGTGCTTTTGCTTAGTTGATATATCAACCCGTATGCCAACTTTGCTCTGAAGATTGAAGAAGGTCTAAAATAATCCAATTTCTTAGTTTTAACGTCATTTGTGGACGAGTCCTCGAGATATTTTTATATACCCAAAACTTAATAATAATAACGTATTTGTTATGAACTTCCTAATTTAAAAGATGCGCATTTTTTGACCGATGATACAATGATTCATACTCTTCTTTAATTAGCATAAAAAGTTGTGAAAAACAATTTGTTTGGTCAGTTGAAGTATAGAATTCCGATCATTAAAATTAGTTCCGTAAAGGAAATTATTTTTAATAATGAATTATTTAATCAGAAAAACATTTGTGCTGACATTAGCATTTCAAATTGCATCTTCTGCCCAGTTTATTGGTCTGTCAAAAAAGAATACAGGTTGTTACCATGAACAAGACATTAAAAATTTGTTTTGTTGCTGTAATTAATACCTAGTTTAATTTAGATTGTAGCAATGGGACTTGTGTTGATTATTGTGATTTAGGCGACAATTCATTGAAAATATTACCTGGTGAATACTACGAAAAAGATTGCTCGCGGATATGGTGCTCAAATGACTTTTCAGTGTTTATTGAGAGGTAACGGGTCGTTCACATACTACGTCTTTAAACGAATTGTGAAAACACAACCAATTCTTACTAAGACTGTGTAAGGGGCTGTTCACTTACGTAACGCGAAAAAATGACTTTTAAGACCTCCCCCCCCCCCCCCCTCGTAACAAAATTTGTATGAAAAAAAAATTTCCTTGTTTGAACCGTAACAAAATCTTAGACCCCCTCCCCCCCTAAAAGCGTTACGTAATAAGTGAATGGCCCCTAACTAGTATCAAGGTTTTTAGATATGATTTAGAAAACGACTCCATGCTTTAACAGTCTCGAAGTTATGATTACAAATTCATTGTTACATTTTTAAAAGTTTCAAATTCATTTAAAGTTTTAGACGTTATAAGTGAACGAACCATTTAAAAAGCTGTTCAAAACAAGAATCACAGCTGATATCATTTTCTTTTTTAACCCTTAAGTTGTGGAAGTTTCTCATCAAACGAGTGCTTCTTGATGTTGCCTGATCGAAAGCTTTCTTATCCAGAATGTTGTAATAAAATATGTGTGACACTTTGGCGATTAAAAATAAATGATTAACTTTTACGATTCAACATGATATTCTTTATAGATTTAAATTTTCCTTCATTCATTGTTATAATACATTCCATTTAAAAACGACAAGCAAACTAAATTGTTATGCATACATAAAATTTTGAAGACATTCATCAATTTAAACATCAATTGTGAATTATTGTCATATGTAATAATATAGAAATAAAATAAAATGTGACAAAAAACAATTTTAAAATGTTTATATCTCTTCTATTCTTTCATCAACATAGGTTTAGGTATTTAGCATCAATAAATTATGGAATGATATCATAGGACATTTCTTGTTAAGTTTAATGAAATGAAATTTGTTTCTAATTGTTCTAGATAAGTATAATAAATGATTCCTTTATATTTATATCATCACTGAATAAATTTTCTTTAAGTATGCATATTATGGACACACAATGATAACAATATTTAGCAAATGTATTTCAAAACAATATTTTTTAATCCTCTAAGTTACGGAAAGCTTGTTGTAATTCTTCGTGCAACTGATCGAAATCGGCTTTAATCTTTGCCTCGCCGTCTTTTACTGGATCTTTGAATTTCATTGAGGAAAGTTGGTAAAGCTGGTTACCCATAGCATCACGAATAATGTTCCATGTGATTTTGTTTTCTGATTGAGCTGTTGATTCGACAGCATGGCGTGACATATCGTAGAATGCAATAATGTTCCTTAACATACCGACTGTCTTGTAGAATGGACAGAATCGATCGTATGATGAATAGGAGTTTTGTTGCAAGAAATCGTCTTTTAATAATTTTGCTACTTCCAATGTAATCTTATCAGTTTCAGCCAACGATGCTTTACCTACGAGCTGTACAATTTCTGACAAATCTTCTTCTTCTTGAAGGATTTCCTTGACCTTTGTACGTAATGGCACGAATTCCTGGAAGTTTTTGTCATAGAAGTCATCGAGGGCGCGCATGTATTTACTGTATTGAGGAACAAAATTATCTTAGTCAAATGATAAAATCATTAAATTAATAGCAGCATTACCTGTATGAAATGAGCCAGTTGATAGATGGGAAGTGCTTACGTTGTGCCAATTTCTTATCCAATCCCCAGAAGACTTGAACGATACCCAAAGTTGCAGATGTAACGGGATCTGAGAAGTCACCACCGGGAGGAGATACAGCACCAACAATTGAGACGGAACCTTCACGTTCTGGATTACCGAGACATTTAACGCGACCAGCACGTTCATAGAAAGAGGCAAGACGAGCACCCAAATATGCAGGATAACCAGAATCGGCAGGCATCTCAGCAAGACGACCTGAGATTTCACGCAAAGCTTCAGCCCAACGAGATGTTGAGTCAGCCATCATAGAGACATTATAACCCATATCACGGAAATATTCAGACAATGTAATACCAGTATAAATGGAAGCTTCACGAGCAGCGACAGGCATGTTTGATGTATTTGCAACCAATGCTGTACGTTTCATAATTGATTCAGTAACACCTTCAATTTCAACAGACAATTCGGGGAAATCACGAAGTACTTCAGACATTTCATTACCACGTTCTCCACAACCGACATAAACGATGACATCCGAGTTGGAATATTTAGACAATGCTTGTGAAATGACAGTCTTTCCACATCCGAAAGCTCCAGGAATTGCAGTAGTTCCTCCTTGTACACAAGGGAACAATGAATCCAATACACGTTGACCAGTTAAGAGTGGATGATTTGCTGGCAATTTCTCAGTTACTGGACGTGGTTGACGTACAGGCCATACTTGCAACATACTATATTTATTGATTTCTCCATCGAATTCCGTCTCGAGAATAATATCCTCGACTGTATAATTTCCAGGTGGTGCAATATATCTAATGGTTCCCTTTGCTCTTGGTGGAACAATCAATTTGTGCTTGACTAAAGTATTTTCGTGAACAACACCATACAAATCACCTCCAGTAATATGTGATCCAACCTTTACATTCAATGGATTAAAATCCCATGATTGTGTACGCGAAAGAGATGGAGTGTTGATACCCTTTGGGATATAAATTGACTGAGTCAATTCGTTAATATCCTTCAATGGACGCTGAATACCGTCAAAAATACTTCCCATAATACCTGCATTATATAATTTTACATTATCAACACATCAAACATCTTTTATATATTGTTCACTTACCTGGACCCAACTCAACGGAAAGAGGCTTGCCAGTTCTCAAGACGGGATCTCCAACAGTTACACCTGATGTCTCCTCATATACTTGAATTGTAGCCATGTCACCTTCCAAACGAATAATTTCTCCTACAAGTTCATAGTATCCTACTCGAACCAACTCGTACATAGCAGATCCAGCCATTCGTTCTGCCGTAACGACTACATTTTTTCAAACAATATACAAATTTTATTTTATCTTTTAGTCAGATGATCAACTATGTATGCCTTAATAGATTTCATTTTATTTCTTCAAGTTTCACTTACCTGGTCCTGACACGGCAAATACATAGCCGAATTTTGATTCGCGTTCCTCATCAGCTATTCTCTTTAAATTAGACATCCCGACTTGTTTCTATATTTCAGAAAAAAGAGGTAAAAAGATAAGAAAAGAGAATCAAATTGTAATTTTTTTGATCACATGACTCTAAATGTTATGAATGAATATTGCAAAAATCAGCAAAAATCAATGTTTTCTTGCTGTGATTTGCTATCAATAATTATGATAAGTCTTTAAATTATCCATTAAGGCACTTTATTCTGAAATTAGCCATTGAATTTCGACAGAAATCAAATATAGGAAAAATCTTTTTGCAATTTTATATTCTTGAAACTTTCAAATCGGAATCGGATTTATTTGACTACTTTTGGGATGATTATCACTCACCAAACTGTGTTTATCCTATTAATTAAAGCAATTTATCTGATGTATGCTGAAAAACTATTTTCCTAATTTCCAAATAATTTTTCAGTTTGTTGCAAGAATGTTGTTCCTTGGTCGCTTACAGAATGTATTTGGCACTTGCTTCTCGTCTACGACACATGATACAATACATTCATCAACTACGTCTAATTTTTTCAAAAGGGAGGTGAGGGGGGGGGGGGGGGGTATATAATTCTGACACTTTAACCAGTTTTTGCAAGACTTAATATACAATTTTTAAACTTTTTGATAATTTGTAAGGTTTTAGTAGAAATCAATAGAATTCACAAGTTGTGACTGGTGACTGTTGTAAGATTTTAATACAAAATTTAATTCATTTATAATTTGGGACTTGACCTTTTTTCGAGGATTTTTGCTTTACGGGAAAAAATAATTTGAATTTTTCACTAATACTATCATACAAAACATCAAAAATTAAATTCTCAAAATTCTTAATTATTCAATCATTAATCCCCAATCTTATGATTTGAATACGAAAAGTAGATGATATATTAGCTGTTCTGACTATCTTAAGAGCTTTTATATCATTATTAGATGATATTTTCATGACTTTTCAAATTTCATTTTCGATTTTGTTTGTAAACAAACAACTCACGGCAGAAAAAATTCAAAAAAAATAAAACCGTTAAAAAAATTTAACTTAATTTTGTCTATTTAGGTATGTCAATGCAACAATTTTAAATTTTTTATAAACTCAAAAAGAACAGAATTGAATTTAGGACGTAAAAAAATACATTTGGAGATATATTGATGATATAGCAAAATTCCCAAAAATTGTACGTGAGTGACGCTTAGTTAAAGTGGTTTTTTTAAGCAACTATAAAGTTTCAAGAAGTGAATTGTATAAAAATAGATGGAGATTTTAATTCTCTTTTTAAAAAAGTAATTCCTAAATTTGTCACTTTTAAGGATAAGGAGATAATCAAGAATAACAAAGCGTCAGTCACGTACAATTTTTTTGTGACGAGGCCCATTTACAAAAAATTAAAAAAATAGAAACTCTTTTTATTGTGAAATGTCTAAAATGATCTTTAAATTAGAGTTAAGATAATGCGCTGATTGAGATTTGAACTCGTGACTTATAAAAGTAAGCAAAATCATCTTTACTAGGACTTTACTTACGTAAATTTACGTACGTACATTTACGTACGAACTTGAATTTTGTTTACCATAATTTATATATATTTTCAAAAACTTTAATCAATATTTTTAACAAGGCACATCATTTTTAAACTGTTTTCTTCAATGTTTTGTTGCTTGCCGAGAAGATATAATGGTAAAAAAATATTTGCGCAACATCAGAGCAACATCACATGACTGAAAAATCATTTTTGCTTTAAAAATTGATTTGAAAAGTAAGAATTTACATTTGTCAATTAAAAAATTATTTCCGCTTTATATTTAAAGTTAATTCTTTCTCCAATCTATTACTGCTTATTGATTAATCATTATCCTGTAAAATAATATCCATAAAACTGTGAAAATCTTCATTATTTGTTGAAATAAAATTTTTTCAAAAAATTTGATAAAAAATAATTTTTTTCCAATTAGCTTGTCATCTCCAAGATGTCTAATTTAAAGAGAATAGCTGATGAGGAACGCGAATCAAAATTCGGCTATGTATTTGCCGTGTCAGGACCAGGTAAGTGAAACTTGAAGAAATAAAATGAAATCTATTAAGGCATACATAGTTGATCATCTGACTAAAAGATAAAATAAAATTTGTATATTGTTTGAAAAAATGTAGTCGTTACGGCAGAACGAATGGCTGGATCTGCTATGTACGAGTTGGTTCGAGTAGGATACTATGAACTTGTAGGAGAAATTATTCGTTTGGAAGGTGACATGGCTACAATTCAAGTATATGAGGAGACATCAGGTGTAACTGTTGGAGATCCCGTCTTGAGAACTGGCAAGCCTCTTTCCGTTGAGTTGGGTCCAGGTAAGTGAACAATATATAAAAGATGTTTGATGTGTTGATAATGTAAAATTATATAATGCAGGTATTATGGGAAGTATTTTTGACGGTATTCAGCGTCCATTGAAGGATATTAACGAATTGACTCAGTCAATTTATATCCCAAAGGGTATCAACACTCCATCTCTTTCGCGTACACAATCATGGGATTTTAATCCATTGAATGTAAAGGTTGGATCACATATTACTGGAGGTGATTTGTATGGTGTTGTTCACGAAAATACTTTAGTCAAGCACAAATTGATTGTTCCACCAAGAGCAAAGGGAACCATTAGATATATTGCACCACCTGGAAATTATACAGTCGAGGATATTATTCTCGAGACGGAATTCGATGGAGAAATCAATAAATATAGTATGTTGCAAGTATGGCCTGTACGTCAACCACGTCCAGTAACTGAGAAATTGCCAGCAAATCATCCACTCTTAACTGGTCAACGTGTATTGGATTCATTGTTCCCTTGTGTACAAGGAGGAACTACTGCAATTCCTGGAGCTTTCGGATGTGGAAAGACTGTCATTTCACAAGCATTGTCTAAATATTCCAACTCGGATGTCATCGTTTATGTCGGTTGTGGAGAACGTGGTAATGAAATGTCTGAAGTACTTCGTGATTTCCCCGAATTGTCTGTTGAAATTGAAGGTGTTACTGAATCAATTATGAAACGTACAGCATTGGTTGCAAATACATCAAACATGCCTGTCGCTGCTCGTGAAGCTTCCATTTATACTGGTATTACATTGTCTGAATATTTCCGTGATATGGGTTATAATGTCTCTATGATGGCTGACTCAACATCTCGTTGGGCTGAAGCTTTGCGTGAAATCTCAGGTCGTCTTGCTGAGATGCCTGCCGATTCTGGTTATCCTGCATATTTGGGTGCTCGTCTTGCCTCTTTCTATGAACGTGCTGGTCGCGTTAAATGTCTCGGTAATCCAGAACGTGAAGGTTCCGTCTCAATTGTTGGTGCTGTATCTCCTCCCGGTGGTGACTTCTCAGATCCCGTTACATCTGCAACTTTGGGTATCGTTCAAGTCTTCTGGGGATTGGATAAGAAATTGGCACAACGTAAGCACTTCCCATCTATCAACTGGCTCATTTCATACAGGTAATGCTGCTATTAATTTAATGATTTTATCATTTGACTAAGATAATTTTGTTCCTCAATACAGTAAATACATGCGCGCCCTCGATGACTTCTATGACAAAAACTTCCAGGAATTCGTGCCATTACGTACAAAGGTCAAGGAAATCCTTCAAGAAGAAGAAGATTTGTCAGAAATTGTACAGCTCGTAGGTAAAGCATCGTTGGCTGAAACTGATAAGATTACATTGGAAGTAGCAAAATTATTAAAAGACGATTTCTTGCAACAAAACTCCTATTCATCATACGATCGATTCTGTCCATTCTACAAGACAGTCGGTATGTTAAGGAACATTATTGCATTCTACGATATGTCACGCCATGCTGTCGAATCAACAGCTCAATCAGAAAACAAAATCACATGGAACATTATTCGTGATGCTATGGGTAACCAGCTTTACCAACTTTCCTCAATGAAATTCAAAGATCCAGTTAAAGACGGTGAGGCAAAGATTAAAGCCGATTTCGATCAGTTGCACGAAGAATTACAACAAGCTTTCCGTAACTTAGAGGATTAAAAATATATAATGTGTAAATTTATTTCGACATTGACATGTCATTGGTTTGTGCTTGAAGGAAGAAAATTCACAAAATTGTTAACATACAAAACCAAATTTATTTAAAATCTATGTACTTTAAATTAAAAGTTAATTTTATCATTCCATATCGTAGGTCTTGTGCAATCAGCAGAATTTGTTGAAATTCTTTTAAAGAATCCTTATTTTGAGTGTAAAAATTAGCGAGTCAAAATTAAAGCATTATAATCCTTAAAAAACTAATTCCAGTATTAAAATGAAAATTATATTGACGAGAGAATAAATGTAGTTAAATACTATTAACAACAATATTATAATGTTAATGAGTATTGATGAGTATAGGAAATATGAACGAAAATGTAATTGAAATGGGATCGTGAATAAAATAAATTAAAGTCATTATTAACGAACTTTTATGATTTGAATTATTTGATCCATGTTTCAATTTAATCATCTCAGAAAATTCATTCAAAAAATATTCAGAAAATTATTTATTTTTAAAAATTAATAGAATTAATAGCTAAAACAGTAGAATGGGTTCTTCACAGAGTGTTGAGATTCCTGGCGGTGGAACTGAAGGATATCACGTCTTGAGAGTAATTGAATAGAGCTAGACTTTATTCAGAAATTAGCAATTTGACACATCATCATTTATTTTCTTTACAGGTTCAAGATGATTCGCCGGGTCAAAAAGCAGGTCTTGAGGCCTTCTTTGACTTTGTTGTAGCTATTGGAAACACTCGATTAGATCAGGATAATGATACGTTGAAGGAGCTACTGAAATCGAATAAGGAAAAGGAAATTAAAATGACTGGTAAAAAAATGACAACAAATTTCTGATCATTGACACATTTAAAGCTTTTTCTTATCTTTCATTGTCTTTAAATATCTAGTTTATAGCAGCAAGACGCAAAATGTTCGAGTTGTTAGCATAACACCATCGGAAACGTGGGGTGGACAAGGTCTTTTAGGTGTGTCGATTAGATTTTGTAGTTTTGAAGGTGCTAATGAGAATGTATGGCACATACTTGAAGTTCATCCATCGTCTCCAGCAGAAATTGCAGGATTGAGATCATTCAGTGATTACATTATTGGTGCTGACTCGATATTACACGAAAGTGAAGATTTGTTCACTCTAATTGAAACCCATGAAAATAAGCAACTTAAATTGTATGTCTACAATTGCGATGAGGATCGATGCAGAGAAGTCATTATTACACCAAACTCTAAGTGGGGTGGTGAAGGAAGCTTAGGTGCTGGAATTGGATTTGGATATCTTCATCGCATTCCAATTAGAATATCAACTGGAATTCCCGTAAGTTAATTTAATTAAACTCGATTGATGTCAGTAAATTTTTACAAGTAAAACATCTTTTTTTAAGGAGGAAAAGCCATTACTTCAAACACCGACAATGCCGACAGTGGTGAAAACAACAATAAATCCACCACATCAGATTCCATTTATTCCAATGGTTCCACCATTAGCTAGCACATTTTCACCTCCTGTAATTCCAAGCGTTACTTCAGCTCTTGTAGATAATTTAATTAATAATAATCCAACGCCTGTTTCGAACATGACGGTATCTACAAACACGACAAATGCTCAACAAAGCGAATTAAAGACATCTGTTGCAGAGACAAATGCAAATGTTGAGACATCTCCAGCGAGTCAGCTTTTTAATACACAGCAGAATCAGACGCAAGCATTTTTAAATTCTGAACAGCAGCAACCACAACAAATAGCTCCACCAACATCGTTGCCTGAGCATTTAATTCCATCTGCTCCACCAGCATCAGTTATTAATCAAAGTTTTGTGAATACAGAAGGTAGACCATTTTCTACTTAAAAAAAGTATTTATACCTTACTAAAGAAGACATGTTTTGTAGCTAATCAAACAGTTGCAGCAGCTGCTTCGACAGTCCCAATGTACAATATGAATCAATTTAGGAATCCAATTCAACAGCCTATGCAGTCAGTGAATATTCCATCTATGCAACAGCATCCAGACTTACATCAAGCATTTGCTCCTTCACCTTTTACGACACCACAACATCAAGATCAGAATAGTAATCCACAGAATTTTCCGACACAAAACTTTCAGTCAGCTAGTACACAATTCAACATGCCAGCGCCCAACATGCAAACGATCGAGAGTTATCCACAAGTTCAAACTCAAATAAATCTAAATTTGCCTGGAATGCCTCCACTGACTGTCAACACGCCTCGCATTGATCCAACGAAATATACCGTACCATAAGTTGTTTCGCATTGAGTTTTTGTCTTGTATTTCGGACCTTTGTCTTATCTGTTTTATGTTTTAATTAGTACTGATCGATAGAAAGGCATGAGAATGTGGAAGAAAGCAAGGTTTGCTTCGGATTCGTTATTAAATTAACTATCGTTCTATGAAAATATTAACTGCAATAAGGAGTAAAAAATTACAAAAAAAAAAAAATCATAATACCTATAAAGATATATGTTAAACTTTAATTGCATATTATATTAATTAAGAATAGTATAAAATAAAAATTCTTTGCACTTTCAATTTTACAATTTTCCTCGTATTTTATTTATTCAATGTTTTGATTCATACAGACATTGCTTGCGATATTATGCAACCTGAATTTTTTAATAAACAGAAAAATATATGCAATAAACTAGCTTGTAATAGAACTGGATTTTAAATAATGATTTCAGTATCACCAATTTCTTCTTCTGATGGCAAATCAATCAATGCTGGATCTACATAATCAGCACTAATTGGTTCGAGGCCAGCAGCTTCTCGTCTTCTCAACTCTAAAAATGCTTCTCGTTGAGACCAGTCGCGTAATAAATTGTCAGGTGTATAAGCCAGATAGAAGCTTCCAAAGATTAGACATAAAGTGACCGAGAAGAAAAAGCTTGAATTCATGTAATTTCTATCGGTCTTCTCATCTTTATAGTCCCATCCCCATGAAACCCAATTTTTGTTTTCAGTTCCTGCTAATGGCTGTGTTGATTTTTCTGTTGTAGAAATCGTTGCCGTATCACTTTTCTTTGGTGATGTCGATATCAATCGAGCGTTCCTTTTTGTCAATATAATCGCATTCTTAATGGATGTTAATTTATTGAGTCTTGAAACCAAAGACATTTTTGCCGAGAAAATTTTTATTATTCCTGACGAAAAATTTGACTGAGATGACTGAATCTTCCTTCTTTTAATTTCCGATACTTTCAAATCCTGAAAAGTAGTTATACTTGATGTTTTAAATAATAATTAAAGACTTGTAAATAGTTTTGGACAAGGATATTTAATGAACATTCATCACAACTTAATATTACATCTTCTCTATTCGTTACATTTTCATTATCTAATGTATAAAAGCTCCCACATTTGCATTGAAAGTAATAAATTTGATCTTCATCCTCATAGCTAAATTGACTTCTCGAGACTGTATCATGAATTATTAGATGCGATTTAGATTTTTGGAACAGCTCGCTATCATAGATTTTCCTTTCGATTTTATCCTTTAAAACTTTATATGCTTTGTCAATTTTTAAAAACTCATTATTGCTCTCAATATCCCTTGATTTGTCTGGATGATGTTTCCTTATAAGCTCCTGATATGCCTTCTTAAGTTCTTCGTCTGTTGCATTCCTAGAAACTTGAAGAATATCGTAGTGATTCATGATTTAAGGTAATTTATTTAATATTTATTTATTTGTAAACTTTAACTGAGATGACGTAATTGAATAAGTGGATAGATCATCTAGGAAGTTGAGCGATAAAAAGTAAGAAAAATATTTTTCTTGTTAATTTTTGCATAATTAACGTAGTTTAGAGACGTGTTAAAAATTTGAAAGTCATAAAGAGATATTGCTGGAAGTGCCAACATTAATAGATTATATAAGTCACCTGAAAATATTTCAAAAAAAAAAAGGTTTATTGATTTTGAAAGTGGATTTCAAAAGTGTTGGAACTAGACAGTCTAATTTGCCAAGACTAATCAATAGATAGTTTATGACGAGAATGACCTCTAATGCTTATTGGTGTTTATTGGTTTATTACAGTAAAATAAATAATAAAAGAATGGAACAGGTGTTGAGACATTAAGTTTGTTCGACAAGCAATTAGTCATCATCCTAAATTAAAAGTAAACATAACAATCTCATCGTCCCAAGCACGTTAACTACTGTCAAGGAAATAATGGCTGAAAGTATAGTGTCAGACTGGATTAATGATTTTAATGGATTAGAACCCCAACAATTAAGGTCATTTGCTGCACTTCATAACGAAAATCATGAACTTTCGCAAGCAATTCATACAATACTCAACGATAAATCCAAACATCAAGAGGTATTATATACAGTCAAATGTTTGTGTATATATTTATTAAATGGAATTAATTGCTTTCATTATTTTTTCGCAGTATCTACATCCGATTTGCAATCAACTGTACAACTTTTATCGATCAAACGAGAATGAGCTTAAGTGCTTTACTCTTCAATTTTTCCCGAATCTGATATATCTGTACCTGAATTCTATTGCATGTTCAGAGAAACATAACTATCGCTGTGTTGAGACATTAATTTTATGTGCATATAATATTGAAGTGTGTAATGAAAACGGTTTACTTAAGTCTGTTTCTTATCGCATGCCTGTACTTGCCCAAGCGTCCATTTATCACGAGGAGAAAAATCTGCATGCTAGTGATCTAAAGGTAATAAAAATGTTTATCCTTTCTCATGTGTTTTTATTCTTAATTAGCAATTTCTTTTTTCTTTCCCACAAAATGTGTATCTCGTTTTTATTATAGAGATGGGAGGAGCATAGCAATAAGGAAGTCTCTTGGCGATCGTTACATCAAGTCTATAAAATCACAGCACAGAATCGATTGGCCGTGATGTCAGCATTAATGTTTATATTTAATCAACAACTTAGCTTAATTCAAAAGTCAGCATTATATCATTTATGTAAAAATAGCTCAAAATTAGCAGCCCAGGGATTCATTAAATATGGGCATTCGTATCGATCTTCTTATGGAAATGATCCAATGAATACTTCCATTTCGTCAGCTTCTTCCACAACAAGTGCTCCAAATATTAATAAAATGACTCCAAGAATTCCGTTATCACAGCAATTTCTTTTAGAAGTCTTAAATGCAATCTACTTTGCAATGTTTAATGAATTTGCCTCAGCTGGTATTCAAACCGTCGATGATATTCATAATCGAGCATGTTACGAACTTTATTCTGATGTGATATTAGTAACTACTGCTATAAAGAACTCACTCCAAACCAATCCATCAGGTACCCTCTTAATTATTTTTTTTTTTCTTTGGATTTATTTTAAAACTGATAATTTATAAAACAGGACAACCGAGCGATGGATTAATGGGCATCTCAGTTGCTTTAACACCGTCAACGAATGTTGTTACAGTTTCGAAATCTATGATTACCAATGCATCATTTAGAACCAAGAAACTACCAGGTGAGTCACAGTCGCTGATAATATTTGGCACATTTTTGGATTGTTTTGAAATTAGTTTTTCTGTACTGACAACTCTCAATAGCTTTTTTTTTGGAAAGCAGTTCATCGGAAATTATAATTTTTGACCCAAATTTGTTCAATAAGCATTGGTTGAGAGTTGTTATGTTCTTTAATTTTTTTTTTTGAACATTTGTAAATATTTCATGAAGCGCAATACCCAATCAATTTTTGTTCCTATCCTGCTATGCAAATTTCATCACTTTTTCGGAAAAAAAACCCAAAAAAATGCATTGCGTTAGAGCTTTTTGTGTTTGATCATCACGAAAAAAATGCCTTGCTGTGCACATCAAAACTCGATGTTATCCTTTGCTCTACTAAATTGAAATGAAATATTTGTAATATCATCTATCCATTGCTCCACAATTTCTTTACATCTACGCCACATTATTGCATACGATAGGAATGAAGAATGAAATGTGATAACAAAAACTCACAAGAATTCTTATATCAAATTCAAGCAATGGATATGCCTTAAAATAATCTTTTTAAAGTTTTAAACTCATGAAACAATTATAAGCAGCGCAATGTTGATTTTATTCCATTGTATTTTATTGTTATCGTCTTTTCTTTCATTTTCTTTACGATAACGGCATCGTTTGTTCGCTCTAGAGCGAGTTGTTTGCAGCACGCGTATCTTATAGTAAACAGACATTACTAGGGATTATATGTCAAAGATCTTCATGTTTTTGTTTTGTCGTTAAAAAATAATTTTTTTGTTCCGTAATGAAATTTTCTCATTATTTTGTCTTCCTTTAAACTTTAAGTCTTTGTTGATAAATAATTTCTGTTCCTTATTGCACATATAAAGATGAGAGTTTAATCATATGTTATTAGATTTATCGTACACGAGATTCATTATTATATGCTTTGAGAACACTAATTCACATGTTTACTGAAACGTCTTTTAATTATTTAATGTCAAATAGTAAGTTCCTTATGAACTTTTTGCACATGACATCAAATACACGTAACCTTTAGATTTTTTTTTAAAATAAAATGAAATAAAAATTTCCACACTTCAATTGTGTCTATTCAATTACGATATTCTCTATGAAAAGAGTAAAAAGAAAATTTATTCTATTTTTCGGAGATGATTCTGATGATACTTGTGTGAAAATGAGAAATTTGAGACATAAAAAATGTTATTGACATACTCTGTAAAAAATATAATAAAAGCAACAGCAAAATTTATTGAGACGCACATTATTTTTTTTACAAAATGATTTTTAAGCAAAATTCCGCACACATGCTGCCTCAGGCTTTTTGTACTAATTTAAAGATGTCACAAGTAGTCGCAATATCAAGCATTTTTACATTTTATACATTATCAGTGTTGTAATCAAGATTCTAGGTACATTATGTTTATAAGTCCTACATCAGATTAATCCTGACAAGACAAATCACTAGATTATAACACTGTATACAAACTTTTTGAGAATGTATTGACAATTTTGATTTGATTTGATTCGATTTTTATTCCTTTTCATTTTGACTTATTTTCTTTTTTTTTTGTCTCTTGTTTAAAATTTGGCAATTGAATGAAATACATCAAAAAAAAGCTTCTTTTTTATTCCACATGAGTTGAGTTTATTTGATTAGCGAATGCAAAAAAAATTGTGTTTCTTTCTTTTTTATCGTTTTCCTTTTTTGACTATGACGAAAATAAAAAGTGAAAGTAAAGAATTTACATGAAATGAAATTTTAAATTATAATTTAGACGATTTAGAAATCGTGGACTTGACACACCTTAAAGTAACTCAAGATGAGATGATGAAAAAATTATCAATTCTGGACGATCAGTCACCGAATGATAATCAATGTGGACAATCAAAATTATCGCAAAAGAAGCGATTTGGTTTTAAATCTAAACCTTGGGGATGGAAGCAGAGTCCTGTTAAGTCATCAAGCATTGAGGAAGAACCACCGCAATCAACAATTTTGTTGGAATCTCCATCGCCTAAGAAATCATTATCATCGAAAAGCTCAACACCGAATCAATCACCAAAGTATCGAATTAGTTCATCGGAAACGTTAAGAAATTGTTCAAGTGATGAGATGACATCGTTCCGAAGACGTAAAAATAATCGACAGCAGCAACAGCAAAATAATGGTTCGAAAACGGAACTTCGTTCAAGTGCTAGCGCTCGTCTAATTCAATTATTCGATTCAAAGGATGAAATAGACAAATTAAGTTCAGATAATGAGTTTTACTCTCTACTGCCTGAGAACGGACGACCTGCAAGCATTCATGTTTTACAAACAATTAAATCTGACGACTTTTAGAACCAGACAGTGGATTCAAAGCATAAAAGATTTATTTTAATTTTATACTGCTGCCTTGTTACAATCTCTTTCATAATTGTTATGTACAATCATCACAAAAGGATTTATGAATATTTTAATCTCGAATAAGATTACTAGCAACTTTATATGTAATGTAGTGGAGGTATGACTTATCATTATGTTTTAGCTTAGAAACTATGTTCAAAAGACATCACAAATTGTGCTGCATCGCTATATCTTCTCATACAAAGGACATCTGATTAGAATTTTAAACTGACTTCTTTTTCCCAATTTTTATAAGTTTGCATATTTTTTATCAAGATTTTCACTGATTAAAGGCAATTTCATGACATGCAAGCAATGCATTAATAAATGTTACAGTTGTGAGCAAATTATAATTTTGTATTAGAAGATATAGATAGATTGTACTAATGTTTCTCTCATAATTACTTTTTCTAGTGCCATTAGAAATTTATGAAAATAGACTGTAATCTAATTTATCAAGAATACTTCATTTAGAATGTTAAACAAACAGAACCGATGAGGCAAATGTCAATGTAATTTACCAAAAAGACTCACTCGTTTATCATGCATGATATTTTCTCAATTTTGCTTAAAATAGATACCCGCTTTTTGTAAAAATTTCAAGAGAGAAGAAGAATCGCGATCCAATCATTTAATATTGGTTATGATTGATTTGGAAGCAAGGCAAAAAAAATTACAAATACAAAAATAAAATACCTCAACCAAATATTCGAAGTACGCACATATAAGCATTGAAACAAATGCGAGTAAATAAGAGTGTGAGACATTTGAATTGGGATTATGCTACAGTTGAAAACGAAAAAAAAAAGGCTGATATGCTAGTAAGAGTCATGTGTATGGAAACGAGATTCATGTATGAAAGTTAAGGAATAAAATGAACATGTGATTACTCCTCCGGTTATTGAAATGAATGAGAGAGCAAGGATAAACTTACAAAAAATACAATATCAAATATTTATTGTTTTATGAATCGCATACTAGCAATAAAGGTTAAATGCCTGCATAAAATCATCACGTTTGAACGTGAAGCTGTTGCAATGTTACGAATTAAAGAAAAAGATTAAAGTTCAATGAAAAGCTCATTGCCTTTCCTTCATCATTTAAATCCAATAAATTAAAGATAATTAAATTAAGTACGTATAGGAACGAAATCACCAAAAGGTATTGCTCTGACTCTGATTTTTATATTCATTAGGAACAATAATTGACGCAAGACAACTTAAAACAGCACATCATAATTAATTATGATCAAAAATAAAAAAATTCTAACACAAATTATATTCTGTACATGTACGTGTGTACAATGGCTTTATGCTTTATGCCATTAAATAAATATTTATACCGTACTTTATTAAAAGCTCGTTGAGAGCTTTCCAAAACATTATGATGATAAATTATTTATAATCAAAATCCTTTCTGTAAGAGTTGATGAGATTTTGATGATATATACACATGAGTTATAAATACCTTCTTTCTCCTCAAAACAAATTTCCTTTTTTGTTCAACGAGCATAAAATTTTCCACACGCCCTGAACTTTCTTTTTATCTCTTTCTCTCATCCCGTGTCGTGCGAAACTTCTTTCTTGCGTTATTAATAAGATTTCATGATTAAATAACAATAAAATTTATTTATGAATAGAATAAGAACCTTCTTGATGGAACTTTACATTATATAAATTTCATCCCATTATTTCTTGCATATCCTTTTTTATTATAGATGACATTCCAATTCAAATTGATAGCAATACAAGTGTGAATCAATCGAATCCAAGCGCGCAATCACAAGCGCAACAACTTGGAAGTATCAATGAGGAACAAGAAAGTGATACAAATAGTGCTAAGCTTCAACAACAGTCATCAACAACAATAGTTCCCACACAAAAGTCGAGTAAAGAAGCTTCGAAGGGTCATAAGACGGTGGTTAGTGGTTTAAAGAAGCTAATAGATCGTGATAAGGATTCGAAGGATAAAGATAAGGATAAGGATGATGAGGGCAAGAAAAAGGAAAAGGAGAAAGTTGAGAAAGAATTAAGTAAGGCGGCAAGTGCCATTAAAAGTGGATTGAATGATACAAAAGAGAATATGAAAAAGTTAATGGGAAAGGATAAGCAGAATAGTAAAGCATCATTACAGCAACAGACGCAGTCCAATCATCATGATGAACATCAAGCTTCTGCCAATAATGGAGACATCAAAAGTTCTCCACTTGTTTTAATGAAGCGATCGAGTGATGTGCTGTCTGACGGCCTTGCAACAGAAGTTTCATTTACTAATGCTGTCGACGGAGTCATTAGTAATAACAATGGCACTGGAACTCACGGAATTATGTCACCATTCGATTCATTTAATAGCGATAGCGAAAGTGAGGTGGATCATCCTCATCAGCAACTCTCTACGTCATCGTCAGCGTCAGTCAACATAATGATGGACAGCAATGCGAAGAGTTTAGGTAACGTGCAAGTTAGTCAAGTTTAAAGACACGCAAAAAATTTTATGTCATGTGAAATTGAAGATATTGAGCATCATCATCACGTTGACGGTTCAATTGGGTAATATGTTTCTTTTCCTTTCCTTTACATTTCCATTCATCATGAATAAAGTATGTTTTTCCTTGTTTAATATTTTTATCATTATGATTATTTTTGGATGTTGGATGATAGAAAACTTTTAAGCATTTTTTTTATTTTTGTTATTAATTATCACCGTACATTGTTTTTCATAAATAAATATGAACTTATGACTATTATTTTTTGTTATCCTGTTAAAGAGTTTTCTTTTATTATTCCATATTATGCATTATTATCAAACTTGAGAAAGGTTTGACATTTCGAATCTATTAGCAATTAAAGAGAGAATAGTTAAAATAATCAAATTAATTGGAATGAACTGAAAGAGAAACAATTTTCTTCTCCGATGAATATACTGAATGAAAGAAAGTTCAAATTCGAAACTGCGTATTTTAAAAATTCAGAATAATTTTGGTTTTAAATATCATTGAATATAATGAATTTTAAACGAATTTAAGTTTACTCCTCAATGGCATAAATCATTTGAATTTTAAATTACTTACGACATTCGTTCGACAAGTATCAACTTCCTTTATTGAAAGATTTTTCAAATTATTAATGCTGAAAAATGCTTAAGAAATTTTGAATTGAGGTTTATTTGTGGAAATTTCTAATACAGACACCATAAATGTTTTTACTCAATCAACAAAGATATTCTAGGCTGACGATTGCAATGGTTCACATAACCATCTCGCATAACACAAGTCGTCTTTAACTGCATTGAAAACGCCTTAGCAACAGTTCTGTTTATAAGTATTCAAGTCAATAAGATTTTCTCATGATTTGCTAATTTAAATGTTCCGAATGTCTTGTGTCGCATGCATGTAAAGAAATATCCTTTTGTCTTCGATCTGACGTGCGAAATTATCTTGACAGAAAAATCTTTCAACCTTCTATGTGGGAAGTAAAATTTACATCGATTCATTTATTCGCATGCCTTTAAAACTCGTTAATCTATCACTAATCCAGTACGTTCAGAGTTTGTTCCAAAAATACTTGTTATAAATCTAATTAAGTCATTATTATCCAAAAACAAAAAATAATAATAATAAATGAAGACGCATCGATATTAACTTTTAAGTAATTTAAGCAAAGAGAACAGTCAAACTGAATATAGACTTATTCTGTGAAATTTTGTTGACAGCATCCCATTAGAAATGGAAATTTATTTAATATTTTCCCGTTACTATGTGTGTGAATTAAAATTTGAAACTAACTTCAAATAGGAACTATTTTTCGAGCAATAAATGCAAAACTTTTTCGACGAATTAATTGTGATTTCAGGATATAAAAATAAAAAAAAATAATGCAATAAACTCACACCAGATTTTCCTTTTTATTCTATTTGATGTTGAATTTCCTCTTCAAGGTTTTTGTATATTTATTTTTTTGATGCTTGCAAGGTACAACCATATTGAGATATTTGTTTCTAAAAGACTTCTTTTGTCAAAATCGAAAATTGGAAAATTGGAGATTAGAAAGTTTATCTTATTAACCTCTTCCCTACCCTTAATGTGTATTAAAATATATTCAAAAATTAAAGAATATCCACATTTTACAGTTGTGGATCTCGAAAAGTTTGAAAAAAGATTTTTTGATTTAGAAAATATCTGAAAATGGTTGCAGCTTGTATGTTCCACCTTTATGTCGACAAATTCCCCTCATTTCATAGTTCGTTAAGTTCTTCATCTACAGAAACATGATTCCCAGACTCCTTTTGTATTATCATTATTTCATATCTTCTGTCTTCCTTTTTCTAATATTTATCATCAATATTTTCATGATTGAAACCGCATATATGCATTTGTAAGATAAACCACAGTTATTTATTCCATACAGATAATATTCCACAGATACCTACCTTTTCACGTAGTTAAATAATTGAAAGATAAGAAAAATAACATTGAGATTTATTGAAGAATGTATACATAACATTATTATACACATATATACACATAAATTTAAAAGAAAAAAAGGGAATTAAATAAAAATTGAACTATTTGAGACACATGTTATTTGAGGAAAAAATTAAAACAGAAATTAAATTATTCATTCAACACAATAATGAGAATATAGGAGGAAGAAGGATGTTTTCTTGAAATTTTATCATGAATCATTATGAATTTAAACTTCTATTGCTGTTAAAGTTCTCCATGAAGAATGATGTAAAAGTTTGAAACAAAAAAAAAGTCAAAGGTCAATAAAAATATAAAATAAGGAAATAAAAGAACAGAAACAATGAAATAAATACATTTAACTTATAATGATTCCTTTTTCAGATGAAATACATCTTTTATGCTACCTCTGTAAGGGGCTGTTCACTTATTACGTAACGCGAAAAAATGACTTTTTAGACCCCCCCCCCTCGTAACAAAATTTGTATGAAAAAAAAATTTCCTTGTTTGAACCGTAACAAAATCTTAGACCCCCTCCCCCCCTAAAAGCGTTACGTAATAAGTGAATGGCCCCTAAACACATTTTTTGTTTTTAAGCATTGAAATGTTTTTTTAATGCGTAGATTCAATGCATTCGTGTGATCCAGTGACTTATTCAGGTAAAAATTCTTTAATTTTGTCTATCATTTAAGCATTTTTCAGCCTGCCAACTTTGTTTCAATGATCATCTCTGTGCATGATTTCATACTTATAAACCCATTAATCCCCTTTCAATCCTTAATGCACACCTAATATGATATCTCGTCTAGTGCGTTGGCAAGGATATTTATAATTTTGAAAACATCAAATTTATGGTGCTTCCAATCATGTGATTTTTAAATTAACTCAGAACAGGTGCAAATATTGAGACTAGATTTATTGACGATTGATTTGTTATTGAAATTTATCTTTTGTGTTGTGTCACAATGATATCATACAAATTAAATGTCAGGCAAACATCGCGAATGTAAAGAAAAGAAGACTGCAACATAATCAGAACGCAATCTATTACGATGAAAATTTCAAAATCGATTGGGTTATTCACTTGGAAAAATGCTTTGTATCCTTTTTATTGGATATCGCCTTGAAATTCCATTGAAATAATTATGGTAATGTTCCATCCACACTTAAACCAAAATGAGTCGCGTGTGTACACATTTGTTGAACAATAGAGCGTTGACTGACAATCATCGGTGGTTTTGGGAATCAGAACATTCCACATCAAATTCTTCGAGAATTTAAAAATATTTCAAAAGTATCAGCCAAACAAATTTGGATGTTATCTAGATGTCTGTGATTCTCTCTTGTTACATAGAAGTCACTTACGATGTCGTTAGTAAAAATGGTCTAACTCATTGATCCACTTGGCTCATATTTTAGTCAGCAAGCAAGTTTAAAATACAAACAAAAGTTGTCTATCTCCTTATTAATAGCAATTAGGAGAAGTAACATCAATTTCTAGAAACTTTTCATGATGCATGTGTTTCAAACAGACATCTATTCTTAATCTGTAAATATTACGAAAGCTAGTAAAATGTTAATTGACCATCATGTTCATGACCGTGAAGATAGGATCAAAAAATTTCTAAGTGAAGCTTTAAAGGACTGAATTGTGTAAATCAATCGTTAATTTATAACAACAAATATGACTAATCTAGCTTATGTATAATACAATAATGTGAGTAGAAGCGCAGTCGAAAATTGCACAATATTTTTATCTATAGCTTAATTATAAGAACATACTTCTTTGTAACAAAAAAAATTATTAAGAGTAGAACAAAGAACTGCTAAGCTCAATTTTCGTTTTAATTAAGCTAACTTTACCATGCAAAATAATGATTCTACGGTTACTTCTTTACACGTTGTGACTTCTAAAAAAATTTAATGAAAATTATTCTGTTTCAGTAATTACTAATTTATATATTTTTATGAAAATTAATACATCATACACAAAATGTATACCTGACGATATTTAATATCAATTTTTATTAATGATGAAACATTTTCGTTATTCAGATTTTTTTCATTAAATTGCTTTGTCGACTTTCCATACAGCTCGCATAAACGTTTAGAAAAGCTCTCTTTCTCTCATTATTCTAAGCATTTATCTCTTGATTCTCTCCGTGTCGTATGCTGTTGTGAGCATGGAAAAACGTTTTTCATATTTCAGGAAAGAAAGCAACTTGAGTGCGTTGAAAATGGTATATAGATCAGTGGATGAGGAATAATTTTATCAGTTACACATCGTCTGCGGAAGCTTTTAGAACGAAAAAGTAATAAATCTTCAAATTCAAAAATTATTCTCGTTGGTATCAAAAAGATATTAAGTTTATAGCAAGAAGAAGTGAATTTTTTAAATATTATCACGTACTCATCCTATTTATTCAGGAAGAATAAAGTTAAATGTAAGGATTCAATTTTTTAGTGATTTTATTACTACCAAAAGAAATAGCTTTAAAGGATGTTATACTTGACAAAAAAAAATCTGTGTTCATGTCGAAAAATCTAATGTGATACTTGTTGCCACAGGCATTTGACCAAAAAGATAAAAATCAAAATCATTGAAGGGTGAAAGCAAGTTGTGTATACAAAAATATTGTAGCCAAAGGGCAGTAAAGAGCATATTTGATGAACAGACTGGAAAATTTCATGACTTGATAGATAATTAAATTCTTGGTGAAAGATCTTAAAATTATAGAGACATCTAAGAGTGTAGATTATATGATTATAAGTATGAATAAATAAAGCAAATCATATATCACACGAGAAATGAGGATTGTGGATGTAAAGTGATAAAAGCATTATCATAAATTATTCTGTATGACAATAGAAATTAATCTAATACATCGTATGCAATATAAAATTAATTAAGTTTTTGTGTCTGTATACTTGATTGTATATGAATACATTTATTTTTGCATGTATAAGCCACAACAATTACTTTATATCATGGAATTTCTCGGTATGCTGGATAGAAAAACATCTGTCGATACGAAGAAATCAGTCAGGTGGTGAAAAACAGAAAATCTTTTTCATTAATAGTCAATGGCACCGCAGGCATTAAGCGCTTTCTTGTGTACAAAATGTACATTAGAGTAAAGAATGTTCAGGATCAAAATGGATTTCAATAAAACACAATTGTTCCATTATGAGAATTTTCAAGAAGCTTCTCTAAGTCACACAGGCTTCCTGTACATTTCTCGATAGCTTGCTCAGTGATTTAAATGGATTTAAATTATATAAACCACTTAATTACCTGTTGAGAATACTTTGCTTTCAATAATTCAATGAATGCTTCCTTCATGATAAGTCTTAAGTGTAATTACATTTAGTGCCAACCGTATGATTTCATTTTTTGCTAGGCAACTTCTTCTAAATCACTGATTTTGTGTAAAAACCAAACTTGAGGAATAAATCTTCAATTACAAAATTTCTCTTCTTAACCTTTCAAAGCTTAATGTGCTGAAAATGTTTAGTTTGAAACTGCTGATTAAGTACAATAAACCTTGATACAAAAAGTTCAAATGGATTGAATTTTGGAAGCTTCAACAAAATCTTTTACAATAAAATCTACAAATTTCTGAAGAATTTTAATTTCTTTAAAATAACTGCTCAAAAATCATTAAATGCTTATCGACAGTCATTCCAAATAAATTGAATACTTCAAACATAATCTTCCTGGAATTCTTATTCTTTTTCATTACAAGCTTGTTATTTCAAGTGAATTTATATTGATAAAGACATCGAATAATTTTGTTTCTAAATTGTTCACGTCGAAGTTTATACAACTGCTATCCAATCTAAGATTTCAAATTTTAATGATGCCAAACAAAAGATAGACAACATCATCTTCTTTAATTTTTTTAAGATTAACGAATGTGATTATTGCAGATTATTTCGCTTCGTGCTTTTCATTAAATTTCTATAAATTCGTTATCTATGCTTTAAGGCTCCAAGGCTGTACTGATAAAGGGATTTTGGTGATTGCTACTCTTCACTCTCTTTTTGTGTTTTAAAGAAGTTTAAAAGTAAAAAATTTTAACTTTGGCGCTGCTTTAAATTTAAGTCAATCTTTTAGAAAATCACTTTAATTGTTTAATTTCTAGAATTTATGTATGGGAAGTTCCTAAAATATTTTCGACTTAATATTATTTCATGCATATTTTAGGCAATTTCAAGCTATTAAGAATCTCTTTGAATCGATTCTGCAGAATAAATTATTTCAGTTTTTATCAAATTTAAAATTCCATGAATTCATTTCCTTAAAACCCAATCTTCAGCATTTAGAATTTTATTAGAATGCAATGTACGCTTCTGTTGTTCTATTTGGTTTTAAGATAAAGTTCAATCTTGTTAATTTTATTATTCTAGGAAACGACATTTTTTAATTCCTAAGTTATCATAAACATATTTGAAGTATCAAGTAGAGTTTTTCTTAAAATACAAAGCAATAAGCTTCTCATCTACGATGCTTTAAGTTATTTACTTAATTTGATTCCTTAGAATCATTGATCAAGATGGTATTATATTCACGGGTGGATTTTCGTTTTTCGTCGAAGAATCAATTTTTATTAAAGTAAGAGAAATAGACAACTAGAAGCGCTTGGCTTGTTGATAGTCTTAGTTAGACTTGACATAGACTTATAAGATTTGTTCGAATTAATTGATGGAATCAACAAAATTAGAGTTCAAAGAAAAATAAAACCACATATCAAAGCAACTCACACGGGTACCTTAACCATACTAATTGCAAATTTCCTTGAACTTTTCTCTCCTGATTTAGTAAAAACAACATGTCAACACGAACTTCACAATTTTCAAGGAATATTTTGATTCCAGAGCACTCGTTGAGTGGTGGTTTAAGGATTCTTTCACCTCAGCACACGACACAAAACCATGTTACGCTCACACAAGCATCGAGGCCATCGACTACCTCTGATTCTGGAGCTTTTTCAGGTAAATAGACTTTTTTATTGCCTCTTCACTTTTTCATTTAGTTAATACATAAGAGTCGTGAGAAAGTAGAAGAAGTTTCTAAGAAAAATTGAATATAGTAATTTGTACGCAGACGATAGATGATGATGTTCCTTTTTTTCCTTCCATGTTTATAATTTATATAGATGGCAAATCAGTACAAGTTGTTATGAAGCACCGGGTCGTAGTGATGGGATCAGCTTTTGTTGGAAAGACACAAATTGTCTCACAATTTCTTTACGATAAGTTTTGTAGTCGTTATCGCCAAACTATTGAGGAATTACATCGGGGCGAATACAATCTAGCTGATGGAAGCTCCTTGACACTTGACATTCTTGATACAAGTGGTTCATTTCAATTTCCAGCAATGCAAGCTTTATCCATATCAACATCTAATGCATTTATATTAGTATTCAGCATAGATAGTGAGGAATCATGGAACGAAGTAATGCGTCTTCGAGAAAAGGTAAGCAAAAAGTATATAAGAAATGGAATGAAAGAAAGAAATTCGCATGAGACACTGAATTTCAATTTAATTATAAGGAATTTTGTAACTTCCACTCATATTAATTTTTTATTATTTCCTTGTTTTTCTCCTGATATAGATAATCAAAAAGAGAGGTCCACGTGTACCGATTGTCGTATGCTGCAATAAAATTGACTTACCAATCGATCAAAGAAAATGTAAAAAGGAAATAACAGAGGCAACAGTCCGATATGAATGGGAGTGTGGATATGTCGAATGTAGCGCAAAAGACAACATAAATATTCTTACTGTTTTTAAAGAGCTTCTTTCACAAGCAAATATTAAATATAATTTAAGTCCTGCCGTACGACGACGAAGAAAATCTCTTCCATCATTCTCCACAACACAAGCATCAAAATTTTCTTTGAAAAGGCACTCATGTACAGTCTCATAATGCCTTTCACATTATTTATTTAAAAATTAAATCATTAATAAATTAGCTTATTATGTAAATTATCATAAAGAAATATGATATGGATGAATAATTATGATGAAATCTTTAAGGACCAAGAAATATGAATAAATCAAGAACATAAATTAATATTGACATACCTACTAGGAGGCATTAAATGCAAAGCTTTGTGGGAACAATCGTCATAAAATGTTACAGGCCTGATATAGGTGCCTGTTTTCTTGTTATAAGCCAAGATGCTTTAACTTTAAGTTTGAGAAGTTTTTAACATAAGAGTGGAACAAAACATTGCAACAAGAAGACAGGAAATACACACTAAGATAATACTAAAGAGTATATCCGAGAAACCAGGCTCAAAATCAGACAATTTCTACAAAATTTTATACCAAAGAAAAAATTAAAAGCATGAAAGGATATTTACAGCTCGAAGAAGAAATTTATAATTTTTTGAGTGCATTCCAAAGCTTCTAAAGCTTGATTTGGATGCGAAAAAGTTTAGGAAGAAATAAAACATTTTGCCTTTATTTTGTAGATGAAAATTTTGTGAAAATGATAAAAAGAAAGTTTGTATTGAAATTTACTTACCTAGATGTTAAAACTGAAGAATTTAATTACGCATTCTCATGTACTTATAAGACTCTCTTAACTGTAACCCATCAAATGCTTGAATTCTCAAATTTTTGTCAATAGCGTTTATACATAAAATACACAAAGGAAATCCTCTTGAGGGAGAGAGAGAGGAAAAGAAAGAAGAATATATTTTATACACTAAATACTTAAGAATGCTTTCTAATATTATTCATTTAACTGTTTTATCATTATCTATCAAGTGTACTCGAAAATTTTTTGATGATTATTAACGTTATAGTTTGTATATCCAACGTGATTTAATACAAGCATTAGAAAAAGAAATCTTATTTTCTTTTCAATAAAGAACCTTTGCAAAAAAGATGTAAAGTATCATCATCTATGTACTTGAAAATATAAATTCTTAATATTTTTATGTTTCAGTTTGTTTCTTCCATTTTACAGTCACAAAACCAAAACCAGAGAAATGATTCTCTTTTTTTCTGAGGATTGAGGTGATCAAAAAAAGTGAGATACCAGACGTAACAATCAAGACGCATCCGATGCCTTAAATCTCTCGTTTCAGAACACATGAATCCACATGAGTTTTTATCACGTGTTCCTTACATGCAGCAGTTGAATTTCCATCTCTTTTTTATCACATACAAAAATAGATCATATTTCTGTGATTATCAGTGGGTATGTATAAGACCATTTTATTGTCTTTATATTGATGATGGATTAACATTAATTAACAAATAAACGTATCAGTTATGCCATTTGCCATCGAATGCTCCTGTAATTAATATAAGTGAAAGTTAAACGCATTAAACTCACGTGGATAGACAGTGTACAATTGTTACACGTGCGTGTAGAATTGTCTCTTAGATACGGCATAAGAAATCATGTAAATGAGAAAACGACATTAAAGGAAGGTGTATTGTTCTTGTTCTTCTTTAAATTAAAAAAAAATCTGATTTACGTTTATTTCATAAAGTCTTGTAAAATATACAGTATAGCATTCAAAAGGAAGGAAATAAAATGTGTAAAAGTATATAAGATGCTCTAAACCAATAAGAGAAAATACGAAAAGATATAAATCAAAAGTTATTAAATTATCATTCCTCAGCGTCTTTTCGCAACGAGTCAAGTAATTGTAAATTTGCTGTAAAATGTTTCTCTTCAAATATCCTGGATGTCTCAATTTGTCTCGCCTTTTCATCTAGCCATTGAGTACGATGGTATTCTAGGAGTTTTTCTTTCGTCCATACTTCAGAGTCTATAAGCTTATCAAAGTCTTTTTTGTTAAGCTTATTTTCAGGCTTTGATGCTGCATGCTTTGGTTTACGAATTCTTATTTTGGGCATTTCAACAACATCTCCGTCTTCAACTGTTTGAATAATTGGATCTGTCGTTTTTTCACTTTTAACTGCTGGTGCTCGTGGCTGGTTTTTCATCCATGCACGACAAAGAGGATATAACGGTGTATCTTCATCAAATTTCGCCAAATTAACGCTTCTATCAAACAGTTTCATTATATATGATGGTAATTGAACTGGTTTTGGTAATTTCACTGATGATTTCGGTTCCTTTTTAATCGGAGCATATTCCTCGTCTTCTTCATCCAAAATTTCTTCGTCCTGTCCAAGTAAATCCTCATTCTGTCCTTCAACATGTTCTGATTTAATGATTGTTTTTGTATCAACTAATTCCTCATCTTCTTGCTCAAGCATTTCCTCGTCCTCTACCTCTTCTTCTTCCTCTGATCCCAGCATATTATGTACTTCAGTCTCAGCCAACGCTAATGCTTCATTTAATTTCGAGCGAGCTTCAGATTTTGAATCGCTTTCCTGCTTTACTATAATTAAAATTAAATTTTTTACATCTTCTTCATAATCAAATGATTATTAAGCACATCACTTACCTTTTGTAGCCATAATTAAAGTGTCAATATCAGTAAATCTTATTAAAATTTTGTTTTTATTATTTATTTTTTTCTGTTTTCTTTTGAAAATTTCTAAGCGTTTAAATTTGAAAATTCAAAAACCGTTATAGTAAACTTAACGTATTTGGTAGCAAAAAAAACTGAAACAATAGTTTCATAAAGTTATTAAAAATATTATTAAGTAAATGTATAAATTTAAGGCGTTGAGGTTAAGTAAATTAAGGATTATAGGAGATTTTAAGAGAGATTTTAATAAGTAAACTTAACGTATTTGGTAGCAAAAAAAACTGAAACAATAGTTTCATAAAGTTATTAAAAATATTATTAAGTAAATGTATAAATTTAAGGCGTTGAGGTTAAGTAAATTAAGGATTATAGGAGATTTTAACTTTTTTATTTATATTTTAAAGGAAACAAGTAGTGTGCCCCGTTATTTCAGTTTGTTTCCCCTTAATTTCAAAATGGAGGACGAATTGTATCATGTTTTTCAAAACTGTTTTAATAAAATTGCTAATAAACAGCCAGGTAAAAAAGAAGTTTAATTCACTTAATTAATGTCCAAAGAGTGCGATACAATAAGACATAATTGTACAAAAGTGCGGTGAAATGATGAAAAAGTGAAAATAAAAAATGGCATACAAGATTCAAAACATTCAAAGGAATCAAAAACAATATTTTCATGATTTATGCTCAAATCAGGAGCATTATATGCAGCATAGAGTGACAAAATTGGGAGGCCATTGAGAAATATGACAAAAATACATGCTAAAGTTAACAGTGAATTGCAAAAAGTTGATTTTAATATATTAAAAATCTTTTATTGTTTTTTTTTTCTCTCTTTGCGATCATAAATTTACATTAAACTATCGACAGATTTTCAAGGCAAAACGAGAATCGCTTAAAATTATCCATTTAAATGTTAATAAGAAGCAAGCTCGTTCAGCATAAATATTACCAAGATATTTTATTTTATCTTATAGAAGAAATAGAATCTTTAAGTCTGTGACGAAAAATATAAAAAAGATTTTTGTGATCCTTTTTCTCATATTAAAGATGAGTTTCTTTCTATCTCTTTTTAAATTTTCTTCTTTCTTCGCTATGACTATCTATCGTTTAAGTCATAATGCAAGCATAAAAGTGCACAAAATCATCGCTAGTTGCAAAAAACCGTCTTAGCAGTGATCCCTAAAGCAAGTGAAACTGAACAATAACTTAGATATAAAGGATGTGTGTGCATGATCCAGTGAATCTGTCAAGTTGATATGCAACGAGAGAAAGAAGAAAATCAAAATCTGACAGCTGCATTATTGACCTTTTTTCTTACAATATACCGTTCTTTTACACGAAAAAAGGAATATATGTAAATTAAGACACATAAAATCGTTGGACACTTAAGCATTTAATTTTTTCCTCCAATCTAAACTTGTTATTTTTTTGCGCTTAATACATAATAATATAATTTTGTTGTTCTGTTAATGCATGTATTGGTGATATTGCATTATAACGACAGATAGAGACGGAGTAAAATTATGTATAAGAAATGAAAGTTTTCTGCACTTATTGCACTTATTATTATTCTTTCTTCCCTCGGCAGTGTTGTTATCTGCCAATTTGACTCGGTAAAGAATTTTTTTTACGCATTGATGTCACCAATAATTCTTGCAAATAGACAATTACCGTCATGATCAAGATCAGTTCAATTTTGTTCATATCTTGGAACAGACAATATCTTTAACGGCCTGTTTCACTAAAGTGGATTATCCTAGATTTCGGACTTTCCACTTCAGTTTTTTGGAAATATCTCCAGACGCTTAAGGTTATTAAGAGATCTAATGTGTAATCAAGTCAGAGTCCTTTGCTACTTAAATTAACATATACCTAGAATTTTCATATCTTCATTAGTTTGAGAATTATAGCAAAAATCGAAGTTAATCTACTAGATTTGGCTAGAAGATTGAACAATTGAAAAATCTTAACGAAAAGCAAAAGTTTAAAGTATACAGAAATTTCAGACATACTTCACTCTATTATAATCCAAAATTAGAAATACCACACCTCCAATAAAGTTTAAGATATTTGCAAAAAACTGAAGTGGATAATCCGAAATCGAGGATAATCTACTTTATTGAAAAAGGCCGTAAGTTTTTTACAAAGTAGCTGAAAAGACTTAGCAAAGCTGTAGATTCTAATGTTTATGCCTGCTTAGGACATCTCGATTAACAACACTGACTCACGGCATATCAACCGAAAAATAAAATGTTGATACATAAAGAAAAACTCTCGATAGATATGTGCACAAGAAATGAGAATATAATATAAAACAAGACGGTCTTTATAATTATACCTTACCTCCAGTTTATTGATACATATATTTATTTACACGTTTATTTTTCTCGTCTTATATACTTTACTCATTTACTCTTTTGAAAAATTCTTTAGCAAATTTGTGTATATATATATATTATTATATACATAGTCGGTTAACGTACATTGCTTGCAATACTGTTATAATAATGTGTCTCAATCGCCTTCCTTTTATTTTTATTTTATTTTTTCGAGAACGTGAAATTTGTAACAATTTATTGATGCAATGCTGCTCATTTTTTTCAGGTTCCGAAAAACCATTTCCAAATGCATATGCAGCAATGGAATCCGTTGGCTTACAATATGGCGCAGATGAGTTTGTTGAAGGACCTCCAGTCGTGAATGTAAATGATCCCAATCGTTATACATCGCCCAAATCTAGCGCAATTTATGCACCTGAAAATTTTTATGACTCAGCCAGTGGTTCTTGGTACTCGCCGGCGGCAACATCAGGCCAAAATTATGCACAGTCATCGACAGCAGGAAATTATCATAATGTAAATCACACACCTCATATGGCACAACATGAATCGCACTATGGAATGTCACCGCACATTGAAGCACCGCCTCATATGAGCACGACACCTCAACCATTACCGCCAATGAGCTCTTTTCGGGGCAGTAGTAATGGATCAACACCAACAACTAATCCAGCACTTTATAATCCCACACTTAGTCATCAGCACAATTTGCAAAATGACACATTAGTTGGAAAAGCACTTCAAACGGTAAATTAAACATTACTAATAACATAAAGGATTCAGTGGTACTAACAAATCAATAAAATATTATGTTTGTAGATGTATCCAAATGATCAAAGCATCAGCAGTTATAGTTCCAATCCATCAACACCCGTCAATTCTCCGCCACCTCTAACACAAACGCCAGGCACTTCACTAGCTATTCACAATTCTACACCAAGCACTTCATGGCAACAATTGACACCAGCCAATGTTGTAATTAACAACAATCCAACAACAACTCCTGTATTAAATGGTATTCAAAACGGACAATATGGCGCATCTGATTTGGTCCATCGCGGTTTGCACATGGTAATTATTCACGTGTTCCTTACTAAAAAAATCTATGTTGTTTTTATGTAAATTTCCCTTTTATTAAAAAAAGCATAATGCTTGGGCACAGTTTTCAACTAAACCTAACTCCTCATTCCTTTTGCATCAGTCTATATTGTCATACTTGTCATACAAAGGAATCTATCATTCTTAAATATGTTTGTATGACGACATATGATCATGTTGTATGCACATTAAAAAACTGTTGAATGTTGTCGGCATTTCCCTTGTCATACATTTTGAAAAAAAACAATCCATGCTTTTAAAATTTTCATTCTTTTGCAACTTGTTGCTTGATGGAATCAAAATAATGTTATCAAATTGAGGAAACTAGTGCCTGTTCGTCTTGCATGAAGTCGAAAGTATATTTTTGGTTCATAAATTTTTGTTTCATTACTGTGTCCTTAATTTAATTCACATCCCTTATATCTTTTTATTAATTTTAATTTGTGTGAACTTTTTTAACATTCATTTTTTTTATTATTCCATTTTTATTGCATCAAAAAATATATTTTGTGTGATGGTTATGCTAAACTTATTGTTTTCGTGGGATTTTGTTAAAAATATTAAATTTAAAAAATGCATATAAAGGCCAATCAGCCAGAATTATTGGATGAAGCATTCGTTATGTTGCGTGATCAGGCCGAAAATGCTACGGTGAGTAGTTTGAATTTTTAATGCTCATTTTCATTATTAATAATGGACTTTATTTTATTGGTCTGAAAATGAAATTAATGTGTTTTCTTGCTTGAGAAATTTGAATGAAAAGCTGGAAAAGTTTCAAACTAAAAATAAACAATTAAATTCTTATTGCTATATTATTTATAGGGTACACGTATGGAGGAGCGTTTAGATGATGCTATAAATGTTTTACGAAGCCATTGTGAGCCACAACTTAATATGTCAAGCGGAATGGAATCAAGCATTGGAAACCAATTTGCAAATGTACCTACACAACCTCAAAATGCAGACGGGCCTGGACTTAGTCAAGCCCCAATTCCACAAGATTTGCCAATTGATTTGCCAGTTAAAGTTGAACGCCCTTCCGTACCTTCTGCTTCGAGTAAGTTATTTATTCTCTTTTATTTTTTGCAAATAAAATGACACAATTTATTTATCAATATAGAAAAACGAAAGGAACCGCCAGATTCAGATACAAAGCCAAGCAGTAGTTCAATGGATGGGGGTGCATCAAATAAAGCGAATGGACAGAAAAGACAAAGACGATAGTAAGTATACGGATTCATTAATTTAATCATTTTGACTAGATCCACCTTACGTTCGTAAATCGATAATATATTTACAATATTGAAATGTTTTTTATTCCGCTCTTTTCTTTAAACTAAAAAAACAATGTAGCAAAACATCCCATAATAGTTGCTCGAGTGGTGAAGACGACGATGACGATCTACTTGATCCAAGTGAAAAAGATCGAAAGGAGAAAGAGCGGCGACAAGCAAATAATGCTCGAGAGAGGTAAGGCTTAAAAACTTATTGCTAATGACACATTTGATTGATTTGCTTTTCATCCTGAACAGAATAAGAATTCGTGATATAAATGAAGCCCTCAAAGAGTTAGGAAGAATGTGCATGTCACACCTAAAGTCTGACAAGCCACAAACAAAACTCGGTATTCTTAATATGGCAGTAGAAGTTATCATGACATTAGAACAGCAAGTTAGAGGTATTATTTTCATAATTATTAGTTCCTTAATTATGGAAACTACATAAATATTTTCGCACTTTATTACTATTGGCAGAGAGAAACTTAAATCCAAAAGCTGCATGCCTAAAGAGAAGAGAAGAGGAGAAAGCTGAAGATGGTCCCAAAATTCCACAGCATCATTTATTACAACAAGCTCCCTATCCTGCTTTGCCAGTAAGTTCAATCACTAATTCTTAATATTTACATGTCACTTTAATGTGCTTGGTGTCTTTATATAGGGTCCACCACCAAATCTTCCACACAATCAGACAGGCCAACAATAGCATTTTGATATTTGGTGATAAAATAATTTGTAAGAAAAAATTTAATAATGTTTCAAAATGAAAGATTATATATCAATAATTCATTTATATCAGAGAGAAATGCAGTTCATAAAAAAGAGAATTAGACATAAAGTATCAAAAAACAAAAAAATTCAATAATAGAAACTACATCACAACCGATATTTTTTGATAACAGTGAAAAAAAGAGATAAACAGTGAATTCAATTTGATTTCAAACAAGTTAAAAGAAGATTAATTTTAAAGTATAAAAAAAGTGGAAGAAAAATTTATAATTTTTACAACTTGAAGAAAATGTATATAGCTTAATTAATTAGATTATAAGAAGGAGAAAAAAGTGAAAAATCTTTTTTCGTATTCTTTTTTTCACTCTCTTGCTCTATATGAATGAAATTAGCATAAAAAAAAATCGTCGACTTGTGAATATCTTCCCTTGTTCGAGCAGTAAATTGATTAGCACTAGCTACCTACGGTCTTCTGAAATTAAAACTTTCTAAGATGGTTAGACAATCCCGATAAACAATCACATCTTCAGAAAGATAGTTTCAGCCAATAAGTGTCAATATCTTCTCGTGTAAATAATTTTGGCCGGTAAAAATTTAAATTTTTAAAATTGAAGCTAGCTTCATGATATTCATCATATTACATGTAATAGTATTCAAGTTTTAAAATACCGTTAAATTCTGAAAAGGACTTGATATTTTTTGCATGAAAAGATTTTGATCATAAACGCATGACGTTCACTAGAGAGTAACTTCTTGAATGTCAATAGTTTAAAATCCTTTACGATACTTATTGGTTCCATCAATGCCAAATATTGTAATTAAAATAGCCTATCTAAATTTGCCAGTCAATCAAAGTGGTTGTATTCATCGGTCCGTTCAAAAAGGGAAAATGTGCGCAAAGATCATGAAAAAAAAAAAGCTTTGAAGAATTTTCGCTATTTGATCATTATTGAGGATAATGAAAATTATTAATTATATTATGTTTTCTCTTCTTAGATTATAATTTTTCAACTTACGACTAAATAATCTTTCGTCTTCTATAAAGAAGAACTTCCAATTGAAATGATTCGATGATTCTTCTTTTAAAAAAAAACTCTTTAGTATAAAATTGTGTAATTCCATTTTTAATTTTGAATTAATTTTACTTAATTAAAGTGAGATATAATGATGAAAAAAGATAGAAAATAATTGAGAATAACTTTACTTAATATCATTTACTTAAGCATTAGTTCATCTTTCCAACACATATCTCTTGGGATAGATTTTGGTTTTGTTCCTCAATTTCATCAACTTTGTTTAACTTTTTTCCTGCTGTATAACTTTCTCATCACGGAAAGTTTTTTTAAGCGATTCCATTTGACATTGCTCGCAGTTTTGCTCAAAATGATTTTTTTTCTCAATTTCAGTGCCATTAACTTCAAGTTCAAATAATTAATTAAAGAAATTGCGAAATTGTTTGTGAAATCGATGAAACTTTTCCTGGTGAATTAGTTTTTGGCTATAAGGAAGAGCTGTTATTTAGCATATGCTTGTGAATAAGAAGTGAAAGAGTTTGGAGAACTTTTTGACAATGGTTAATTTTGTGTCTAAGAAAGTATCTTTACTTAAATTGCTTAAATAATTAGCTTGCTATTTTACAGCTCAGAATTTTAGTAAAATTTACTACAACATATTAAGTAGAAAATAGGTTGATTATAACATTTAAATAAACCATGTGCTTAGTTTTCAAATTATTGTCAACTTGGTCATCACTTAAACTTTTTGAGATTACTTTGGGATCCAAAACATTCGTAATAGTGAATTTTACTATTTTACTAAAGTTAAACAGACTTGATGAAGGTATTTTGAGGATCTATAAACAAACAAGCATGAAATTGAATGAAAATAAGAACTTGAAATGTTTTCGACCAAAGCTTTTTGTCTAATTCATATGTCCCCAATATTATTTTGATTTTTTAAAAATCACGTGCAGTATTTATATGCAATTTGAATTTTTGTCGTTTCGAGGATTTTTTTTTCTTAGTTTGAATTTTTCAGCACAATCCCAAAGCCATGGATTGTTTGCTGTTTGTATAATTTTATTTCATTGTTTTACATTGAATCTTTGACAAAATGCAAAGAAGATAAAAGAGAATGAGAGACAAAAGTAGACACAGCGAAGGCTTGTAATTTCGAATAATAATTAAGTAAATCGGAATTACGACCTCTTCTCTGTCAATCTTTACCTCTAATTAAATTACTTAAAAGACGATAATTTATTTTTTTACGTTTATTATTTTTTGTTAAAACAATTGAAATCAGCGAGAAAATTCTTCAGCTATGACACACTACAACGATGACAACAAAGAGACGCGAGTTATTCTTTGACATGAAAATGAGTTGTACATTGCATTAAGTTATGCTACTAGCCTAGAAAGTGATTAATTTCTGGTAATTACATTGTGATCTGGAAGTTGTAATACTTTCATGTAGTTCTTACCATAACTGTCACTAAAATTATTGCCTACAGACAGGATCATGTATTATTTTGATCAGGTTGCATATTTTTTTTATATAAAAGGTCCCTTAAATAACGGTAATTTTTTTGAATTTTCATTATTGAAGCCAACTTCAAGTCGTACCAAAAGCTTTTTTGTTTTTAAAAAGAGCTTTTTCAGGATCTGCGATCTCATTTTCATGTCATTAGGATGTTTTAATTTAAAAGATAGTAAAATGAATGAAATTATAAGAAAAATGTGAGAGAAGGAACTAAAATGAAAAAAAAAAATCAGATATAAGTTAAGGATTATAAATGAAAGAAAAGTAACTAAATTAAATATAATTAGGAATGATAATGATTCAATTTCATTATAAAAAAAAGAAGAAAAAAAATCAATTTATATTTTTAAATTCATGAATGATAAGCCCTTGAGAATAATGCGGAAAAGAAGATATAAGGAATAATATGAAAAAATTTATAGTTAAAAGGCATTGTGGAAGCGAATTCTCATTGATAATAAAATATGAAATTATGAATTCATACTCTAAGACGTGCTCATATCGTTTTTATTTCAAATTAATTATAATTATTAATAAAATGATGAAATAATGTCGGAAATGAAGAAAGAAATTCTTAACGAACGGAAGAATGAGTTTTCGCAACCACTTAAATCATCATCCAAGTGAATGAGAAAATCCATTTTAAAGTGAAAAAGAATAATAAATGCTATAAATCTGGAACCTAAAATAATTTTTAGTATTATATATTATACAATAAAAACATTATAATAAAAATGATGAAAAACTATAAAAAACACCTTGTTTTTGTGCTTGATCAGTTCATTTTTTCTAGAGATCCTTTATATGCCAATTGTATTTTATTTGTCTATGACATTGAAAACAGGAAAGCTAATTTTTCCTTCAAACATCACCTCAACTTTAAAAATCACTAAAATGCAACTACCCTGAAATGCAAATTGTACTGCCAAGATGCAGATGGTACTGCTAAAGTGCAGATGCAATTTATTTTCCCTTAAATGCAGATGAAATGCTGTTGCTTTAAAAAAAAAGTATAATGCAGATGATTTTTATCACATAAAGTGCAGATAAGATGCTGCCCAAATGTAGATCGTATAATTTTATTAAAATAAAGATGAAATACTGTTATAATGTAGATAATTTAACGTCAGATATTAATTATTTATTCATGGTATTATATTTTTTTAGTCGTAATAGATTGACTGAGTGTCTTTTCATATGCTTTTTTACCCTCGAGACAATTTTTCACTCTGGCATCTCAATCTATAAATGTTAACTTTTTTAATAACAATACTAGTGCATCGGGTAGAAACCCAATGCAGATATATTTGCACCGTTCCATCAAAAATCTTGTGGATAGACCAAGCTTTGTTATACATTAGTTTTTTACGATAAAATTATACGATAAAAATCATCTGGATTATGCATTTTAAAAGCAACAGCATTTCATCTGCATTTTAGGGAATATAAATTTCATCTGCACTTTAGCAGTACTATCTGCATCTTGGCAGTACTATCTGCAGTTTAGGGTAGCTGCATTTTAGGGATTTTTAAATTAAGGTTCAAACATCGGATTTTAAAATCAATCACTTTCTTTTGAAATCGCAGACTTCTTACATGAACTTGGATATAGTAAGCATATTCAATAGATCGTTAAAATAATCAGCTGGAAAAAGTAAGCAACGTCCTAAAAACACACAGTGGTTAATATATTTAATTGTAGATGGAAATATTTGTAGCTAAATGATTTGAAGTATAGATCTACTTTTTTACTTACTCTAAGTGAGCCTATGAAGCTCGAACATACAATGAGTATACTCAGGGCACATTATTCGTGAGCTTGCAAACTTTTGTGAGAATGTGCTCATTTCATACATTAAAGTGATGCGATCACGGTTCCCTTTTTGAGTATGCTCAGTGAGCACATTCCTATGTGACATGCATTAAGCTCACTGAGTAAACTCATGAGCATACTTAAATGAGAAGGCAACATGCCATACGAACATTTTTTTAATGCAACATTTTTTATTGAATATACTCATGAACATACTCAAAGAGCTTATACTCATGAAGATACTCAAAAGATATGCTTAGGGAGTTTATTTATTTTATTTAAAGTCACAAAATTCAAAACATTAATTAAGTTAAATTTGAGTTTTATAAGGATAATTCTGTGAATAATTTTGGAAGATTTAGAAAATATTATTAACATTTTATCTCAAATACTTAAGAAGGAAGTTTTAAAAACTAGTCACCCATCCTTGTTGAAAAACTTATTGCGTTGCTTAACTTCTGTCACCTCACACTTTTCTTTGGAGCTATTTTTTATAAACATATAATAATTGTTAAATGGCAAAATACATACTTAAAATATTATATTATTACAGGTGAACTAAGTTCTTTGAAGTTTGATACGCTGCTTAATTGAGCACGATCGTGAGAACATATTATGATAAATGTCGACAAACTTAAAATTAAACTTAGAATAAATTTTAGAAAAATGTCGACCAACTTAAAATCGAGCTTAAATTACATTTTTATAATAGTCGACGTTTTTGAAAATGTCATATAGATATGATTATGTTCATTATATGCTCATGAGTATGTTTAGTAAGTGTATTCTTAAGAGTAAATACCATTCGTAATGAACTCCTGAGCATGCTCAGTTGAATGAGCTTGCATGAGTTTAATTTTTGAGTAGACTCACTTATAGGTTCAATTTTCTGAGCATGCTCTTTGTATGTTCCTTAAGAGTTGTATGTGAAGTCAATCACTTTTAGCTCATTTGTGATCTGCTGAAAGGAAGTAAATGGATCTTTTGGATAATGAAATGAAATAATGATTTTTTTTTTGAATTTTAGTCATTTTTTCTTTTATTGTACTACAATAATTAACACCCACAATTTTTAAATCATCATTTTTACACTTTTATCTTTTCACATCATTATGTTATTTATCAATTATTAAAACGTATTTTTTGTCAAAAATGTTATACCACTGAATTTTTCATCTATATTTTTTTCCATAGGTTTTCTTGCCATCATTTAATAATTATTATTATTATCAAACTGTTAAGATTTCTTTTGAATGTCCTTATCTCTAAGTGATACAAATTATAATTCATTTATATATATCTTCTCTTTATTGTGTTGCTTTTTATGCTTTTCCATTCAAATCGGCATAAAGTTTGTTTGGCATCAATAAAATATTTTTTTTATTGATACTTATTATGTTTAAGCTTTTAGTTTAAATGAATTCGTGAACTTGTTTTTACTTCTTTTATTAGCTTTGTCTGGTGGCTTAATATTTGTTTTGTGTTACAAATGGTTTTATTTGATTTTAAAGGATCAATAAGCTTAAAGCCAAAAGGTCATCAGTGAAGGGAATTTTCATCAAACGGGAGTTTAAGGAAATCGTTGTGGTTTTCAAACTATTTGAAGTACAATATTATTGAATAATAGTATCATGTAATAAAATTGTCTTAGATTTCACGACAGTCCATTGTCACCAGTTTAAACTTTGAAACTGTCGACAAAAGTTCAGAATTAGAACAGTCAAAATGAAAGTAAGTCTCGAGAAAAAAAAATCTTTAAAAATATACCCTTGTTTAATCTCGATGATGGAGGAATCAAAAGAGCTTTATAATAAAAAAATCGCGATGACTTCCTTCAAACCATCAGCACTTAAACTTAATATATTGTTTATTTAATTAAATAAATCATTTAATTTTGCGAATTAATAAATCCAGTATTTAAAAGCTTTGAAGCAAGAAAACAAGAAGTCAATAAAAAGAATCGGATGAAAATTAATGACAAGTGCCTTTTTTTTACTAAATTTGATACCCAGCATAATTCTCTTATCATTAAGATTATTTGATTATACTTAATATTATTTTTAATTACTTATAAAACACGTTTTCACTTCTTATTCATTAATAAATCGATAATTCTTGCCCACTTTTCCTTCGTTTGTTGTATAAAATAATAATAATAATAAAAGTAGTAGATTTGTGAACATTAGCCATTAAATTTTGTTCATTATACTTTCTCACCGTTACGATTCGGGTCCTCACAGAAGATTTCGAAGATTTTTTTGTTTTGAGAATATTTCGAGGTAAAGTAGGAAGAAGTTATTCATTTGGTAATTGCATCAATTTAATGGCTAATTTCAGAAGCAAAATTCTTACAATCTAATTCCATGTTTGTTTCAAGTTATTTTCCATTTATTCAATAATTAATTGTGTTTTTCTTAACTTTTTTGACTCAAGATCAAAATTACATTTAAAAAATCATAGATATTCTTTTTTACAGGAAGTTCTTAAGTTTTAGTAAAATTTTAATCAGGTCTGTTTCAGTTTATCTTGATTAAAACTCAGAATTTATCATTTTGATGTTCTAAAATGTGCTTTATCGTTTTTATCAAGAGTCCTTAAATATTTTCGAAATAAGACCATCAAATGAGCAGCAATTAGCGGTAACTATATTAATACAAAAGTAAGTCACCTCTGAATATCCTTCCCAATCAAAATAGCCATCGGCCCCACAAAAATTTTATTGAATATGCCAAAAATCTAATTTTATTAATCAAAGGAATGAAAAGGATACAAAACTCATACTGTTTGTGATTTTGCGGAACTACACAAAGTTATAAAGTCAACTACTTATTATATCCATGGGAGCCAACGGAGACATCAAAAATTGCCGTTAGTTGGATGCCAAATCATTGACTTTTGAACTTTATGTTGCTCGATTTTTTTTATAGTAAGTTCCGTACTGTTTTTCATTTTGACTATGGAATTTACAAAATACTCTCTTTTTCTGGATATACAATATTATACATAGATACTCGAAAATTAATATTAATAATGACTTAGAGTGTAAAAGTAGTACTGAAAATAGAATGAAAAGTATCTCGTTACAGACATTAATAATGCTTGCTCATTGTCCACTAAACAATTAAAATTTTACTCTAACTATACTTCCTGCTTATAATCATTTACACACTATATAGTTAATAGATATTTCGATAAATCTTCTCATATATAATTCATTTATGTTGCCAATACATATTCAGATTCTTATCATTTAATATAAAAACTGCAATCTTTAAAATTAATTAAGATGTGTCCAACAACTCTCAATAAAACCGTCATATCTTATGTTTTAGTACAAATTGTTGAATGTGGAGCTTTATGTGAACCTATGTGAACCAAGATATAATGTAAAAGTTTTATTGAGAATCGTTAAAGATGTGTATGTTTCATCTTCTTCTTCCTGGTTTAATTTGTGTGTTTAAAAAAATGGCTTAATATAATTTTCATTTCAAGGATATTCAGCTATTATTAATACGGATCGTTCATTTTTAAATTATTCCCTTGTTGCAAGTTACTATTCAAAAAAAAAAATAAAAGAGGAGCATATCCTTTTTTTGTGATTCACAATATCGGGTTTAAAGTTTAGTTCCAATTCATTAAAAAAAAATCATAGAGAGTGAGAATTTTGGTATCGCAATAATTGAAGATTGTCTTTTTTTCAAGATTTTGGAGAGAAATTTCAAAAAAGGAGGAAAAGATCTTGTGGTCTAAAAGACCCAAAAAAAAAAAATTAACATATTCATATTCAAAAAAAAGATTCTGAAGCAAAGAAATACGTTTATAGACAAAAAGGAAAGAGCAATTTGTCTTGAATAAAATTACAATTTATCTGCTCATACAACATTGTATGAGAAAATAAAAGTCAAATAATTAATAAAATAGAAAGGCAAAATAGGTAGGTAGTTTCAGAAATGAAAATCATCATTATCAACTATAATTAATTGGCGATTCTTTCTTATGATATTAAAAAACATCTAACGCCACGTCTTTGTGAGATAAATTTGATTTTAATATTCTTAACATCTAATGCTTATTGTATTGTATTTTTTTTTCTTCTTTCTTTATCATCATAATCATCAGTACACCATATGCTTCACATTCATATTTCTCTTTTGCGCTATTCATTATGATGAGTGTGTGTGTCTGTGTAAACATTCCTATTTTCTCCCATCCATAAAGTGTATATTGTTTGGCAGAAATGTAATGCTCAAAAATTACATCGAATCTGAGTTCTATTCTGATCTGGATTTTGATACTAATAAAAAATTGTGAGTTCTTTTCGTCATTGCCCATGAAATCTTTTCATACTTTTTTTTTGCTACTTAAAAGTTAAAGCTCAGAGTGGTTGTTTGTGTAGAAAAATATATTTCTGTATATGCTAGTTCCTTTTATTCGAAAGGCTTGAAATGATCTAATTTTTAATCATCTTGAATCTCTCAGTCGTGATCAGTAGATCTTCACTTTATTAGATTGATTGGCATAAGATTCATAACATTTTGAATGAGTTTCATGAATGGAAAATTTTCAAGTTTTGAAAATATTTTAGATCACGTTGAGAGATATCATGATATCAAGGCTGAAAAGGATATCTTCCTATAATTGCAATTAAAAATTGTAAAATAACGGTTATATTAGCTCATAACTTGAAGTTGGCTCTAGTCAAATAAATTCGAAAATTTCCGTTAAAATCGAGTATGTGCTTTGTATGGGAATATATTGAGCATGAGAGATTTTCAAGTCCATTTCTAATAAATATATTGTATGGCGTTGGTAGAAAAATTTCATGAGCTTGTTCTAAAATTAACAATTACTTTTAATGCGTTTCAATCAGTTAAGGAGTTTTAAAATGTATTTGATATTGCAGGCTTGTTTGATAAATTAAAGATAAAAAGAAAAATTAATTTTAGTATATATACTATTAAGTTAAGTTGATACTCAATCAATGTGTTGCAAACATTTACCCTAAAACTATTTCAACTCTCGTCTATTGAGAACATATTCTCAGTGTCTTAGCGTTTAATGTTAAAACTTAAAAAAAAAATTCTTTAAATTGTGGATATTTTTCAATTTAGTTATCGTCATTTATGTATTCACACGATCCCCGTAATTTTTGTATGCATGGTGATCGAAATACTATATTTTCTATCTTCATTGTTTATGCCTTTTATATTTATGTCTGTTTCTATGTCATTGAAATCTTCTCACTTTTTATATTCATTATTTTGTTGTGTTATTGTTTTTTTTTGTGTATGTGTGCCTTTTTTTCTTCGTCATCTTTCCCATTCATAAATTTATGTTTTTTAAATGTACAATTTTCATAACTTTTTTCTTATGTTATGAAAGTAAGGAAAAAAAAATAATAAACAGCAATTCAACTCCACGTTAAATTAATTTAAGCAAAGTACATAACTTTTTTGGTATCAGCATGTACGGTAATGGCTCTTGCCATCGCTCCTGGTGTCCTGTCCTCAGAACAGCCACTTTGGTGTGATCCCTCACCGGAATCATGCTCTTTCTCAACCAAGTGATATCTGTTTTGAACAAAGTAAGTGTATTAAGTATCGTTGAATTAAATGTCAAAAGCAGTTAAAATTACCTTGCTCTAAATGCTACTAGATGAGCATAATAGGCTGGTGCAGGAATGGATACTGAACGAGTACATCGTACATACGTGTGACATAATTGATAGGTTAAACACTGTAATTCGTCTGAATCGAAGTGGTTATCATCCCACAAGACATGATAATGTGATGGTCGACTTGTGCCCTATATAATTTAATAAAAAATAATTTAATTTTTAATTATTATTGTATTAAGTTATTATGCTGTAATAACTCACTTGAATACCCTGATGTGAACATAAGTAGAAATCGAATTCTGTTGGATGTGTAATTCCAACATCGACTGTTGTTCCTGCTGGGATATTTCCAGATTTTCCACTCTGTTCTTTTTTGTCAGCACAGAATAAACGCGTATGATGTCTCTATATAATTAAAACGATGATTAGTTTGAATTTAATTAATAATTTTTATGAGGTCTCACCTTTTGCACAACGATAAATGTAATACCCGGACGATAATCAGCTTCCAATTTAATACATGCTTCACGAATAGCTGTGAGCTCATGTTGCAATATATGTGGAAATTGTCCTTCCGAAACACCATCTAAAAATAGAAATTGCTCATTAGTTTAAGAGATAATTAAGGAAAATGTATGTTTATTACCTCTGTACAGAATGATTCTGTGTGGTTTGTAGCCACCTGTTGATTTGTAAAACATGACTAAAAGTTCTCGCACCATGCTACTTAATTCTTGAATCATTTCTTGTCTGTGCTGTTGTACTCGTACTGTTGCAGCATATCTTGAAGGATGAGCATCCATTGAACCAACAACTGCAGCAATTGAAGGCTTCTTATTATCTCCGGCGGGTGGATGAGTAACATCAGCTCCAAGGAAGATGACTGGTTCATTGAATACTTTTGGTCTAATTGATGGCACCAAGATTGAATTAATACCACCCAATTTAACGTTGATCTTAAGACAGAGATTTGACAATGTCTGTGGCGATGTTTTGTTGACATTCTTTGCCTGAACACATTGTGTTGCCATTCCCAACACTGTATCTCCAACTCTCTTTACTTCAGCTGAATTTGTAAAATAAAATTAATTAATTCAATGATATCAAAAAATAATGGAAATTAAAAATGTTAAAATAAGATTAATAATGCTTCCATTTCAGTTTAATTATAATTTTTCCCGATTATTCGGATTGAAAGAAATTGTAACGGTTTTTCTAGATTCAAAAAATATGATTGATATTCAAATCAAATTATTTTTCATCTTTGCGATTAAATCTTGAAAATTCATTTAATTCAATTTACTATAGAAGTGATAAGTTTATTAAGTGATAGTGAAGATGAGGTGGTTCAAGTTGACAAGACTGATGGTGATAACGACGAGGAACTTGTTGGAAGTAAGCATTTTAAATTATTTCATTAAAATAAGATTTTTAGCGCATTTTTGAAACTTGTTTCAAAAAGGTAGCTTAATAATTCACTTTGATCGGCTGGTTCTGAGATCTCATTAACCAGACATCGTAGAGAGTTCTAGTTTGTTTTATTAGCTCAGGTCCATTGTTTTATTGGCTTTAACAATCGTTTTACATTAAACAAATCTTTTGTTTGAAAAGTAAATTGAATTTGTATGATTGTTTTTTACATGTGAGTTGATGTGAAGTGCAAAAGTTACAACATTGAACACATTTTAATATGTCTATGCATAATAATTATATATTTCAGGTAAAATTGAAAATTAAGTATATACAGGAGATGAACTCATTTGTTATTAGAAATTATCGCAACCAAAAACAATAAATTGAAATCTTTCTTCATTTTCAATTTCCATCGATGTAATTTATATAATATCCGAACATACAAAGAGTATGCTCATTCAACTGAGCATGCTCAGGAGTTCATTACGAATGTACTCACTTTATTTTTTTACAAAAACTTTATAAGCTCACGTGAGTGCATTCAATAAGTATACTCTTGAGAATATTAAGAACATATTCATGTGAATTCACTCATATGAGTGCACTTACTGAATGTACTCATGAGCATATAATGAGCAAACTCACTTCTGTGTTACACAATTTTTTTTATATTCTCATATGAGTGCACTTACTGAATGAACTCATGAGCATATAATGAGCAAACTCACTTCTGAGTCACACTATTTTTTTATATTCTCATATGAGTGCACTTACTGAATGTACTCATGAGCATATAATGAGCAAACTCACTTCTGTGTCACACTATTTTTTTATATTCTCATATGAGTGCACTTACTGAGTTTATTCAAGAGCAAATTGTGTACCTTTTTTAAAAAAATGTCAGCTAAATCGAAAACGTTAAAATAATGATTTTTTAAGGAAGCTGACGTTTTTTAAAAATGTCAGCTAAATCGAAAACGTTAAAATTAGTGCTCAATAAGATCCAAACTTCAAAGAACTTAGTTCGCCAGTAAAAATATAATAATTTAACTATGTATTATGCCATATGTGAATTACTATATATTTACAGATAACAGCTCCAAGGAAAAGTGTGGAATGACAGGAGTTAAGCAACGCAGAAGATATTTCAACAAGGATGGGTGACCAGATTTATATGTTTCATTCTAAGTATTTCAGATAAAATATTAATAATAATTTCTAACTCTTTCAAAATTATTTACAGAAATAAACGGAACAGTACTTAATTTCAGCTAACCTATAATACTCAAATTTAGCTTAATTAATTTTTTGAGTTTTGCAACTTCACTTGAGTTCACTCATGAGTGTGCTCAGATGAGCATATACTCATAAATATACTCACTAAATATATATTCTTTGAGTACGTTTATGAGTATGTACTCTTTGAGAATATTTATAAGTATGTACTTTTTGAGAATGTTCATGAGTATATTGAATAAAAATGTTACATGAGAAAAATGTTGCATGTGACATGTTACCTTCTCATTTGAGTATGCTCATGAGTTTACTCAATGAGCTTAATACATGTCACATAGGAATGTGATCACTGAGCATACTCAAGAAGGTACCGTAAGCGCATCACTGAAATGTATGAAAATGAGGACATTCTCACAAAGGCTAATAGGCTCACAAATAATGTGCTCTGAGCATGCTCATTGTATGTTCGGGATACATATAATAAAAATAAATAAATGATAAAATTAAGCATTCATGAATGGCAGACAATGTACATACCCTATTTATGATAATCAAATAGTACATGAAAAGAAAAGACAAAAAAAATAACGTATTAATTATCACATTTTAAAGATAAAACAGTATCATCTTGGGAAAAAAATCAGAACTTTTTAAAAAGTTCCTTATTTTTGTCCCTAGAGGAACTGGAACTCGAGACTTGCGTATACTGGTGTTTTTCTGAACGTTTAATCCATCCATAGAGGAACATCCATAAAGAATCAGTCGATACAGCACATGAAAAAAAAAATAAAAAGTAAGAAAAAAAATATTGAAAATTAAAATAATTATATAACAAATAACCAAGTCAAATGTGTTCTTTTTCCAGTCAATAGAGGCACAGGTAGAAGATCTGTCACTTCCTGCCAATAGACACTACCTGTACACAAGAAATATTTTCTTTTTTGTCACAGGCCTATTGACAGTTTTGACAGATTGGTACTTGTGACAATCAGAAAAATATTTCTTGTAAACACTTTCTTGTCTGTTGTCAGGTAGTGATGCCAGGCGTCAGGCACAAGTGACAGAAAGTATTACATGACATTACACTTAATCATCATCCGATCACACAAAAACTAATAAGACTCACCCTGGCAGCACGACGACAACCAATTGCAATTGATTGAACGAGTTCTTGAGATATCTGAACATTGGTTCAACTTGATCAGGTCCTGTGGCATATTTGCAGAAACATGGTTGACCGATTATTGGCATTCCTGCATCATTAGATATCTTTTGAAGTTGTTGTGTGAAATTCCTAAGTGCATCCTCTCGAACTGTTCGTTGTGGTGCAAAGCATGCAATGGCCCATACACGGATCTCGACACCAGTAAAAAATTGTTTTCCTCTCATATCCCACACTCCCTGGTTAGGGGAGGCAAGACTGATTTTGTTCTGCGAAGACATAGGAACCTTTTCTTGCTGATTTTATTACAGTTATGAAAAATAATAATGTTTGCATTGATGGAAATTCCGTAATTAACGAAACTTGTTGGGAATTTTCATCAATGTTATGACTTAATATCCTAAATTGTAAATAATTGTGTGAAAATGAAAATTAATTTTTTAAGAACAATTTTTAAAGCAACAATTTTCAGATCCATCCAATTAGATTGGCAAAATTGGTAAAACTCACTTGTCCACTAATGCTTGAAACACGTCCTCCGTACTGCAATTTGGGTGGTGGTAAAACTCGTCCTCTTACTTCCATCATACTGTTGCTGATGGTAAGTCCGAATTCTTGAACGTAAGAATCATTGTTAAAATCAGCACGTCTCACCAAGTTGTTGATTTCTCTTTCACGATCTGGTGCTGAGCGAGCAGTTGCTTTAATCATGGTTGATGTCTGCATATCTGTCAATTTCTTAATACAACGTTGTCCTGCGACAATATTACATACTTCTAATGGTAAATATGTATGCTTGTGTTCTTGGCCGACTTGTAAACATGGCAAATGTGGATAGCGAAGTTTCATTTTATACTTGTCAAGGAAATATTTGGCGACAGTGCATTCAACGGTCTGTCCATTATCGAGTTGCAATGGAAAACTTTGCATTTGAGCTGGACGTCTTGTGACATTACAAACACGATATTTACGTCTCATTGTGCCACAATGAGTAATTTCAATTTTTAAACCTTTAATTTCTTTTGTGAATTTGACACGCTGTGAATCGGTGAGTGGTTTTCTTTGTTCATTAATGTCACGAATATCGAGAACTTCGCACATGAATTCAATGACAGGTTGAGCTTTATAAAATGCAGTCGCTGATACATCAATGTTGAGCATCATTTTCCATTGTGATGGACGAACACTTTGATGGAAACCAAACCAAACTTCACGACCACCGCCCAAAGGATGATAATAGCCATCGGGTGAGCTGAAGAAACTTCTTCCAACCGGTGTATAAGTCATACTTGGCAAGTGACGCATCACAACATCAAGTGCAAGTATTGCATCATATGGAATTTGTCTTGTACGTCCTTCAAGAGCCTCTTCGAGATTAAATAGTGATACTTGAGCGACCCACTTAATAGTGACACGAAAAACTCTGTCTTTTCCCTCGCCCGGCAACGTGACTTCGAGCTCAACACGATCATTTCCAATTGGTAATGGATCGCGAGTATATAAATTATTCCGTCCATCAAATACTGGTTTTAGAACTCCGAAAATTTTACTATATGCATGAACCATAGTCTCAATAATTTCACGATTAACCTTTCGTGGACATTTGTCAGGTTGAATATTTATGTCATAATGATGAACAAAACCTCTTGGCATAGAAATTTGAAAGTGATTAGCACGTAGTAAAATCGGACGTCCTTCACGTCCTAAGTTTGGTCGTCGTGGGCATGTGAATACAGGCAATTCTGGAGGAGCTGGTGGTGTTGCTACAACTCCAATTGCTGTTGTAACAGTTCCGCCTGTTGTTGTTGGCGTAGGATTTGTTGTGGTGCCAGCGGGAGGAGCTAAATTTTTAAAAATTATCGTCAATCAATAATTTTGTTCCTTATCATTCTTAATTATGAGTTAAGTTGATGAGAAATTTTTAAAAAAAAGCATGTGAATGAGTTAAAAATTTAAATGCAATTGATGAATTGATTAATATTTAGTTCCAAAATTTCCAGGACACATACAAATTGGTTATTAATTTCTTATTACATATTTTGTCCCAATAATTTATTCTCATTCTATATCTCGAGTTGCAAGTCATAAATATGACAAGCATATGGTAGCCATTTAATTGTCATTGCCCTGATGTGCAGCTCGAATATGAGATTAGAATGAAATGAATACCATCATTTTCCAAATCAGTGATTGGATAAAGTTAAAATGTAACGGTAAGTTAGAAGGTAGATAGGTGAATATAGAAAAATAAATCCCAGTGAGAAAACAATTATGTTAGTTGTTGCTTAAAATTATCATTACTGTTTGTAACATGATTAAGCTACATTTTAAATTAATCAACAAACTTAAGAGCATAATAAAAATGAAAATAATGTAGAAGATTTTAAATAGTTTATGCAAACAAAAGAAGAAGGTCATAAAAGATAAGAAAATGTTTTTAATAGCAGCAGGAATGAGTCAAATAAAATTTTACGTAAAACCACATCACATGTGAGCTTACGTTTAAGTTACACAGGCATAGCTCAAAATTTACGTAAGATTTTATTCAGCATGTGCCTTTATATTTGTCATATCTCATCAAACATATTTATAGAAACGTCTAAAGCATTAATGTTAATGCATAACATTCAAGTTCTGGATGTAAACAAATGAATATTGAAAATTAAGAGCTCTTAAAGTAGTTCTTGATTAATTTGGGTGATGAGGTATGACCGACTTCAACTACTGCGTGAAAGTCAGAATGTAATAAGATTAAAATAAGGTGTTGGGTGAGGCATAACACACACACATAGAAATTAAAATATTAAGATCAAATGGACTTATTTATCTATAAATCTTATAATAAAATAGCAGATCAGTTTGATTCAGTGTTGCAAATGTAGATGTCTACACTAGAGGAAGAATGTAGATTCTTTCCTAGAATTTATGTTACGCAGACACAATCTTTACGTAGATCAATTCTTTACGCAAATAGAAAAAAAAAATCTTTCATATATTTTCTCTTCATAAAGACAATTTCTTCATTTATTTATAAAGTTTTGATTTTCTATTTACATGTAGAATTGATCTTTAACAAGAAAGATCTGTGTCAGAATTTGTCTGAGCCATACAACTTGCCAGAATGCAACACTGGTTTGATTTGTCTAATTGACATACATGTAAGGCAAAAACCAAATATATTTTAATTTTAATGTTAGTGTAAAAAGTGAAATTTTGTGTGATTCTTAAAAGCGAATAAGGCACTTTGGTGTTTCAAATCAGTCTTAATTTTTTTTTGCTAGCTTTAACAAATTCAAATTTTGCAACAAATAAGGATGAATTTTAAATAATGAACGAGGTTCTTCTTATTTCACAGAGAATGAAATATGATATATTGTATCTTTATTTATTTATGCAATACAATACATCCATTCATTTTCTGTGACAAAATATTTTTGCCAGGAATTTTAAGGACCAAATATGTATACAACGTCTCAAATATCAACTCATAAAATGAAATTTTGGTATTAATCAATCATCAAAATCAATTTAAATTTGTTAAATCGTTTGCATTCTTTTTTCTATTCTTTTTTTTTTGAATTTTCGAAAAATTTTGGGTTACGTGAAAGTGTATCGAAGCTGGTCTGCGACTGAGGACTTGGTGGCCGAGGTGGCGAAGAAGTCCATGATGATTCTATAAAAAAATAAGAAAGAAAAATTAAGGATGCAACAACAAATATACGAAGGCGAATAAGAAAAATAAGATGTCCCGCGATTTTTTCCTCTATATCTTTACTTTTTTTTTGGAGCTTAAAGAAATAGAATAGAAGAACAATAACAAGAAAAAAGGAATCAAAACAATTTAAAGTTTTCTGGATGGCAATCAAATTTTCACTATCACCACACTTATGCTGAATGGTGATCATGCAACCAAAATTTTTGTTCTATGCTCAACAAGTTTTGATAAGGAATTAAAATTATTAATTTTTTTTCTTGTCCATGAAACCGATAAGCATATACGCACGCACATATTTCGAAACTGATAACATAATAAAATTAAACGACATTGCAAGTAAGTAAAATAAACTAAATCATTTAAGGGGGTAATTTAATCATGACGTCTAATTAATATAATAGTGTCAAATATTTAACTAATCTCATTGAGACAAACTGGGAGGTAGATGTCTATTAAAAAGGTAAAGCATGGATAGGGCCCAGCCTTTTTTGAGCTGGAAGCATTGCGATTCAAATTAGAACAGAACCTTTTTTACCACACCCTTTAGGTCTACAGTTTTTGGTGGAATCCGAACCACTTGTATGATGTCTATTACAATAAACGTCATTTACAAACAACCCTTTATTTATTTGACAAATAAGAAGTAAACTTTTATTGCAAATTTATCGATTAGTCTTAAATGAGTCATTTTTCTCCGAATGACTTAAATTTATAGTCAGTCAAATCACATGTAGATTTCCATAAATTGTAAATTCAAATAGTTTTTTTTTTGGCTTTGAGTTATGCAGAATTGTGTCACAAATCAAATGCCAAATGCAAAGATGTTTCTCTCTGAATTTAAGAAACATCGCAAAAGAATGGAAAATTCAGCGAGAATTCGAAAATGTGGTCGAGTTTTTCCCGACTCAATGTTGTTGGAGTGTAAAGTCGATGACCTAAAAAACAGTATACATACTTTTTTATACATCATCATATTCATTCTTTTCGTTTCTAATGTTTTAGCGTAAATATGTACATAAGAAGAAAAGACTGAGTGAGAAAGAGAAATAGAAAGAAATAGGGAAAAATGTTTTTTTCTCCATCATACGCATATCTGTTGGTTTAATAGACTATATTATATTTTATGTGGAAATGTATGAATATTTCTCTTTATACTGGTGCATATGTTGACAATACACTGTTAAAATATGTTTTACCACTTGATTCACACTTTTTTTTGTTCCTATCTTTAGTCTCTTATTGAACTAGTTGCACTTGTAATTTTTTATATTATTATGTTATTATTGAATTATGTCGTTAAAATATGTACACAACATTAATTAAAGCATTATCAGTAGTAACATGCGAATCATTCCATGATGATTTTTTCACACATTCATGTATATTTTTTGTTTTTTTGTGATGAAAATTTTTAACAGTGTATAACTTTATTAGTCTGATGTCCCCATTTTCAATTTTTTAAATTCTCACATATATATTTTTTCAAAGCAGATTTTGCTAATATATTTACAATTTTTTTAATTTTTTTTCATGTATTAATGTTTATATGGTGCATAGGATTAGTATAAACCATTTAACCATAATGTAGAAAACTCCTCATGTTGTAATATTCACAATTAAAAAAACGCTTTATGGGAGCTCTCGTTGCTCTTTGTGGTTCATTTTTTTTTTCTTGCTACCCATGAAAATATTTTTTGCATTTTTATGCCTACTTACGCGGTCCAACTGGAAACATTTTAGCATAAAAATATCACACAATGGTTTTAGAGGCACGAAATCATACAGAAATACGCGAAATCACAATGCGAATACTATAATTTTTAAGTTTTAATAGTTATTTGTTCTTGTTCCTCGCACTTACTATTTTTCGAATGAGTTTCGAATATGCGTACCAATGAAAAAATTTTCTCTATGGATGTTGTAATCGAGCAGAGACTTATGTAAAATACATAAACTTTACGTTTGTGTTGGTAATTTTATGTGAGACTGAAAATGGAAGCTCAATTGCCTTAATTCGTGTCATTAACGTGCATCCATTCAATAGTCTTATCATACCTTATCTCAATTATTAAATCGTTTCTGATTATTTAAAATTTTCAGAAATAATTAAGCATATACTATTAAATGGTCATGATGTTTTCTTAAGGTTCCCGCAAAAATTGCAGCTCATCATTTGGTCTACTAATGTCACGTTCTTTTCCATCGTTCAGATCTACTTTCAAATCATTTCCTCATATTGCAATTTACTGTTATTCTTTAACATGGTAGACCTTATTATTATTATTTATCTACAAACGCTCATATCTTTTTTATGATTTATTATTGTAAAGATCAATTTCTTAACACTATTAAACCTTAAAAGCAATATAATAAAGTCAAAATTTGAATTAAAATCAAGAAATAATTTTAACTGTAAAAATAAATTTAAATGAATTTTGCGTGCATTTAGAAAAATAATTGTTAAAAAAAGGAAATTTGTGAAAAACATTTTTGAACTTTTCTCATTGAAAATGTCGGTGCCATTTGCTGGAACTTTTACACGATCAGGCGGAGTATTATCCGCAATTGCTAAACAAATTAAGTTGCTGAATTTTAAAGCAGTTAAACGAGTTACAGTTAAATTTGATCCATTTCATGAAAATGCCAATAATACTCGGTGAGTTTAACTTTTGTAAAAACATTTTCGAGAGTCTTCATTGCGCATGTCTCTCACGAAAAACTGAGGAAAATTTCTAGATGTATTTTCCATATAATTTTCATATATTTTGAAAATAAATTTAAAAAGGTATTTTTCTTATTCAATCCAGTTTAATTAATTGTTAAAACATACCAAAAGACTTTCCCATCATTCCTATTCCATTAATTCCGTTCATCTGGATGTGTGTAGGCAATTCATTATAATTTATCTGTGGATGAACTTGTGTTGGTCCATTTTGCTCTCGATCTGAAGACATGTTCTGTTTCTGAAAGGGTAATAAAGTTAATTATCATTTTAGGGATTTCCTGCATGCTATTTCTACATCAAAAGTCTCTCAGACTAATCCAAGCTGTATAGTTAAAACAGATATCGTTTGCAATAGAGATAAGCCTTTAGTGACATTTCAATTTATTCCATCGGTTCAAGGTAAGTGCTTAACTTGTCACGTTCCAAAGCTAAAGCCTAATATGCATTACTAAATTTTAGAAGCATCAAAGATTAAAACCATTAAGGTAGAAGCTGATAATTTGAGTCTGTTGGAACTTTTAAAAGTCACAAACGAGCAAATTACAGCAAGAGCACCAAAAGAAGAACCTGTCAGTACGCTCAAGACAAAGTCAGAGAAAAAGGGAGCAGTTGGAAAGCGCCGATAGAAAGGAATATAACATTTAGATTAGGCATAAAAATAATTATTAGAAGAGATAATGTCAAAGATTAAGGGAGGGGGTCATATAGATTTTATTGATCACATTTATTCAACAATGCCCAGCTTTACAGACGTATTTACGGAGGAGACGTTTTATATTTTCGTCATCTGTTTTGTACTTAGTACATTGGTTATTGCCTTCCTTTTGTCACGATTCATTAAATTAAAACCGGTTGAATAAAAGTGATAAGATTTTTTCCAAGAATTAAAAAATTTGTTGGCAACATTTTCTTGTTTTTGTGGTATATATGTTATATACACAATTCTTTTCAGACATGCGAGACACAAGTGAAAGTATTTTTTTTGGAAGAAGGAATCTAAATTGGAATGAGCAGGCAGAAGAAACGAAAACAAAAATATTGCACAGACATGTACGTGAGATGTAGAATGAGAAGTAGTATTCGTCGTTGTTTTATTCCAAAAAGAGTGCGAGAGAGAAAGAACGAATCGCGAAATGTTGACGCATGCTTAATGAATAAGCTGGAGTAGAAAAATATTATTTTTTTCTCGCATTTACAGTATTGCGTTATGCTGTAAACTCACTTTGTCCCGTGGACTGACTATTTAAGGGAAGAAAATTTATGAAGCATATAGCTACACGATACGTACGTCTTATGTAAGTCACAAATGTATTATCTTTGTCATTTAAAATTAAGCGCTATTGCCAGTGACGAGTAACCATGTCTTTAGTTTTCTCGCATTTTCAGCAGTGCTTATGCTTTGCACTCACTCAATATATATTATTTACATCAAGTCTCTCTCTTTCTCTTACGTCTTCGTTTCTTCGGCTTCAATGCTACATGTTTTTTTCTTTTGTAAATAAAATGGAGTCGATTTTCAAGTTCAATGCCAAATTTTATATGTGGAGAATGAAAATATACGAATTCATGTCCCGGTAAAATTGCTGTATCTCTTCTTCTATTGCTCATAAAATTTTCCCATTACGAACTTAATGACGTTTTAATGGATCTATACATTCTTGGATAAGTAATACATGTCTGAATGTCCAGCACAGAATTAACTTCATTATTATTATGACGTAATTCGACACATATAAATTTGTTGTTATGCCTTCTCTTTCAGGAAAAAGTAAGTTGATGAGAAATGGAAAAAAATGGAAACCGAAAAACAATTTTTTAAAACGCAATTTTAATTTTCATGACTTTGCACCGTAAAAACTTAATTATAAAATGCACTTTTGGTATATATTTAATTCACTTCTCTTGTATTTTTTCTGTAGACTCTTACGTTAACGTATTTAACATTAATAACACACACACAAAAAGTTTATTGAAAAAATCTCTTAACATTTTGCCTTGAAATCAACTCACCTTGGAATTTTAAGTTTTCTGTGTGTTCCAAATAATATCTTTTAATGCACTATTTAATTTTAACTGTATTCAAATCACTTAATTGAACCTTCGGTAAGTTCCCAGAATTTTTTTATCACAAATCTATTGTTTTTATTTTTTTTTTCTTCGCGGTAAACTTAAATAGCGATTTTAATTAAATTAGAGAATGATTAGAAATTGATTAAATCATTGCAGACATAATTTTAACATCTCTTTTCATTTATCACGACTTTAATTAATGTATTTCTTTGTATAAATTCTTTTTCACTAATTCCTTTTCAAAATTCCCTTTTCACTTCTTGCCGATTTTTTTATGTTCGAGCAGTCAATTTGTAAATGACGTCTATAGCATTCACTTGCAGCTATTGAATCTTAAAAATCTTTGAAATAGCTTTAATTAACAGTTATTAGATGAAAGCAGTGATTAGAACTAACAATTAAGCATGATATCAGTTCTTACTTTTGCTGTGTTATGCTTAATTTTGACATTAGAAACTATTATCTCAGGTAAAAGACCTTTCGGAAATATAAAGATTACTTAAAACATGAAACCTTTAAAAACTAGCAACAGATGGCACTAGAGGATATTCCACATTGTAGATTTTCTAATGTTATTGCTAGAAACTTTTTTATTTGTAAACAAATCAAGGGCGATCACATGTTGGATGTTCTGAGCAGTTTTGAGATTTGAACTCTCTCGTGATATTTTTTTCGTCAATGGCATTTTTTATGTTCGGAGTATATTTTTGGTATACGAAATGATGCAATAGTCTTTAATCATATCCTACCTCATTTTAAAAACATATATATTTTGATAAACGCAAGGCTTTGATACTCGATAATCCGTAAAGGATATGTTCACAAGGTTTTTTTTTATAAATCACTTACTCAATATGTGCACAAAATCTGAAAAGCTTTAAGTAGTTAAAGATAAAGTTTGTTTTGTTCCTTTAAATTTATTTTAAGATTGTTCTTAGTAAAGCCTCTACATGTCGCATAATAAAGTATGATGTCCAATGTTTTGCAAATAAAATCATTCATTCATTATAAATAACGAAAAAAATAATAAAAGGATGGATAGTACAGATTTTTAAAATTACATAAATCATTATTAAAGACAAACAATGTTAAAAGTAAAGTGATTCTCGTCAGCAAGAACAAAAATTTTTCGGTTTTTCTACATCCTCAGCATTTAGAATTAAGCGTTCTCCATCAACCATGTCGTTATGTATAAGTTTATCATTTATCAGAATCTGTAAGAAAAAGAGAGAATAAGAACTTCTTATATTTCGGACATATGCAAATAATTCACAAACTTACTTTGCTAACTAAAGCTTTGGCGCTTTCATCTATATTTGTATTCTCCTTGGCACTCGTCTCAAACCATCCAGTGAAGCCATTTTCTTTGCAATATTCATCCATTTTTGCTGGTAATGCTACTAATCCTTGTTTTGGTTGATCACACTAAATCATATAAAGTATTCAGCATGTAGTAATGCACATATCTAATGTTCAAAACATCTGTACATACCTTATTAGCTAATAAAATGCATGGAATCGGACTTCCATCGGGCAGCTGAACTTTTGAATCTAAATCAGTCTTCCACTTATTCACAGCATCAAACGTTGCCGGTCTTGTTACATCGAAGACGATAAAAGCTCCAACCGCCTCTTTATAGTACACTCGTGTCATATTACCAAATCGTTCTTGTCCTATTGAGTTTTATGAGATTAATATTACATATCGTGCATTACCGAAAAATTACGAATCATTCATATATCACGTCATGTCAAATACAATTTCTGATTCAAGTCATAGAATTTTCATATAGCAAGGAAGTAAGACAGAACAGAAAAAGCGTGATTGACATCATTCACAAATAACCTTAACTGCTTGACAATATTCCTCATTTTGAGGTCATGAAGAATGTAAACAGGAAGTAAAAAAAACATTACCTGCAATATCCCACAACTGTAATCGAATAATCGTTGACTGATCCCAATTAAGGACTTTTAGGGCAAAATCTACGCCAATAGTCGCACGATAATTTTGACTGAAAAATTGATGAACATATCTCTTGATAAATGATGTCTTGCCAGTTCCTAATTAAGAAAATTAAGGAGAGTATAAATATATTAGGCATAATGTATCTTTATATAATGAGTTCCAATTAATCTTTTAGAATGAGTTATTTACCGAGTTCGCCAATCACTAAAATTTTATATAAACATTCACGTTTCTCCGGTGTTGATGGCGTCATATTGCTCAACTGTCCAATATTTAAGGAATAAAGAATTTAAATAAGATTTAATTAATTAATATCGCTTTGTCGGAAGTACAATGAAACCATTCACTTCGGCAAAATTATTTCAACTGAGAGTGAAACAAAAGTTTTATGCATGAACAAAAAGTTTTCCCTGCTTTGGAATGTTTTTAAGGCTTCAGTTCAATAATCGTTCAATAACATAAATATTATGTTAAATAGAGCAGGTACTTGTGAGGGGACGTAAACTAATAATGTCCAGAACTTTTGAGGAAAGAGGAGTGTGACAATCAGCAAGACAAAGAATTATTGATATAGGAACAGGAGGGAGGGGGCGTGGGAGGGAGGTCTAAAAATTTTAATGACCGATTTTCATCGTTTGAGAACTGGTCCCTTACCAAGGAATCATCAAAAACGGGAAACATTGATGTATCTGGTGGCAATGAAGGTAAATCGAATGACTCAGAGTTAGCTATTATATTACTTTTAAGTAATTCTTGCTCCTCTGGCGTATAGACTGTCAGTTGAGGAATGTAAGCGATTTTTCTACGCGTTCTCGAGTCATGCTTTTCTAGGGAAGCATTCGTTTCGCTTTTTGGACTATGAAATTCGTCATCTTGAACGTTTGACGATTCACTCTCCATTTCTGTAATTATTATTGGCGAAATGCTAGTGCTATTTGCCGATAAAATTTTTGGTGGACGTACTGCAGTTCCTACTTCAAACTTTATTTCTTCTGATTTCACTTCAAACGTAGTTTTAAGTTCATCAACTGACGGCGATGAAGTGAGATTTAAATGATATGGCTTATGAGCTTCTTGAGTATGAACTGTTGACTGCGATAAATCTTTCTCAATATTATTTTCAGACGATGATCTAAGTCTATTAACTGGAATTTTAGATTTTTTCATTTCGTCACTAATCACTTGTTCACTGGGACCTAGTTCAATATCCTTAATTTCTGTTAATTCTGGAACTTTTTCAGATTTCCCTTGAATTTCGTCTATATCTGCTTCTACTTTATTTTCAATATCGTTTTCTTTTCGATCCGTTTCCTCAAAGATTTTCAATTCAGGAAGATTTTGAGGAAATTCAATTTTCTCGTCCAATTTACTCAAGTCTTTTGCTGAAGATATGATTGAATTTACTGATGATTTGATAAGTTCTTCTGATAATTCGTTTCCCTCGAATCCTTCAGACGTCGTCTGTATTAACGTTGAGCGTGATACTGACTGTGAAAGAGCATCGCTGCTAATTGATTTTGTTTGATGTTGCATATATACATTTTCATTGTCTTTGTTCGTGCTATTGCTGCTCTGTGACACCATTACATTAAAAAATTGCTCGCGGATTTTATTGACTCGTACGGCTGTATTTACGGATGGTAATATAATATCAGTTTGGCTTTTATAATATTGTAATGGTGAGGAAGCCTTATCTGTTGCTTTTGAGCTGACAATCGTCTCCGTAGACATTGTTTCGGTTCTAGTAGTTTGTACTTTTTCTATTTTCTTGCCGCTTATTGTTATTTGTAATTGAACCTTTTTATTTTCCGACATTGGTGATGAAATTTGCTCGAGCTTTGGGGATGATTCTTTATTATCAATTGTCTGGATCGATTTCTTAAGCTCCAATGAATCTTCATTGATTTTCTTCTCCTCGATATTTTCTGATTGATCACTAATGCTAATGTTTGGATAGCTTTTTGATAGTTTTTCAATCTCTTTAGCCAAATCGATTTCATTATTTAAAGGTTCGTCAGGTTGCGAGCTTTCTCCGCTATCCATCGGACTTACTTGAAATTTTTTCTTTCTTGAAAATCTCTTTGCAATGCTTCTCTTTAAAATACCCAATTTTGGGCTTTTTGTACTGTCTTCTGAACGTGTCTCTGACGTATCTCCACTATCAACTTTCTTGTCATCCTTTTTAATTTTCAAATGCTTTGAAATAAATTTCGCTGGCTTAAATTTCCTCTTTTTCTTTTCTTCAACAATTCTGGAGCTTTCACTACTTGTGTGCTGTCTGGTGGACAGAGCAATATCCTCTGACAGTGAAAATTCTTCTTCCTCTTCCTCCTCAATTTTATTTAACTTTTCATCCACATTCATCTTGACAATTACGCTACGTTTATTACTAAACCAATATATATTATCTAGTTTACGATGTTTAAGCTTACAACTATTCACTAATGAAGCTTCGTCAACAATGAATAAGCTTCTTGAATCAATAATATGTTGACTCGTAGTGATGAACTAATAATTAATAATATGTCACCTGTTGATTTCCTTCGTTTGCAATATGAGAAATCGACAGTAATTTAATTAAATAAAGCAGCCTTTTAGCTTAGTTTTTCTTCTATTGATTGCCTTCACAAAAATCTCAAATTTCATCCTATACACACGCACATGCTAATAATAAATTATTTTTCTTTACTAAATAGAATTAAGCTTCTTTTACGGCTGCTCAATTTATTATAACTAAATTGAAAAAAATCTCAAATTAAAGTTATTCATTCAGATCTTATCACAAACGTCACGAAAAGGTCATCAACAATTTGTTTTGAATTCCACAAGTATTTTTTTTATACAGAATTAGCAATAATTTTAAACAGAAGCGGCAATGCATCTCTAATCACTTGTTATTTGTAAACTTGAATGATTAGAAGTAAATTTAATAACAAAAATGTAATTGAGCAAGCTAAATTCCCTTAGAATAAGTTGCGACTCACTTTATTATCTCAACACACAGGTCAAATATTTTATAAAAAAATTATGAGTGATTTAAATTACTTTAGAATAAGCATTGAAGCTATACATAATTAATGCGGAGTTTTAAATGAGAATTTTCTTTGCTCTTATCACTTGTTTCGTCAACGTTATTAGGGTCAATCATCATAGATTTTTCATTTGAAGCATTAAAATGATATAGATTTTTATCTGCTTAAAAGTTTGACATCATAAATGAACGACCCTCGAACTAAACTTAATTAAAATGGAATTAATAGACAGAATACGAAATATTTTACTCTCGCTCGCGTTTTTTGAATGAAAGGAAGATAAGGAAGTGGAGATTGAGTTCGTGACTAATTGAAATAACATAAAATCATCACTTAAGTCTTGTCTTCACATGTTTAATTTTTGGAAGTATGTATTCTTACTTCCTTAATAGAATGAACATCGTATGCTTTTATCATCCTATTATCTATGTTCTATATTTTGAAGACTTGAAGACATGACTAAAGATTGATTAATGATGAACAAAGTGTGAGATTGTGATGCACTTTAAGTAATCAATTGACTACTTTGTGCCAACGAGAATATAGTTCAATCATATCATATCGTTGTTTATTGCTGCTCTGCTCAATCTTATTTATTTTCTATTTGGTACTTTTACTTCATGACTCTCATGATTAGATAGATAACAATTTTTCCGTCATAGGTCAGTTCTGTGAAGTTATTTGAGAAGAAGATAAGGAACGTGTGCGTGTGAAATGCAATAAGAAAAAATAAGTCTAACCTTTTGAATGATAACCCACAATAACCCATAAAATTGATATGAGGAAGAAATCGAAAGATAATGGAGAATGAAATTCATGTATGCTCAAAACGTACCGACCGATCAACCCAAAATAAAAACTGTATAGTCATCAATTTACTACAAGTTTTTCGCATTCTCACTTTATTGGAAAAGCTATAAACAAAATGATCAGCCTGACTTCTCAAATCAATGCTTATCACTTGCTCTGTGAAATAATTTTGCAGGTCATCACGAATCGTGCGAATACAATGATGATGATTTATGCATTTATATCGATTTACTTGTCACACATACAGGAAATGGTTTCATAGTGAATAATATTTTTTGATAAGACATACGCATAACATTTTAATGATTAGTGACTCACCGATGAAAACACTGGACGTTCGTCTTGACTTCTCCTGTCAGATACTTTCGCAAACTTTCCTATCTTGGCGGCTTTTTGTAATAAACTCGAAGTCAAAGAAAATTTTGTATTGTGCTTAATACTAGCTGGTGGTGCTTCTAACAAATGACACTCATTTGTCTTTTCAGTATATTCCTGATCGTTTTTGTTGTCAGATTCACTATTTCCCGATCTACTTGCTATCACACTTATTCTGATTAAGCTAGTTCCCATTCATGTGATGTACTGTTTTGATTGTAATGATTCTTTTATATCACATCCATTGCACATTTATTTGTTGATGATTGAAATAGTTACCAATTTAAAGTTCTGTTCTGTTCTATTTCTAGCTTCTCAATTAAATTAAACTTTATTAATGACACTAAACGAATGAAATCTTTATAGAAATTACTTCATTGGATGTTCTCCACACAATCTGTTGTCTTTAAATGATGATTGTGAATAATTAAGCAAAGCAAATTAAATTTAATTTATTAAAAGATTTTCAGTGACTTTTTGGAAAGAAGTTTCGTAACTTAATATGAATTTTTTTATCACCTTATCAGAAATTTTAAAAAGAAAACAATGGAATTGCTGCACACACGTCGGTCGTTTAAAACTGACTAAAATTGTTTCACTACTGTCTCACTCTCACTTGCTCATTTTTATTTTACTCTCTTACAAAAAAAGACAGAAGTAAGAGACACAGAAGTTTTCTTTTTTTATGGACGATATGTTGCTTTATGTTGATTTTAACTTCCTTGAAGCATTTTTTCACTTATTAATTTCTACTTAAAATATCACAATGTTAACTTAACTAGAATAGCATGGACTTTAAAGCAATTTTAAATACTGTGTAGTTAATGAAATGGACGAAATGATTTTTCGCGGAAAATTCTATGCTGTTCTCTTTTGAGCAATTCTATCGATTCTGATGGAGAGTAGTAAAAAGTTTATAGTCATCTAATGCGCATGCTTAAAAGAAATAAATCTGAAAAATTTAAATAAATTCATTCGACACGTGCTTGCTGTTTTGATCAACGAATTTCGTTCTTTATTTGTTTACTTTTTTTTCTCTTTTTTGGCAAAAACAAATCTCATGAATGACTGATGGTAATGGAACAACAATACATAAAATGATTGAATCATTTATCGCATCTGAAAAAGAAAAATTTAAAACATTAATATTTTTTCGATAATTCATAAATTGGTTGTACTAGATCCTCATTGGTTTAATTCCATATAATTTTAATCGTGACTTTCATCATATTACCCATTGCTTGTAGAGCTACTTAATAATCTAATAACATAATCCTATGTAAAATATAAAAAGGAACTCAATTTGATCATTTCTTTAGTTCATAATAAATGGCAATCTGCTGAATAATGCTCCTCCTTAATATAGGCTTTTAATTTTTCATATTCATCTTCTCATTCCTCATATTCTATTGTCGGTCGTCTCCAACATGAATAAATGAAAATTCCTTTCATTATTTTGTCTGTTTGGCGTCCTCGAGCTATTGCTCCTCCTTTTTCCTCTTACTCAACATACTATGTGATACATTTTCATAAACGAGAAACGTTATGCAACATGCTGGCACTACTCGTGTTAAATTTGGCTTCAATCCCTTGTAAAAACCTACGATACCTTCAAATCTATATTTATATGTGTTTTTTTTTATACATGACAATATCCAATTATTGAAATGTGATGAGGGAGAAAGAGAGAAAAGATAATGTGATTAATAAAAATACACTATTACCATTCGCATTAACTATTAAGGATGATTGTCTATATACTAAATGATTCATGAGTGATAATGATAGGTTTTTCTTCTAAAATATAAAACAAAGAAAAGCATTAAACGCAACACTTATAATTAGTGCTGAAATTAAGTATAGAATCTTCCCTTGTTTAATTTTCACGCAATCTTATCAATTAACTTATATTTTAAGCGACATGTCTTTATGATACATAACTTTTAACTTCTTAAAACGTTAATTTTTAAAATTTGTGCAACTTGAAGTTAACTTCAGTTATAAGTTTTTCAAAATATTCGTAATTTAACGCGTTAAATTTTTCTGTAAAAATTAATTATTAAGGAATTATTGAATTCCACACATGATAATGTGGTCATCCTGGCAGTAATGTTTATTTATCACCTAAATTATAATTATTTAAAGAATATCCCAGTATCCGCATAAACAATTGATTAATTACAGTTAGATTTTAATGAGAGAAAAAAAAAGTAGGTATGAATCATGATGAGTGATGAAGGATGGGGCAGTTATTAAAAACATTTAAACTACAAGCATTTTATAGAGCTTACCTTTGGCAATTAGATTCTCTAGGGCGCTTTTGCATCACATTTAAGACACTTAATATACTATCTTATTAAATTTAAAATCAGAAAAATTCGATAATCAGCATAAAAAATTTAAACTCAAGAATCTTATTTTGCTGCCGGTAATTTGCATAAAAACACTGTCAATTTGTTTTCTTCTTATAGCTGACTCCATCCATCCATTCATTTAATATAACTTATAAAATCATCACAATTCACAAGACTTAAAACTTATAAAATCAAAAGCAATGAAATTCATCTTATGTTTATGCCTTTTCTGTCTTTTTCTTGCTTTTTCAATGATTATTTCTATTGAATCAAAGTTACGTCAATTGTTAAGGATTAAAATAGATTTAACAGTATATAAAAATTTGAATTTTATGTTACATATTTTTAAATTCATAAAATTTGAATTTAATTTAACCGTTATTTGATGCAAGTCAATAGTATTTCTTGAAAAATAAATGGCATGTAAACTTTTCTGAGATAATTATCGATATTGGGATTAATGTGAAATTTCAAAGCTTAGTAAGTAAGGAGGAATAACAATAAAGACTACAAAGGAAAGTATGATTTGTAATAAAAATAATAATACGACATTCTACTATCTCATTCGTTTTTACATATCTTAAATTGATTATTACGCTACAAGTTTAAATCATTTCAAGTTGTTCAATGACTTTATATCATTCAGATTTTAATAGCACATAATTTTCTGCTTACTAAAAGTACAACCTTTTATAAAATATTCTTAAATATGATGATGATCTTCTTGTCTCCATTTTTTTATTTATGATAGTTATTTATTTTAAAAATATCACTTTAACTTATAAATTTTGAAACTTTTCGTAAATAAGCATAACAAGGCATATATTTGGCATTACATGGAGTAAGTAGGGCTTCAAACCCAAATAAAATCCAGGAATTCTTTCATACCTATATGTCTGCTTGATACAGTCCTGAAAATTTATAAAATTTCAAGTTAATTTTATCTTTAACATCGTTTATATGATTTTAACTCACCCAAGTTCCTTTGTAGCTATGATGTTGATCCTGCAAACGCGTTCTAATGACTTGATATGGATATGTAGCAGCTGCGGCAATAAGCTTTGAAACTGCAGCAAACGTTAAATATTCAGAAGTCGTCTGTTAAATGGGAGAGATTTAAAAATAGAATATAAAGTATTTATCGAGAAAAAATATGCCTTGTAAAGGAACAATTGGATCAAATTGGCTTTTTAAATTATCGACCAGTATGTAAATCATGAGAAATGCGATTTCACACATGCCACTTCAAATTGTTTATGTGAAAATGAGATTATAATGATAATCGTAAACTTTTTCACTTTAAAATGATTGACGTCAGGTTTTTAGTTAACACAATTAAGAAGTAAACACATGATGACAATCTTTTGAGCGAAAGAAATGAGTAAACAAAAACTGCTCCTTTACAAAAACAAACAAACATTGCGTTTCTTGAAACGTCATCGATTATCACTATAAGACAACGAACGAAAAAACAAAATTTACGAATAATTAAGCATACCAATTTCGAGTCAATGGGTAGCTTCCTGTATTGATTATAACCATTTTTCATCTCCTCATAAGTCATAAATTGAAGAGCTCCATGAGATACTCCAAACATTCCAGGCACAAAACCCTAAACAAAGAAGTTAAAATTATTTTGCGTTGTTATGTCTTTTAGAGATTATCTACTTACGCTATAAAGCCCTCTTAGTCCCTCAGTTCGATAGATTTTAAGTAATCCATCAGTCATCCCGCGATAATTTTTTGTACTTGTTAAATCTACATTATTTTCATACTGAAGACACAATCTTGTTTTCACTACCCAAATTGGATTGGTCATTAATAGTGTTAAAATACCGGCTTCGCTTGCAGCCAACATGTGCAATCCTGGTCCAAGTGCTTGTGTCGTATTTCCTCCTTGAATCCATCCCTTAATTGTATTATAGCTGTCAATGAATAATAAAATTCTTAGTGATTTTAAAAATTAATTGAATTTTCAAAAACTTACAATAAGAAATAAAATCCCCAAGCTGAGCCTGATCCCCAGGCATTAGGTGTTACTCCTTTATATAACCCTTTAATTCCTTCTTGTCTAAAGATTGTGACAAAAGCACTACCAAGACCTCGATATTGAGGGGCAGCGACACGACCGTCATTCACTAAAAGAAGGAAGGTAAAAATGGCAGATAGGATTAGATAAGAATCTTATCATAAGCACATGAGATATCTTGAACAATATTGAAAAAAAATGATGTTAAGTAATTAAATAAGGAAAAAAAATGTGCGAACTTGATTATTTGCCAAGATCACAACGTGCGGTATGTTTTTTTGTTGTTGTTTTCTTCGAAATGGAGGCACGTCTTGGCGAGAAAACTTTAGGTATGACGAAATATTTGCTGTACAAACATGAGACTCTCAGAGGCCACACAAATATTTTGAATGGAAAATTTTTACTATGCACACAATTTTCTATAATTACGAATGACTTACATATTGAGCAATCGCTTGACTAAAATAACTAGTAATGCCAATAAATTAGAAAGAATTAAAATTAGAATTTTGAATTCTTTTTTCGTTAATTCATTGTTTTAAAGCGATTGTGATTAAGTGTATATGACGTAGAACATTGAAGTCGTAAAAGTGTGCTATAAATAAAGAACAAGATTCTCGAGAATTGATTGAAATATCACATGACAACACAAGAAAGACTTTCCTCACATTTCAATCACCTCTCGAGATATTTTATGAAATAATTGTGGTCATTGACATTCGATAGCAACTGTGCGCTAATTATCAGAAATTATATATGACTAAAGTGATTAAACATAAAAATGAAAAAAAGTGTCAAGGATTTCTCGAAAGATTATAGCTCTTTGCATGTTAAATTTATTTTATTTCTTTATTTTTCTGTTTATAATCTGATCCACTCGTGGCTTAATATTAAAGGCAAATACATGTATTTTTTATCTCGAGTATGCTTTAGTAAAGAGTAGAAAAATCTACCTCAAACAGCTGTTATTCTTCAGAATCTTTATTTGCATAACTATATCTTGTGTTAATTCTTGTGACTGACAGAGAACAAACTTGTTTTCGGAATTAAAATTAAGTGTTGATGTTCTCTTCTCGTCATATGTTTTGCAGGCTTATGAGGTCACAAATAAATCGTATGGAATGAATTAGACTAGCGACGAGTGATCGAGACGTAAAAACTCATTACTTTGATAAGCGCCTGACCTTGTTCAAGTTTTTTTTTGATCTTTTCAATATGTCATGAAACATATACATGTAATTAATTATGTAAAGAGTAGGAAGTACTCACCAGCAAAACGAATTTTTATGAGGTCCAATGGATGTAAAATCAATGTTGATGTAACACCACCTGTATATTAAAAACAATAGACTGCATGAAGATATTTGTAGACGTGAATATTTATTATGTCTATACCTGATATTCCAGCTATCATATGCTCGTATTTAATGTGTGAAAAGAGATTTAACTTTCCGTTGATTTTTTTGGGCGACATTGCTGTTGATGCAGACGACATTTTTGTGCTTTGACTTATTTAACTGATTTATCTATTTAACTTTAAACGTATTGAATTTATCACATCCAGTAGATATAGTAGCTCGATTTAATTTCACAAATGATTAGTAACTTATTGTATTAATATTTTTATTATGTTCAAAACAAAATCTAATTCAAATCAAAATAATTTATGTTTCTCTAAATTATTAATTGATATAGTTTTTATGTTGGCTAAATGCACCAAATTTTTCACTGACAAATTATGAGTCATGTTGTTTCTACGAATTTTTCAAGTTTGATATCCACGTTTTTTCACTGAACTGATGTAACAAAATAATTTTTGGATGTCTACGAAAATTTCCTTTCTATGCAATTTCTAAACAATGAAACTTTTGTTTTGAACCTTTTTTTCAACTTTCATTTTGTATTTTCACTGTACTCGATGTTAATGTTTTACTTTAGATTCTAGCTTAACGATTTAAATCAAAATTAAGGTATTAAGTATAGCAAAAGACGTCTTAATTTGACAAAATATCTCACAAAACTGTCTCTTCGCAAATTTTTTTTTAAATTCTGATTTTATTTTCACCAATACACTCGCACAAAATCCGTGACATCACTGCTTTTTGAAAATAATTTGTTCGTTAAATAATCACAAAAATAATTCAAACGCTTAATGTTCAATTTCCTATCGCAAGGATAAAATGTTTTTCAATATATAATAAGCGACTTTAAAATTAAGATTCTGATCAATTTGGATTTATAGGAATAGATTAGCTATCAATCATCAATAATTACAGCTGTTGAATTAACACAACAGCCAAGATAAAGATCAAAATGGACAGACTTGTTACTTTAAATCGAAATTCAAATAAAAGATGAGAGTCTCTTTTGCTTTTTCTCGTTTCACTTTCTTTTATCGCTATCTTCCATTTATTTATTTTATTTATATCTTGCTGAATTGCTTGACACAAAACCAGAGGAACAATCCATCAATGAATTGTTGAATAATGCTCACATAAAAAATACTTCATGCTCAAAGGGGCCGTTCACTTATTACGTTACGCAAAACGTCATCACTACTTTTTTAACCCCCCCCCCCTCCCCCCTTGTTACAATATGTTACAACTCACAACCCCCCCCCCCCCCCCCTGAACGTTTATAATTTATTATATTTTGATATTTTTTTTAAAAGACAGACGACAGTTAGAACGTTACATACTTCTTGACATCCCCCCCCCCTATGTTACATTTTGTTACAATTTTTTAAACCCCCCCTCCCCCCTAAAATGCAAACGTAATAAGTGAACGGCCCCAAAGAAGAAATACGCAATTGAAGGAAATGTGAAAAGTCACCAAATTTATCATGGATGAAGCAGATCTGCCGTGCAAATCTTGTGTTTATTTATACAATAATTAATCCTTTATGGCAGAACTATACATACGTAAATGGTGAATTATTTTATTTGATTAATTCCTTTAATTTCCAAACTTTTGACAAAAAATTGTTAAATTTTATTTTTAATCTTTAACATTTGCACGTTGATCGAAAAAGTGAAAAGTTTATCAAAAATTTAGCTTATATGCTTATGTTGTAGACATTGGTCCCTAGTTTATAGGAAAAATAATTTTTTCCTCTGGAAGTGCCTGGTCCACGAGAAAAGAAGGTTTGAATTTTTGTCCTTCATGTAATTTTTAAAATGCTATTGTTCTTCACCTACTTATCCGTTTGTCTTCATACTTTTTTTATTTCATAGATACAAGTTAGAGGTTTTTATATAAATATCCACATGATATACTTTTTGTGCATATTGGTTCCTAAAAATTGAAAAAAGTTCGAAAAAACCAGGTTTTTTTGGCATTTTTTGGACCTCGTGACTATATAAGACTTTCTATTTTTTTAGAATGCAGTATGTTGTAGATCTCATTTATATCTACAATTATTACACGCATGATCTACAGATTTTATGGATTTTGAGTAGTGAAAATTAACTTTGAAGTCAAAAATTTGCATATTTTTTGCTTTATTCTCAATTATGATCCACTGTCCATGTCCGGCTCCCAAATTTTATTTCATTAATTTGTAGATTTTAGTATGCTTTATCAATTAATGCAATAAAAAAGAGAATCACTTGCCGAAAAGCTTCAAAATATGAGCTTGAAGTTGGTCTAGTGAGGTATCTCAAAATTCAAAATTAATTTTCACATACTAGTCTTAATGAAAGGAACTGAAATTTTCGGGTTTTATTCAAAAAGCAATGTACTTAACATCCACAACAAAAGTTTTTAATTAAAAACACAATTTTGTTGAAAATTTAGGCAAAAAGTGATATATGATGTTATGAAACCATTAAATGCTCAATAAAGCTACTTTAACTAGTTTAAATCAAAACATATCTCCAATTTTCATATAGGTCATTTAAAAAGCTTTCCAATGGTGTATAATAAGTCATATGAATATGTAATTTCTAGTAAATATCATCAAAATTTTAAAAAATGTATTAAATTTTAACGAATCTGAAAACCTATGCTTGACATATTTGCTTAGAACTATTGTAAATCTTAAGTATATGCAATAATTTTAGTATTGTTAGAAAGCTTAAAGTAGTGTTGATGTATTTAAAAACAAATTGAAGCTCATTAGCAGCTAGAAGAACAGATATGCTAGGTCCAATATGTCATATTTTGACTGCCACTACTAGGCACAAAGGTCATTCCACTTTTAATTCATGGACTTTTTTCTATAGATCTATGCTAGAACTATAATATAAATTCCATAAAAGTAGTTTTTCATGGTTGACTGAAACAAAATTGTCTAAATAAAAACCTTAAAATTTGCGATTTTTTGACTAAATGCATTTACTGGCATTTACTATTTTACTGAAATTAACATCGGAAATCTACTTTTATGGAATTTATATTATAGTTCTAGCATAGATCTATAGAAAAAAGTCCATGAATTAAAAGTGGAATGACCTTTGTGCCTAGTAGTGGCAGTCAAAGTATGACATATTGGACCTAGCATATCTGTTTTCCTAGCTGCCAATGAGCTTCAATTTCTTTTTAAATACATCAACACTACTTTAAGCTTTCTACCAATACCAAAATTATTGCATATACTTAAGATTTACAATAGTTTTAAGCAAATATGTCAAGCATAGGTTTTCAGATTCGTTAAAATTTGATCCATTTTTTAAAATTTTGATGATATTTACTAGAAATTACATATTAATATGACTTATTATACACTATTGGAAAGCTTTTTAAATGACCTATATGAAAATTGCAGAAATATTTTGATTTAAACCAGTTATAGTAGCTTTATTGAGCATTTAATGGTTTCATAACATCATATATCACTTTTTGCCTAAATTTTCAACAAAATTGTGTTTTTAATTAAAACTTTTGTTGTGGATGTTAAGTACATTGCTTTTTGAATAAAACCTGAAAATTTCAGTTCTTTCATTAAGACTGGTATGTGAAAATTCATTTTGAATTTTGAGATACCTCACTAGACCAACTTCAGGCTCATATTTTGAAGAATTCCGGCAAGTGATTCTTTTTTCTTGTTGCATTAATTGATAGAACATACTAGAGTCTACAAATTAATGAAATAAAATTTGGGAGCCGGACATGGTCAGTGGATCACAATTGAGAATATAGCAAAAAATATGCAAATTTTTGACTTCAAAGTTAATTTTCACGACTCAAACTACATAAAATCGGATTATGCATTTAATGTTTGTAGATATAAATGAGATCTACAAAATACTGCAATCTAAAAATATTTAGAAAGCCTGATATAGTCACGAGGTCCAAAAAATACCAAAAAAACCTGGTTTTTTCGAACTTTTTTCAATTTTTAGGAACCAATATGCACAAAAAGTATATCATGTGGATATTTATATAAAAACCTCTAACTTGTATCTATGAAATAAAAAAGTTTGAAGACAAACGGATAAGTAGGTGAAGCACAATAGCAGTTTAAAAATTACATGAAGTACAAATTCAAACCTTCTTTTCTCGTGGACCAGGCACTTCCGGGTGAAAAAATTATTTTTCCCATAAACCAGGGCTTATAAGCTGAATTTTTGGCAATTTTTTCACTTTTTCGATCAATGTCAAATATTGACACATATAAAAGAAAAGACCAGACAGTACTGACAAGACTTAGACTTGGACACACAAATCTTACACATATACATCTTATTGAAAAAACTTCTCCCCCAATATGCACATGCACCATCCCACTTACAGTCAGACACATATTTGAATGCACAAACAATCAAACAGCTATTTCAAAATTTAATATCAGTTAAAAAACACTTGAATTAGACGAAAAAGGTGAAACAGATAAAATTTAAACTTTCAAAAAGAAATTAATATTTACGACAAAATCTAACACTAAAACACATAACATCCTCTATTGCAGTTCCTATTTAAGAAGAAGAACATTTGTATGTTTTTGGCAAAAATGTACAGTTTTGAAACACTATTTACATGTTTTAGTAGTTAAACTGTTGTTGTTGGATGGTTTTTTAAAAAACTGTTGTGTATTATACTTGTAATGCTTAAAATTCATATAGATGATTTATTATAGTTTAATTAATATCACTATGTATTGTGCTGTATTTTATGTTTATTAATTTATAAATTTGCATATAAAATTATAAATCTTGTAACCTAAATATTCCAAAAATGAAAGGTTTTCCTGTTCAAATATAATATTTAAGCTTGCGGATATGATCAAACCGTTCTATCGAAAGTTTCGTCGATAGACTAAGCTTGGCTCATGTTTGAAGAATTAAAGCTTGACAGGTTAGCTGTAGCATATGTTTGAAAGTTTGAAACTTTAAATGGATGACACCTTTATAGTAGGGTAAACCATGTTGAAATTTGTGTGTTTTTGCACTTGAAGATTTCATTTGCTTATAACTTTTTAATGCCTTACTGTCAAAAATTTACTGTTGGTCTTAAACTATCAAAAATTGTTGGAATTTACGCATTTTCGAGCTAATA